TGTGTGTTACTTTCTGTAGCTTATAAAATTCTCGATGGTGGTGGTGTCTACATTTAATATTTTCCATGTGCTGTATACTAAACAATCCTCTAGTCTGCTCTATGAAAAACTGCTGACTATGTAATTGTATTTAAGCTATAGCATTCATGTTTTTTTAATTTACATTCTTTGTTCAGATGATTTTAATTTAAAAGTCCTTGAGGTTTAAGTCTTAATCCATCACTTTTTCCAGTAAAAGTCACACAAACCCTATGTGTGCTGTTTCTTTCTTGTTTTGTATTGCTGTTTCAGTAGCTACATTTGTTGCGACATGTTAAATTTAAATTTGTGGTACAGAGCTTAAGTAGTCAAATTTCAGATTGCTTTTCTTTGATTCTAATATGTCATGATGACAGCAATAGCACATGGACTGCAAATAATCACACAGCATTCCCATTACAAAATGCTAAATTGTGGTGAAGGGGTGTGACCTGAAAAAGCGATTAATGGATCTTTAACTTTTTCAGACCATAGCACTATAGGAATTAAGAAGTCCTTTTGTACTATCACTTTGCTGTTCCATCCACTTTCTGATGAGCTTTTCTGTGCTGAAAAGAATGTGAGATACAACTTCCCATAGATATTGACTATCCAGCAAAGAGTTGGGTGGATATAAACCTGGTGTAAAAAAATTATGATATAAGTATACTTCCAAAAAAATTACTACATTTTTATCTGGCCTTTCTTCTATCAAGGAACCCAATGTGATGTGATTTGCCAATCACATCACCAAGGACCCAAAGTATACACGTAAATTCCAGGTGCTTTTCTATCTTGCTTGCTCATCTTCAGCAAGATGGTGGCTTTGTGTGCCTCCAGAATATACCCTGGGATTATGTTACAATTATGCAAAAATCTCCAACTCAATAGATTCTACATTTTACACAACTTTTATGTTGGGAGTGGGAGAGGCACAAAGGTAATAAAAAATAAAAAATCAACTAGCAAGTACAAACTAAAGTTCTTACTCAGTCAGTTTGGTTTTGGCATCTGTTGTAGCTGACAGTGCTTGTGAGACTTGGAAAACAATTCCAGACAGGGCAGTTACTTAATGTTTCTAAAATCCCAGGAACATCCATTTAAACTCTTAACTTGCTACAAAGTATAACCAGATCCTGGAAAAATAATGGATTTTCAAATGAAGTGAAGTGTTTGGTTCAACCAAAAATACTTTCCATTTCCTCATCTACTCCAATAACAAAAACGGTGTACATTCTGAGGTGTCTGACATGCACTTTTTTTAACCCAGCTGAGTTGTAGAATGAATCAGTTGCCTACCCTTTAAAAAGTCCTTGAAACTGTAATACAATTGGCACTGAAACTAGAGAAACATATTTTTCATGGATTGTGAAGCATTCACAGTGTTGTTTTTAAAGTTTAGCTTCCCATTTCTCCTTTATTTAGTTAGGTCACAGATTTATTGGATGGAAAATTTCCCTTTAATTTAGGGGTGGCTAATCTTGGCCATCCAGCTGTTACTAGACTCAAACTCCCATCAGCCCCAGCCAGCATGGGCTGCAGCCCAGCAACATCTGGCAAGCCAAAGGTTAACCACCTCTGTTTTAAGCAAAGTCCAATCCACTGTAAGATCAATGCGATTGAAAGGGATTAGGAAAGTGTTCTCATCTACCTAAGTGGAGTTGTTCAACAGAGGCCTGCATGCCTTCACACATATGACAGCTGAGTCTAACTTTGGAAAGCCGTCTCTGTTGATGATTCTTCTCCATCGCCCTTCTTCTGGTTGTTCTGCATCTGCAGAGGGGGGCGAATATAGGTGATCATTTACCAAATGATAATTGACCACACTGTATGTGACCACCAGTCATCTGTATTCTCCTGACAAGAGATGAGTCGCCACTTTCCAGAAGAGTACACACTTACCAGATATCCCTTGTGTGTACACCATGATAAGTTACTACTCAGCTATTTGCTTTCAGCAGTCTATATAAGAGGAAGGACACCCAACCACATGTCCCACATCAAGCTTATAAGCAGTGTGCTCTAATTACTGGATATCAGTTTTAGGCTTTCAGTTTGGGTGAGTGAGAAAATAATATACACCGCCTGAAAATGCTTTCTCCTGGCACTAGCAAAATGTTTAGAACATTATTTTTATAGCTAGGTGTTCCTAGAGCATCCAGGAGTTTAAGAGCCAGAGCCTAATAAGTTAAATTAGCAATAAGTTAAATTAGTTGTTGCTCAATAGTATTATTGTCTCGACAGCAGCTAGTGGAAGGTAGGTGAGAAGAGATAGGTGTCACATCAATATGCAGCTTCTGCAGACTGTATGGCATCTTCTGAAAGGGAACAAGAAATTGAGGACAGTTACATGAGATCTGGAACAAGCTCTGGGTAGGTTGTCCAGGCCGAGACCTAAAAGCATCTAGGGGTGGCTTTTCCAACTACAGTGTTGCAATGACTGATATGTCTTCTTTCAGAATCACATTTTCTATGCTGACAGGAGAACTTCACTAGGTACAGGTCTTCCCATCAACTTGCAGTGATGGATAAAGATGGACATCATAGAAGTCTCCCTTCTATGCAGACCTTAAAAGGGCAGGCTCTCTCTCAAAACTGACAGTTTCAAAAGTTGTTTGGAACAAATATGCATACCACAGCTGGGTTTGTCTGTGTGCTAAACTGAAACATGTGTCTTATTGGAAATCTTCAATTCTGTTTCATCAAATGTGGACTACAGATATTTCTTTGTTATCTCCCAAAGGTGTAGAAACATTAAAAGATGAGTGATTGCTTTTCACCTTGGATATGAAAGTTTTTCCATTCCTGTGAGGAAATCCTAACACAATCATATTTTTTTATCCAGGACTTCTAAGAATGGAGGTTGTCAACATGTGAATCTCTGTCTCTGTTGAAAAATGTCCTGTGAATATTCTAGATCTTTTTGTTGGGGAATCCATTTCCTTTGTCTTAGGAACATGTCAAGGAAGTTGAAGTTGCAAAAATCATCCAAAGTAACCAATGTCTGAAAGCTGTAGCTAGGTTTTTAGTTATTTATGGCTTATGCCCAGGACTTGGTGTGAGATGTAAGTGCTATTAAACTAATAATGACCCCAGTGCTATCAAGTTCAACACATATTTATGTGGGGAAATTGCCAAGGAAGTCCAGTAACTTTTGAGTTCAGAAAAGGAAGCTTCCCAAAAATGACGGGATTGGTAAAAAGGAAGCTGAAAGGGAAAGTGAAGCAGGTCAAATTTCTCTGTAATTCTTGCTAGATACTCTACTCAGCTAGAATGTATGCTGCAGACCAGGGCCACAAAGAGTAAAGGGAACTATCTGGGCACAATAAGGCTTCCTTTGAAAAATAGAAGTTTTGTCTAAATGTAGGGCATAAAAAGAAATACAAACTTTGACAAAAGAAATGAGAACAGACAATAAGGAATGCTGTGAAAAAGTACATAGAAGTTTTCAGTCTCTCATGATAGCAGAAGCTGAGGTCATCCAGTGAAGCTGTACGTTGGAAGTTTCAGGACAGATAACAGGAAATACAGTGCACTGTTACTGTGGAATTCATTCTTAAATATGTTATGATTTACATCAACCTGAATGGCTTTAAAAGAGATTTAGGCAAATTCATGGAGGATAAGGCTACCAGTGGCTACCAGTCATAATTTACAAAGAAAACATTTAAATAGCTACCTTTCTACCGGTAGGACTGGGAGGGGGCATGGGCGTGGCCAGGATTTTTGTTAGGGGGCAGGCTTTTGTTAGGGCGGTAGAACCTCAGATAGCATTGGGGGGGGCACAGGAAGGAAACAAGGTCTGAAGGGGAAAAATATACAGCCCTTCATCAAAAGATCTCAGGGAAGTTCACAAAATAAAATACAAGATAAAAAACAGTTTGGTCCAGCAGGACTTGATGCAGCAAGACTTATTCAGTGGTTGACTACAGGCCCTCAGCTGAGATACCAGCCAAAGAAAAATGCTATCCTTCTTTCCTTCCTTTGATCCTTGTTCTTTTCTTTAACCATCCAATTTGTTCCGTACTGGAATAAGATTTCTGAAAATAACCATGAGAAAACCATTGTGGGTTGTTGTGGGTTCCCTTTCTTTGTCTGCCCTTCACCTTCCTTTGCCAGCTCAGTTGCTGACCATTCAAGTTAAGGTTGGAAAACATTTGAGAAAACCCTTCTTTTTATATTCATTGTTTGAGGAAGTCTAGCATTTTATTTGCCTACAGCCTTTGCAAAAATAGTCTGTGTTGTCAGTGGAAGTTTCTGTAAGCAAATTCCAAACACTGGGGTTCTATAGAAGACTCTGCCGAGGAGGAAACTCCTCATGTACTGGAAAAGTCCAGTACATAAACACCTCTAGATCATGACCCAAATCTGCTGACTTAGGTAACCACAATTTGAATATGTCACAAAATCATATGCATACTGCAGTTTGCTGTGTTTTATTGGGAAGAGGGAAGGGTGGACTTCCCTGGGCCTAGGTACTGAGCATCATAATTTTGCATCATAATCTTCCATGCTTTTCTCACTGTAGTAAAATACCATACTAATTATCTGCCTTTTTTGTAATACAGTGGTGCCCCGCAAGACGAATGCCTCACAAGACGGAAAAACCGCTAGACGAAAGGGTTTTCCGTTTTGAAGTTGCTTCGCAGGACGAATTCCCCTATGGGCTTGCTTCGCAAGACGAAAATACCTTGCGAGTCTTGAGAGTTTTTTCGCTTTCCCCCTTTATCTAATCTGCTAAGCCTTTAATAGCCTTTAATAGCCTTTTAGCAGCTAATCCCCTAAGCCTTTAAGCCTTTAATAGCCGCTAAACAGCTGATAGCGCTAATAGCGCTAATCCGTCAATGGGCTTGCTTCGCAAGACGAAAAAACCGCTAGACGAAGACTCTTGCGGAACGGATTAATTTCGTCTTGCGAGGCACCACTGTAAATCTCTTGTCACTACTCAGTTCAGTGCAAGATCTTTTGTTTTTCTTGTTCATATGGATTCCAGCAGCAAGGTCCGCACATTACACTGAGATCGCAGTTTAATGTATTGTATTCCCAAGCAACAATAAAAGGGAGCATGTGGTAGCCATTTCTGTTTGCCAGATGTAGATAGGATCTTGCAAAATGATTTGTCTCCAGTGCACTTCAAAGAAACATCCTGACCCTTTATCACTACCATTTATTCTCTTCCTGCTTTGATCTGTGTAAACTAATTTAAACTAGTTTCTTTTCACATTTCACAAGATTTCTTACTCTGTAAACCAGCCAAATATCAAGCAGGAAAAAAGTGGTTTGTTTGTTTGTTTGTTTGTTTGTTTGTAATGTGGGTTGGTTTTTTTGTAAACACATCATAGCAATTTGAGGATCTTCAGCTTAGAACATGCTTATTAATGCAGCAGTTACTCAGGAATAATAGCTCCAGTGATCACTTCAGTTTGTTTGTTTATATTTGTTTATATGATCAGGATATAAATCCAAGTACTGTACAGGGTAAAAAAAAGGATGCAATTCAAAGTTCTCTGCAAGCATGGTAAACTGAAAGTGATCTAATACACACACAAGTAATTATATGAGAATTCGTTTCATGACACTCATATAAAGTTCCCTGTAGAAGTATTTGCTTCCTCTTACTTGGACACAAAATAAAGAATAATGGAAAGGTTTTTTTTATCATAGCAGAAACAGTCTGCTGTACTTTGACTTTTTTTCCAGTGAATGCGGGTGTATGGTAATATTTATTTATACATACATACATACATACATACCCCACCCACTCTGGGCGGCTCCCAACAGAATATTAATAAAAAAGCGACAACATCAAACATTAAAAACTTCCCTAAACAGGGCTGCCTTCAGCCCTATCTTAAAGTCAGATAGTTGTTTTTATATTGTTAAATCCAGACTTGGTGACAGTGGAAATCCACTAACTGAACAACTCTGTTGGAGGAAAAGTGGGGAGGCCATATTTGCCAATTTCCCTACAGCCCCCAATGCCCAACTAAAACCTGCTACAGAGGGTTGTGGGGAGGCCATACCAGAGGGTTGCACGAGGCACTGGCAAAAAATCACCTTGTCTCATTATGTCCAACCCATAAGAATTTTTCTTCAAGTGGTCTTTTGTGCAATCACAATTCTTGTATCATCATCCGTGCACACTACACCTTACCCATCAGAAGGCCTTGGAATTCTAGTTCAAACCATGGGCACAGATGCCTTGGGGAACTACATTTCACAAATACCTGCTGCCTCGGTTCATCCTAAGTCCTGGAGAGGGAGGCCTCATAAAGAGGCTTCCAAAAAGATGTTCCTTCTCACTACCAGGCTGAATCTATGTTCAATCTAGAAAGATCATAACTTGGTGGTAGACCACATGCTATGCATACTGAAAGGCGCAGATTCAATCCCTGGCATCTTCAATAAAAGGAATAAGGTAGCAGATAACAGGGAAGACTCCTGCCTGATACTGTGGAGATAAACCACCGGTCAGATGAAACAGTAATGGAATAGATGGACAAGCAGTCTAAGCTGGCTTATCACAACTTTCCTACATTGCACTTAGGTTCAGAATTGTACTTATTTACTAGATGTAAATAACTCCTTTTCAACCGGAGTCCTCAGAACAGCTTACAACTTTTATGAAATGCAAATTGATATGTAAAAAGCCAAACAAAATGAGTGTGTCTGGAGCAGGCATCTGGTGTCTGTCTCCTCCTTGTATCTTCTCACAGGGCAGTTAGTAATAGGTGGCCTGGAAGGCAGGGAGGCCGCCTGCAGCAGGAACCCCATCTTCCCCTGCCTCCCAACAGAGAAGCTGGCATTAGGACTTAGATGTAGATCTTCTGCTATGCTGGGCCCTAGCCTCTCTGTCTTCAGCAATTTTTCAGAACATATGCAAGTATAATAATTACCTGAAAATCACAATTGTTGGATCATCATCAGTGTCCAGAGTCTACTCAATATTACTTCATATTGAATCTCAACTCATGTATACTTCCGGGGGGGGGGGCAGACAGGCTATAACTAATATTTGGCTTATCAGTAGGATTGTACCTATTAATATCTTTACAGACTGGCTATAGTAGTGTCTTTTTTTACATTTAATAGAATAAGTATCCTGATGTTGTAGTACTTCCCGAAGGATCATCTGGAGATTACATGATCTTAAGAAGTGCTAACCTTCCTGGGTAAGGAAGCTTTATGATACACATTAATGAAAGTTGTTGATGAATGGTCATAGTTATAAATTATAAGTGGAATTTATTTATTCTGTTTACAGCCTTTCCTTCCTTCCAAAGGAGGCCAAGGCAGCAACTGCATAGAAACTGACATAATGGAAAAGTGGTGGTAGTTTTTCAAAGGTTCACAGTATTGAAACATGATGACACAATTTGCTGTATTTGAAATTGATGGCAATAGAAATATTATTGATTGAGCAGGAACACATATTTTAGCAGGGAAAATTTCTCAAAATAAAATCTCTTTAGAATCTGCAAAATGCATTTCTTCAAAATGCAGAATAAGGTGAGTTTCATAATTTTACCTGCTTCAACATTTGAAAGTAAATTAATGATTTGGTTCATAGTCTTCGCTAAAAAGATGTTGAAATCCTCAAAGTGGATTTACAATTTCTAGCATTTCTTATAAAGGCCTCAAGGCCATGATAAAAGTCTAGTACCAGAAAGTACGCACCCTTCATTATTTTGTTTGACAACTCAGTCATTGTAAGTGCCCTTCCATATTCCATATTGCACTTCTCCTATGAGCCAACCTTCCTTTACATGAATAAATTGCAATAGGTAGATAAGTCTTGGAACAGGAAATTGCTTTCATTGCAACTGACCTTGCCCAGCATTAATGTGCCTTAGCAGGATATGGCTGAGGTGGTAGTCCTGGTGTACAAAAGTGTGTTTAGCAACTACACAATTGGTACCAGGCACGTCTCTTGAAGGGGTAACTGTAGAGTTTTCCTGCCTCTGAAAGCAGCAGCCCGAAGAGAAAAGGCTGAAAAAGACTTAAGAGCAAAATAACATTCTTCCTTAGCATCAGAAATTCTGCAGCAGCAGGTATACATACGCCTAGTAGTGTGTATTTGCTAACTGCAGAGTTTTTTGCAGTACAGAATTTGACCTCTGAAGCTCTAACATTTAATATCATTTGCCTTTTATAGACTTGAGTTAATGATTGTTTGGAAGATATATGTAGATGAAGAAGGAAAAGTTACACCAGTCTTGGATCTCCTCCACAAAATACCAATGTCAGGTATGCTTACACAGTACTGTATAAAGTATTTCTTTCCTTGTTCCAACCATTTAATTCCAGCTTCATTCTCTCTCTGAAAGTCTTCTTGCTTTGCATTCCTGAAAGTACATCCTGCAAAACATTCATTGTCTTGATAACAGTATTCTTTTGGCAGCACTTAAAGACAAACTACACAATACATATTAATAACAAGAATAAAGTCCTCGTTCGCTTTGTTTTAAATAGAAAGCAACTTATTTAGCCTTTTCTCTGCAAAGAAAAAGCATATTGGAGACAGACACACACACACACACACACACACACACACACACACACACACGCCCTTCCTGCTTCTCTGCCCCAAGCTGCAGCTTGCTGAGATTAGCTCAGTTTAGTTTAATGAAGCCCCCAATGGGTTTAGTATGTCACACTTGCATATAATATGTAGTTCAACAAAATCCGCATCTGTTTATTAAATGCCTACAAAGACTTTGCTGGCTAGTTCAGTTGGTATGTGATGTTCAGCTACTTTCCTCCTGCTTCTTGGCCCTTGTTATTCCCTGTAGGCTATCAGATCAAAATACAGCTGTGATAGTAGTACGCATGAAGCCTTGACTACTGCTTCATTTGTGACTTTCTTGTTTAAGGGGAGTAATCTCCACTGGATCCACTATAATACTACACAGTTTAGGGAGGTAGTCCAAGAAGGAAATTCTTTAAGCCACCAAATAACCAGTTTACTTCTCTCAGTTTCAGTATTTTCAACTGAGAATGTAAGGCTGGGGACCTGAAACCCCTTTTGAAAGTCTGATTTTTAGTAAAGAATTGTAAAGGATAATTGTCCCATTCATTACCTATCAACTTACAACTAATGGGGGGGGGGGAGATACTGGGTTGCAAGTTTTCAATTCACTCAGTATAGGCTCTCTTCATCTTGCCAAACTTCCTACATAAACAGAAATTCAAGACCTACAGGGTTTAATTACTTTCAACCAATAGCTGATATTTTGTTTGAATTGTCCCCAAATTTAGAAATGCTTGAATATTGGTATTGAGTAGTGTGAACTAAACATCAAGTTTGTTTGGCATTTATCCAGAAGAGCAAAAATATTAATTATAAATCTCCTGTATTGAAGGAGTGGAATCTCTGTGACACAGAGACTAGCCAATCTGACAAGAAATTTCAGAGATGGCAAATAATGAACACACATTTCAAGAGTTTATGGTTGCCCCTTATTACAACTTGGCTATGAATATTTGCAATTTCCATTATACATTTATTATTTTTATAAAAAAGTAACTGACCTAATTTTGCTTGTTTTAAGCAGCAGCCCGTTCAAGGATCTAACCAAGTTATGACCCCTTTTCAGGCTGGATAGCTCTTGGGGGCTGCATTTTAGCTGTGGGTGGAGTCAGACCCTAAAGCAAGAACACGCACCCACAGCCCATGTAGGTTTCATTCATCCCCATTGGAGTGAGGAAACGATGGAAAAGAAGTGGGGGGGACAGGGAGATCATCTTTTCTCCACTCAATTTCTTTAGACCTGCCGCTGATTTTCAGCCACTACCATTTTCTTTAGCCAGATGCCCAAGATTTCCTGTCTTCAACACCTCATTTTCCTTTTTCTTCTGTGAAAATTCTGGCAGTGTTGCTCTTTAGGCAGTTTGGCAAAGCCACAGAGGCAATACAAATTATAAATATTAAATGTTTGCAACAGTTGGCAAGTTATAATTAGATAATTATGATATGGCATGCATCCTATTAGTTATCCGTTAGATGCCCCCTACATCGATTTTGGACTGCAAACTTTACGCTGAAAATCATTATCAGGAAATTAAAATTTAAACCATCCTGCGGTAATATACAGAAGCCAGGGATTGATTCACCCTGTGAGGCTGCTATGCAACTTCGTACGGCATACCTAGTTCATCTATTTATTATCTTACACTCAAGCCACATTCTTGAGTGTGGAGGCAAAGTGTCTTTAAAACTACCAAAGCTTAGAATAGGACAAAGATATGTACAGTGATAGACATGCTAGATGTTGAGAGCAGACTATATATATTTAGTGTACCTATAGGCCTATGCAGTTGGGGTAGAACTGATAGTTCTAGTGTCCCCCCCCCCTTTCTTTAGGGAGCCTCCCTTCAAGAAAGTATCCAAGCCACCAAACCAAAATATCCTTCCAAGCCCATCTCCCAGTTTGCAAAGGGTAGCATAACCAGCTTAATCAAAAACTTCAGACTTCTAGGGAAATAACAGGAATGCACTCCCACCATCTACCGCCCCTTATAGGTAATCCAGTAGGCAACTAAAAGTACATAGCCAGGCTTAGTTTATCCACACCTGAGAAACAGTACAAATCCTAATGACACAGAGGTAGAAATGGGTTGTATACTGCTAATGTAAAAAAGTATTTTCTTCCTAAATACAGATGAATGCGTAAATTCTGGACCTCATTCAAAATTGCAGTGCTAGACCATTTCAAGTCATTATTAGTATTTAAAGTGAATTGTTAACTCCATTTTTTTCCCTCTTACAGTGGTGGAAGCTAACAAGTTTGCATCAGATGCTCCATACTGCTTCAGAAGTCTACTACATGTGCTTGGAATACAAGCATGCATTGAAACACTGATCAAGTCACTTTGCAATGATAAATAAATACCAGAACAATAAAATATGCATCTATTGTTTATTGAATATAAACATTAAGTTATTTTTCATTTAGAAATCAAACCCATAAAACATGCTATCTGTACAATTATGGCACATATATATATAAATCATCATGACAAATAAATACAGCCATTTTAAATACAAAATGCCAAATAGATAAGTGAATTTTATTTTTAAAAAGTTAACTTTCTGAATCGAAGTGGTTTCTCCCCCCCCCCTTCAATAGCATTTCCTAGAACCTCTTCAGATCGACCTGGTAAACTCAAGTTTATAAAAAGTGACAGTTTCTGTTCACAGCTGTATATGTAACAGATTCTTAGATTAGAAATGACACTGAAAAGTTAAATGAAAGGAAGTTTCAAGATGCAAAAAACTTCACTCAGTATTCGCAACTGCTTCTTTCCTCAATCAGTGATTAAAGGCAAAACCAGGTTTATCAAACCTTTCATAAAATAGAATTGTGAAATTTTAATTTACAATGGATCAGAAGGCATAGCTACAATTTACAAAATGTAACCTATTTATTTTTAGTCCCAGGATTGCTTATAATGAAAATAGCAAGGTCAAGATCACTGACCCACATACAACTTATCCCATGTACTTGCTGTTTTTTTGCTTTCCAAGTTAAGTAGCACAACCATTTCAAAGGTCTCCCTGCTCTTTTTGAGTGCCGCAACAGTATTTGCATAAAAGCAAGCTTTGTAGCTGTTCTCAAAAGGTGGAAACCTAGTCCTCAAGCAAACCCCTTAAACAGCAATTTAACTCACTTGACTCCCTGGCCCTAGATTATAAATGTAGAATTTTACCTACTTCTGATCAGTTAGTTCTGACCAGAATATGCAAAATCAAATAAGCATTGCTGCACATCTATTTGTGCCATTGCCTTGTTTTGCTTATTGCTTCAGGAATATGGGAATGACAGTCTTCCTTGCAGAACCTTTACATACCAAGAAGAAACCTGATATAAGATATTACCTGACACTTCAGTCAGCTAACAAATTTAAGTACTGATTGTAACCAACCATTAGGCATAGCAGTTTACTAACTTCAACCTAGTTATAAGTCTTATTCTAGATAAATGCCTTAACCTGCAGTTGGGTTCCTTGACATCCTGTGAATTGAGGTCTGTAACCTCTATATAACCACATCTTATAATTAAGCTGTACAGCTATCACAAGACAGTTTTTAGAAGTAATGGGAATGAATAGAGACACTAACAAAATTATGTTCTGTGTAAGATGAGAACAAGTATTCAAATTATACAAGTTTTGAAATGTTACCATTATATTTAATGTTAACTGTAGCAGCTTAATTGGTAATGGCAAGAGTATTCTTTTAGATTTTTAGGGATAGATACTGTACCTTAAAGACAATGAATAAACTGGATCACTGATGACACACACAAAATGTCAGTTAGAACATAAATGCCTACAGTTGAATATAGATACTAATTTTTGAATGGCTAAAGCAGCTTAAAATCTGGGTTTCTCACAGATAGCCTTCACCCACTTCAAGTATCTTGCCCCCAGGCAACCCCTATGAAAGTTTCTCCTGTTCTACAGAAAGCCCATGACATGACTTGCCTTTCCAGCATTTTGAATTCAGAGGCTCAAGTCACGCAGCCAGAATAAGAACAGTAATATTCCTATACAATAAGAGAAGCCTATTGCCATTGCACAGCACAGTGGGAAAAGAGTCTGAGCAGATGAGCCCTGCAGCCTGCCAAACCTGAGGCATATATCCTATTATCTGTATGCAAGATAGGGTAAGAGACAGTAATAATCATGCACAGGCACTTCTAGAGAAAATGCTCCTTGCTAACTAATAACTAATGTGAGGTAAGTTTCAAATTCATAGAGTTCACTTTGAGGAACATCTCAATTAGCATATGACTTTATTTTACCCAGCTCTGGGAGAGTTGCAGGTGTTTAATGTAGAAGGGGGAAATCAACAAAATATTAAGTACAAAACTTATCACTCATGGGCAGGGATAATAAAGCCACTCTTTAACTTCACAAATGCTTCCCACAGCAGCAAAACACAGGATGGCTTGCTTTACTGGAGGGTTTCTGTATATAAATGAGGCACATGTATAGTTATTTTACATGGAGTTAAAAATATCGGGGGGCGGGGGGACAATTGAATGTAATTGTGTTAACACTGGACCATTTGAAAGAGCTTCATAATTAAATCGTTCTAGTGAACTTTTAAAAGCAACACCTATTTGAGTAAGGACGAGCTGGTTTAGTTTGATAAGGCTGTTTTTCTCTATACCATTAAGTTTCCTTTGTTTTGTAAGTTTACTCGCATGTATTCCAATCGCTTTTTTAGAATGGCCACTACAATACCATTTTTGGAAACAACCAAACTCATATTTTGTCACAAGACTAAAAAATATTAAGATTCAAGCTGAAAACCTAGGCAGCACCATATATCCACTCTCCGGCTTAATAACTACTTTAAATAGGAGCTGGTTCACTTTTACAATTAATTTGAGCAAGTGCTATTCAGCAGTTCACATACTATTGTTTGCAAAGTTTCATCTGCAAACCTCATAGGAACACTGGTTCCCTGCATTGAAGAATTAAATTCAAGATACTCACTTCTCTGCTTCATACAGTAGTCATTTGATTCAAACTTAACTACTTTCCCAGCAACCAGTTTACTAAGGGTTTGTAGGGTGCATATGTCTGTCTAACTCTTTTACCATAAATACATTCCTTCAAGGTAGTCTGAGTGGTATTCTGTGTTTCTGAAAGGCAGATAAATTTAAAGCACAACTGAAAATAATAGAAAACCAACATAACTTAATTATTCCCATTCTGTGTTTGATAAATATTTAGCCAGTTACATTTTATGGAGAAGTAGTGTGCAGTCTTCATTTTCTTTCAAGAGATTTGACATCACCGAGTCGTCTTTGGCCTGTGTGTTCTTCAAATAGAAGTTTACTATCTTCCTATCAAGTTTGTACTGATGGTGAATGCTTTCATATGGCTTAAGGTCTAGGTCCAAGACGGAGACGGAAAAGGTGAATCTTGATTTAGAAGTTAAAACCAGTGGCCTCTGCACTGCACTGTAGTTTGAATTTAAAAAGAAAAGTTACTTCTTGCCCCAAGAAAAAATTATGACATTAATAGACTTTTAAAAATCTTCTACACATGAAAAAGTTTACCCATTACCTAATCATGACCAGCTTCAGCTGATGCTGCATTTTTGAAGTAGCTGTGGTCTTAAATAAGATACAGCTTTTCCAGTCCAAAATGTGGTGGAATGAAAATTTAGTTGATCATGTTGATCATTTTCCACCTCAGTTTATGCCAAGCATCCCTAAATTGTTATACCACCAACACTGCCATAAAAATGAACTGCACTGAGATGTTAGCAATCTGCTTACTTAAATTTAAGTCACCATTTTCACCAGATTATATTGCATCAGTTATAACACAGGGAGAATATATAGTATTAGTAATCATTTCCCTAAACCAAGACATTTAGGTCTTAAATCTGAAGAAATAAAGATCTGCATAGAAGTTAATATAGCAGTATGTCCTGTTACACAAATTTTGTTCTGATATGTAAATAATATAGCTGTGGTCCCATGAGGCATTTCTCTAAGATTCCCTGGTAAGTAAAGTCATTCATTCTGGTGCTACCATACCAGTACAGGAATGTGTCAAGTATTCCATACATTTATGTGCCCCTGAAACTGCAGATAGAAACCAGCATTAATGGCTAGTCCCTTGGAAGGTGCATCATCTGTGCAGTTGCTAACCACAATATGAGACTCCCATCCTCATGGGACAAAGACTTTACCATTATTCCCTTACTGGCATAGGAGCAGGGAGCAGAAGCTATGCTGGTAAATTTTAGTTGAGTAAAGTTCTTTAAGTGGTTGGTAGATGTGCACACAAGGTTTTCCAGAAGAACCCCTATTTATATGTTTTAACTGTTTCCCTAACTGAAAATATATATAAATTTCAATGTAACTACCATAATTATATTTTAAATTAAAACCAGAGCCTTTCTAGAGACATTCAGAACTTTGCAAAGTGAGTTAGAATGTAGCAGACATATTTATCAATGACTGGCCAATGCTGACAGAGCAAGGGGCAAAATGAAGGAGTTCCCCTCAAGGGAAGAAGTGCCCATCGGCCAGTACATATGGGTGTCACCCCAAGCATTCTAATATGTCACGAACCTCTTGACCAAGCTATGTGTACTATTAAGACATCTAAAAAATAGATTACTAGGTTTTCAATAAAGGCTGTCATAGGCATCATCACTTTTGCATGCTTTTAGTTGAATGGGGTTTGGAGCTTAAATTATGATCAATGGACAATAAAATTTGAACCAAAGCAGCGTTAACTTCAATGTATACTGATCATTCTGAAGAGTGTGGACAGAGAACCTCCAAGAAGCATGCATAACATTCTAGATCATCTTACCATTCATCCTGCTGGCAAGGTGAGAGGGCAATCATAATGGAGCAGTCCTTTGCTGTCATTGCAACTCTGTACTGCTGAACCTGCAACAAAATTAAGACAGGACTCATCTAACAGACAATTACTTAAGAATTATAATGGTGACTCAGCCAATCACAAATGCAAGCCAGCCTCTTACATCTTTATTGTCTGTATTGTGTGGCAAAACAACAGTATAAATCTTGACCTCCTGTATACATAGATAAATACTGCAAGGGTCTGCCCCCATTTCAATTTTGCCAGTTGATATGATACCAGAAACAGCTGCTGGCCACTGTTGATTGTACCCATATATTATCTGGGGTATGAGAGAGTCCCTTTCTTGTATTAATCAAGGAAGAGGAATCTAAGTAGTTATTAGGAAGCAGGGCATGCTGCTGGCCCTAGCCCCTACATTAAGCCAATGAAGCCAATGTGTAAGCTTCCATGCAGTCTGCATGGAAACATATACATATAGAGAGACCTATGCTTGCAAGCCTTCCCCTGGTCAGACACCAACTCTGCATGGATGCAAGAGGCTGCCCCTTACCCACATGAATGGGTCTTATGTTCCTCTACACAATCCTGTACATTTATATATGTTTGGGAATTTGATCAAGCAAAAATCAGATTGTATTCATGCTGTTGTCAAATTATGCCACTGGTAGGCCACAAGGTATAGGTACATCGACTTCATGGAATATTTCACTGTACTCCAAGTAGTTAAGTAACCAATTAATTGACAACATTACAACCCTACCTCTGTTCTACTGAGCCACATGTTGGAGCCTACAACACTAGTAACCAGCAGAGAAATATCAGCCAACACATTTAGCAGACAGTTTTATTCTCAACATTAATATACCACTTTCCCTCAAAGCTGCTAATAAAACCAAGTCATAAAACAAAAAAAAAATTAAGCAGTTCTTACACCTGGAGCCTTATTAGAGCTTTAACATGTTTAGGTTTCATTGTGCTGGCTCCAGACTTATCTTTGGCCGAACTTTGCTAACTGGAGGCTCCCACTGACACAAGGGGAAGGGGAAATTTTTGACACCAATTCCTCCCACCTGCAGCATCCTATGCTGAATGAAAACAAGCTCTGGAGAGTCAGAGTATTCCCTGGAACAATGTGAGAGGTAGTGCAGAGACAGCAGGGGTAGTGTGGGGGATTGCTCAAAATTGCCTTCCATTTCCTGCCACAGGAGTGTCCAATTAGAATGTTAGTCTCTATTTCTATAGCACACAAATGATGCTGTGATCCACCACTTCTGAGTCACGTAAGCACATAAAGAATTCAAGCATAGGTGGATGGCTTCATTGGTTCCAGGGGCAATGTGGGAGAAAGCACTCAGGTTGCGTCAATCGCATCAGCCCCAATATGTGGCAAGGTCAGATGAAGCCCTGTTCCACTTCTAATGCAGAGTGAAATGATTGGGTGGTGGCTATTAATACCAGCATTTTACTTACTAAAAGAAAGAAACCATTTCCTGTTCCCTTTGACCAAGTGTACAGAGGCAAAGGACTTGTATTGCTAATACAAACTGAATTGGGAGTGCATTAAGAATTCCTTGGGGGGGAAACTTCTTATCTTTACTTAAAATTGGTTCAAAGTAAGGCAATGCCTTCAATGCAAAGCTGGTCTTAATATACGGTACCATTAGCAAAATCTGCATAATAATTAGTGGTGTCACCCAAAATTGTAATTACCTCATCTGTATTATAAACTAAGCATGATTTGTCTCAGACGTTTTCCTCCAGTTTGGACTGTTATCTGAGCAAGTGAATCATTGTCTGGTAAGTGGAACGCTACCACTACACCTTACCCATCAGAAGGCCTTCAGAAGGCACAGATGCCTTGGAGAACTATATTTCACAAGTACCTGCTGCCTCGGATCATCCTAAGTCCTGGAGAGGGAGGCCTCATAAAGAGGCTTCCAAAGAGATGTTCCTTCTCACTACCAGGCTGAATCTATGTTCAGTCTAGAAAGATCATAACTTGGTGGTAGACCACATGCTATGCATACTGAAAGATGCAGGTTCATTTCCTGGCATCTTCAATAAAAGGAATAAGGTAGCAGATAACAGGGAAGACTCCTGCCTGATACTCGAGATAAACCACCGGTCAGATGAGACAGTAATGGAATAGATGGACAAACAGCCTGATCTGGCATATCACAACTTTCCTACATTGCCCTTATGTTCAGAATTGTATTTATTTACTAGATGTATACCCTCCTTTTCAACTGGAGTCCTCAGAACAGCTTACAACTTTTATGAAATGCAAATTGATATGTAAAAAGCCAAACAAAATGCGTGCATCTGGAGCAGGCATCTGGTGTCTCTCTCCTTGTATCTTCTTCACAGGGTAGTTGGTACCAGGTGGCCTGGAAGGCAGGGAGGTCACCTGCAGCAGGAACCCCATCTTCCCCTGCCTCCCAACAGAGAAGCTGGCATTAGGACTTAGATGTAGATCTTCTGCTATGCTAGGCCCTAGCCTCTCTGTCTTCAACAACTGTTCAGAACATATGCGAGTATAATAATTATCTGAAAATGGCATCTACTAATAATTAATAAGAAGGAACTTCGGATCCTTGCCTTTGTCAGTGCATATGCTACTGTTCCATCATCTTCAGTTGAGATATCTAGTAGCTTCTCATAGAATGATTCATTATAAGGCCCATCTATCTGTAGCACATTCCTTTAAAAACAGGGGGGGAAACCAATTAGAGAACAGGTCAAAAACTAGAATTACATAACTGTATTGCCGATTATACTATATTTGTGTATCATTAAACAATTGCACAAAATTTGTTTCCGCTGCTGTTTTCTTACCGTACATCTAGCTGCTCAAAAAAAAAGTGTTTTTAACAAGTGAGGCTGTTGCACCCTCTAGTGACCTTTGTCTAAAATCACAAGAGATGAGCCATGGAACTAATATTGCAAAAACAAGGCATCTCCAAAGTAACATTCTAGTCTTTTGTTTTTGAAATAGAACCTGAAATAAAAATGTTGCAGAGCAAAGTGCTTTTGTTCAGGGTTCTGTCTAGTCTGTCATGTCCATTTTAAAGTGTTTTTGTACTGCTGCAAGATGCTCTTCATAGTCCAGACCAACTTGTCAGTCCATTTGTGTGTACTTTGTGTGTACTTTTTGAAATAAGAAATTCAGTATATAAATACTTAGCAACACTCTTGTTTTTTGGGTCTACACTGACTTAGAAAGAAGCAAGTCCCTAACAAAGCAAGTCCCTAACAATGCAGAAGTCTCTCTTTAATTCCTAATGTGAGCAGAATCCACTGGCTTGCACTTAACATTAAATTTTGGTTTAGTCCCCAGAGGTGAGGAACCTATGGCCCTCCAGATGATGTTCAACTTCCAACTCCCATCACCCCAAGCCAACGTGGCCAATGGTCAGGGGATAATGGGAGTTGTCTGGAAGCAGACAGGTTCCCCCACCCCTGCATGTAGTGCTGTGTGGGTGAACCTGAACAATGTCCACTTCTACTGAGTTTAATTTCAGGTTCGAAGAAACTGAGCTTAGTGTTGTGTGAACCAGGAATCCTGGTTTAAAATAAGCAATGGTTAGTTGAAAACGCCATCCACAGTTTGAAGTTGGCTTGTTTATCAGATACCATTGTTTGTTTTAAACCAGCACTCCTGGTTCACATATAACACTATGCTATATGTTATATTCTTTGAAACCAAAAGCAATATTGGCAGAAAAGAATATTACAACCTCTGCATCAGTCCAAATGTTATATTCCAGAACTGCAGAAATAATCCATATGTCATTAACTCAAATGCCACACTGCAATATTGTTGGTAGATCCTCTTCTTAACAGAGGAGGAGTGTGCATTTTATAAGAACCAGCCCATTACTGTCTTTCTTTTCCCAACACAGAAAGTGAATAACTATTACTGTGTTAAAGAAAAGCTGTGTAAATAAGAACAAGAACTGTCAAAAAAGCTATTTTGTGACAGGAGTCCTTTATCCAATGTGGTATGAAAGAAGGGCAATTGCCAACAATATTGGTAGTGTGGCATTTGGGTCAGTGAACTGTGGGTAATTTCTGCAGTATAACTTCTGGATTTATGCAGAGGTTGTAATATTACAGACCACCTTCTTTACTCAAAATGCTAAGCTAAGCTGTATATTACGACTCAGAGCTGTACATAGAGTGACATCATTGTTTTCTTAAACTGGTAGATCTGAAGGGTCAAATAAATGCAGCATCTTCCCGCAAGCCCTAATCCCCAGTATCATGGTGAAGATAATCCTAGAATAGCTGAACAGGCCCTCCGAGTTTTAAAGAAACCTTAATGAGCCTTTGAGAACAATCTTCCACATTGCTCAGTGAGCTTCACTAAGCTCTACTCCATTCCACTTGACAAGTTAAAAACTGGTGCCATGAAATCTTACCTCTCTTTGGGAAACTCTTCCAAGTATTGCTCCACTCTGTTGTACAAAGGATATACACCCTCAATATCCAGCATATCCAGCATCTGAGCCTGGAGGGTTTTGTAGAGGAGACATTCTTTGGGCAAGCCGGAGGTCTCCATTTTATTTTTGCCTGAAAGGAAAGCATGTTTTCAAAACTGGTTTGACAAAAATATATATACAAACCTCTCTGCTCACAACTAACAAAAGCAAAGTTATGGAGCAGGGGAGATTAACCATGCCCAATTTATGTATTTCAAAACAAAAGCCAGATTTGTACCCCCAGTTCAAAAAAGGAAACAATGAGGCACTGTAATTCAATGTTCAGCTCTAGTTAGAAAGGACATTTCCAAAACAACAGAGAAATATAAGTCCTTTACTGCTCCCAATATTGAGGGAAGATTTATGGTGATATGCTAATACTATTGCAAATGGCATACATTTTTAAATGTCAAGGCCTCAAGTTGTACAATATTTGAGAGTCAATCCTAAGAAGAAATATTATCTTAGCACATTTTGAAAATACCCAGTCCCCCACCCTCAAGTTATTCAGAAGAAAAATTTCACCAAACTGATTTAATTGATTTTTAATCATGCACATCTTTGCAAATCTAAGTTTTGTATAAAAGGCACATTTTACACAGTGTAGATTTTTAATGCCATATTCCGGGGGTTCCCAAACTATGGTCCACAGACCATCAGTGGTCTGCAAGCTTCATTCAGGTGGTCTACAAGTGTGGCCATGAAGAACAGCAGGAGCAGCAATTGTGAACAGCACGTACAGTGCATTCAGTATTCATATTGATTTTTAATTGTGTTTTTATTGCCACTTTTATTTCTCAACATTTCAATGTTGCACTATGTTGATTGTTTCATTAGGGCAAGTACTCCTTATCTCCCACCACATGCTGTTCTGGAGGTTTTCCTACACCCTCATGAGATAATTTAGGGAGGCACAGTGGGAGGAAGCCCCAATGCACAAGCATCAGTTCTTGCACGGGCTTCTGCTGTCAGGACTCATCAATTTTCAAGCAGTCCGTGGCAAGGAGGGGAAGTGCAGAAGCTGCTGAAATATTCTATTAACTACAGCTCTAAAAGCAACAGCATAGGCCTAGAGAAACAAAATATGCAAATTCTACAAGTCTGAAGAAGTGGGATGCCCAGAATTAGCTTTGCGTTTTCTACACTGAAAAATCTCTTGGAAACTCTGCAATATACATGTGAAACACACGGGGCTTTGCAGCAAATAGACAACTTGAAAATTACAGTGCAGACAATCATTTTATCAATGCATTCTGAAAAATGATTACTAAAGTAATTGATTGATTCACATACTTTTATGTATATTATGCAGACACAGTGGGGAAGCATATGCACATCTAGACTCATACTTGTATGCTTTCCTGACAAGTATTAAGGTCGGAAGCATAGCAGATTTTCTGATTTAAAAGCTAAGCACATTATTGGGAAGCCAGAAAACCCAGATTAGACAGAGATTACTTACAGTTCAACCCAGTGGCAACCACACTGACAGCAATGCATATCTTGCTGTACAGTATTTTATCATTTGAATTCTAGATGGGCAGATGAAACTCAGAAATTGCTTACCATTTCTTGCTATTTCTTTACTGAAAGCACTAGCTTCACAGAAACTCCTTCCTTGTGAGGAGGGAACTGTCTTCATATCACCTGCTTTGCAGGCATCTGTGCTACTCAGTAGAGCCATTGTTATTACATGGATTAATTCTTTCAGAACTGTCCGTGTACAATGAGTTCCATTGACCAGGCCATTTGAAGGAAAGAAAAAAGGCTTCAGGTGGCAAGTAAGTTCATTCAAATCAGAGAGAGCGTCCTCATTATCTTTACAACCATAAATTAGCTCACCATTCTGTAACAGGAAGGGAAAAGAAGTCATACATCTAAAATTTTATTTTTTCATATTAGCAAAATGTATGGAGTAACAGACACTGCATGCTTGTATGTCCTGTGCTTTTGTGGCTTGGAAAACTGGGTTTCAAAGTGGGAAGCTAAGGACTGATTCCTGCTCAGCTGTGAAGCACACTAAATAATCTTGCATAAGGGGACACTTCTCCTACCTCACAGAGATATTGTCAGGTTGTGAACTAAATGTACAGCAGCAGATCAAGCCTGGGAACAATCTGGGTAGCCAGATTGAAGTGCGGCAGGAGAAAGGTGTGATTTGACAAGGGAAAGCAGCAGGCAAAGGAAGGGGCAAACACATCTGCAAACCTTAGCTAGAGATTAAGAAGCCATGCTGCTGCTTTCCTCTTCCAAATTTCAGTCTCCACTGCCACTTTTTCAAGAGCTAAGCAGCAACCTGGTTTCTCAGACCTAGAACTACTGCCAAGCATAGTTCCAGCCTCAGCTCTCTGGAAGAAGGCCAAAATACAAACCTAAGTTAAAACAAGGAGCTTATTCAATTGCTAAGTGGGATACTACTAATTATAAGTCATGAGGAAGAAGCTTAGCCTCTGACAGGAAAAAAGATAAACAAAAAAAGTTATTGACACAGAACACAACTTAAAAACAAATTAGATAGAAAGGCACCCACTGACTTCAGTGAATTAGTTAGCCATGTATATTTAGCAAGCAAGTCTTTTTCCTCTCGTTTTGCTTTCTTCAGAATTATCTGATAAATCGGTACAAAGCATATTAACAAATTAATAAAGGCAAGGTTTGTTCAAAACATTATTTGATCATTGTGCTAACGTACAGGCTCACCACTGAACAGATCAAATTACTAACAGTACCATCAAAAACTAAAGACAGTCAGCAGAGGGAGACAGGGCTCATGTATGCCATTAATCTACAACTGTGCCATGCAGGTGCAGATTTCAGAATTCTCACTATTTCAGTTTAAAGTGGAACAAGTAATGCAAAACACAAACATTTGCTTATGAACTTTTGTAGTTTCTAGAATTAAGCTTTTCATGGAGCAGACTCTGCACTTTTAAAACACAGAGTATGTACAGCCATGTACTGGTGTACAACTAGTCAAGTTTGCTATTTTGGTTTATAATGAGATTAAGTGCTAGATAAAGACTTCCTTTATAGAACAATTCCTTATGTTCACCACACACCTTATCTGAATGCCACTAGGAAGGAAAGATCCTGTTGAATTTGGCTAATACAGGGCTAAAAAATGAGAAAGCAGGCGGGATACACCTAATGAGGACATACGCTTACACAATGGGTGTTTACCCTCTCCTCCCCAGTACATCCCCCCCCCCCGAAAAAAAAATTGGCTCTGGAGGTTGGGATAACCCCCAGAACAGTATGCAGGGTGGGGGAGATGGAGAACCATTTCATCTGGCTAGCTGAAATGCTTGCACTGACAGAACAATCAGAAGATTATGACATTGAATTCCTCCCATGGTCTCTGTTGTGGTAGGATTCACCAAAAGAACCATCACATAAACCGAGGAGACTCGGGAGGACAGTCAGTGGTTGTGCTGAGATGCAATGCTTATCTATAGGTGGCACTGCAATAATAAGGCTGAGTGAGCAACCCTTGGGATCACACTGCACAGCTATTCAGTCATGAAATCACCAAGTTCTTTCATTTTATATTAACCAGTTTACAAGTTGCCTGAACCCTAAAATGTAGTTAATCTTGACAATGGTTAACTGAAATAAAGCAGCTTTATGAAACATGGTTTGAAGCAGGCTCATTTTAGCTAACTATAGGAAAGATTAAGCCAGTTGGATCATGTTTAGACATGGCAAGTTGCAGTCAATCTAAACAAGAAGTAAACACTTCCAAACATCTCAAAAGTGTGCAAGCCAAATGCTAAAATATGGCTTAGTACAGCAGGAGAACCTTTAGCCCTCAGGTCTAATTAATCCCACCAGGCCTTTGAATTTGGCTAATAAGATCATTTTGAGTAAAACACACCAACATGTCAGCCACCGGAAGTCATATGATAACAGATCTTTCTCATCATATGATCTTTGTAGCTGACATTGCAAATATTGGTACTGTGGTACTTAGTACTAAGATAAAAAATAAGCCTCTATGTCCTCTTTGACAGCAACAGGCAGTAGTTTCACACTTCAATTCAACGTTACATAACCATATTTGCACTTCCTCCATTTCCTTGCCTATCTCTACAGATTTTTTTATTTTAGGAAATGAAATAAATAACTTTGTTTCTATATGCATCAATATGTATCCAATTTTTATCCAGTAAAGACTGACCTTGTTGTATTTAAGTTTGTGGGACTAGCAGCTGGTCACACAGTAAAGCATACTAACAAGGGGCAACAGACATGGTGAAGAACAAAAACTTATTGCAATTTCCAGTGCACCTTACCTTAAATATTTTTAAGTTATTCTGTGCTTCCTGTAGCAGACTTCTCAAGGCAAAGTGCATTCGCTGTTTATTTCTAAAAGGAAAACCACATTGGACTATTTAAAATGAAGAAATGTGACCAGGCAAACACTAAAACACTCTTGCTGCCTCTAATCTGTACTCAATATTTCCTTCCTAACCTTTATTCTCAAGAAACCTGCCTCTAATGCTTGGGCACCATCTTCAAGACCTCCTTCTTCAGCAAGGTCTTTCTGAAGCCACATTTACACTTGCCCGTAACTGCCATCGCCACATTACTTGCCCCTTTGATATCTCCACCAGAACCCATCCTTTTTTCTCTAACAGAGAAGATTCTCAAGCTAGGAATACTATCCTTGCCTTTCATTCAGCACCTATAGCACCTGACCCTACACAAAATTGAAAAGATTTTTATTAAAAATACAAAGCAATACAGAAATTTAAAAATAAATAAATTAAGTAACAGTAAATAAGAAGTATTAATGGTAGTGATACAAACCTAACACAAAGCATTCATAAAAACGTAACAGCTCTCACCCTGAGAAGAGATCCAGAGGACAATATTTACTTTGCCGTTTCCACTTTCCTTTTGCTACCTGTTAAAACACATTATTTATGAGTACAAGGGGAGATCCCAATTATGTAGTCACATTTTCTAGAAAACATCTGCAACAAGCATTACACCCGTAGAACCTTTAGGATCTCAAATATACAAGTAGCTCATGCAATTTAAACTTCAGTGGTGTCCACATGTTATTTGTCATATAACATCACCTGTTAAATGTTAAGATTTGATCATCTAGCAGTTACTTGTCTTTTGTTTTCTCTAACAAAAGCATTTCGTCTCTAGTTTCACTGTAATGTAGAGAATTTTTGCAAGTGCAGAAAGGTCTATGGTGATGTGGAAATTCTCCTCCACATAAATCTATATGTTTCTCAATGAAAACAATATGTCAAGGAACATAAGAAGTTACACTAATGCTTTTTGATGAAGACACAGTGGGTTAAATGAGTTTTTTCATATTTTTTTATCATAAAGGCATTCACAGAATCATAGAAGTGTAGAGTTGGAAGATGCCACAAGGGTAATCTAGTCCAACCCAGTGCAATGCAGGAATCTCACCCAACATGGGACCTGAACCCGCAACCCTGAGATTAAGAGTCTCATGCTCTGAGGCATCCCAGTTCTCAATTACACCCAAAAATGCTCAACTAAGAATGGTACTTTATTTATTCCTTAGAGAAAACAAAATTATATGCAAGTACTAATCTCCTTAAAATATGTTTCAGTAAAGCAAGCAATAGGCACAATTTCAATAGTTCTTGTTTGGTGGACTGTACCCAAGATGGAATGTTAGTTCTATCATTTTACTAACCAAAGGGGGGGAATATCTTGTAGATAAGACATTACCTTTAGATGTTGATGCATGCAGTAACGACATACTTTGTGCTTTATTTCCTGTGAAACATGACTGGAGAAAGGGAGGAAGCCACATTTGGGCTGCAAGAATAAATATTTAAATATATTAAAATTATTAGCACACTTTGTATTTAAAAGGCACTATTTGGGTGAGGGGGTCTAAAATGACATTTGAAGTGTCTTTGTCTCTGGATCTAGCCTTTCTCCATAAATAAGTTTTGGTAGAAGTGTATATATTCGCACCACCCCAGATACATGTGAACATCAGGATTATCTCTCTTCATGCTCTCTGATTAATATAGAGAAGGGCTACCTTAATGATTTCTGATACATCCCAAAGCAATATCTCCCTCAATACCTATAAAACACCTCAGTTAAGCTAACATTTAACCAATCCAACGCATAACTGGTAGTTTTTAGAAAGAGTTATGTGTTAACTGTTCAGTTTTCAGGTTTGTAAATAATTTAAATTTGCATAAATGAGAAGAGGTCATTTATACATGTCTTTTGTATTATCAAATAGAAATACAAAATCATTCTCTGTAGTCCTGTTGTCTGTTCCTATCTCCTTTGTGACAAGAGCAACTCTCAGCATGAGGGAAAACAGTCTGTATTATTTATTATTATTATTATTGCTCTAAGCTTCTAATTCTACAGGTTCAAATGTTTATACAAAGTTAAACAACTGGCTGGCATAAAACGTTTCACCTATTATATCAAATCACCTCTTCACTGTACCTCTAACGGTGACACAGAATTCAGACTGTTCAAATTCAAAGTACTTTGGGGCCCATCATTTCCAGTAAAATAGCTCCACAGGGAGTTGAAGGGGTGGCAAGACCAAAGAAACAGGGGCTCATACTCTCAGCAACTAGTTATTACTAAACACAAAGTGAGTATACAAGAACAGGCCTTGGCTCCAATAATTTAAAATGAGACACATTTTTCTTGACAGACCAGCTGCCAGGCGAATGGGGCTGTTCAAAGTTGAGGGGTTTTTGTTTGTTTGTTTGTTTTTGCTTTTAAAATCCTGACAGACTCACCTTAATCTCTACACAAAGTATTGGTCGATGTTCAACAACATGTAGCCTAGTAAGGTTAGGAAGGCACATAGCATAACCACTAAGAGCATCCATGTCTTTATCACAGCGAGACTCTGTGGATAAAAAGAAATAACTGTTTGCATCCATGTTCAGTGCTGAAGTGTTATGGGCAATACAAATAAACTCACAGCCATCAGTTTACCACCTTTAAGAGGAAATGTTGTCTTACATTACACTGTAGAAGAGTTTTCCAGAAATAGTCTCTCCCGCATCTGTATCCATCATGAAATGCGATAAGTAAAAAGAAAACAGACAGGAACCCACATTACACTGCTTCGCCTGCATGCAGGAGATACTCCTGCTTCATTTACCTTCGTGAATATACTGAAATCACACAATGTTGTTCCACTGCTTAACATAAGCGTGCCTTAAAAGTCTAGTCAGTACTTGGCTGTGAAGCTACCTTAGAGCCCAAGTGTAAGCTACTCTGGACTTCAAAGGAAGTGTCCCTATAAGTGTAATAAAACCGACCAATAGAAGAACTACACCAAATGTTTCAGAGTTTAAGCAGAAAACACCTTTGATGTGGCTTTTGTGAACCAGCACAGTCAAGCCAAACATTCAAAAACTTGAGTAAAAGGGATCTCCAAGCATGTTTTCACCTATATAAGAGCAAGAACACTTTGCATTTCACCCAAACAACCTGCCTCTTTAATACATAACAGTCCGCCCGTCTAGCAGGCATCAAAAATACTTTTAGAAAAGGCCATTCTCTCCTAATCCCATCTTCTTCAGAAGCAAAATTAAGTATCACTCTTTACTCATGTCTCCTGAAGTAAGTGCAAGAAAGGCAGACCCCATAAACATGTAGTGGGAGACACAAGGTGCCACAGTCATTCAGGCAAAAAGAACTGCTACATCAAGCATGATGTAGCACCAATGCTGTTGTGCACAGACAACTTGACAGCCACAGTAAGCTAGCAGGACACTTCAAATGCAAGGACAAACTGTATTTTGTGGCTTTATTCCAGAGAGGAAGTCATGTGTGTGAAGCAGGACCAACAATCTGGAGGCATGGTTCCATTGCTTAAGTGGTCCAGCAAACCCTGCATTTTCAAAGCACTTAGCTAGTGTGATTACACTTACTACAAATGTTTGCATCATACAGTATCTAAGAGGTTCTGATTTTTACCAGCTACGCACTAATAAAACAGGACTTCCATTAAGTTATTCGCACAACTGGAAACTATTTTGTAAAATTTTCCATAAACACAGAAAGATCTCTTTGAAGTCCAGAATCATATACAATCTTTAGACTAAAAGCATAATCTATTAACATCTTTGTACAAGATGCTGCAAAAGCAACTACTACTTAGAAAGAACTACAGTGGTACCTTGGGTTACATATGCTTCAGGTTACATACGCTTCAGGTTACACACTCCGCTAACCCAGAAATAGTACCTCAGGTTAAGAACTTTGCTTCAGGATGAGAACAGAAATCGTGCTCCAGCGGCGCGGCAGCAGGAGGCCCCATTAGCTAAAGTGGTGCTTCAGGTTAAGAACAGACCTCTGGAGCGAATTAAGTACTTAACCCGAGGTACCACTGTACATTAACTACAGGACAGTAAGGCCAGAGGCAGTTCAGCAAGTCTTTTAAACTGACCAAAGAATCAATGTGGTACCATGGCTAAGCTTCTGGGCTTCAACATGGGAAACCCACATTAAGTCCCTGCTGACTATGAGGCACAAACAGCTTTAACCTACCTCAGAGTAATTGTTGAGGCTACAAGTGCTGCTCTGAGTTCTTTGGAGGAAGGAAGGGTAGAATAAAATTGCAGGCAACATTATTCTGTCAAAAGCCTCCATGAAGTTTACTACAAGAGGTCAATAACTTTGTTTTGTGTCCCTTCTCCAAAGCAACATAAATGCCAGAGAAAAGTTCAGTCAAGTGCAGTTATAAATAGAGCATAAGCTATTTTCTAGCCAGAGTGTTTTATAACATTTGACATGCATAGTTTTAACTTTCCTTTTGCAAATGCTTCCCAAAGTTAGAGAATTTGGTTTGCCGAAACTATATGCATGAATACCAGCACATCTTTGAAACCTTTACAAAAAAACCACTGTGATTTTATGCACTGGTTGTGAAGTAGCTGCTTGAGAAATGCAAGCCTGTAAATTTACCTGACCTGACCTGACAGAAGAATCTGCACCATGCTGCAGAAAATGGCTAATTTAACAGGTGTGACACCTAGAACAGAATTTATCTGAGCCAGCAACACTGCACAATATTGTTAGATCTAAGAAGAGAAGTGAATAATTCATCCACCAGGATTATATGCACAAATAAATTAGGCTCCATTAATCACGGGAACTGGAATTTCACCAGGACTAAGTGACCCACCATTCAAATATTAAGCAAATTTTCTCCCTCTTAGCAAGGCCTCGGGTTGTGTATCATTTTGCATCCAAATACAAATGCGCCAGCTTTACCAAAACAATAGGCCATTGTACTATTTTTTATCCCTAATGAGGACAAGTTTATTTTAGGGCAAGTTTATTTTGAAAGAGGGATTATATTCTTTATCATCTTGGTGATATAACATGTTTGCATGGGCCTGGCTAACTTTTCAGAAACACCACCTTAAACTATTAACCTGCACAAGCTTCACTGCCAAACAATTCGATTCAAATGCAAACATACACCATAACTGAAACACTCCTTTAGAAAAGTACTAGTGCCCACCTGCTACCAAACAGAAACTCAACTCCACAAACATTCCATGGGAGGTATGGATGGAGAGAGGCAATGCATACAGGGAATTATTCAGGTTATGCTTAACTTAGATGCATCTGTAGACAGAGGTAATTGAGGGCAGCACCTACCTTTATTAATTTCACAGAAGGGGAAAAATCATTTTTGTAGGGTTATTCGGGGGGGGGGGACAGCTGTTTTGCCCCCTAACAAAAATCCTTGGACAAGATGAAACTAGTAGACAATAAGAGAATCAGGTGGGCAGAATCCATCCAAATTTCATTTATGCCCCAGGTGCATAAGAAAGACTCAAATGAAAACAAAGAGCTCAGATACTGGAGGAATCGATCTAGCCAGAAAATGTCTCACTTTTGGAGGCAGCGTGTGACATTTTCTCCTCACCCTTCCCTTCCAGGAAAGAGACTCACAGTCAGCAGTAGTCTTCAGAATTCTGGTGCTCCATTCTGGAGCAGTGCACAAAGATGTTTCTCTGTCTCCAAGGAGGGAGGGTGTTCAGAAAAGCAACCCCTATACTCTGCCTCCAGAAATAAGGACACATAACAGCCCCATTTTGCCTTCCAGGAAATGGGAAAAGTAAAAACTCTCACACACCAACCCCAAAATTGCAGAGGGTGCACACATGGCTCTCTTGCCTGCTCACTTGAGAGGCAATTCAATTCTCTAAGGCAACCAAGAAAGCATTTCCAATACTGATTAACATGTGTGACACATTTTGCAATTCTGTATTTTTTTTAAAGCAGATTTCAGATAAGGCACATTCCATATTTTGTGCAAGTAGTCATGCCATTATTTTAATTCCTTACCTGGCCTCTCTGACTGGATCTTTAAACAAAGCTGTTTCAGAAAGTCCAAAGACAGCTGCACAACTTCCTAAAGAAAAAAGGAAACATTATTTTACACAATGAATTGTGAAAGAGCACTGACTTGAAACAGAGTCACTTTGAGGATCCTTTAGGTGGAAAGGTGGAATGAAAAAAGACAAAAATTTACATGACATTCCTATAGTGGGGAAAAATAGTTTTGTCTGGCAATCTTGCCCAACTCTTCTTATAAAACCGTAATTGTGACAAATGGGAAAAACCGGTGTTCAAGTTATGTCACATTCCTAGTAAGAAGTACTCATATTTACATTAACAGTTCGTCCCATTTGTCACTATGTGCTAAGCTCCTAAGCACTTCTGTAGCCACAGCAGTGACTGAAAAAATGTCTTCACATTTTAAGTTTATCAGTCAGGAGCAAACAGCCCTTAAGTCATTAATCATTAGCATTAAACACTCCAGCTGGAATTCAGGAGAATAAATTAAGTGGAAAGTCCCCAGCGCTCCATCACCTTTCCTTGAAGAGACAAGGCTGATTAGGCTTTCCACTGAACTCAAAGGAGACTCCAATCTTAAGCAATATGCACTTCTTAGGAATATTCAGGTTACTGCTGAATATTTAATATTTAAGTAGTATATTTAAATATTTAAGTAGTATTTTCTCTTTTATATCTAAGTAGCAATCAACCAGAACAGTTTTAAATTTTTTGATCAATTGATAATGAAGCACAGAAAATGGCCCTGTAAGAGTAGGGCGGTTTTTCTGATAGGTCAGCTTTGTAACTATCCATTCATCCTGCCCTTTTTCATAAAAGGAGCCCAGGGAATCAGACAATACAAAAAAATTAAAGACATTAAGAACATACACATCAGAGAAGAGTTCTCCTTGGAAGAAACAGTAGTCTGATATAAAGGTAGCATCATGCTAATGGGGGGGGGGTCCTCTTTTCCTTCAAATATAGAGCTTTGGGATTCTTTCATATGCAACAGTTTACATTTTCATAAGGAAGTAGTATACAAGTTACATTTTTCTTCAGAGATTCTTTTCACATAAACATTTTAAGACCTTTTTTTTAAAAAAAGGAGTAAATGTTTACTACATTCCTCACTCAACTGAAGGATAACCTATCAGAATTGGGGTATTTTAAAATTTTAGTAGCAGAATTAAGATTGAACAGTCAATAGAGTCACAGGAAACCCACACACACTCCTGTTGCTACTCTACAGCTCAGTCTATGCTGCAAAGGTGAGCACAACTAATCCTAGAGATACATAATAGACATTTTGTCCACTGCTCTATGTTCTATATGAGCAATCTAAAAGCAGGTTAAATATGGAGATTTAATGCAATGTTCCTTCATACAAAAACCAAACCAACCAGCTTGGCTACAGATGTTAACAAAAACACAACAGTAGGAAAAACACTAAATGAAACAAGAAATAATAGTTACCCCATGGTGAACATACTTCTCCCCAAAAAACTGCTTCATTATATGTTTGCCAAAGTATACTATGTTCTGAAGATGTTGAAAGATTTCTTCTGGTGTCTAAAAAACAAATTATAAATTGCTGTTGAAACACAGATTATGCAGCATTACTAGATAACAGTTAAATCCACTTAGAAACAACATCTGAAAAAGATTACCTCGGGTTAAGAACTTAATTCGTTCCGGAGGTCTGTTCTTAACCTGAAACTGTTCTTAACCTGAAGCACCACTTTAGCTAATGGGGCTTCCCGCTGCCACCACGGCGCCAGAGCACAATTTCTGTTCACATCCTGAAGCAAAATTCTTAACCCGAGGTACTATTTCTGGGTTAGCGGAGTCTGTAACCTGAAGCGTATGTAACCTGAGCTACCACTGTACTTTAAATTTGCAAAGTTCACAACACCCACCATAAGCTACCAAACAAAATGGTCTGGCTCACATGTCATATTAGTCAGAAATGAATTTAAATAGAAGTGACACGTTGCTTAAATCTTCTTGCTGTACGCAGTGGTGTGGCAAGGCCATAGGGGCAATTGCTCTGGGCACAAAATTCTGAAGGGCGCAACCAGGTGTCCTCACTACAGGCCCGCTCATCAATGCCATGTGGCTGAGCTCCTGCAGCTGCAGAGAGGCAAGCTGCAGCCGGGCCAGGCCTTCGGCCAGGCCTTTGTCACGACAAGCCATATACTGGCTTGTGTCCCTGTGGAGTGGCAATAGCAGAAGTGGGAGAAAGGCACAATGACGGCTTTTTAGCAGTGTGCTCAACCATTATTTATTAAATTTATATACCACCCCTCATCCAAAGATCATAGGGAGGTTTACAACATAAAACAGCATGCTGCATGTTCATATCAAACCATATTTTTAAACTATGGGTTAATGTGACATGAGAATCAAGCCATTATAAGCAGCAAGTTTTTCTACTACTGCTCCCATATGCAAAACTTGATTTTCAAAATCCGGTTAGCAAAGACACTTCTCCACAGGGGGATCTAACCGATTATCAAACTGTGTTCTAAAATCCCAAGTCTTCTGCAATACTAATATGCATTGACTTTGTTTCTTCTACTGGAGCCATTTTTGCTTATTACAATGAAATAATTCATATGAATAGTTACTATTCTACAGTGCTTTTCACTGAAGATCATCAAAAGCACGTTTATCAAGATCTGGCAATATCTCAATCTACTAATTGGTTAAAAGCCCAGCTAATCAAAGGATTGCAAATCCTCAGATCTCAGATAATGTTTTAATCAAGCTGCTGTTGGTTTTTTTAAAAAATAATGCTGAGGCCTCCTTGAGCTCACAGAAAGTGGGAATGAAAATTAATTCTCCTTTTTAAATAGAACTAGCTGAAATTTCTTTGGTGGGAAACAAGAAGGATAAAAGGGAATAACAAATGATAATGGTCTCACCTTGTCTCGATTTGGAGGAAACTTCAAAAAACGTAGTACCACACAACGCTGAAATTTAATTTAAAAAATGAGTGAATTAATATAGATTTGTAATTTGGAAAACAAGCTGTACCAACCCATTGCAGTAAAATAATTTGCACAAGTAAACCACTTTATCTATTAAGCAGGGGCACTGTTGTATGTGGCAGGATTCCTGCCCTTTTCTACCTTTTTATTTTTTTACTTTGTTTACATGGCAGTTAGGCTCAATGCAAAGTGCAGTGCCCATAGGATCACAGCCATCCACTATCTTCATTTGCAAATCTGTGTTGTAAGCCTGTTCCTGAATCCTTTAAGTACTTAGCAGTGCCCCTGCTTTTAGGGGAAGCAAGCATACATTTGCTCAGTATTCTGTGCATTCTTTATTTAGTTATCAAACAAAACATATCAACTGATTTTACTGGATCAGATCAGCAGTCCATTTAGATTGGGAACTGTCAAGCTGGTACCCACAAAAGCCTTCACTGGTGCTCTAGCCAGAGGCCCTAAACTATAAACTTTCATTTGATTTTTTTAAAAAGTGTCTAGCACTCCAAGAAAGAAATTTATAAACCAAAATGTGCAGGTATTCATAGCAATTTCTGTGAAATAAGCCAATCTGGCTGCTCCTGTTTCTCAGATATTTTAACAATTGAGTGAAGTCAGTGATAAATGAGTTGTTTGGATACCAGGCAACATGAATCACAGGGCTCCTGCTCCTAAAGACCTGCTGTATTCTCTTCCTTTTGAATGCACTTTCCCTGGAATCTCTGTAGTTTGCCATTCCTTTTCCCCTAGCCACCAGGATAGATCTTCCCTATGATAGGTTTGAGATCAGGTAGGCCCTAGAAGTTATTTTCTGCAAATATTGCTACACAGCAAATATGAGCAGATGTTAAAGACTGTCTCAAAAATCAGAATGTGCCTGCCTTGATTACGTTCAACATCTCCCCTGTTTTCAGTGCAAGAAAACAGAAACAACTATCCTAGAATCAATAAAAATATGAAAATCTGTACATGGGGTACATGTATTTAGCCTGAAGACCAAAAAAAGAAATATCTAAACAGTTGTAAGAGAAAGTTTTATAACTGCCTGTGTTTCAGACAGCTATTATTTAAGTTAATACTACTGTATATACTCGAATATAAGCCAACTTTTTCAGCATATTTTTTATGCTGAAAAAGCCTGCCTCAGCTTATACTCGAGTGAGGCGGGCGGCTGCAGAGGGACGAGGGCAGGCACAGGAGGGACGAGGGCAGGCACAGGAGCCGCGGCTGGTAGAGACGCTGTGCTGCGCCTCTCCCAACCAGGCTCCTATGCCTGCTCTTGCAAGTGGCAGAGGAGGTGGCGGAGGGATAAGCGGCTGCTCCTTTCTCCTCCGCCGCCTTTGCTGCTATTGGCGGCAGCGGAGGGGGAACGAGCAGCCCAAAAGGAGCCCTTTCGGGCTGCTCCTTCCTCCTTCTCCGCCTTTTCCGCTGTCAGCAGCGGTGGAACGAGCAGCCCAAAAGCAGCCTTTTCGGGCCGCTTGTTCTTCCTACTCCGCTGCCGTCACCACCAGGTTTGTGGTGTGGTGAACTGGCTTATACTCAAGTCAATAAGTTTTCCCAGTTTTTTGTCCTAAAATTAGGTGCCTCGGCTTATATTCGGGTCGGCTTATACTCGAGTATATACAGTGATTTTGTGTTTTTTATTCTTTTATCCTTCTATTGTCTGTTGACATGTTATCTTATGAATTTGTATACACATCAAACTTTGAAAAAAGGCAATACAGAAGTTTAACATGTTCTGCAGACCTAGTCATTATTTTAAAAATACACATTTGTGCAACCTGTATTATTCTCCAAATCTCAGACCTTTTAGGCATTATTTTCAATATGTAGATAATGATAATTACTTTAATACAAAATACATTAATTTTAGTCCATAAGTGGTATTTTAGAAATAATGTATCCCTCTATGCTTTATAGCAACAGAGGTTGCATGCACATCTATTTTACAACTTTTCTCCTTAAGGAGACACAGTAAACACAACTATTCATAAACTTACAGTTTGTCAGCTGTTACGGAAACCAGCTAAATGCTCTTATAGAAATATTTCACAAATAAGCACTAGAAGTGAATTTTGTTATTTCAAACTCATTTACCTTATGTCCTTTGCTGGTGTATGTGCAATACTTCCTTGAAAGCTACAGGAAGCAAAGATTTCCTCACTTTGTTTACAGTAACATGGCACTGAATTTGCCAGGCTTGAAATCAAATCAATTTTTTAAAAAAAAACAAACGTAAAACTAAAAGTTGTACAATTAAGTAACATTCTGCTGATATTCCATGTTTGTCAAGAATTTTTATGTTTAAATTATTTTTCTAACTTGCTTTCTTATCTACTCTGAAAAGTACAAGAACAAAATACACAGCAAATGAACTTTTCAATAACAGAACTAGATTCCAGTAAATTCTTCTGTTTCTTACAGCCAAATAGGAGGATTTTCAAAAGCCACATCTGTGGTCAGCCACAGTTAAAATGTTTACCATACTGCTGATAATCCAGATTTTATTCAAACCAGCAGGGCTGTGTGTATTGTTCCCTTGCTTTTGTTCAGGCTAACATTGTGCCAAGAATGCAATACAAAACATGATCAGTTGAGCTTGGTTTTTCAAGATTAATAGGACCAATCATTCTGGTGGTGTGGGAGAGGGGACATGATGTTGGTACTTCTGATGACCAAGTTTGAAATGGGTTTTTCCACGGCATCGTAGAGATGCAAACAAATGGATAATATGCTTGTCCAATAAGACTACAACTTCAATTTGTATTTCTCAACATCTTCAAGCAGTGGCTGCGTATGTAATGAAGCCCTCTCTTCAAAATGTTCTATTTGTGTGTAGGAGAACTATTACAGTGAGGCACATGGTGTTGCTCCCTTGGAAATCTCAAAGCAGACTTCACAGCATACATCTCTCATACTCATTTCTACTGCAGCACCCCTTAAAATAAAAGGGAGCGTTAACTTAGCTTTAAGCAACAAGAATAATTTGTCCTTAACTTGGGAACACTAATTCTGGCAATGCTCAAGACCACCTGTTCTGTGAACATTTAATCAGCAAGCCTAGACATTGGGTAAAAGCAATTAAAGTAGTTTATATATTCAAGCTCTGGTGCCCATTTACCAAACAGCATCAAATTGTCTCTCAACAAGAAGTGAAGTTGCTTCTTAATTCATTACATATGGTCTCTGGGGAAACTTAGTTTATTATACTGTCCTTGTTTCCAAAATAACAAAGGCAAAAATGAGCATTTAATGAATGGTATTGGACTCTGACTAGTACTATGTAGCACTACAGGGGAATTTGGTTCTTAAAAATAATTTATAGGGTTAACAACAGACTCAAGATTTTAATAAGATTAGTATCAGTTGCTTCTACATTATATGTGGTTACAATGACACTGATCAAGTCAAAAATCTGTTTAACTTTCAACATGATTACAGCCCTCCACAAGCAAGGCTGTAAACAGGGTGAAAGTGATGTACAGAGGGGGGCAGGGCTTGGCAGAACACCGAAACTCTCCCTTGCATATTTGCTTACATGGAAGTAAAATGCTTGCCTGAATATTTCTATTATTGTAAGCTTACTAGCACGTCCCTCACATTTTCCGTAGGTTCATCTTACTAAAAAAGGATTTTTCAAATTATTGAAGTAAATAGGAGTTTGTCAGAAAGCTGTAGCTACCATATAGTCACAATACTATAAATTAAGTGAACATTTATTTTCAACAGTGAAAGGAAGATTTCTTTCTGAGATTAAGTGTGACCTGCTTTTGAAAAAGACAGATTTAACAATTGAATTCTGTGTCTAACAATGTATTGGAAACGTGAATATAACTGGATTAAGAAAACTGTGCAGCCCCAGCCCCCAGTTCAAAAACATCATTTTCCAAAATGGAATACAAAAATGCTTTTGCAAGTCCCATTGTTCTGTCAGGCAATTAAGGTGCGGGAGGAAATATTTGCTGGTCAAGGGAAAATATTTGTTGGTCAACACAAGGGAACTGAGCTACTACAGTTTTATCATGACTTCACTAGTCAAAAATAAATACCAACTGTTTATTGTGATTATATTAACCATGTTGTGGAAGTAGCTGTGCTATAAGTCCTTACATGCAGTCTTATGCATGTTCCAGCAAGCATCCCACAGTTCCCACAATATTTATGTAACCAGTTGCTTAAGGGAAGTGCCTAAGTACTTTCTGTGATATGCTGTAAATACAGTATTCACACTTTATTTCTCCTAAACAAAACATGTTCAGGAAGCTGATAACAAGCCCCAAGTTCTAGCTTCAACACTGAAAAGTTGTCTGCACAGCAGAGTTGCACAAAGTGAACTTCATGGCTTAGCATTATTTCTAAACACAATAATCACTGAATGCCTTACTACTCCAAATGTCCTGTTGTATGTCAGATTTTAGTACACACTGCTGTTCAACTGATGCTGAAATTGACAAGGACACACATATGCACCATTATGCGTGAACATGCATTTGGTTATGCTAAGCTACCACAAACTAGTATATTTTCAGCCCTGTTGCTATTACTTTTGTTAACTGAAAATCCAACTGTATTTAGGTATCACATGCAAGCATCTTGGCACCACAGAAAAAGATACGAGCCTCATATCCTAGTAACTAGTTTCTTCAGCTTATCCAAATGCTGGGAACAGAGAGATGCAACTATGCTGAACATCAAGCACTGCACCAAAACTAGCTCAGCATATTATATACACCGAGACTTGGGTGAGAACAGCACAGGGCAGATCAATAAACTTTGCGCACAAAAGGAAAAAGCAGCAGAACCTGCTCAGACCTTTTCCGTGTGCATGTTCAAGCTCTGTTACAAAGAGAAGAAGAACAGGATCAGCAAGGGACAGAATATTTCACGGAATACCGTGCAAATATACAATTCTTCGCACACCTGTTTCCTTTTTTCTACCCCTGCCAATGGAGGAGCAAAAAAATAACTAAAATAGTTACTCAGAGGCACTGCACAAAGGGCTTTGCAGGCATCAGCCCCTTTTGTCCAAGCCCCACATCTGATATCAAACATGCCAGGCATAGGGCAAACATGGCTTGGCCAAAACTGCCTCATGGACCAAGTGGGCAGGCTTGGCAAGCCAAATTAGGCCCATGGACCAAAGGTTCCCCATCCCTGATGCAGGCACATGAATTTATCTCCTCTCACGAAGGTGTTTCCCCTTCTTTGTTTTTTGAACAAACTATGATGAGCATTACATTTACAATAAAGCTAATGCTAACCACAGTTTGCAACCATGATTTCAAAAAAAATTAACTGATTTGTTGACAATAATTAAAATTGAAAATGCCACTTTAGTTGTAATGCTAACCACAATTAGCTTTGAAAGATAAAGAGATGAGGGAGGAATTAGGCAACTGGGCAGAGTTACATTTGCACTGGACCCATGTTTCAGGGATTAATTACTTGCACAAGTCACATTTCTAATTCTTTAACAGGCAGGTAAATATATTCAGTTGTTGGCATCTGTCTGTTTCAAGAGACAATGGGGTACACCTCTGGGGGTGAAGTCAAAATGCTGCTGTAGTAGCACCAGCGTGACCTTGGGGCACAAGCCTGGACAGTGTATATGGAAATCTTGGGCTGCCCAGACAACAATACCCTCTCGGCATAATGATGTGGTCCAAAGGAAAGCAGAGCAATATGTTTGACACCAGCTTGGCTGCGGGAGTTGCCAGAAGGTGTACAAGGCACAATCTAAGCGCCTTAAGGACTCCACTCCAGATTTCTTCTCCAGAAGATATCCCTCAAGGCAGAGGAAATTTAGGATCAGTTTTCCTTCTCCTAGATGGGATACCTTCCCATGTTGATGAGCCCCATCTGTCCCTCACTTCCCTCTACAGCACATACAGAAACCACCTTCTTGGCCATTGGGCCCGCTATTGGTTTCATCCACTCAATCTGCTGGAAAGTGTCTGCATACAGGAGACGTTCCTAAGTCACCAAGGTTTTGAGATCCATTAGCTACCCTCATCTGGTTTAGCCAACTAGTCAAAGCCGTTACCTCAGGTATGGCTGCTGTTGCATGCTGAGCTGGCAGAGTCTAGGAGTCACTGGTGAGAGCTGAGTGCAAGGTGGGGACCAAAGGTGAACAAACTACTCCGAAAGAAGCATGATGAGGGGAGGTACTACCCCTCCCCTAAAACCCAGTACACACCATATATATTCAGTATCAAGTCAGCAACAGCATCATTCAACTTTCTTTTAGGAGCACTAAAACAGATGGTTATGGTTGTGCCAAATAATGGGAGACAAAGGATGCTTAGATTCTTATTTATCAACCTGAAGTTACAAGCCAGACTTCAATTTCTCAGAGATGGAAAGCAGCCATTGCTTCTTTTCCCCAGAACCCTAAGTATATATATCACAGCAGCACATGTGAGGGACATTTTCATCCTGCAATATTAATCTTGAAACCAAGTCTATAAACTAACCTCATGGCTGTATCAGCCTAATTTCTTTCAAGTTGCTTCCTCTTCCTCATCACCCTTTCCCCTGCTTTGTGCAAAATTTTGCCTGAGGAAAGGTTCTGGAGAATTTGAAAGCCTGTCATGTTTTTGTGACATTCTTGGTTGGTCCCAAAAAAGGTACCATAATGCTGTAATATTAATAATCACATGTACATTTTTATTCCACTCCAAGAAGCACATACCCCCTTCACATATTATCCTCATAACCACCTTGTGAGGTTAAGTTAGGCTGAGAGCAAGGTTTGTGATTGAGCACGGATTCTAATATGAGTCTCCTGGTCTATACTACATTAGTTGTCACTGGAGGAGGAGGGAATCAATAGATGAAACACAATGAAAAAAATCTCAATTAGCACAGACCTTTCATTAGATTACACCTTCCTAGAAAACAAGTCTGCCATTTCATAAAATGTACTACATTTGATGTGTGAAGAAAGAAGACATCTGTGTTAAACACACCAGCACTTTTAAATAGTGACTTGCACCATTTTGGAATTTTTCCTCCTGCCATGGTGCAGTGAACAGCCTTCCTCCCAGGACATCATAGCCATTTCCCCCACTTATTTTGTCAGAGGTGTAAGATCTGCTCCACAACCATGACTCAGGCCCTTTCCAGTCAGCTTTAAGATAACTTGCTTTTAATACTCTTTCTCCTCCCCCAAGCCCTTTTCAGCACTGAAAAAGAAAGTCACTCAGCTTGAATTATCACAACGCAACACACATTAAGGCATAGATTAAGGACCATGGGCATCCAATAAAACGATGCTTCTCCGGCACACAAATCGGGGATGGCACCCATTTTGGCAGGGATGGAGCCTTTAGCTATATATCTTTCACGTACACAGTGAGTTTCCCTATACATGAGGGGAGTTTCCAAAACTTACTCCCCTCCCCACAAAAAAACCGAAGATCTGATTTGCTGATCAACTGCGATTAGAGTTCGTTGTCTCGACACAGTTTTTTGTTGTTATACTTTAAGACACCAACTTCTTTCAAAGTCTGTTAGCTTAGCGAAAGCGGTATAAAAATGTTTTATGTCCCCCACTCCCCCCCAAAAAAGTGTCACGGAGAGAGAAATAAGGAGCGTCAGATTTTACCGTTATGCTTCTGAGGGGAGCGAGAGGAGGAGGAGGAGGAGGAGGAGGAGGAGAGGCTGTTGGACCACTTCGCTCACCCGCTCATGAAGGAGAAAGGCGAGCTTTCCGCGGGGGTGTCCTCCCTCCCCTCCCCTCCCCGCCTCCCCCGGGCACCTCTCCGAGGCAAGGGAAGCGGGGAGCAGCGGAGGGAGCCCTGAAGAGGTGAAGCGGAAGGAACTGACGGGCCTTTAGTTCCCTCCTTCCCCGCCCCCCTCTAACTGACCGGCCAAAATTTCCGTTAAGGGTGGAAGGCGGGGGTGGGGGCTGGGGTTTTGGGTTTTTTTTTTCAAAAAAGTAAGAAAAAAGCCCAAACCGTTAAGCACGAGACTCAGGAGAGCGGTTGGCAGCTAACTTCAGACGCGCGCGAGGCAAGAGGCGGCCGGCGCCTTTTTTCTTTTTTACCTGTCTGTGGGAGACGACGAGGCTCTTGTTGCCTTCCCCGTGGTATCGCCATTCATTCTCATCCATTTTCTCCGCTTCCATCCCCCAGCCAATGGCCCCTCCGTTTTGGTTTCCGGCAAGGCGAGCGGGCGGTCGTCGTCGTCGCCGCCTCCTGCTGCTGCTGCTTCTCGCCGCTTCTTCTCCCTCAGCTCCGGCCTCCGTTTTCACCCCGTCCCACTGCGCGCGCGGCCTCCCGCCCACAAGTCCCTACACAGCGATGAGGCGCAGCCTCTCCGGACAACGCGCTCAACGAAGCCGACCACCTGGTTGTTTCCCAGCCCACGCTAGCGTCCTCGCCCGGATCGGAACAGGAAGTTCCACCTTCCGCCTTGGGGCACGCGGAGGTCACCCACCCGAGAAAATAATATACTGTATAGGTTTGTATGGGGGGCGGGACTTCCTTAACCGGCCCTATTTAATGGGGGCATCAGCCTCAGCTCCTATTCTTCCCGCAAGGCTACGCGGGAAGGCTGTAGCAAGCGCCATCTTTATTTCTGGCAAGTTCGGGAAGAAAGAGGTTCGTCACCCTTGACCGGGAAGACCCTGGGCATGCGCAGGAGCCTTAGCGCGGTTTATAGGTGTGCGTGTGTGATATGATAAGGAAGAGCGGCGGCAAGCTGGTTTTGGCGGTTTGTTCAGAGGCCGCCGTCCCTTCTAAACCGGCTTCAGGAATTGATTGCAAAATGGTCGCCTCTTCTTATATATATAATTTTAACCACATGGCCTACATCTTAGGATTGTACGACAGACCTTGGCTTTCATTAGCATCGGAGGTAGACAGGAGTCTGCTCCCTATTGTATTCATTTATTTAAATATATCTTCTGCCCCCTACTCTGGAGGCTTGGAGTATGTAATAACATGTTAAAAACGAAATTAAAATATCCAGTTGCACACTAGTTAAAATTAATTCGTTAGTCATTTGCATATTTAAAAGGCTTCCAGCCCACATTTCAGAGGTCCCTGCCCTCACACGGCAGTTTGGTACCCTCCAGGTAGGGCTGTGAAAGACCTGGTTGAAACCATGTTTCAGTTGCTGCTGGTCAGGGTAAGATAGTACTCAGCTAGATGGACAATGTTTCTGATTCAGGTATAGGGCAGCTTCTTGCAGTCCTGGCTTACAGCTTTTAGGAGAATATTAAGCAGCCTTAGGCAAAATCAGAAGTTTGGTCTATCAATATTGTTGACTCCAGCAGCAATGCTATGATGCCTTAAGTGAGATCTTTTCCCCAGCTGTGCTATCTGTGATGGCTGTTGCATACATACAACAATGGCGTCACAGGATTCTGAGGTGGCAGAGTGGACTGTTACGATTCAGGCTGCAGTTCCTGCACTGCAGAAGTGAAGAACATTTCTGCATAAACACTCTGCAAATGAAAGACTACTACTTAGGAGAAAGGTTCTGCCACAGCCCCCTCCCTGTTGTGCTAATGTGAACACTGAGCTAGTAAACCAATGCTCTGACTTTGTATAAGGCAGCTCTCTATGTTCCTAGTTTTCCTTCGGCATTGAGGCTTTCCATAGGGGATTATTTTTTTTTTAAAAAGGATTCCCCCACCTGCAGTATGAACCGTTCAAGGGAGGTGCAGTACTTAGTGACAGGCTAAGCACTTTGCATGTAGAAAGTCACATGTTCAGTCCTAGGCATATCCAGGAAGGGGTGAGAAAGCAGAAAGCATTTGCTAAAACTAACAAGCACACAGCAAAGGCATTGTGTGCTAAGAGTTAGATCCAAAAGAGGTAAGCACCTCCTACAGCCAGAACCAAGATAGGTAACTTACAGCTCAGGAGCTGAAACTTGGAGTGTTAAACCGGTAGAAGATTAGTTTTTAGCTTTGCTCTAGCAAGGCAGGTTTGAGGTAAACTGTAACCAGAAACCTAGATTAAATGCCATTTAATGGTATATCCTGTCTTAACTAAACTTTTGTGTCATTAAGCAAATAGATAGGATGCCATTTAATGGTAAATCCTGTCTTAACTAACATTTTGTTTCATTAAGCATATGGATAGGGGTGATTCAGTAGACACTGTGTACTTAGGCTTTCAATAAGGTCCCTTCCCAAAGATTCGTGAATAATAGTCATGGAATAAATAGAGCTAACTGGTTAATGATCCATAAGAGGACAAGGAAGAGGAAACAGAGAGTGGGGATAAATGGACAGTTAGCACAATGGAGGAGTGTAAGCAGTAGGGTTCCCAAATGATCAGCTTTGGGACATGTGCCTTTAACATGTTCATAAATGACTTGAAGGCGAGCAATAAAGTGACCAGGCTTGATCATGCCACCAAATTGTGTAGGGTCGCAAAAACAAAAAAGGTTTGTGAAAACTTCCAAAAGAATAGTTTTATAGTTTTAACTTGTTGAAACACAGACCTTGGGCTAGAAACTACAGGTTTCTGGAGATGAGGTCAATTGTTTGTTCTAAGGAAAAATGTTACACAACTGCTGCCCTTTCCTAGATCCATAAATCCATGCATTGTGACTCACTTTCTGGAATGGAGAATAATGCAATGTAATGTTGAAACTTGGGAATACTGGTATGTCGTCATGCTTTTAGACCTGACTCCAGCAACAGCTTGGTAAATTATTTGCGTGAAGTTTGCATGCATACGAGTGTGAAATGTCCTGAAACGTGCATTTGTCAAAGACTTTAAATTATTTTAAGACTAATACTTTATTTATTTTGTCATTTATTTGAAAATATTTCCTTCTCACCCTTCCTCATAATGAGCCCAAAGCCAGGGCACAACAAAACAGAAATAAAATAAAATGTAACAGTAATGTAATTGCTGGGATAGCTCATTTGGTAGAGCATGAGACTCAATCTCTTTGAGCAAAAGATTCCCTTCCAACTGTACAATTCTTTGATTTAATTTAATTACAGCACTTGGGAACTCCTCAAGAAATATTTTCAGTCCAATAGTTCTGTAATGGTAAGGATCAGCAACTATAAGCTCCCTAGTTGGAAGATGGAGTGGAGGTCTTGCCACTTGGGTCAAAAATCCCAGATGAAGGCATTGCAACTTGGAGAACTCAGCAAATGTCAAGCCTTGATTTCTTGAGGAACAGCCTTAATGGCTTCTGATAAGTGCCTAACCCTTGGCTCCCCAGACCAGTAGTTCCCTTCCTCCCCTGCCCTTGTTCCTTTCCACTCTCCTTTTATTCTAACATCCTCATGTTTCCCTAGCCAAATCTCCCGTCTCTTAAATCTCTCTTTACTAGTTCTTTGCAGTGCCTAGCTTTTTGAATTACCTTGCCCCTACCCTCTCTTCTCAACTTCCCGCTATCTCTTACCTAGCTGCTCACCTTTCATTCAGCAACCCTCTCTAACATCCAGCTAGGATATACATAAATGCCTTCTGGCTGGAATGTAGTCATGCCCCCTCTCATTTTCCAAAAGGAAACACAGACCCATGGTGCCTGGGTGCTTGGAGCTTGGGGTGTCTTTACGACATATGGTTTATTTACACATATATGCAACCTGGGCCTGTGATGGAGGGGCTCACAGCATTAACACTCCAAGAGAGTTCTGCTTCTCCCATAGCCACAGCAGCCTTGGATTTAAACAGGCACCAGTCACAGCTCTTTCTCTGCTTCTATCTTGCTGCATTTAACAGTGTCACCTTTTCCCCTGAGTTCACATCCCAGCCAACTGCAATCCTAAGTAACTGCTCTCCTTCAAAACTCTGGCATTTATCCTGCTAAGAAACTCAGAGCTGGAGGAGGGTCCCCTCTCTCTGACTTTCCTAATGGCCCATTACCTTTCCTTTGTCTTTGGTTAATGGCTAATCTCCCAGTCAATTCCTGAACACAGGAAGCTGTTTCTTCCCGTATTTTAATACTTCACTAAATCCAGCGTCTGTCACCAGGTGAATACTCCAAGCATTGATTAAATTCTGATACCTACTAGACCCAAGAATTTAAGGCACCCTGTAAATTCATAATATTATTATCATAACTCAATACACCAGATTCTCACTTAGCATGAGGGAAACCTAGCACAAAATTCCAAGCAGTTTGCACAGAAATGACACAGTCACCCATTTTGATCTACCATGGCGTCTCTGCTGCACTTTTTAAATTTTGCTGTAGTTGTTGACTCTGCAGGTATAACAGAGTCCAGATTGACATTGTTGGCAATATTGTTTGATAATTTAGTTTTACATAGCCATAACATAATCTTCACCCGACCAGGCCAGATGCCTGAATGCCTTGATGAGGCAACCTTCAGAAAATGGCCTGTGCACTACAGCCGTTCATTATTTAAATGTTTTAAATATTAAATTTGGAAAAACTTAAGGCTAATTAAGAAAATGTGTTGCATTTGCTGTTGTTGTTGTTGTGTTTTGCAAGAGAGATGCAAGCCAGGAAAACGTATTTAAAAAAAAATAAATTAATGGCATAAAGGAAGCCAGTGTATTCTTTCTTTGTTTTGTAGTTGAGGGAGAATAATTTAATGCAGTGAATGGTGTTTGTGTCACGAACTAAGGCTGGATATTTTTGGCACCACATCAATGACTTGTATGTTTCTATTTTTAAAAGAGCTGATTGTTTCCAAAGAATGCTGGACCCCTTGGGTTATATTACAGAATGGGGTAATAAAACCTGCAGTCAGCTGATGTAATGTGCCACTTTGCGATTTAGTCTTAAATGGAATGGCTCCAAAAGGTTCGGGAATGTACAGTTCTGATCACATTGCTGCTCAAGGGACACTATGTATCTAGAAATGAGATTTATTGAATATTACAGTCAGAACACTCCCAAAGTGACTAATATGAATTAAGGCTCTGAAACATAAATGCATCTAAATGCATCTGTATAAATCCTAATGCTGCCAATGACATTTGCACACACAGTAATCTTTCTTGGACTGAAGGTGTCTCTTTACATTCACAGTAGTCTTCAATCACCTGAGCAGGAGACCAGCACAATGCTTTGAAATGTGAGTCAGGCTTTTCAGAGCTGTGTTTCCGGGGAATTTAGTGTTGTTACCCATAAACCAGCAGTCCTGCCCACTTCCCGAAATAGTAAAAAGCAAAATGATTGGGTCAGTTTCCTTGTGAGAAGAGAGCCTTTTGGTTTTCTTGTTGTATGTCCTCCCACTACCAAAAGAGGTTTGGTCATTCCCTTCCTAAGGTGGAACTGTTGCTGATTACTATTACGCAGGCAACAAAACAAATAAAATAGTATTATAAAGACAGATGAAAGCAGGAAACTTAATTCTGAGGCTGAGAAAGAGATCTTCAGAAAGATGCTTAAACCTTAGGAATTTAGCAGCACACACAGCAAACCTTTGTACATCCTTGACATTAAGTTAAACTATCAGTTCAAACTCATTTTATTTGTATGGGTTCTGTAGCTTCTCATACCATACATTGCTTGCAGAGGAATATACTCTACTTTGCATCAAGCAGAGTAAACAAACTAGTCACAACCTTCCCAGGGTCAATAGCCCAACCCAAGGTACTTTGCTTCCTTGGGTACTATGATAATTGAGCCTGAAGATTGTTAAAAAAGTCTCTCTGATAAATGGGAATCTGCAGTTCAGATAATGTTTAGATAACAGCAGAGAACCAGCACAAGCAACACTGACACAAAACCTCACACATATTAAGTAAAATAGAAATATCACCACCCGACCCCACCCCCACTCTTCTTTCCCCCCGTCCACCTCTTCCTAATGTCTCAACAAATGAAACCAATTTGTTGTTGTTGTTGTTGTTTTTTAAAGTGTTACATGGGGGGGAAATACGAGAGAGAGACATTGCACATACCTTTGTAAATCAATAAAATCTTTAATAAAAATACATTTAAAAAAAAAAGATAATGTTTAGATTTGATTGTGTCTCCAATCTACCTATATGAAAGAATTTCATAAGGCTTATCTACAAACAATGAACTGTCTTGGATAAATTCAAAGTTTGCAGCAGAAGAACCACAGAACACTAGTCCCTAAAATGTTTAGTTTGCTTCTCAGAGGATCTGTGGAACACATTTTTTTCCTAACCAATTTTATAACCAAAATGTCCTCCTTGTAATAAAGGGGTGGTAAAATGCTTACAAATTATGTTAGTGTTACTTTGCCATGTTTGTGTCTTATATTCCTGATATGGAAAGCACTGGAACATTCACCTATAAAACAAACAAACAAAAAATACATTGGCTCTTCACCCCACATCTCAGTTGTCCTCAGGCTGGAAAGAAGGAAAGCTTTTAAAACGTCAATTAGATTGATATTTTGAGCATAGGATATACATGTCAGCATGCTTTACTGTGTGTTTTTAGAAGAAAACTAAGGTCAAAGCTGACCTTATCCATTTTATTCTCTTTCACAGCTCCTTGTTTACTGTTCCTCCCTTATTAACTCAAGCCCAGGGTGCTAGTGACAGTGGCAAGATCACATGTTCAAATCACATCTAAAGAAAGGCAAGAGGAACCAATGGTACCAAATAGTATGGGAAACAGCCTTATTAGAAAAATTGACTAATAAACTGAAACCGACATGGGGACAAATAGAAGAAGACGCCTTCTTCCTTTTTTCACATATGGCTCCCTTTTTTCACATACACAGCCCAACAAGACAACGACAAGAATCCACCAACCTGATTCAAAAACACCCACGCACCCCACTCACACATGAAAACAAAGTTCACCACAGCCAATCGCAAACAAACAACCACACCCTAGGCCAACCCCAACCTCTCTCACCACCAAAGGAACACAAGCGAATACCAAAGAGAACCTGCACAAACGACGCTGAAACAAAACCCCACACATACATTAAGTAAAATAGAAACATCGCCACCGGACCCCACCCCCACTCACCATGGCCCCCTCCACCTCTTCCCCCCCTTTTCTTCCTAATGTAACACCAGTGTCTCAACAAATGAAACTGATCTGTATAAAATGTAACTTGAAAAAAGAGACATTGCACATACTTTCGTAAACCAAGAAATCTTTAATAAAAATATGTTAAAAAAAAGAAAAGAAAGGCAAGAGGGATGGGGTTGGATTGCTCCATTACTGTGTTTCTCTCATGCCCCGTTAGCCTCTCTTTATTTACCAAGTCCAGAAAACCCGACAGGACAGCAATCCTACTTATGCTGACAGTTTCCAAATCTGATTTTAATCCTTGTCCACTACCCAGTCTTGCCACCATTCCTCCAGCAGCTCCTGTAAAGTGGTAGCAGAGTTTCACCTAACATGTCAAGGCTGCTTAGAAAGTGGTACATCATAAACTGGTACAAGTTCAAATCCCCAGCTGCGACTATCTAGCACCTCTTTTTTCGGCATGTCTATCTTGCTCTCTATTTGCTGTCCGAATCCCATATTCTGGCAGTACTGCTAGACTGGTGCAGAATGCTCACATACATTCCAGTGTCATGGTAACCATGAATGGTGTTAAAATCCTGTCTTTTTAGACCAAAAATGTCAAAATGGAAGCCCTAATGATCCTTTTGCTCGTGTCCTTTCTTACCCACTCTTCTCTGCCACTTGGAGGATATTCTTTAACTGCCATGTTCCTTATTCTTTTGTGCGGAGATAGTTGATGACTCATGACATGACATCTCATAGAGCGACCTTTTTGTTCCTTCTGAATGTACTAAACTCTTGCCTGTAGTCTGGTCATATCTGCCATGTTATACTCACTTCCTCCTTTCTAGCTTTCCTTACTGCAGTACTTTCCATATTAATTCAGTTTGTCTGTATGAAAATACTGAAATCTTCACCTGTTCTTTTAATCACATCACACACTACACGTCATTGTCTGTTGCTCTCTTCATCCATTTCGTATTTAAAGTTGTCAGCTACTGTTGCGAGGTCTTTTCTCTCATTTCCTCTTATTCCTCTTTATTTCTAATGCATTATGCAAGCACTAGGCCTGTACCTGTCACATTATTTCCTCTACGACCCCACTTCAGATATTTAATTTTTATCATTCCCTCCACCTCTTTCTTGTCTGCCTTAAGACAAATGTACATGTTCAGCAATAAACACAGTACAACCATACTTCTTGTTGTTTAGTAGTTTAGTCGTGTCCGACTCTTCGTGACCCCATGGACCAGAGCACGCCAGGCACTTCTGTCTTCACAACCATACTGGGGCTATATAAATTCAGTGTGCTGTAGGGGATTGCATTATTATATATAATCTATATAAAAGAAAATTGGTGCCCATAAAATAAATGGTAAGGGACAGAAGGGTTTTAGCATGCCTAGGTTTATACACAAAGAATTGCTTTGTTTGAATTTTAATTTTTAACTGTGGGACATTCAAACTACTGAACTCTTCATGCATTCTGGAACAGCATTTGTGTATGTGTATGCCACTACTGCTATTTTTCATATATAAAAATCCATTATGCCATGCACACAACACAGAAATAAGACAGCCTGCTACAATATGCATGTTAAACATAATGTAACAGCAGTATTTTGAAATGTTTAAAATGTTCAGTGAGCACAACTGCATCCTTAATGACAACATTCCACATCTTTCCTCAATTCTCATTAGTTGTGGCTTGGAGGACAAGGAAAAATCTATGATGTTGTGTTACACATGACATCATGAAATGTTAAAAAAGAAGAGGAAGGAGAAATACAGGCTGCGGCCTGCCAGAAACCAACTTTTAACATCTAGTTCTAGTCTAATCCTGAGCCACACAATGAGTCAGGATGTGTATGCTCTTATCAAGGACTCTGTATTTTGTGAATACAATTGCATGGAAAAAGACTCAAGTTATGTTCTTACTTGAAACTAAAACTATTTGTGATAACAGTGATATAAGAGAGATCTTGTATTTATAAATAGAATTCTGGGTTTACCAAGTATGTTGACAAATTAGATCCATGTCTAGAAACAAGCCCAGTTGACACAATGCAGAAAAGAGATCTACTACCTGCAGCCCAACCGTATCCACATTTAGTTTGAAGTAAATCCAATATATTCCTTAGCACTTAATTCCAAAGAAGTGTAGTAATGATTCTGTCTGTTAAATTAATAGTAAACTGGTAAAATGAGGAAAACTTTGCATTGCTTAAACATAATGCAACTCTTTTTATTTTTATATATTTTTAATTGATTTTAACATATAAATTATAAAATGTACCACAAAACTTATCACTTATACAATCTTTTTAGACTTCTGTCAGCACCTCTGATGATCCACCGTTTTAACCACTTCTTATGCATTTCTTAACTTTATATTGCCTTTACATTTCTTAACAGATCATCCTTCCCCTATCCATTTTTGCAATACTTCCAATAATACTCCTCACAAAACTTCTTGCAAACCTACATACGTCATCTGATCTTCACTAATACTTTTCAGATAGTCCGTAAATTTACTCCAGTCTTCCGTGAATTTCTGGTCCCGCCGGTTTCGAATCCTCCCTGTTAGTTTATCTAAACATAATGTAACTCAGTTCATTCTTCCACCCACCTCTGCATGTTAAAAAACAACAAAGTATCTGCCCACCTATTTTGCTGGAAACAGTTTAAGTAATAGTTTAGCATCCTTTGAGATTGTTTTTCCTATGCATTAATTAGTTCATTATGTATACACAAACAAGCAAGCAAGCAAGCAAACAAACAAACAAACAAACAAACAAACACATTGTTATGTACACACACACACACACATTCTCCCCCTTTCTGTGTTTTGACAAGCCATTTATTAATTGTAGCTTGTTTATTTAGTAGAAGATACTTGTAAGAAAAGCATTTTCTTACATGTGATATGTGGGTGGGCATGAGAGAGGTGTCAATATTCTGGTAGCGCCCAACTCAGGCATAGGTTTAGTATTAAACTGCACCACCTAGTGGTTGAAATAATATTGGGCCTCTTTTATAAAATGTTTTTCAGCTTCCTCCTCTCATGGTTACTTGCTTAAGGCATGTTATTTACATGTTATTTAAGTGCAATAAAGATGGGGCTGGAGCTTTTAAATTTCCTGGGGTATGCTGACATTATTCTAAGAAGTAGATCATCATTACTATTTGCTAGAATCATGGATTTTGAACAGGTTCTGAAGTTTGAAACCATAAAACATGAAAAACCTTTATTTTTAAAAATTCTGTCCGTAATAGCAATTCCATTTGCACTTCATGCACACAGAAAACTTAATAGTGTACAACATTGCGCAAGCAACATGTCAGCTATTCGGCTGTTGAGCATCCAGTTCAAATTATATGTAAGATATCTCGTTTTATTGTTTGTTATTTTGCTATATGGGGCTGGTGGGAGATACCATCCAAAACAAATGGAGGGCAACATTTTGGCTAAGGCTGCCCAATTGCCTAAGGTAGTATTCACACTGTAAATGATATTTATTGGAAATAAAGCTCAAAACGACAAAAGGTTCAGCATATCTTGGTGACTCCCTCTTCTCATAGAAGCTGTTGGAGTCTTCAAACACAGATGGGGAACCTGGGTCATCCAGAGGTTGTTGGAGTACAGCTTCTGTCAGCTCTGACCATTGGCCCTGCTGACTGAGACGGGGAGAGGGAGTAGTATTTGGAGGGGCCAAAGTCCAGCGGTACTGCACATCCTTTGCGTGCAAATGGCTATCCTTGGCATCCGCAGGCAGGGCTGGGAAAGACGCTGATCTGAATTCCTGGTGAGCTGCTGCCCATATAAACAATACTGTGCTAGATGGATCAATTGTCTGATTCCATATAAAGCAATGTTCTGCGTTCATATGCAGCAGTATATCTCCAAATACTAGTTACTGGGAATCACAGGGGGGGAGGTCGCTGTTACACACACTTTGCACAGTGGTATAACATGGGTTTCCAAGGCCCAGGGCAAGGAAAGTATTGTGCTCCCTAACCAGCAACTCCATGCAGTGCTGCTGCTGCTGCTGCTGGAGGGAGCTGTGGAGCAGTGGCAGCACATGCGTGTGCATCTCCATGGGTTGGGGCGCTGCCACCACTGCATGTGGGGACACCGTGTGGCCAAGAGATAGATACAAGGGCCCACCCTCTCAACAGCTCCTGCTCGGCATGCTGCTCAGATGAGGCAGGTGTGTGGGACGGAAAGCACCTCCAGTCGGGGAGGCAGCTGCAGAAGCGCACCCCTAATTTTTTTGTGCTTGGGGTAATCGTCCTGGTAGGCCTCCCCACCATGCTATGCCTCTGCATTCCCCTGGGCATCTGGTTGGCCTCTGTGAGAACAGGATGCCCAGGGGTACCAACTTGAATAAAATATGGGGGCAGGTAAGCCCTGTCCCACATAATCACATGATGCGATGCCCGCACACCATTTGAATGGGAATGCCCGTCAACTTTGGGGGGGTCTGGCCCCCTCAAATATTTTATTGGGGGGCCAAAGACCCCTCAGCCTGTAGGAGTTAGCTCCTATGAGGATGCTGGACTAGATTGGGGCTTGGGTCTGATGCAGCAGGGCTGTTGATATGGAGCGGCATTTGAGAAGTGGAAGAGCTGCAGACACAATCAGAATACAGTGGTACCTCAGGTTACATACGCTTCAGGTTACATACGCTTCAGGTTACAGACCACTAACCCAGAAATAGTGCTTCAGGTTAAGAACTTTGCTTCAGGATGAGAACAGAAATTGTGCTCCGGCGGCACGGCGGCAGCAGGAGGCCCCATTAGCTAAAGTGGTGCTTCAGGTTAAGAACAGTTTCAGGTGAAGAACAGACGTCCGGAACGAATTAAGTAGTTAACCCAAGGTACTTCTGTACTATGTTCCCTCAGGGGTCAGTTATACTAACTACACTACCTCAGCCTTGACTTGCCTGCTTTTTTACTTCCATTCAGTCAGCATGGTAGCACGGTCTGTCAGCTTCCTGCTTCTCAATGTCAGTGTTGCCATTGTAGAACTCAGCAGGGAGCAGGATGGAGACAGCAACTAGAATCAGCTAGCTCTGCCTGTGACTGGGTCTGACCCCACCTACTGCTAGCCTTCCTCCCTTCCGCCCTCCTAATCCCAGTGGGGACCAGCCACCATGGCCTCCCACATATTCTCACCTTTTCCCTCTGAGGGCTCCCATGCATCACTCAGACAAGGAAAACCGTGCCTGTTGCTTCTCTCCCACACAACTTTGCTTCTCTCCCACACAACAAGCAAGGTTGGCAGCATGCTTCTGTCAGCACTCATTCCACCACAGGGGTTGTTCCAGAAAAGCTGTGACTGTTTTAGTTGTGTCTCTGGTATTGCAATGGCTAGCAGATTCCCATCCCTGGCCAGTAGCCCATTCCCATTTCTGATGTCTTCACAAGGGAACACAAAGTGGGTTCGCCATGGCCGCAAGCCCCCAGGGCTTTATTTTTTCCTAGCCTTTCCATTGGAGTAGTGATGTGTCTGACCTCAAGATCCATCTTGACACCCACTTGTGAAATGAACCAAGCAGTGCTGTAGTCAATAAGCAGCTTTGTGGGGAAATAATCATTTGAGATTTTATAAACAACTTGTGATTGGATAGGATGAAGGGGGCTTAATAAAGGCCATAATAAAGCAGACTGTTGCCAGGGTGAGGCTGTTAATCTATGCATAAATCATAGCGATTGTGATTCATACCAAACTGCCTTTGGTAAAACAGAAAAACGAAAGTCTATGTTTTGTTTATTTTTGTTTATTTATTTGATTTCTAAACCCACCCTTCATCATAAGGTCTCAGGGTGGTTCACAGAATATGTATTGTGGGTGCTTTAGCCTAAATGTCCCAAAGACACGTTTGAACTTCCAAACATTTTGCTTGGCTCTGCCCCCACTTGCCCCACACCACATATATAATAGTAATTTTCTGAACAGTTTGAACACTATATTTAAAAAGAATTCAGAGAAAAGGAAACCCAGTCTTGTTCCAGAAAAGAAATAATAACTATTCATAGAATGAGGAGCTGTACCATTCATTTTACTGCATGTGCGCTTAAAAAGAAAGCATGTGTGAAAAAATAGATGTATACAGTTAAAATTGCTTAAAGAAATTTTACTGAGAGTAAAAGAAGAAAGGGGGTGGGGAGAGATTTCTTGATAGAATTAGATGCCTGATTTTATCCCCGTGCCACATCACAGAGGAACCAGGAAATTGTTCTTCATAGAGAACAATGAAAATATTTGTCATGAAATCAGGGCTACATCCCTTTCATTCTTTATGCAGTGGTGGCAAGATTCAGCTTCTCACTATCAGCCTACATGATGGTAATTTTATTGCTTTTTTATTCACCACCTTCCTTCAAAATGCTACTGACAAAAATGATTTCTGTGAATTGGCAATCAAGAATAATGCACAAAGCGGATCAGTAATTGCTGAACGCTAAGACTCCTTGCTGTGACATAATTCTCACTGTTTATTACTATGTTTTCTTTTCATGCTGATTAAAAGTGCTTTATTTTCAGTGTGTTGTACGTACTGACATCTTTCGTGGTCCTTCGCTAGATGTTTTTCACTGGGTAGAAGTATAGACATCTGATATACCATCCATTGTTTCCTTTTTCTTTCAAGAAAGCCAATTGATTAAATTGAAAATAATATTCTGCTTCAATTTTTATTTTATTTTTTAAAAATTTACATACTGGCTTCCTACTGGCTAAATGATGTGGCCTATGGAATCTTGCGCCAGGCTAACTGATTAGCTGAGGTTTTTTAATATGCCACCTTTCCACAGTGAGCTGTGCCCAAAGCAGCTTTAAAAATTGCTTATCTTATCAAAGTACAAATCATTGGGGTGGAGGCCTAGAAGTCAGTTTGCAACACATATTAGTAAATTCAAATGGGACAAAAATCATTTAGCAAACATAGCATAAATTCAGTATTACAAAATAAATAATCTGGACTTAAATACATAAGCAGAGAGCTCAGTAAGAAAATTAACAAATGATAAAGTTCCAACTGCTAGCACAGGTCAAAGGAGCCTCAGGCACTTGGCATACATACCGTACGCCTCTGCATAAACATTAACATTTCCAAGCACCGGAAAATGTGAAATTTAGTGCATACGTGCAATGTAATAGCACAAGAAACAAGAAGCTGGAAACCATGGGGTCCATTTTGATGTTATTGGTGATAACAAACTCTTGCTTACCTCCCTTAATTCGGTACACCTTCCCAGTCCTAACAGAACATCATGAAAATCAGATTTACATTTTTCTAAATTTGGGGTCTTACAAGACAATTTGGGATTCTGCAAATTGGGGATTCTACAAGGCAAGACTACCAGTGCAATCCTATATATGTCTGTGAAGAAGTTAAGTCCATTAGACTTATTCCCAAGTAAGAGTGCACAGAATTGCAGCCAAAAGCATATGGTATATTGATACAAAACAGCTCAATGTCTCAAACAAGGACTTTCAGAATGGTAGAAAAATGGTTGTGAGTAATATATACAAGGAGTTCCTTTAAAAGAGATTTTCTTCAGACACTATAGGAAACAAATCATACGCTTTGCAAATAAAACTAAAATGGACGTTAAGTCAAAGGGAATAAAGGACACAGATGCGTAAAGACTTTTATTTAGGTCACTGGGCTGGTGAAGTGCACCCGCTGCAGTCAATGCAGTCATATTCAATATAATTAGTCTAGCACATGTACCGAGTGGGGGACGTTCTGCTCAACAGAACAATCATTCAATGCAGCAATTGAAAAAAAGGTTTGGGCCTCACTGCTGTTTTCAGTAATATTTCATCAGCCCAGGAACAGATGCAGCTGCAGTAAAGACAAACACATTAGAGGGTAAAAACAGGAGGACAAACCACAAGAGACTCTGGGTTACAATGATAAGGCAGCTGTTTTGTAAAATAATGTGTTTAATGCTGCTGCTGAAATTCACAAATTCAGGTCAAATATAGAGGTGGTGACTGGACTTTAAAAATTCTACCACCCTTATCCAAACCCATAATGTTTTTGTCGAACATGCTTTGCATAATTATCTCAAGTTCCAGTGTGTTTTTTGCAACATTTAAATACACTTTCTGTATTTTATTCCATGTCTGTTTGTGCAAACCGTCTCACAGTCTGCATATTTCGGTACAAACAATAAAATACTAATGTATAGCAGAAATGCATCTTACACAATAAGTATTTCTATTAATGGAGCCCCTGTTTCACCTCAAGCAAACAACATATATGCATCACATGCCAGAATATACTTGCAATCACTTGGTAACAATCATCTGTACACAGAGCTCCAATGAGCTCTGACAGGTCAGAATCTTTAAACCTAAGGCTGTATCTGTGGTTTGAATAAACAGAACTTGGAATGGAACCCCAGAGGATTTGAAACCGGTCCTGCGTTTAGGATAGATCGTTAGCCAACAAGACTAAGACCAATCCTAATTTTGGTTTTATTCCTGTTAAGGAAGATAATGGGATTTAGATTTACTTCATAGGGACTATAATGGAAGGCAGGTAAGGAGGTGAAGACTTTTATAAAGCTTGTGCTCTGTGTTTCAGTTCTCATGATCAAATTCTGGCGGACACACACACACACACACACACACACACACACACACAGAGAGAGAGAGAGAGACACAGACTTTGCTCCTGCTTGGCTGCTCCCTCTAGGCAAGCAGGGAAATGAATCAGAAAGCTATAGTTAAGCATAGCTCCTCACTATGTGTGAAGTGGGAACTATAGTTAAAGGTAAAGGTAAAGGCACCCCTGACCATTAGGTCCAGTCCTGGACAACTCTGGGGTTGCGGCGCTCATCTCGCTTTATTGGCTGATGGAGCCGGCGTACAGCTTCTGGGTCATGTGGCCAGCATGATTAAGCCGCTTCTGGTGAACCAGAGCAGCGCACGGAAACGCTGTTTACCTTCCCACCGGAAGGTATTTATCTACTTGCACTTTGACTTGCTTGCGAACTGCTAGGTTGGCAGGAGCGGGGACCGAGCAATGGGAGCTCACCCCGTCACGGGGATTCGAACAGACCTTCTGATCGGCAAGCCCTAGGCTCTGTGGTTTAGACCACAGCGCTACCCATGTCCCAGGAACTATAGTTAACGGCTCCCAAACAAGCCAGAATTTGGAAGCTAGAGGTGTTTGTGAGCAGGGTAGGTGAGGGAGGGACTGCTAACCATCTTCTGTTTGTCATAAGGACAGGCATCCCAGTAGTAGTTTTTAATCAGCAACTCCAACCATTCTCATGATAGGTTAAAGGTGTTAGCAAATGACTCAGTTTTAAACATGTTTCCGATGATTAACCCCATGAGACACAAAGACAACAATGTGATTGATACAGCTCTGATGACTAACTTTAAAAAATGTCAAGATGCTGTCTAGTCATGTGGGAGTGTTGCCATATTGGCTGGGAATCCTGGAAGACCTACTCCCTGCCTTGCAGCCCTTTTCTCACTTGACCAGGGAGGGTGGGGTCCTGACTGACTCCAGCTACAAAAGCTGAGGCTGCGGAAGAGACTATTGGGCTGGGGTATTGTTTGGGTTTTTTTGCTGGGGGGTTGTTGCTGTTATTGATTTTTTGTGTGTGTATATTTATTTTAGATCTATGATTTATGTGGAAATTGTTCTATTTGTTTGTGTACTTTTTGATGTGTTTTATTTATTTCACAAACAAAAATGGCCCTATAAGGCCCTCAGACAAAATCTCAGAAATGTGTTCATGCACCAGTCACTGCTAGTGCTATTTTTCCCGGCCAATATAATGCTGAATTTGCACAATTTCACCGATGTCACCATATATAGATAACATACGAACATAACAGCCCTGCTGTTATGCTGGACATGATGGGCATAACAATTAGGAACAGTGGATATGAGGATAACAGCCATTATTTCTTTGCTAAAAACTCTGTCAACTCTGTTGTGTAGGCATCTTTTCATGTACATTAAAAGTTCACTTTTTCAAGTGGTCACAACAGAGTTACAACAGAGAACGCTTTAAATACATACAACTTGTTTATACTGTATATTTGTTTATGTATTTATTTAATATTTTTACCTGCCTTCCATTCCAAATGCCCTCAGTGTAGCTCACAACATAATTTTAAACAACCTACAAGATACACTCAATAATAAAATAATATCCAAGAACAGAAACAAAAAATTGACAGGCTAAAGCAGATGCATAAAACAACCAAAAATATTGGCTTAATTCAATGCTGCCAAGTGTTGTTGTTTTTAAATATTTCTCAAAAGTTATAAATTAAAAAGTTCTGCATTAACTGAGGCAAGGCGTTCAGACATCAAAACAGGTAATCACAGCATTGTGTTGTTAGGGTGAGTTCAGGAAGCTAATTGTGTCTCTGTGGGGACAAGGAAAGGCACTTTTGACAAGGTCAAAAGCACTTTCCGGGAGTTACACCTGCTTTCTGCAAATCTATTTCATAGTAAATGAGAATGAGAAATAGGTGTAACCTAGTCCTGAAACAGGAAGAATAATGCATGGACTGTAGAGAATGGTATTGGCTCCAAGTTTTGAGGGGCATTGGGGGCCTTCTCATCAAGGAAGGCCACAGTGCCTGTTTACTTGCACTCTGCCTCTCGGCAGATTGGGAAGAGGGGGAAAGCACAGGGCAGCTGAAAGATGCTGGTTTATCTCCTCCCTTTTGCATGCTCAGGAAAGGCAGGTGAACAGGCAGTGAAAGCACAGCAAGGAGGAAGAGAAGCAGGAGGCTTGGAGGGTCAACCGTGGTCCCCTTGCAGGGCTGTGCACCTTGACAGGTCTCAAATGATGCTTAGCCCTGATGCCAGCCTTGGCAGAGAACAAAGTCGCTACCAAGAGATTCAGACTACCTCATACAGAGATATTAATTTGGTTTGTCATACAGCTGAGCGTTCCATGTTTTGAATTGCATGCAGTTATTTTCCATGGAATCCCAGCAACTGCATTAGGATCTACCCAAATATGACTTTAAAAAAAAACAGGTTATTGCAGAAAAAAAGATACTTCATAGTTTCTGTTGACTGAGTGCCCGCCCGCCCTTTCTGCTTTTACCTTTGGAGATCTAGTGTTTCTTCCTGTGTAATCCTTAGTCATGTCAAGCCAGTCATTTTCAATTGCAAAAGAGCTACTTGCATCCAGCATCCAGTTATATTGTGGAACTTCCAAATTCTTTTATCGTCAGTATGGTAGAAGCAAAAACAGCAGCAATAAAAACAAAACATCTAAGGCAGCAGATACTAATGGTATAGTAGACACCCCTGGAATATGTTGGGCTTTATATTGTAGCATAGTTGCTGTTTTAAAAACACACAAACACCCACACCCTTGTTACTTTCCACCATATGTAAAACATCTCCAGCTTTTTCCATGCTGGTTGTTTGGTCTAGCTTTTACATTTGGATTTTATTCCTTTCTCCTGGACTTTTCTGTTGGCTGACATTCAATGATGACTGTCCACTCGTAGATGGCAGCAGTCTCATTAGCAGAATGGGGAAGGGGGTCATGTTTGTGACACCCCCCCCCTTTCATCTCTAGCCCTCTGGAACTGTTTTATTTATCATTATTTCATACAATGTCTATATTGATTGATTGAAAAAAACCCCTCAAGCAGTTTGCAAAAAAGAAAACCGTAAAATTATTGTTAAAAAAAACTATTTAAAGCATTTTTTAAAATGTAATCAGTGATAAACTTAAAACAGATTAAAACACACATCAAAATTCTAGATATCTGGACAGACTTTTAGATGCATCAGGGTGGGAAGAGTATCGGCAGAAATGGCCTTCCTTGTTTGGAAAATGACCTTGTTCTGCTGGCAGATTCCTTTTTTCAGTGGACAGTCGTAAGTGGGTGTCACCTAATAAATATTAAAATTACAGCATTTCTCTGGTTTTGGGTGTAGCTTTTACAAGATAGATCATAAAGACTAATAATTATGTTGTAAGTATTACCATCACTTATTTTCACATAATATTTTTTCACACAATCATTTCTGTCAGAACTGATCTTGTTTTTATTTCTGTAATTTTATGCAGGTTTTTATATAAGTAGATAGGTAGATTTAAATATGTCATTGTACCATATCTTTCCCCCAACGTTTGTGTGTATTAAACAAACCTGAGTTGGCCTAATGAAATAGTTTATAATTATACTACATTAGCTTTTTAAAAGTGTGCTTTTACTAGAACTATATCTACAATAACACTAGCAGAGAAATTCTAGTGATAGTGCAATCCCATACATATTTACTGAGTATCACTATATTCAATGGGACTTACTCTGAGAGGATTGCAGTACGAAGGAACTAATATAGAACATTGCATTACAACATATAATGTTTGAAGACAAATAGGTACCTAATTCAGAAAAAAGTCTTACACTTAGGGAAGTACATTGAATACATAGCACTTTTTGGTGTCTCAAGGCTAAAATCAAACATAAATAATGATCATATGGAATTCCATGCTGCTGTGTAACATATATATATATTTCAAACACTAGTTAAGACCAGTCTTAAGGTTATATATTCTTATAAATTTGACAGAGCTTCTTGGAAACTCATACGTATTATGAAGTGAAATCCTCTATACCCATATAGGATGAAATCCAATTTGTCCATTGATTTTAATGAGTCTTCTGTGAGTATGACTAATGTTGGTTATCTCCCATTTGGTTATCTCCCATTGATAGCATGCGTACCTTTTACATGCACATTTACAATCTGCTGGTAATAAATATTACAAACACAAGACGGTAGTCAACTAAATAAATGCCTAAGGGGAACAATTTTCACTTGCGCCAACAGGAATTTCCTCACCTCTGCCTCCCCTGCACACACCTTGCGTGGTCTCCAATTCTGCTTCAGAGGGTTGGGGGAACCCCTAGAACATATTTCGGGAGCACACAGGGGAGGGGGGTGTATTTGTGGCACAAGGAGATATCCTTGCGCTAACGGAAAGCTTGCCTTCGCACTATGTTGAACTCCACCCATAATTTTTTGTGACTCTTCAGCTGCCAATGCAAGTTTTCCACTGAATTTGATGGAACTTCCTTCTAAGTAGACATATATGAGATGGTACTGCAACATTTTGCCTTGCACAGAAGAGTGTTTAAAATGCCTCTCTGAATTAGGTAACAATCCAGCTCTCCTTAAGTACAGTAACAGAACTGTTGCTTTGTAACTCACATCAGAAATCATTTTGCCAAGGAACATAAGAACAGTCTCCTGGATTTGGTCAATGATCCATCTAGTTCAGCATCCTGTTCTCACAGTAGCCAATGGACACCTATGGGAAGACCACAAGTAGGACTTTTCTAATCCTGCTGTTTCTGAACCACACTACTTCTATCAGTAATGGTAGAACAAGGTCTTCTCCTTCATGGATCTGTCTATGAGAGCATAAGAAAGCACTTGGGAAGTAATTGTAAAATGTCCAGAGTCTTGGTATCAAAAGATTGCCTTTATGTTACTTAAAATTCAAATTTCTTGATTTTCTGTATATAATAACCGTATCTAATAGAAAAACTGTTGTTACTGCCAATCAGTATTCTTGTTTTAGGTACGGTATATAAAAAACAAGGCTCACAGCTTAAAGCATTATCTTGGAAACATGCTCCAACAAGAAATGTGTCCAACCTATAGGTCACTCACTAACATTTACTCAGAAGCCTAAAATGAAATTTCGGGGGGTGGGCGCAGGAGCGACAGCTGAGGTGAGAAAGCAGTCAGAGCTGCAGGCAATATGACCACCAGACAGAATAATTGGGACTGAGATATACTTGGAAGCTGGAAGACAGACTTTGACAAGGCTTACGTGGTTCTGGGGCAGTTCTTAGTGCTAAAGGTCAAGGACCTCTTCTGTGAATGGCTGAAGGACATGTGTGGCACCAATGCCAAGCAATCCAGAGACTGTTACGGCTGCCTGAAGGGTGAGATTTTTCTTGTGAGTGACGTTGGCCAAAGCCTGGTGGATGCTGTTAGGGCTTTTGTAGTTGAATAGATTGTCCCTCCCCATCTCTCCTAGCACCTACTCTTTATAAACCTTCAGCACCTACATGGGCTGCTGTGGGCTCTTGCTCCCAACACTGGTAGCAGGGGAGCCATGGCTGCCTTTTAATGTAACAGAATCTTTGTTCCTTCAGGGAGAGGGTTGAGAAACATCCAGTGTTCTAATGTGCTTTTTTAATGTGGCTTTGATAGCACCCCCCCCACAGGCCACCCAACTCCAGAACCAGACCTGCCTAACAGTAATAGAGGTTCCCCTGCTCCCTTTCTTTGAGCTCCAGTTAGACTGAGGTTTACCTGTCTGAAAACAAAAGATGTATTAGGATTATTTTTCTGTTTTCTCTCCAGCGTCTGGTCCTCACCATAACTTTCATGCAACTTGGTTCACTGGCAAGAACCAAAAATCATTGCAATACAATAAAAATCAGCAGTGTTAACTAAATAAAAATAAAATGATTTTCAGTAAGTTTTGTTTTGTTATCAATGCACAGAATTGTTAACTGAAGTTCCAGTCCAAAGTCTTCCTACTGAGAAGCCCCACTGAATTCACTGGGCTTTGTCGTCAGCTAACAAGAGATAATTGAACCAATCTCTTGAAATATATTATTCAGAAGCAGACTTTATTCATTATGTATTTTGAAATGTTACATCCTAAGTCTTAAAAATAGCTTTTATTAGAACTCTTACTTAAAACTGGCATTAGATTCCCGTAATCAAATGTTAAACTTAAAAAAGGTTTCCTACTCCCACTACCTTTTCAGCCAAGTTGGAAGTATCACTTTGAATTTGCCCAGACTTGCCCCCTTAACTTTCTCTTTTGCCATGCTAATGTGATATTTTGCTAGGTTTGTTGATGTGCTAATAGTCTACATTGCTCTCTTTCAGAAACTACTAAGAATTCCAATTAGCATGACCAAAGGCCTTAGGCGTATCTAAGGTAGTCTTTTGGATCAGTTCTTGGCTTTGGAGACTGTTGGGGAAGGACAGAAAGACTTAATTTTGAGTGGTGTTTAATGTTTAGTGAATGACAAACATGTTTAAATAGAAAATAAAAAGGGCAGTTAGTAGTTAACAGATTAAAATGTTTTAAAACATGAAGCAGCACGCTAACATTAAATTTGCACCCTAATCCCAAAAACTTTATATGAAAATAACTCCTACTGAAATGAATGGAAGTTCCACAAAAGGTGTTTGGGATCAAGACAATAATTTCCATTTAGGGCAGCAGATTCCTAGATTCAGGATATTCTAGAAAAGCTTTAACAACAATTACTGTACATTCTGTAATGTACATACTGTACACATTAGATTATTTCACTGTGATGTTATATAAACCAAAATATGTTTCTGTTTTAACTGACCTATTTTTATCTAATATTATTGGTGTAAATAGATGTTTAAAAAGGTATTTTCTTGGGCAAGAGGGAAAGAACTATGGAGTAAATTTCTAGAACTTTACTTCCAAGAAATTTGATTCCAAGCATGACAGCTGTTTGGGAATAAAAAGCTGGCCTGGATATTTACATTAGACAATTCATATTTGTTCTGTTCAGCTGTGTTTATGATCCTAAAATAGTCTGCGCTGCCAAGTCACTCGAGAGGTTTAAAAATTCCAGTTGGTCAGAGTTTCTAATTCCCACCACCCACATTGCCTCCCCCCTATCCCCCCCTCCAATTATTGCTCAATAAATGCAGAGGTGGTAGGGGATAGCTACTGCGAACTAAAAGCCATTGTTAAAAAAAAATATTTAAATTAATTTCTTTTTTATTACAAATAGCCAAGGATTTTTTTCCAAAATATAAATCTGTAAAACAATCATCTTGACTGTACAATTTCATTTACAGTATACAATCCAGAAAAAGTACACAGTTAAAGAACTGTTTTTATACATTAGCCCTTGGCCACAAAACAAAGAATTTGGCAGTACTACTACAACTTTAATGACTATGGGGTGAAAATCAACATATCAATTACATCATCTAACTTCATTATCAAAGCGGGATACATACATACATCATTGTACAGGGAATGTTAATTTTTTTAACTGGAAACTGTCATCATGTTGTAGTTTTTGGAAGGGCTGGCTCTGCCAATTCTCCACTCCTCTTTACAGCTGCTCATGCTCTCAAGAGCTTTGGCATTCTTCACTGCTGGCTGAGGGCCTTCATAGAGGACACAGATCGACCCATCTTCTCCGATGCGATAGGACACCTCAAAGGGGTCGATCCAAAGAGTTAATTCGCTGGGCAGGAGCTGGAAGAGTCTCTCGTGGCTTAGTCCGATCATACCCGCTGCCTTTCCTATCAAGGGGTCCATCTTGTGATTGATCCTAATGCAGCGGTATCCTGAGCCTTTGGAAGGCATCAGGGGGAACCAGTGGTGCTTATAATGGTCTGCAGAGGGTGGGGGGAACAAAGGAAAGAGGAAGAAGAGTTACAGCCTCTGGCTCACAGTCCCCGTCCTTCAGCTGTCTTGCCTGAAGAGGGATTCAAAACACAGAGAAGAGGAGAAAACGACACAAAGGGGGGGGGGCCTGTTTAGAAACACAAATAACGAGGACGTCAGTACTGTTATCACTGAAAGTAAAGGAGGGCTGCCAAGGAGACAGGTCGCCAGCCTCCCCCTCCAAGTCGGAGGAGCTCAAACTGAGGCGAATTTAAGCTCCTTAATCGTTGAGAAGTGGGGGGTGAGGGGGGAAAGGAGAAAGGAAAAGTGGTCCATAAGAACCCCATAGCAGCACAGCAGGGACAGTTAGGAGTTGGGGAAAGATATTTCGAAATCCAACCCGGGTATTGGGGCGGGGGGGGGAGAGGAGAAAAGCGACGAGAGGCTGCTCTGTTCGTTGGGGGGGGGTTCTTTCTTTGGGGGGTGGCTTCCTCTTTGTGGCAGGAGGGAGGCATCGACTCCCCTACCCCCCGCGTGCGACGGCTGAGGGGTTTCTCGGGGCTCTTTTTCTTCAACTCCCCCATCACCATCGTCGTCGTCGTCAACAACAACAACAACGGCGCTGGGTGGGGGGGGGAGAGGTTTGGGGGTCATGGGGGCGCCCCTATCCTCCTCCGCCGCCTCACCTCGCAGCGCCTCCTGGAGGGACTCGCTGAAGCAGCGCAGCTCCTCGTCGCCGATGCCGCCGGGCGTCCGGAGGAGGCGGGTGATGAAGCCCGCAGCCGAAGAGATCTCCGTCTTCATGGCCCTCCACAGTTCCCTCGCGGCCTCACTCGGTCCTTATCTTTCCCCACACTCTCTGTGTGTGCGCGCGCAGGGGGGGGTATGGGGGGGCTGGCTTCGTTGCTGCGGGAGGCTGCGGAGGAGCTGAGGGAGATAAGCGGGGGCTGTTGCGAGGTGCCGATCCGTGCTGCCGACTCTCCCTTGCTGCTGCCGCCACCCACTCAGCGCTGCCGCAGCTGCGCGAGGAGTAAACAGATCGAGACGCACAGACAAGAGGCGGCCTTTTCCCCCCCACCCACCGCCGCCACACTCAGCGGGAGGGGCCGAGACACCAGGCAGCCAATGACGCCGCGCCCCCCCCAGCCGCTACATCACAGAAACCGGGCGTTCCGCGTCGCCGACGCCGAGCCGCCCCTCCGGATTGGGCGACGGGTGGACATTTCAGCCTCCTGATTGGCCGGCGGGCAACGAGGAAGTCGGTGGAAGGTGGCGGTTGACGGAGTCTCTCCTTCCCCCTCTCCTCCCCCGCTCGCACTCCCCCCCCGCAACTCCGCGCAGCAGGAAAAGTTTGGGAGGGGGCGGGCCTGGTTTTCTACCAATGGGAGAAGCGCGGAAGGGGCAAGTTTATTTGTTCCTTGCGTCAGTCTGGCGGCGCCTCTTGAGTCAGCCGCTGGCGGGGGTGGGATGAGGGAGCGGAGAGGCTGGAAGGGCGGGGGGAAGGGAGAGGGAGACTGCCGATCCTTTTGGGGATGGTGGGTCTGATCTGCGGTGCCTGGAAATCTTTGGCAAGGGAGGAGCGTGGCGCCTCCGGAGCCACAGGGGAGGGAGCGCGGGCGCCCGCTGCGGGACGTGACTTATGAGAAGCGCCCAGGAGGCGGGAAAAGGGAGGGGGCAACATGACTAATCCGAGCACAGGAGGCTTCACAGGAGTGCTGCAAAGACGCCTATTATCTCAAGTTACTCTCATTGTTATCGGGTCATACAGTTATCTTTGTGTGTCCTAAGAGGAGACTGCTGTGGAGTAAAAGCGAAGGAAGAGGCCCGTTATTATTTATTAAATTTGTATACCGCCTTATACCCTCAGGGCGGTTCACAAGATGCGTGAAGTACGGTCTGGGTAAAAGGGGATCTAGTAAGTCAAAGGCTCTTGAATTTTCGTTATTCACCCCCCCCCCCATCCACCAGCAAGAGATACCCGTGGATCACCATGTTTTTAGTGTCATGTCTGTAGCACCTTTTGGGTTTTTTTGTGGTGGCAGGACCTGTGTCAAAAATCTAGAAACTCCCATGAGGATCAGTGCTCCAGATCTATGTTTTTGTCCCAAGGCAGCTCACCACATCTGTCGCTTTTGTGGAATGTGGGTGTGGTTTGCAGGAGCCGGTAGAGAAACCTGTATAAACAAGTGAATTCTTAGGGATCCATATTGTTGTGCCATAGTGGCTTTCATAGTAGTATAAGATCCGTTGTTTTTGTGGTACAGTCTGTGAATAAAGATCATATATTTGCACATGAGATGAATTGTGGTTATAGTTTTTTTGGGGGGGGGATAGTGTGGCACTATCATGCAGCTTAAGAGTTCCATTTGTTATCTCCTAGATAACATTTACTTTCTTCCAAATGAAGTGGACTCTGATCCATGAAAACTTGCTACGTAATAAATGTAGTAATCTTCAAGGCAGAGCTTTCCAAACTCTGTGCCGTGACACAGTGTGTCGGCTGCAGTATGTGTTGTGTGATGTGTGTTCCTATCTTATAAGGGGTTAGTTTAATCTCCGGTTTGCTAGTAAAACTTTATTACCGTGTCGCAAAATGATGCATGCCTAAAAAGTGTGTCACCAACATGAAAAATTTGGAAAGTTCTGCTTTAAGGTGTCACAAGAGTCATATTTGTTTTTCCTGCTACAGACTAAAATGGTTTCCCCAGAGGAAACTTATTGAGATACTGCTTCTTGAAAAAAGTTAGATGGTAGTCATCTGTATGAAAAATTTTGAAAATTTACTGAGTGACTTTAGGCAAGCAAAACTTTTTTAGCCCCAGCACACCATTTGCTATGGCAATAACAATACAAGCTTCAGGGGTTTGGTCTGAGGGCAATGTTCAACCCTTTGAAGGCCACGAGCCAGCAGTGGTTGTGGCCAAAGTGGTCACATACATACTGCTGGCATACAGACTGTACAAATACGCATTTTCACTTCACAACCACCACTAATTTATGCACTGCTCTGTTTACTCACTCTTCTCCTTACTAGACTGTAGGGAATGGAACTAAACTTGATAAGAAGGGGAAAGTGGGCTTTATCTTTCCAAAAAGAAAGAAAAGGAGGAGGAGGAGTTTGGATTTGATATCCCGCCTTTCACTCCCTTTCAGGAGTCTCAAAGCGGCTAACATTCTCCTTTCCCTTCCTCCCCCACAACAAACACTCTGTGAGGTGAGTGGGGCTGAGAGACTTCAGAGAAGTGTGACTGGCCCAAGGTCACCCAGCAGCTGCATGTGAAGGAGCGGAGACGCGAACCCGGTTCCCCAGATTACGAGACTACCGCTTTTAACCACTACACAACACTGGAAAAGAACTCATTCTCTCCTTACCCTTCTTACCAGGCAGCAAAGAAGAGATTTTCATTTTTCTAACTTTTTTCCAAAAACAACTTTAAAAGTTTTTGGGGTATGCTGCCCCAGCACTTCCAATAACCTCTAATAAATTTTGAACAAAGTTTAGAAAAATGGGAGGGTCTCTTACTTGCCGTCTGCCTGCTTTCCCCTTGTTGCCTCCTCTTTACCAACCAAGCTGGCAGTAGCACCACTCTTACAACATCTTCTTGTTAGCTTTTCTCATTGGATGTGCTGCTGGTGAAGCAAAACTCTGAATTGTTTCGCCTGTCCTCTTCATTTCTCAGAGTGAGGCACTTTGGGGAATTAAAGATTGTGTGTGTGACTTGTCAGGAGCTTCACTGTGAAAAATAAAAATAACAAGCAAGACATTGGGACTGCTTCTGTGGCAGCATCATTAGGGGACCCTCCAAATGCTGCAATAATGAAGAAAGGGAAAGTGGGGAGGGGAGGAAAATATTTTCTAAGGAGCAGAGACAGCACCACCATCCCTCCCACTGCAATGTGATGATGGGAATGAAACACTACCTGTGCATTTCTGAGATTTCTGAAGAGCAGAGACAGTGATATTACTTCTCATTGCAGTGCTGGGCTGGGAGGAGAGGAGTCTCTTGTACATTGCCATTGCTAGCAGGTTGGAGGTGCTTAGAAACAGGAAGAGAGCACTCCAGCTTGCTAGCAATGGTGGTGTACAAAAGGAAGAAGAGACACTTTTGGAAGTTTGAGAAGAAGTGTCCTTTCAAGATAATTGGTTTTGCTGAGGTCTTGGCAGCCTGCTTGAAGTGACTAGGCACACCTGATCTGACCCACCACAGAAGTGCCACCCCTCTTCTCAGGATTATTGACATAATGTACCTAAAGCATTCAATACACTTAGGATATTTGCCAAATATTATTAGAATAATATATTACAATGTCCTTTGGTTTGTTCATTCAATAAAGAATCCATTACTGTTACCAAGGCTTACTGGGTAAGAGAAAAAGATTACACAGCAGGCTTCATCATCAAGTGTATAAACTTTATTGAGGCTGATGTACATCTTGTGCTACTTGGAGCGTGACCGAAGGAAGTGTGACTCACAGATAGTAATTCACAAATACATGGCACAGCAGTAGAAGCTGCAGTTGCCGAGTATTTTGAATGAGGCATTTATTCTGATACTGCATGAGGAATGTTGGCACTCTCACACAAGGCTGTGGCATTTCATAATGTGTTAGCACTGGGAAATGTACACGGTTCCTTACGCAGCTGAACAGATCATAAATTCCTTGGGGACTGAGAAGGCTGAGCTTCAAATCTATGTGCCCATTTTTGTTCTGCAGAGCTGTGGCTTCTCTGTTCTTTAGGACACCCTCAAAACAAATTTTATTAATAGCACCCAGAGGAAGCTACAGAAGAAAAAAAGATTGGAAGGGAGAGATTGGAAGCCCCAGTTGACTTCTAAAAAAGGGCCCAAAGGCACTTGGAGAAGCCCAATGAAAGTAATTAACAACAATAAAAGTGAAGGGAATCAACAGAGGAGACCCATTGCATTTAATGGATGTGGCTTACTTAGGTCCACTGATTTCACTGGATCTACCCGGATTAAGACATATATGCACACCCATATATACACACGCATACACACAACCCACTGTTTGTAAAAAAGAAGCAGCTACAGAATTACGCTGGGATTCTCAGGGGTCTCCCAAAACCTCTTTGTGGACTGTGGGTTAGTCACCCCAATGTAAAAGACCCTCGTATATACTTGAAAGTCAGCTCATTTTCTGTCCAGATCTGCCTTGATTTTTCATCACAAAAGGAAGGTGAAATAATTACCTCATGATATATTTATGATATGCAGCTAATGGAAGAGGGAAGCCTGCAAAGTATTTTCAGTTTAGGATAGCTATAAATAGTGTGATGGGAAGTACAAATGTTATTGATGTTCTAAGTGGACTAGGTCATTGTGTCAGATATAATATAGCTGAAGACACATAACTGTCATTTTCAACAAAAAGTTGATGCAGGCAACTTCTGAAGGGATTATTACCACAGCCAAGGATGGCCAGTGCAAATATATTGCTATTCCCCTAATTCCCCTGACTCTACAGTTTATAAATACAGTGGTACCTTGGGTTAAGAACTTAATTCGTTCTGGAGGTCTGTTCTTAACCTGAGGTACCACTTTAGCTAATGGGGCCTCCCACTGCTGCTGCACCGCCGTGTGATTTCTGTTCTCATCCTGAAGCAAAGTTCTTAACCCGAGGTACTATTTCTGGGTTAGCGGAGTCTGTAACCTGAAGTGTCTGTAACCTGAGGTACCACTGTAATGACTTCTGTCCCTGACAAATGATTCTTGTTTTGCCTGATACAGGCTCGGACCTACAACCTGTCTATATCTCCTGCCTCTTGCCCACTTGACAATTACATACAGTACCTTTGAGCAAGCGGGAGTTTGCTGTAGAGCTATGCTCTACGTGCATGTCTTGGAACTCTTGTGTTTGGAAGAGGACTTAAAAAACAGCTACTCCCATGTTTTATGTAACCGATGGAGAGCTGGTAGTTTTTCTTTATACGCCAGGTTCATTCACTGTGTGGAGTGAATCCTCTTCAGAACTGAGTGACATTACTGAGGGATATTTAGAGCTCTCAAAAGCACCTGAAGATGTTAATGAGGCAATTAATTCAGTGCCCACAAGTTGTTTTAGGCTTCTAGACATCATACAGGAGATTCATAATCAGAATGTGGGGAGCAGGACAAGGGAAATGCCATAGCTCTGTGGGTCCAGGTTGAATTGCTGGAATCTCAGTAGGGCTGTCTGAAAACTTGATTGTAAACTATATGATGTTTGAGCTAGGTGAACCAATGGCCTGATTCAGTACAGTTTGCTAAGATCTTTGTGCAGTCAGAGAATCACCCTTTCATAGATCAAGCAGCACACTCAGTAACACAGATCTGATGAAGTGGATTTAAAAAAAAAAGTTTTATTTTTTATTATTAAAGATTTTATTGTTTTACAGAACTAAGTGTAATGTCTCTCATATTTTTTCCATGTAACATTTCTACAAATCCGTTTCATTTGTTGAGACATTAGGGGGAGAGAAAAAGAGAAGGGGTGGAGGGAGGGAAGATGGGTGGGGGTGGGGTCGGGTGGCGATGTTTCTGTTATGATTAATGTATGTAGGGTTTGGTGTCAGCGTTGCTTGTGCTGTTCACTTGTGTTCCTTTGGTGGTGAGAGAGGTTGGGGTTGGCCTAGGGTGTGGTTGTTTGTTTGTGATTGGCTGTGGTGATCTTTGTTTTCATGTGTGAGTGGGGTGAGTGGCTGTTTTGGATCAGGTTAGCCATATTGATTTGTATTCTGTTGGTGGATTATTGTCATTGTTTTGTTGGGCTGTGTACGTGATAAAGGGGAGCCATACCGGGGTAAAGGCGTCTTCTTCTGTTTGTCCCCATGTCAGTTTCAGTTTATTGGTTAATTTTTCTGATGAAGTGGATTTGAGACTACAAAAGCTTTTGACAAATTTGCTCGTAGGGTGGTAAAGGACCCTTAATTAATTATTCAGTATCTCCATACTGCTCACTGGAAGGACAGATCGTGAAGCTGAGGCTCCAATACGTAGGCCACCTCATAAGAGAAGACTCCCTAGAAAAGTTCCTGATGTTGGGAAAGATTGAGGGCACAAGGAGAAGGGGACGACAGAGGATGAGATGGTTGGATAGTGTTCTTGAAGCTACTAACATGAGTCTGACCAAACTGCAGGAGGCAGTGGAAGACAGGAGTGCCTGGCGTGCTCTGGTCCATGGGGTCACGAAGAGTCGGACACGACTAAACAACAGTGATCATGGATCACTGCCTTGCCGTGGCGAAGGGGCTTGAATAACTCAGAGAAGCTATGAACTATGCCGAGCAGGGCAGCCAAGATGAACAGGTCATAGTGGAGAGTTTTGACCAAACGTGATCCACCTGGAGGATGAACCGGCAAGCCACTCCAGTATCCCTGCCAAGAAAACTCCATGGACAAAGACAACAGGCACATAAAAGTTATGACGCTGGAAGATGAGCCCCTCAGGTCGGAAGGTGTCCAACATGCTACTGGGGAAGAGCGGAGGACAAGTACAAGTAGATCCAGAGCTGATGAAGCGGCTGGGCCAAAGCCGAAAGGACGCTCAGTTGCAGATATGCATAGAAGCGAAAGGAAAGTCCAATGCTGTAAAGAAAAATATTGTATAGGAACCTGGAATGTAAGAACCATGAACCTGGGTAAGTTGGATGTGGTCAAAAATGAGATGGCAAGAATAAATATTGACATCCTGGGCATCAGTGAACTAAAATGGATGGGAATGGGCGAATTCAGTTCAGATGACTATCACATCTACTACTGTGGGCAAGAAACTCGTAAAACAAATGGAGTGGCCCTCATAGTCAACAAAAGAGTGGCGAAAGCTGTACTGGGATGCAATCTCAAAAATGATAGAATGATCTCGATACGAATCCAAGGCAGACCTTTTAACATCACAGTAATCCAAGTTTATGCACCAACTACTGGTGCTGAAGAAACTGAAATTGACCAATTCTATGAAGACTTACAAGACCTTTTAGAAGTGACACCAAAGAAGGATGTTCTTCTCATTATAGGGGATTGGAATGCTAAAGTAGGGAATCAAGAGATAAAAGCAACAACTGGCAAGTTTGGCCTTGGAGATCAAAATGAAGCAGGGCAAAGGCTAATAGAGTTCTGTCAAGAGAACAAGCTGGTCATCACAAACACGCTTTTCCAACAACACAAGAGACGACTCTACACATGGACATCACCAGATGGGCAACATCGAAATCAGATTGATTATATTCTCTGCAGCCAAAGATGGAGAAGCTCTATACAGTCAGCAAAAACAAGACCTGGAGCTGACTGTGGCTCAGATCATCAGCTTCTTATAGCAAAATTCAAGCTTAAACTGAAGAAAGTAGGAAAAACCACTGGGCTGGTAAGATACAATCTAAACCAAATCCCTTATGAATACACAGTGGAAGTGAGGAACAGGTTTAAGGATTTAGATTTGCTGGACAGAGTGCCTGAAGAACTATGGGTGAAGGCTCGCAACATTATACAGGAGGCAGCAACTAAAACCATCCCAATGAAAAAGAAATGCAAGAAAGCAAAGTGGCTGTCCAACGAGGCCTTACAAATAGCGGGGAGAGAAGGCAAGCAAAATGCGAGGGAGATAGTGAAAGATACAGGAAATTGAATGCAGATTTCCAAAGAATAGCAAGGAGAGACAAGAAGGCCTTCTTAAATGAGCAATGCAAAGAAATAGAGGAAAACAACAGAATGGGAAGAACCAGAGATCTGTTCAAGAAAATTGGAAATATGAAAGGAACATTTCGTACAAAGATTACCATAATAAAGGACAAAAGTGGTAAGGACCTAACAGAAGCAGAAGACATCAAGAAGAGGTGGCAAGAATACACAGAGGAATTATACCAGAAAGATATGGATGTCTCGTACACCCCAGGTAGTGTGGTTGCTGACCTTGAGCCAGACATCCTGGAGAGTGAAGTCAAATGGGCCTTAGAAAGCACTGCAAATAACAAGGCCAGTGGAAGTGATGGTATTCCAGCTGAACTATTTAAAATTTTAAAAGATGATGCTGTTAAGGTGCTACACTCAATATGCCAGCAAGTTTGGAAAACTCAGCAGTGGCCAGAGGATTGGAGAAGATCAGTCTACATCCCAATCCCAAAGAAGGGCAGTGCTAAAGAATGCTCCAACTACCACACAATTGCACTCATTTCACACGCTAGCAAGGTTATGCTTAAAATTTTACAAGGAAGGCTCAAGCAGTATGTGGACCGAGAACTCCCAGAAGTGCAAGCTGGATTTAGAAGAGGCAGAGGAACCAGAGACCACATTGCAAACATGCGCTGGATTATGGAGAAAGCTAGAGAGTTCCAGAAAGACATCTACTTCTGCTTCATTGACTATGCAAAAGCCTTTGACTGTGTCGCCCACAGCAAACTATGGCAAGTTCTTAAAGAAATGGGAGTGCCTGATCACCTCATCTGTCTCCTGAGAAATCTCTATGTGGGACAAGAAGCTACAGTTAGAACTGGATATGGAACAACTGATTGGTTCAAAATTGGGAAAGGAGTACGACAAGGCTGTATATTGTCTCCCTGCTTATTTAACCTATATGCAGAATTCATCATGCGAAAGGCTGGGCTGGATGAATCCAAATCGGAATTAAGATTGCCGGAAGAAATATCAACAACCTCAGATATGCAGATGACACAACCTTGATGGCAGAAAGTGAGGAGGAATTAAAGAACCTTTTATTGAGGGTGAAAGAGGAGAGCGCAAAATATGGTCTGAAGCTCAACATCAAAAAACAAAGATCATGGCCACTGGTCCCATCACCTCCTGGCAAATAGAAGGGGAAGAAATGGAGGCAGTGAGAGATTTTACTTTCTTGGGCTCCATGATCACTGCAGATGGTGACAGCAGCCACGAAATTAAAAGATGCCTGCTTCTTGGGAGAAAAGCAATGACAAACCTAGACAGCATCTTAAAAAGCAGAGACATCACCTTGCCAACAAAGGTCCGTATAGCAAAAGCTATGGTTTTCCCAGTAGTGATGTATGGAAGTGAGAGCTGGACCATAAAGAAGGCTGATCGCCGAAGAATTGATGCTTTTGAATTATGGTGCTGGAGGAGACTCTTGAGAGTCCCATGGACTGCAAGAAGATCAAACGTATCCATTCTTAAAGAAATCAGCCCTGAGTGCTCACTGGAAGGACAGATCGTGAAGCTGAGGCTCCAATACTTTGGCCACCTCATGAGAAGAGAAGACTCCCTGGAAAAGACCCTGATGTTGGGAAAAATGGAGGGCACAAGGAGAAGGGGATGACAGAGGATGAGATGGTTAGATGGTATTCTTGAAGCTACCAGCATGAGTTTGATCAAACTGCGGGAGGCAGTGGAGGACAGAAGTGCCTGGCGTGCTCTGGTCCATGGGGTGACGAAGAGTCGGACACGACTAAACGACTAAACAACAACAACCTCCATAGTCCCTAGCTGAGAGTGGTAGGAGCACAACGTGACTGGAAGAGGGTTGTCAGATATAATTCTGCTTCAGCACATTGTAATATTGTGGGGAGTTTTACTATTGCTTAGATTGAAAGTCGCCTTGCAAAATATCAGAATTAAAAGGAGGAATAAAAAAATACCCTGAATAGGAATACAAGCAAATACTTTAATAAAAGTCATTACATACAGTATTCTGCTTAGCTGGTGTGTGCTTTCATACAATCTTAAAAATGTAAATTAAATACGTGAATAACTTCTTCGCACACAATGAAGCTCGAGTTTGAAATAAGCATGTGCTTCTGTAGTTGCTTCTACTTTTTTTTAAATTGTTGTTTTGGAAGGCGGGGACGCAGATGCCCCTTTTACCGGAGTGAACTAGGGATGGCCAAGGCGTCAGAGGCAACCCGGACATCCGGCTTTGCGCTTCTGGCCAATCCGCAGAGACAGAAACGTCCCAATCGGCCAATTGCCGAGGGCCTTGCATTTCTGTATTTGCCTTCCTTTGGAGCTCTGCCTTTTTTCCTCCGTTAAGCTGACTGGACGTTGTTGTCGCCGGCCGCACAGTCGGCCCTTGATTGGTTGGCCAGGGCAGGGGAGGAGCCCTCTGTTCGCAAGCGGGAGAGAAGGGCCCGCCGAGGCGCTTCCCGGGTGGGCGGGGGCGTCTTTCTTTTCTGTGCGCCTCGCTGGGGCGCGCGGCCACTTTATACCCCGGCAGGTCGCCTTGGGCAAATCCGGTGAGTTTGCATTCCCGGCTGCAGGTGAAGGCATCGCCGGATCAGGGGGCTGCTCCACGGCTCTGCGGCGGAAGAGGCACAGGGATGATGGCAATGCTGTTTCTGAATACTATCAGGTCTGTCGGTAACTTTCTGCCACCTCCCCAATGCCTCATCTTCCGCAGCTCAGGCTGCGATATTAGAAAAGCGTGTAAGTTAAGATAATTCCCATTTTCAAGTGAGACGTTGCAGGAGGGTGGCTGCGTGCTTTTGTTGGGGGCAAGTCAGAGGCATCTAGTTAGTTTATTGTGCCATAAGCAATTTTTTTTGCAGGTGACATGCTACATGACCAAACAGGAACGTGGTAGGAAAGCTTACAGCATATCTAGATTGGGATGCTAAAAGGATATGATAGACTGTGGTACAGTGATAAAACTGCTAGCACATTTGCAAAGCTAAGCAGGGTTCAGTATGGTTTCATATTGGATGGGATGAGATTCCTCCATTGCAGAGGGTTGGACTAGATGGCCCTCAGGGTCTACCTTGCAACTCTACAATGATCAGCACCATGCTCTGCTAACTGAGCTAGAGATGAGTCTATGAATGTGAGGGCTTTAGAATCTAAGATATTGTGTACTTTTACTGTGGTGAAAGGCCCACTGAACTCAGTGGGCTTGCTTTTGGGTAAGCATGTGTGGATTTGGGTATTAAAGTGCCTGAGTATTTATTCTCTTCTGTCAGCAACCCATATGCAGGGCCCTTTCAATGTACACAGTGAGTTCCAGTTCAAAATTTCACGGTTTATAAATTTTAAGAAAATTGTATCTCTGTTCTGCCTTCATACTTTTCTCTGTAGTGCAGAAAACAAACTGTTCTTAAAAGAAAGCTAAGAAAATCTTGTGGTTACGAAGTTAAATGTTTGCTTATATTCTCTCAGAATTAAGAATCTAACCCCATAGGTTATGAAATCACTAGAATCAGTAGAAAGGCTGATCCACATGCAGGTTGTTGCTTGGGTTTAAACCTGTTTTAAAATGTTTGTAGTGATGCTGATTCTGTATAAATACCAGAATCCTTCCTTTGATTCTTTAGTGGGCTTAACATATCATTGGACATACTAACAAGCAGGTGTAAACTCAAGTCCTTTGTACATCTAGCTATGAGTAAGGACCAGAAAATATATTGGGACTGATTTCCAAGTAAGCATGCATACAGTTGGGCTGTAAGAGTACCTGTTGTAGGGAATACCGTATTTTTCGCTCTATAACACGCACCCGACCATAACACGCACATAGTTTTTAGAGGAGGAAAACAAGGAAAAAAATATTCTAAACGAAACAGTGGATGTATGATTTTTGTAGTTCATGCTGTGGCCACAGACATGTGATCTGACAGTGAGTTTGGAGTAGCCCAATGCAAAAATCCTGAGGATCCATGTGGATCCATGCTTTGTAACCACGTTTTTGCACCACTGCGGCCCCAGGCAACAGTGGGTGCGTGATTTTTGGTGCAAGATGTAGCCATGGACATGCTATGTGATCTGATGGTGAATTTGGGGTGACCCAGTGCAAAAATCCTGAGGATCCATGTGGATCCGTGCTTTGTAACCATGTTTTAAGTGGGGAGGGAAGGAAAAGCACTCAAGGGACAAGGAGCACACGTGGGGTGTGTGGAGAAGGATGCTGCTAATAATGCAGAAGAGGGGTTTAAGGGGAGAAGGAACATGCGTGGGGTGGGTGGAGAAGGATGCTGCTAATAATGCAGGAGAGGGGTATAAGAGGAGAAGGGTCCTCTCCTCTCCCACTTTGCTCCTTTAAAGAAGCAGGCTCTCTGTCCCTCTCTCCTCCCCACTCAGCGGCTCTTCTCCCGGCTCTTCTCCCGCTTTGCTGTTTCAAAGCGAGCCACGGAGGAGGGAAGGAAGGGGAACTATGGATCCTCTCTGCTCACGACTGCAGCAGATCCCCCCCGCCACCCATAGGCATTCCCTCCATAACACGCACAGACATTTCCCCTTACTTTCTAGGAGGAAAAAAGTGAGTGTTATGGTGCAGAAAATACGGTAAATGCTGATGAGTGAGAGAGAAGCCAATAATACTCAAAGCTAGTTTGAACAGTGGCCCCTTGCTGATCTGTCTCATCCTTCTTGGATTTTGACACTTGGATAGGAAGTTGGTTGTTTTTTAAAATCATTTTTATGCAGAATTTAATGCTTTTAAATCACGTTGACTTTAATACATTTTATATTTCCCTTACTTGCCAGACTAATTTCTAACGCAGAATGTCGGTGAACCATTTATTTGGGAATAAGAAGAGAAACAGCTCCATATTGTATGGTGTGGATCAGGCAAAAGTTACCACTTCACCATTATCTCTCCAGAGAGCTACAAGCCGAAGGAATATTGGAAACTGTGAAGATGGCTTTCCACCAAGCAAGCGTTACAAAAGTCATGCTGGAACTGAGCATAAAGAACTGGAGGATCCGTTTGGGGACAATGATGACTTTACAGCAGATGATTTGGAGGAGATAGATATTATTGCTTCCCAGGCATTGACACAAAACGCTTCTTTAAATGCGAACACAGTGAAACCTAAGCAGAATGTGGATCTGTCTTCCCACCCAAATAGCACCATCAAAACATCTGATCATATTAAGCAATGGAATATTGCCCCCAAATCTACAGGGCAGTTTGGTATGTGCAGTCTAAATGCTGTTTCAAATTTGCATCAGTAGGGAGAAATTAGCATCTTCTTACATAAGTATTTGGAAAGAAACTGCAACAAATATGCTTTCGGTTTTTTATCCCTCCCTCCCTCCCTGCCCACCCCATCTCCTACCCACAGTGTTTGGACAGTGCAGTTAAGAATTTCAGGTCTCAGAGGTACAGCCTGGTGCTATGTAACAAAGTGTATTCTGGTCCTCATTTGTGCTGGCAGTATAGGAATGTCATAGAATCATAGAAGGGACCCTGAGCCATGAGTTCAGTTGTGTGCACATGTGCACAAAAGTAAATCCTATTGAATTGTGGGACTTGCTTCCAGGGGAGTGTGAAGAGGGTTGCAGCTTTTAGGGTCATTAGAATTTATTTTCTTGGTAGAAATGTTTAGGATTGCACTATAGAATTGGATGTGTGGTTTCTGGACATTTAGATCTTTTTACACCATGAAAACTGTTGATTCTAGTTCAGTCCATGTAGCAGACTGAATACTGACGGTTCTGGTACACAGAACATGCAGGTTGCCATGCTGTCTTCCTTTTCTGAGTACTGGGGTGTAAGCAGAATTAAATGCCAAGCTCTATGGAATTTATACTGCTTAGTTGTTTTGGAAGATCCCATGGAGCAAAAATCCCATGGAACAAGTTTTATACCGAAATCTTCACATGTAGATCCAGATCGTTAATTGGTACCCTCAATCACAAAAGAATTGAATTGTTTAGGTCAAATCCTGAGATCACAATTCACAAGTTTATTTCTGTAAACAGGAAGTAGCACAGAAGAAACCTCATCAAAAGACCAATTTAGACTTGAGGCACTTCAAGCACAATATGAGGAAGCTGAGAAAAAGGTTTGTTTTGTTTTCTGAAAGAGTTCTGGTCTTAAGGCAGCCATGCTCTGTGGCATATTCCGGTGCTGAAGTTGTGGACCCAAGATTTGGATTTCGTGGGGAAAATACCTCTACAAGGGGATTTGGGGGAGGACCTATAGTTGTATATGCTAAACCACAGAGCCTAGGACTTGCCGATCAGAAGGTCAGCGGTTCGAATCCCGGCGATGGGGTGAGCTCCCGTTGCTCGGTCCCAGCCCCTGGCCAACCTAGCAGTTCGAAAGCATGTCAAAGTGCAAGTAGATAAATAGGTAAGGTAAATGGCATTTCCGTGTGCTGCTCTGGTTCGCCAGAAGTAGCTTAGTCATGCTCGCCACATGACCCGGTAGCTGTATGCCGGCTCCCTTGGCCGATAAAGCGAGATGAGCGCCGCAACCCCAGAATCGGTCACGACTGGACCTAATGGTCAGGGGTCCCTTTACCTTTAAGGATGACAAGTGGCTGATTCATTTTTTTCTCTCAGCAGTTACTGTTTCTTATGGAATTTAGAGAGTTATTTGACCACTGGGGTAGTGAGGCAAATGTATGTGGAAGCTGGACTTAGCTCTGATAGGTTGTATAGACTTTTTTAAAAAAATGCTTGTTGCAAAACCTCAGTGAATAAGTGAACCAGGGGTGAGAAGTCTGATGCCTATTGCTGCTCTTAACAGCCCAGTCTGATGCAGTTTTACATGGCGGTGTCTGGCATCACATTCTTAATGGGAGCAATGGTTTTACTGGGGGGGGGAGGAGTATGTGAAATAAAGCTTGCAAAATGCATATAATTCTTCTGCTTGCATCATGTTCGTGAATTTGCAGCTGAAGGAAATGAAGGATGAAATCCTAATTAAAAATGGAGAAATAAAAATTTTACGGGATTCAATGCAGCAGATGGAATCCACTGCGGAGGAACAGCGAAAATCATACGCGCTACTGGAAATGGAGAAAGCTCAAACTATATGTGAAAAAGAAAAGGAGTTTTCCAGAAAGGTACTATTTAATTAAGGGGGGGGGGAATCCATAACAAAAGCTTGTTTGAAGGTTCTTTTTCATCTTTTCCTCCTTTTCTTCCCTCCCCTCTTTAAGCAAAAAATTAAGGACTCTTAGTGCTATGCTAAATAGAAGAACATTGAAAAGATGGAAGTCCATGTCAGATTTGGTATTTTTATTACTGCTATTGAATTAAGGAAATAATGAGCTACTTTTTGTCAAAAATATTAGTGGCTTGTTTTGTACACATAAGGGCTTATTCTTGTTAATTCTACAGTGGTGCCCCGCAAGACGAATGCCTCGCAAGACGGAAAACCCGCTAGACGAAAGGGTTTTCCGTTTTGGAGGTGCTTCGCAAAATGAATTTCCTATGTGCTTGCTCCGCAAGACGAAAATGTCTTGCGAGTTCCTGCGGGGTTTTTTTCCTCCCCCCCCCCTTTTTCCCAAGCCGCTAAACCGCTTATCAGCTGATGGCTAAGCCGCTTAACAGCTGATCGCTAAGCCGCTTATCAGCTGATCGTTAAGCCGCTTATCAGCTGATCTTTAAGCCGCTTAACAGCTGATCTTTAAGCCGCTTAACAGCTGATCGCTAAGCCGCTTATCAGCTGATCGCTAAGCCGCTTATCAGCTGATCCGCTAAGCCGCTTAACAGCTGATCTTTAAGCCGCTTAACAGCTGATCTTTAAGCCGCTTAACAGCTGATCGCTAAGCCGCTTATCAGCTGATCCGCTAAGCCCGCTAAGCTGTTAATACTGTAGCGCTAATCCGCTAAACCGCTAATGGGCTTGCTTCGCAAGACGAAAATACCCGCAAGACGAAGAGACTCGCGGAACGGATTCTTTTCGTCTTGCGAGGCACCACTGTATTCTTTTTACAATTTATGTTTTTAGAAAAGGGTTTTTTTTTTAAAAAAAGGAATGTACATTTCATTTTAAGCCGATGAATAATGCCATTTGAGAATTAAGGTTAAATACCTCTGTTAGAGAAATCTGCCCTGTTATTTCTGGTTGTGATGCTAATGGACGGCAAGTGTGGTGTCTATATTTCACTAGCAAAGCACTTGTTACACTCTATCCCAATCACTCATGTTTTCACAAAGAAAGGATTGGACTCTTAAACACTCAGCTTTCCTAATTGAAATTAATAATTTAGCATTTTTAAAAAATGGGTTTCTAATGTCAAGTTTATTCTTTCAGTTGGAGTCTCTGAAGTCTGAGCTGCAGTTCAGAGATGCAGAAATGAATGAGCTGAAAATGAAGCTTTCAAACTGCGAAAGAGTTAAACCTGTTACTCCTTCAATGCCATATACCAGGTACGAAGTAAGAAGATGAATTCTGTCCACTAAATTCCAGACAGTTGGGCCAGCTAGGAGTTTGAGCATCCATCCTTCTTATAGCTGAATGTAATTAATTGCACTGCTGTTTTCATCTTGCAAACTGTTGTGCGGAGACTTATCATTGAATGCACAGCATAATTCTTAAAACAAGGTTGTCTTTAATTTGCAAAATCTTCCAGTCTATAATTGGAGAATAAACTAATGTCTGGTGCAGTCTGCTTGACACTGCTCCTATGCAAACTGCACTGGCTGCCTATTTGCTATCAGGCCCGATTCAAGGTGTTGACCACTATATATCTTGAGACCCAAGGCCTTGATGGTGCACTTCTTCCCATATCTGCCAGGCTGGGCCCAGCAATCTGCATGGAAGGCCTGTTTCGTGGTCCCTTTGGTCAACATGACCCAGAATAGGGCCTTTCTTGTGCTGGCCCACCCATTTGTGGAACTCCCTCTTGCATAAAATATATACAGTAAGTTCCAACAGGGTTTCTTTGGATGAGGAGGGATAACATGAGAAAAATATTGCACACTACACATCATGCATCCAGTATTCTGGAGAAAATTCTTTTAGTTGATATAGAAGAAATTTACCCTGCATATTCTCCTATTCAAGTGTTCTTCGTTTTCTAATGATTCACACAAGTATTTAGGGGAAGTAAGTGAATTGTTATGTTTGTTTTAGACGTTGCTCTTGAGCGGTTTTGAATTATTTTTCAATTACTGTACTATACTTTGTTGTTATTTCCTCTGACTTGGGATTCTCCTGGATAAGGAGAAGTTTACAAATGTAAAAAATAAGTTAATCGTTTTAAATAATATTTTGCAACTGATTCAGATATTTTATTTAACCATTTAGTCCAAAGAAGAGCCCTCGTAACATTTCAAAAGCCGAAGAATGTACTCAGGAGAAAAAAAGTTTCCCCACTAAAGATTCTTTTCGATCTGAGGTTTCGCCTAAACCATCATACTCCAGAACACAATTGTTTGTCCAAGCGTTGCCATTTATTAAGGGTATGTAAATTCTTAGTTATATTTGACCGTTGTACATCTTGCCGTGATGTCACCCTGGTCGCTCACCTGGGCAAAAATCGATATCACTGGAGTTTGGCTTCAAGCAGGTCCTGCAAGAATGGATGGAAGATGTGCAGCAGCAGCTAGAGTCAACACCGCCATGCAGAACAGGTGGACAAGTGCTGGGTCTTCTGCCTCTGGTTAATAACAATAATAATAATAATATAATTTATTATTTGTACCACGCCCATCTGGCTGGGTTTCCCCAGCCACTCTGGGCGGCTTCCAACAAAGATTAAAAATACACTAAAATATCACACATTAAAAACTTCCCTGAACAGGGCTGCCTTCAGATGTCTTCTAAATGTCAGGTAGTTGTTTATCTCTTTGACATCTGATGGGAGGGTGTTCCACAGGGCGCCACTACTGAGAAGGCCCTCTGTCTGGTTCCCTGTAACTTTGCTTCTCGCAGTGAGGGAACTGCCAGAAGGCCCTCAGCACTGGACCTCAGCGTCCGGGCAGAATGATGAGGGTGGAGATGCTCCTTCAGGTATACGGGGCCGAGGCTGTTTAGGGCTTTATAGGTCAACACCACCACTTTAAATTATGCTCAGAAATATACTGGGAGCCAATGTAGGTCTTTCAAGACCGGTGTTATGTGGTCTTGGTGGATGCCCCCAGTCACCAGTCTAGCTGCCGCATTCTGGATTAGCTGTAGTTTCCGGGTCACCTTCAAAGGTAGCCCCACGTAGAGCACATTGCAGTAGTCCAAGCGGGAGATAACTGGTTACACTTGCAGAGGGCCCACTGCTGTTTACTGGTTGTTCCAAGTCCATAGACTACCTGTGAGTGGTGTTTGTCTACCATAGGGCAGCAAACTATTAAAATAAACCTCCACCTGTATTGTCTGGGTTTAATGCAAAAATATATGCAAACTTTCTGTTAAGCTAAATTAAATGATTGGGCTTGGGCAGAAAAATCTATTGATTCCTGCAGTTCATTGTTAGACTTACATTTACTGAGCTTCAGTTTGCTCCCTTTGCTTTCTATAATTTCCCCCCAGTTGGAGGCTATTCACTCAGGAGTTTCTTGCCATTTTTACTAGGTTTCTAGATATGTTGGAATTGAAAGCAGTGAGCTAGCTGACAAGGCTTCTAAGTTTGGAAATCCAACCTGCTGTTAGGTGCACAGGGATCTGTGTGGTTTCTTCATGATTGTTTAGTTTAATTTAATTGAAGGGTGTCAGTTTTTTAAGGCCTTTGGACATGATTACTGGCAAATGAAAGTTGAGTATGGATGCTTGGCATAATCTGTTGTATTTACACTGTATGGTTTACTGTTAATTCCTAATCCACATATTTCTTCTCAATAAAACTGGCCTGGATTGCTCTTCTGCCTTTAACAGCACTGGTTTACCTTAATTCAAGGTAAAGCTTTCACAACACAGAGATAAGCATGATCACCTACTAATATCTCCAGGTCATACTGCTCCTAAAAGCACAGAAGCAGAAATTAACCTGTCAGTTTACAAGTGACTGGATTTGAACCCAGATCCAGGTTCTTAAATGGTACCCATAGTCTTGAAGTTCTCAGTTTATGCTGGCTTCAGATAACCTAACCATGCAAATACATTTACTTATTCTACATCTAGCCTATGGAATGGGTGTGAGCACCTACTGATTTTCTGATGTAGCAAAATACATTTTTAACCCTCTTAAATATATGTATCTCTGTTTGCTACAGTTAAAGCATGAAAATGAAACAACAGCAACAGTGCTATTGCCTCATGATATAAGGCCGTATAGATAGGGCTAAAAGTCAAAAGGGAATTGAATATGACTGCTTGAATTACTACAAAGATTTCTTTCCAGACAGTAAGATGCCTAACCAAGAAAATGAGCTTGTGAAGGAAGAAAAACGTTTGAATATCTTTGCTCAAAGAAAAGGTAATTTCATCTAAGAAATACTCCAGCTGCATATATTTCTTAGGACTGGGGTTGGAAACTTATATTTGAAAGCATAAAATATGATCCCATAATGATAATAGGAGCCCCAAAATACTGCTGTGAGTTGTTAAGCAGTGAAGTCCCCACAATAAGTTTCTAAGTCCTCTTCTTCTGAGTGTGTCCCTGTTTCCCAGAATGCCACCTGCCCCCAAACCCTTTTGAGTTATAAACCAAGCAGAAAATTGGCACTGCTTTTATGAATTGCAAGTATTTTGAGCCACAAATAACGCCGAAGCAACTTTATCAATAACCTTTAATGTATGAATGGGAATAAACAAACAAGACAGACAATTTCACCATAATGAGTTTCTAAGCTACATTAAATATTAATTCTTGTTAATGTTTCACAGCTAATCTAGCCAATGTTGTTATAGTTACTGGACTCACAGCTGGTTGATGCTACCTGGGAGTGAATTACCTTTGTGGCGGCTTCAAAAGTGTCTGTTTGACCAAACCCTGACTATTCTTCTGATGGATGAAGCCAAATATAAAAGGGCCAATATTTATTTGTTTCAACAATGTATGTGCCACTTCACACCATAGTTTCTAAGCAGTGGATTTCAAGTAAAATACTCCTATTGTGAATTTGGGGTTCCCATAATGTGGGTTAGGACTCTTTTCAGCTGCAGATGTCACCATAAGCAAACTTGGTCCAAAAATAGATGTTGAAGATGTCTGTTCTTTCCATTCTGCAACTGGTCATGCTTATGATTGTCTGTAATGAGTCACATTGTCTTCCTTGCACCTGTTGTTTTGTAAGTGCAATTGCAGTATTGGTTTAGCCTAACATTGCAATAAATATGTATGAGGGTGACTGAATTTGGTTTTCTTTTGTGTGGGAACTGTCTTCTGAAAGTAGACTAAGTAGTTAGTACAGTGGTACCTCAGGTTAAGTACTTAATTTGTTCCGGAGGTCCGTACTTAACCTGAAACTGTTCTTAACCTGAAGCACCACTTTAGCTAATGGGGCCTCCTGCTGCTGCCGCACCGCCGGAGCACGATTTCTGTTCTCATCCTGAAGCAAAGTTCTTAACCTGAAGCACTATTTCTGGGTTAGCGGAGTCTGTAACCTGAAGCGTATGTAACCCGAGGTACCACTGTATTTCTCACACGCACACACAGCTCTATCTGAAATGCCTTATTTTTACACCCATCTTGAGGCTTATCTCTTTCCTTTACAGTAGTATTGGGGCTGCTGAGCAACAACTCCCCTCATCTCCCCAATCACATTGGCTGGGGCTGATAGGAGGGGTAGCCTAATTACCTCTTAATGGCTACAGATTTTCCGCCCCGAGAGCAAAAACGAGGCAAGGGCAATATAGCTTGCTTTCAAATGTAATTCCTGGCAAACTGCCCTCTTTATACGTAGTCAAAATTTATGGACTTGGTTCCCTTTCCAAGTAGAAGGGAGAACATAATGGCATTGGCACGAATGAATTACATTTACTTCACTCCTCCTTACTTGCACTGGGAGGAAACAAACCACGATCGCTGGTTGAGCATTACATCCAAGCTCATACAAATATGGGAGCAGAACAAACTATGATCCCTAGTTTGGGTGTCATGCTGTGAGTCTAGAGGTGTGTGTTTTATTTCTTCCCAGCGTGAGTGGGTAGGAGCTGAGTGTGCCTGGTTTGCTTGTGTCCAGTAAACCATGGTTTACAGCTTACTGTGATATGTAGAAACGGCTATTGTGTACATATGTATGTGTGTGCTCAACTTTCTGTGTATGTGTCCAAGCAGTACTCTTCTCATACCGTAAGTTGCTTATATCAAGGCATGGAATATATAGCAAATGCAAATACTGTTGATTTTCTTTTTCCACTATATTTGCAAAAACATCTGCTTGGCAGTTTTACACTCCAGCGGCAATGTCCATCTTGAACATTGGATTTTTATATTGTTGCAGGTTCCATTTTGATCAATGCATTGCTGAAACAGCCTGTCGTTCCTGAATCATCACTAGGCCTCTGCTATCTTCTTAGCTGTAATGTTGATGCTCAGTCTGGACCTTCTATGCAGTCGAGTTCCTTCGAAACGTATGTTTTCAGCAATTTGTGATACTTAGAATGTAATTTTAAGTAATGCCTGCTGCCGTCCTGTGCTGACCCAAAAAGCCCAGCAAGCAGAAAAACTCTGTTTCATGTAGATGTTTTACGCTGTAATCTGCCCTGAGATCATTATTGAATCTTAGAATTGTAAAGTTAGAAGGCATCTGCTCTTGGGGAAATGTTAAATTAAGAAAAGGTTGACCTGGCTCTTTGTAAGCCTTGCATACTGTAGTGGGTTAAGATACTAAGCAATTTATTTTTTCTGCGCCTGTTTGTGTAGAGGATCTACAGGAAGCATCAGCAACAGGAGTGCAAGCTCTGAGGAAGAAGAAACTTCACTGAGAATCGCTCAGAAGCTTGCCTTAACGGGATTGAATTTGATTGCTGTGGATGAAGGCTCGTTGGCAGAAAACTCAAAAGAAACTGAGCAAAGAATATCCCACCTTAAGCGCTATAAAATTCCTGGAGCAATACATCTTCTTCCTCTCCTTGAACATCATATTGGTGCCTACCACCAAGCCCTCCTCCTAATGATGAAGACGGGAAGCTCTTCTGGGAACCAATCCGCTTGCTCTTCCAGGACCTCCTCAAGTGCAGCGTCAAGTGTAGACGATAATTTGCCTACTCTGGAAGAGTTTGCACTTGTGTCCCTGGGCATTCTTTATTATTTGGTATCCTATAGCTGGGATGTTCTTTATACACTGCTCTCCCTTACCATGAAACCAGATTGTGGTTTGGGAGCTCCAGAAATTCTGGAGAAGGATGAAGCTGTTTGCAGTAAGCAGTGCAGAGTCGTTCTTCAGGAGCCCAGCCCAGACCTAAATACTGCTAATGTGGACCAGTCCCAACATCCTCTATTTAAAAAGGTGCTGCAGCTCTTGGCTTCGTGTGCTACAGCAGCAGGGTACCAAAGACATGGAATCATGAATCAGTGTCTCAGAGTTCTGGTGAAATTAGCTGAAAAGTCAACGGTTGATTTACTTATAAGGTAAAATACAACTTGAGCAAAATGTCTTTTCCAAACACCTATTTCCTTCCTGCCTTGATCTAAGATTCAAAGTCATCGTAGTTATATTATTATTGTTGTTGTTGTTGTTGTTGTTAGTTAAATTTATATACTGTCGTTCATCTGAAGATCTCAGGGCAGTTCACAAGAAAGCGATACAGGATAAAAGCACAAAATAAATAGTTAAAACAAAAACAAAACAGTAACCCCCTCCCACAAACAAATTAGTAAAGGATGCCATTAGGATAGGTCTTGCAAACACACACACACACACACACACACTACATATAAAAGGCTGCCATTCATTACAGAAAGGCAATTAGAAAGGCTAATTGTTACGCAGAAACCTCTGCATATTTCCAGCTGAAATGCATATAAATTATGCAAGCAAATAACAATTATGTATCACTGAATACTCTAGAAAAAAAAACTGTTCTTGTGCAGAATGCATTCCTAAGAGGTTGTGTCCAATTCTTGCCTGAAAACTTCTTTCAAGTCTTATGGGCAAAGCATAGGGCCATTCTGAGCATGTGCAAATTGGGACCATATGCAAATTAAATGCATAGTAGAAAGAAAATGTAACCATATACAGTGGTGCCTCGCAAGACGAAATTAATTCGTTCCGCGAATTTTTTCGTCTAGCGAATTTTTCGTCTTGCGAAGCACGAAATCCCATAGGAATGCATTGAAAATCAATTAATGCGTTCCTATGGTCAAAAAAAGTCCAAACAAAGCCAAATTTGGTACAACAAGAGTTTATTAAGTGCTCTTTAAAGTCACACATACTGTAAAGAGCATTTCAAAATTCAAACCCAGAAATTTTTTTAAAAAACAGCAGAGTTGCCCAATGGTCACAGAAAATCATAAAAATACAGAAAGAAAAAAAAGCTTCCAGATTCTTGCAAACAACCTCCCCAACTGTTCCCCCAGCCACCCAGCACACAGAAATTCAAATCCAGAATTTTTTTAAAAAAACAGCAGAGTGGCCCAATGGTCACAGAAAATCATAAAAATGCAGAAAAAAACACACAAGCTTCCAGATTCTTGCAAACCCCTCCCCAACACCAAGTCCTTGAATTCCAAACACCCCAACCCAAAATCCAAACCCCCCCCCCAAAAAGTTTTAAAAGCTTAACTTACCAAATGGCTGCAAAAGAAGTTTTGGAAAAGCTTCAAAAATCACCAAAGTCTGTAAAAACCGCAAAAAGGCTACTATGTACACTGCGTTCTATGAGTTGCTCCTCGAAGTCAAGTCGCAACTGTATTAACGGTGTTAAGAAAAAGGAAACAAACTTGCAAGACTTTTTCGTCTTGCGAAGCAAGCCCATAGGGAAATTCGTCTTGCGAAACAGCTCAAAAAACGGAAAACCCTTTCGTCTAGCGAGTTTTTCGTCTTGCGGGGCACCACTGTATACATTTTATTCTGCTACAAACTTTTCCTGTTCTGATTCCTAATAATACTCTTGCCTTTGTGGAAAAACTTACTTTTGTAATCCTAAACATACATACTTGAATACAGTAGGACTTACTTCTGAGTAAATATGCATAGCATTACTTGACTCTTTTAGACATTTTCTAACAGTATATATACTATCTGCAATAATTATTGCTGCTACTCTAATTTGTATTTTATTTTTCTATTAAGCTTTCAGCATTTGTTGAACAGACAAACACAGACTCTCCTCCGCTGCCTGTCTTCTGACTCTCCCTTGTTTGCTGTCCATCTGACTGTTCAGTTGTTAACTTTATTTGCTCAGCACTTGGAGCTGGCTGCTCAGTTTTGTTCTTGTTCAGGTGAGAGGGAGAAAATCTTCACTATCCTAGCGCTTTTACGAAACATTGACTTTGTAAGGCTGGAGTGAAAACTGAATTTAACTAGTTTATTTTAACAGATTTTTTGTGTTTTAAGCTTACAGCCTGAAAAAACTGTATTACTTGCCTCAAGACTTCTGCATTCTTGAACTTCTGCATGAAAATATTTTGCTATCCATTAACATCCCAGCGCCTCAATTAAAGCAGACTTTCAAAGAAGTGAAAAAAATTAGAAGTGCTAGCTTACAAGAAGAAATGTTGGCAGTTGCTCACATGTACCTGTGAGTTTTACACCCTGTGTCAACAACCAGTGGCTCTGGTGGCCTGTAGTATCTATAAAATAACTAGCATTCTCTCCAGATGTGTAGGTGAACTGCCAAAAAAGCCTAAGAATTTGCACAAATGCAGTGTACTGTTTGGTGCTGTGAGCCACCATCATAATTTTGTTTTCCGCTTTTTGGTTTCCCTTGGGCTCTTTAAATAGGCCAAAGATTTTGCATGCTAGGTGTCTTGTGATCTGAGGTTCTGGTCCTTTTTGGGCATCATGCATAGCCTCCAGACCCAGCGATCAACTGCTGGAGCTCTCTGTTGGTTGCCAAGCCTGGTGCTACGCTGGAGTTCAGGAAGACTGACTGAACTCTTTTTCTTTTCCCCTCAGCAGAGAGAGAGAGAGAGAGAAAGAATGCGCAATTTAGAAGTGTTGAGGTGGTGGGCCCTACTCATGGAGAAAGCTGTGGGAGTTGTAACCTTTGTGCTGTGCTCTTTACAGCAGTACGAGTTGCTGGCCCACCTCAGCTCCTTTTTTTTACCCACAGTTAATTATTTGAGGAAGTGAGAGGTTTTTTGAGGGTGGAGTAAGAAGATGAACAGACACAAAGGAGAAGAGCTCATTCAAATGAAGTAGGTCAGGCATAGGCAAACTTAGCCCTCCAGAGGTTTTTAGGACTACAACTCCCATCATCCCTAGCTAACAGGACCAGTGGCCAGGGATGATGGGAGTTGTAGTCCCAAAACGTTCTGGAGGGCTGAGTTTGCCTTTGCCTGAAGTAGGTGGTGCAAATCACCACTTGACACATTATTCTTTCAAGGTTATTTTAGAGGATTCAGTTTTGGTCCTGTATGGTAATTCCTCCTTTTCCCTTCCCATTGCCCCTTTTTAAGAGGCACTTTTGAAATGGATTTGAAGTGTGGTTTTTAATGCTATTTAATTTTTTATATAAAAAGACCCAGGGAGCTGCTATTCAGAATAACTTTGTCGTTTTTAAGGCAGTGCATTAGCATTACTAATGGATAACATAGAAATACTTTATTACTACACATTTCTTTTTATAGAAACCTGTCTCCTCTTGGCACTGTACACGTATATTACATCACGACCAGATAAGTCAGCGACCGAGATGTGTTGGCTGCAACTGGAACAAGAGGTAAAAGGGTGTGCATCTCTGTGTGGTTTTTAAAGTGTGAGTTTGGAATAATGGTTCAATTTCTTAATTTAACAGGATATGCTGGTGAGGGGGATTGCAACTTAGTGCTCAGCCCCGCAAGCTTCCTTTGCAGATTTTGTTAACCCTAAATGTGCATGCCTGAAGAAGGTTTTTGTGGAAACCAGCAGTGGGGAAGTCAGATATCTTATTGCTGCAGGCAGCAAGCAGTAGCAGCCAGGCACTCCTTTTGGCACCTTGGGAGTTGTCACCACTGGGCACCCCAGCCTACTGCCTCTCCTACTGCCTGCCAAGTCCAACCCCAGTTAGGAAAAGAGGAGGGGATGTGTGCCCAGAATTACTGAAGCAGGGTTTGCGTTGTGTGTATCCAGCCATGGGAGGAAAAGGGGCAGTTATGGGGTGATGTGTTGAGTGGAGACCACTCAGAAACAGATGGGAAGCCTAGCAGACAGGGCCTCCTCTAACCTGGAGCTAGCCCTAGTTAATGTGCTATTGAATGAGTGTATTAAAACTGATATTAAAGCTCAATCCAATGCACATTGCTTTGAAGGTTTTTTTCCAGGTACAGTCCTACCTCGGTTCTCGAACGGCTTAGTTGCCGAACAAATCAGCTCCCAAACTCCACAAACCCAGAAGTAAGTGTTCTGGTTTGCAAATGTTTTTTGGAAGCCAAACTTCCGACATGGCTTCTGCTTGAGTGCAGGAAGCTCCTGCAGCCAATTGGAAGTTGCACCTTGGGTTTTGAACGGTTTCGGGAGTTGAACGAAGTTTGATAACCAAGGTACGACTGTACGTGTGCAGAGGGTTGCAGACTTGCTTACATCCTGTTGAATTTAATGAGGCTTACTTTGAGCACATGTATATGTGAGTGCACTGTGAGTCTGATACTTTAAGGACATTTGCTTCCTCCCCTCCCCTGCTTCATCTCGACATCTACATAGTCTGTTCTTTGGTTTTTGTTTCATTTTGTCTTAGACTGTTCGCTTGCTGACCAAGTGTGCGCAGTGCTGCAGCAACTCTGTTTCACTGGTTGGAACAGACTGCCAGTGCAACTCTGAGGTAACCCACTGAATTAAATGAGGCCTTTACGGCATAATTCTGGTTGTAGCAAGTTTGTCTGTATTTATTTTAAAGGTGAAAAATTAACCCATCCATGATGCATTATCGGTGTAATATTACTAGAAAGGAACACTATCCTATTAGAGTACGTGATTTAAGAATAATTAATATTTATAACAACAATTTTACTTTTCTGTACTGCAACAAGATGATCAAGGGTCTGGAAACCAAGCCTTATGAGGAATGGTTGAGGGAGCTGGGTATGTTTAGCCTGGGAAAGAGGAGACTGAGAGGAAATATGAGAGCCATCTTCAAATATCTGAAGGGCTGTCACATGGAAGATGGAGCAAGGCTTGTTTTCTCCTGCTCTGGAGGGCAGAACTCGAACCAATGGATTCAAGTTAATAGAAGGGAGATTCTGACTAAACATCAGGAAGAACTTTCTGATAGCAAGAGCTGTGTGACAGTGGAACAGTCTCCCTTGGGAGGTTGTGGACTCTCCTTCCTTGGAGGTTTTTAAGCAGAGGTTGGATGGCCATCTGTTATGGATGCTTTAGCTGAGATTCCTGCATTGCAGGGGGTTGGACTAGATGACCCTCAGAGTCCCTTCCAACTCTACAATTCTATGAGTACACTTCCATAGGAATATAAGAGCACTGCTTGATCAGGCCAAAGGGCCATCATAGTTCAGCATCCTGTTTTCACAGTGCCTAACTGGGTACGTACGGGAAGTCTGCAAGCCAGAACCTAAGTGAAACAGCACTCTCCCCACTTGTGATTCCCAGCAGCTAGTACCCAGAGGCATGCTGCCTCCGATAGTGGTGGTAGAACATAGGCAACATGGCAAGTAGCCATTGATAGCCTTGCCATCCATGAGTTTCTCTTTGCAAAATGGCAGCAGTGGAAAAGCCATATTTGAGAACTGTGTTGTGCTTTCTCCTACAGGTAGTGAAGGCTCTTATTATAATGATGCATAGACAATGGCTGACGGTCAGAAGAGTGGAAGGAAACTTGCTTGATGTGCGTGGAAAGCAAGTTGTTCGGTTTTTACGGGACACTGTTTTGCTCTTACACAGTTTGTCTCAAAGGGATAAACTCTTCCATGAACATTGCCTGGAAGTGCTTCATCAGTATGATCACGTCATGCCTGGTGTCAGAGCCATCCTCAGAAAAGTTCCAGATCTGAAAGCCTGTGAAGGTGAGGCTGCTGGCGTGAAATATGTGTATCTTAGTGAATATTGATATCATTAAAGTAACCTGCAGCCGTGCATGTTTTCTCAGAAGTGAACCTGAGTACCAAGTTCAGTGGGACTTGTCTTCAAGCAGGTGTGCACAGGCTTGCAGCTTTAAGCTTCCAGGCTTTTTATTATTCACTGACTTCAGTACTGATCTTTGGACATTTGTTTAGCCTTACTGTTAATATCATGCCAATCTACTGTGCATGCAAACTGAATGTTACTCCTTTGCTAGAACCTATGAATCTAAGGCCACGTTTAAATGGACAACACATTAGTTTTGAATTGGATTGGCACAGAGGGTTGTGCTGTTACCAATTCATGTAGTAATAATAGGATAGGAAGATAAATAGGCAGTAGCAATACAAGAGAAGTACGTGATATTCTGGGGCCAGTGCTAGTATTGCCTCTCTGTATTCCTTGCAGCTGTATTCCTTGATGCATCGTGACTATATTTTAATATTCCACTTTATTACTTTACACTTTGCTGTAGTTAAGCATATGAATCTGCTGTTGAGTCCTGAGCGTTGGTATATCTTCTAGCCCAGGGTTTCCCAAACTTGGGTCTCCAGCTGTTTTTGGACTCCAACTCCCATCATCCCTAGCTAGCAGGACCAGTGGTCAGGGATGATGGGAATTGTAGTCCCCCCCAAAAAAACAGCTAGAGACCCAAGTTTGGGAAACCCTGTTCTAGCCCTGTGCCTTTGGCACTGACTACAAGCAGCTCTTCAAGGTCATAGGCAAAGGCCTTTCCTAGCCCTGGTGCCTTAGGTACTTTTAATAGGAGTAATAGTGTTTACCATTGCACTACTATTGATCTACGGTTCTTTGTCTAAATTATTCCCAAACAGAGGACCTTGTTGTTGCTTCTTCACTGGCATAGTAACAACTTTTTTAAAAGTACCATTCCTAGTGTGAAACCCAGACAGCCATCTTTTTCCAATAGCTAATATTTAGATACTGGCCACATTCCTATGTTGTACTAAACCATGGTTTAGCAGTGCATTCCTGACTTGTAGGAAACTTTGGACTTGTACACTTCCCTCCTCCTTCCTTTATGCATGGCTTGGAGGAGGAATTTAGAAGCTTCCAATTGCACTTTGGATAACGATGATTTGTTGAGTTGTCTGGACTGATAAACTGTGTTAACAGAAACATGTTTAAACCATGTTTTTTCGAAGCGGACTTGTTTAAATGAACCGTAATTAAGTTTAACCACAGTTCAGAGTCTAGACAACTAAACAAGCTGTGGTTAGCCAAAAGCAGAAGCACATGCTTCTGAACTCCTCTTCCCAGCCATGTTGGAGGAGTGGGCAGTGTGTGGACCCAAGGCTTACTGCAACTTCTTCCTGCTCATGCACATCATGCTAAGCCAGATCCTAAACGTATTATGGCAACTCAGACTGTTGATCCGTCCAGCTCAGTTTTGTCAGCACAAGGGGTGAGGAGGCTGTGGCTGTTCAGATGTTGCTGGACTACAACACCCACCATCTCTGACCATTAGTCACAGTGGCTGATGGGTTGTGACTAATGGAAATTGGGAGTCTTTACAAGGGTCCACATTTTCCTCCATTTCTCTTTACCGCACTATAAGGCAGGGATGAGAAACCTTGGCCTCCCAGATGTTGCTGGGCCCTAGTTCCCATCAGCCCCAGCCAGCATGGCTAATGGGTCAAGGATGATGGGAGTTGGTGTCCACTGGGAAATTCTTTCACTCCTAAGATACATGTTTTTCTCCCCCAGAACTTGCATTGGATGAACTGTACCCATTGGAACCAGAAGTTGAGGATCAAGAAATTGACTGCAGCTAATCTTGGTTCAAGAGTATATTGGTTTACTTTCTAGAAAAGGCAAATTTTGATATACTAAACTTGTCCCAAGTGTCCAGTAACCAGGAACTATTCCAATGGAAGCAGTATGTTGGTGTGTTTTTTTTAAAACTGTTATGCTAAATGAATTTGCAGCCTAATATATTGTAATATAACACTGGTGGCTGAAGGATGTGATATTAAAAATAAAATCTAAAAATCTGTTTCTGTGTTTATGGGAAGGACTTCTTTGCTCTTCAAATGTTGCTCTGCTTAGATCAGAATATTGTGGGAACCTGTTTAAATATGTATTTCACTGTATTTTCAGAAGAATGCTTGTGTTCCTAAAACATACAATCCACTTCCTGTCTGTGGCTGCAATCCTATAAATGCTTCACAAGGGCATGAGTTTTGTTAAAGTCAGTGGGTCTTAATTCTAAATTGACTAGCGTAGGATTGCAATGTTTGTCAGGAGTGGGAATGCATCCCTCCAAGCCTCTCTACTTTGTCCTCAGGACCCCCCAGACCATGTCCCTCCATAAGCCCTGCTTTCTACCCTTTTGCCCTTGCTTCAGTTTGTGTGGAACATGAATGGTGATAATCCTTCTCACTTGCCAGGAGGGGGAGAAGGGTGTGTGCAGAGGGTGTAGTTACCTCTGGCTTTTGCATGGCTGTATAAAATATCCCATCCCTTGCTCTGCACACTTTTGCATTCACCCTTTCTGACACTTTTAGCCTTATGCTGTATACCTGTGAAGGTATTTCTCACTGCAGAATCTGCTTTCAGGTGACTGGCTGCAGGTACATCCTCCTTCCTTGTTTTTAACTCTAACAAGGCAGGGTTGGAGCCAGGATTTTCTAGGCTTCTAAATAGCATGGAGAGCCTCAGTGAACAGAACAGGCTCCCCTCAGTAGGCATACAGTAAAGGTAAAGGACCCCTGACAGTTAAGTCCAGTTGCAGACAACTCTGGGGTTGCAGTGCTCATCTTGCTTTACAGGCCAAGGGAGCCGGCGTTTGTCTGCAGAGTTTTTCTGGGTCATGTGGCCAGCATGACTTAGCCGCTTCTGTCACAACAGAACACTGAAACCAGAGCAGCGCATGGAATCAGTATACAGTGGTACCTTGGGTTAAGTACTTAATTCGTTCCGGAGGTCCGTACTTAACCTGAAACTGTTCTTAACCTGAAGCACCACTTTAGCTAATGGGGCCTCCTGCTGCTGCCGCGCCGCCGGAGTACGATTTCTGTTCTCATCCTGAAGCAAAGTTCTTAACCCGAGGTACTATTTCTGGGTTAGCGGAGTCTGTAACCTGAAGCGTATGTAGCCAGAGGTACCACTGTATACCCAATAAATGGGGAAGCAGCGCTAGAGCACTTGTCCCTGCTCTCCATCACGGAGTTCTAAGCACATAGGGGTTAGAATACCAGAGTCCTGCTTCTGTCGTGCAGTGATCTCATCTTACGCTTTTAAATGCATACACCCAATCTCCTAGAAGTACCTTGCCCCACTTTGCCTAGGTCTCTTTCATAAACTTCTCCACTAGAAATGCAGCAGTATCTTCCTTCAGCTTCTCATACTTCCTGAGTGCCTGCTTCTAATATTTCTGCCTTTAACTGAAATAACTCTTTAACGTATTGCATTTCAAGAGGGAGCCGCCCTCATTCTTGATCAGTTTCAAAGGACTAGTGGTGCCGTTCACAGTAAGAATTGTCTAGCTGTAAGGAAAAAAGTCTCTGGGAATTATAGGAGTGTATTGAGTTACCTCTCTAGGAATTATGCTACGTCAGGGACTGAGTCACTAAAAACAAGACCTCACATGTGTATTTAATAACATCTGTGCTTCCAACACTTAGTAGTGAAATCAGTTTTAAAGTTGTGTAAGCATGTTACAGCAGAATCAATTTAATTAGTGTTTTAAATGCTTCTGCTTGCAGTTGGTAATATCAAACTCACAGGATTGCAACTTTGAGAACAGGTTCTTGTTTTGTTATGATGTCTGATTTTCCCAGTAGTAGTTCTAAAGCTCTAGCTACTGAACAGAAACAAATATGTTCCTGTGAGATGTGAGGACAGAGAAATGCATAGTGTTAATCTTTATATAAATAAATGGGAGCTAAATACTTAACCTAATGCATATGAAAAATGACAGCACTGTATATATTATAGCCATAATGAAACTAATTGACCTATACGTTGATAATATTTTAAATGTGAAACAGGAGCAAACCAATCCCATATCTGTCTCCTGTTATCCTTTTCCTATTAGCATGAGCCACAATCAACTAAAAAGTGGTCTCAGTGTCATTTTGGATGCTTCTTAGCTGGTGCCTGCTGCTTAGGAATTTGGGCAGTTTCTACAATTGTTCTCTTATTACTCTACCATGAATGTAAGCAAGCCCCTTTTGTTACCTGTATAAACTTGTTTGTGGCTAGTTACTTTGTGGATTTGAGAACAACCTACTTGCTTTCCTCTTGCAGTTTTTTTTCAGTGACAGTTATTGCTGATCCTCTTTTTCAAGCCAAAACAGATTATAAACAGTACGGTATCCGGGCAAAGCTAGATGCTGCAGTAACATGCACAGATTTAAACATGGTTCTTTTTCCACGAGCTCCAAGGCTTTGTGAGATCCTGATTTGCCAGGACTGTGGCCAGGGAGGAGCTGAGCTTGAGCTTTCGGTTTCATCCGGAACTTTGGGAGCGGCTTTCCAACGCCTAATGGCAGATCAAAATAAAATAAAATAAAAATCCTAAAGGGGTGAAGGAGGCGCTGGACGGGAGAGAAGGTCTCCATCGCGGAAGGCTGCCTGCGCGCCATTCTACTCCAGTATGTATTTTAAACGGGAGGCTCCGAGTCCGAGCGCTTGCAAAACGGAAAGGGAAATATGTTTCGTCCCGCAACTGTTCTTGAATTTAGGGGTTAAGGTCGTAATAAGGCGAGGTCGTGAAGGGAAAATGGTGGGACGAGCTTGGCCGTCCTAACATTTCCCTCCTTTGCTAGGGCCGTTTGCGCAACCCAAAACGCGGCAACGCGGGCACATCGCCTCCTTTTCCCGTCAGTGGCGCCTGCAGGAGGACGGCGCCATTTTCTTGGGTTCATAGATAGGATTCCCAAGCATTTGCACGGCGAATGCGGCCACGCTTCACTTGGGGCTGGGAGCCGCTTTGCTCCCTTCCTGGCCCTCTGCCACAGGAAGACGAACTCGGGCCTCTTGCGTTGCTCAGCTCCCGGGAGAAGAAAGGGGCGCGCAGCCCTCGTGACTCTGCGCTGTGGAGCCACTTGCCCTTGAGGCGCCCGGAGATCTGTCTCAGGAGAAAACACGGACTTCCCTCCAGGGTTGAGAAGGAAGCTCTCCCGTCTAGTTCGAGGGCAGAATGGGCACTTGGTGCCCGCAGCCCAGACAGACCCCTACATCCGTGTGACAGAGGCCTTCTTGCCCCCCCCCCCCAGTAGGAAGGCTCATGCAGCCTTTCTCAGCTGTGATTCCTGCATTGCAGGGGGTTGGACTAGATTGCTCTTGGGGATCCCTCCAAGGATTCTGATTTTATGAAGCGGAGCTGCTTTGCGAAGTGGTGCAAGGGGGTCGGCAGTGTGGCCCGAAATAACCTGAGCATGGGGCTTCTTCGTGTATATCTGTGGCTTGCCGCTGTGTGTCTGTTTCATTTATTAAAGCATTTTTGCCACACTGAGAGGGTGAAAGGAAGGGTAACTATGGGCATAGTATTAACATGAGATCTATACATTGCATTGGCCATCTTGTGCCTTTCCCAGATTTTCACTGTTCTTTTTTCCTAGACCTGAGAATGTGGCCAACATCTGCGACTCCCTCCAAACCCATTGAGACATTTGTTTTTATGGACCTGGAAGCAACAGGCTTACCACCCTCGCAGCCTAAAATTGCAGAAATGTGCCTGTTTGCTGTGTCTAGACATTCCTTGGAGAATCCTCAATACGGCAATCCTTGCCCAAAACCACTACCTCTCTTACCACGTTTAGCAGATAAGCTGTCTGTTTGCATTAATCCAGACAAGCCGTTCACCCCGGCAGCAAGTTCCATTACAGGACTGACGAATGAAGCATTTGCCATGAACAGAAAGCAAACCTTTAACTTGCATCTTTTGCACATGATTGTGGCCTTCTTCAGAAGGCAGCACCCACCAATCTGTTTGGTAGCACACAACGGCTATGGTTACGATTTTCCTTTGCTGAAAGCTGAACTCTCTGCACTGGGTCACTTAGCCCTTGACGAAATCTATTGTGCAGATACTATTAAAGCCATGAAAGCCTTGGACAGCCAGAACAACCAGCTTCAGCAGTTTGCATACCAACCCAGCGCACCTGGCAGCAGGAAAAAATACGCTCTTCGTGACTTGTATTTTAAATTCTACAGAGAATATCCTCCGAACAGTCACAATGCAGAAGGAGATGTCATTGCGCTAATAAACATCTTTCAACAACGTGCCAGCGATCTTATGTGCTGGATGGATTCAAATGCAATGCCATTTAATTCCATTAGAGCCATGTACAAGGAAAATGAGAGATACGCTTCCTTTTCAAAAACACCTGGGAACGTTCAACCACTCCACTCCAGTCACTTACAGATGCAATCGCGGCAAAGGGTAGCAGCAACTGCTTCACGCTGGCCTTTTCCAGAAGGTGGTGAACCAGCAGATAATAATTATATTCCACTAAACAGTAGAAGTACTGATAAATTTTTCATAATTCCTGAAGAATTTAAGAGTGTTCAGGGTATTTTGATTCTGTTTCTTGGGCTAGTAGTTATGTGGGTTGCAGTTAAATACCCTGTTTAATTCAAGAATATACATTGGATTTTCTATATTGTAAGTTGCAAGCTGCAAAAATGTGTTTCCACCAGCTCTGGTTCTTATTTTCTCCCTCCATTTCGATCTTCTATAACCCCTATTTTAAAACAGCGGCATTGGTTTCCAGTTTGTTTCTCAGCCCAATTCAAGGTGATGAATCAAATGATTCAGGTTCCAAATATCTGCCTCCTTTTGTACAGAGCCTCTTGTATGCTGAGATCAGCAGACAAGGTCCTCTTGATAGTTCCTTTGCCCTTAGAGGTTCAGGGAAGGCATTCTTTGTGGTGGCCCCTAAGCTGTGGAACTCCCTTCCCACAGAGATGCTTCCGGCACCTTCATTATACTGTTTTTGGAGAATGCTGAGGTTTATGTTCTTAGGATGCACTTTATTTTTATGGCTATTGTTTTAAACTGTTTTTAATACTATGTTTCAATGCTGTAACCTGCTCTTGGATCTTAGGGTGAAGGGTGGATAATAAATTAATATTATTTTGGTGATTCTTGCTGTTATTATTTCATTGGTGTCTTCAAGGGCTGTGATTTTTTCCTTTGTTTTTTTACAAGCCATTCTGCACAATGTAAAAAGTTAAAAGGATAAAATAAATTTTAAAAATTGTCTAAGAACGCTAAATGTCAGAGTACACTGGTATATATGTGAAAAAGCAAATTTTCATTGGGGGAAAGGCCTAAAATTCCAGAGAGATAAAGGTGGGTAAAAGCAGCCATCTTCCTTTCCATTAAAAAAAACAAATGCTAAAAAACTCAAGTGGTTGAGGAAAGTGGTTCAGAGTCTTGCTGTCGTTTTAAGTATTTCCTAGAATCTTGACTCTGGACAGTTCCATGTCGCCTTGGGAAGTGCCCAAAGCTAAAGCTTAGGCATAAAGAGCAAGGTTGTAGTTTGTATTTGCTGACTTCACTTTAGAACAGAAGCGGAGAATATCTCACCCATGGCCTTCCACATTTGACCCAACCAGGCCATTTTGGGCAAGCCACACCCACCCTACAAGATATACCCCACATACCAGATGTGTGACATGACTATTCTTCTTCTTTTTCTTCTTTGGCAATCACTCATAGCCGAGTAAGATTGTCTTCCATAAATACGGTTTTAACAATGAGTCCATAAGTGACTGTGGAGGCCAGTTCTGGACCCACACATTCTTCCACAGTGGAGACAATGGTTTCTGGGCAGGAGTTGATCACAGTGTGGATTTGCCAAGCGTGCCTTCCTCTTAGCACGTTTCTCCCTTGCGTCCTGAGTTCAAGTGTCTTTGAAGCCCATGACACCTTTGGTAAAGGCTGTTCTCCAATTGGAGCACTCACAGGCCAGTGTTTCCCAGTTGTCGGTGTTTATACTACATTTTTAAAGATTGCCTTGTGACTTGAATAGCAGGAGCTTAAAGTGATGGGTCGTGGGAGTGTGGAAAAAAACTTCCATCTTAGCAGTAGTTTCAATGGAAACTGCTTCCCTCCACTCCCATCACTGCTGTTTGAACCTCTGGATTTAAAGAGGCTTAAAGAGGAGCATGGACATGTTTGCAAAAGGGCTTTCAAAACAACCCAGCACTGCTCATATTGTAGGTCTGCCAAGGGTGGGGAGATAAAGATCCCCATTGTCCAGCAAAGGTTCCCCAAGTTAGGTTGATCGATGAAATACTTTCACAAGGCATATATACCATAGTGAAAGCAAGAATGCTAATGCCTTCCTCTTGCTTGACCTCTAACCTAAACATGTCAATTCAGACAGAACTTGATTTGATCTACTTAGATCCCTGGAGGAAGCCTTGTTTGAGGCACTGCTGCCACTACCAGTCACACCAGCTATTTTTATGAGTTAGAACCTCACACTAAAAACATATGCTCTATTTGCACACTGTTCATTTCACTCATCACCTTTAGTGGAAACCTAGACCCAATGGTAAGTTTAGGACCCCTCCCGTGCCTCCACAGAACTCTAGATCAGTATCCCTCTTTGCTTTAGACCAGACATGGCCAAACTTGGCCCTCCAGATATTTTGGGACTACAACTTCCATCATCCCTAGCTAACAGGACGAGTGGTCAGGGATGATGGGAATTGCAGTCCCAAAACATCTGGAGGGCCAAGTTTGGCCATGCCTGCTTTAGACAAAGCTTTCATAGAGAACTCTGACGGGCTCGGTCACCTAAGTTCTCAATGTTCAGACTTCGTGAAATCTGCCCTAGATTGTTCCACCCTTAGCTTGACTCCCTCTTTACCACAGTGCTCCATACATCCTCTTCGATCTTTATTATTTTGTGTTTAGTTTAGGTGGGAACCTAATATTTCCAAGTCTCTCTTGCCAGCCAAAGACAGCTTGTATTGCATAAAGCAGAGTAGCCAACATGGTGCCCTTCAGACATTGCTGAGCTCCAAATCCCTATTGTCCCTGTCCATTGGCCATGTTGGCTGGAGCTGACAGGAGTTGGGAGTCCAACATCATCTTGAGGACAGCACATTGCATACCTTTGGCATAAAGCTTCGGGGGCCAGCAGGGCTCCTCTGGCCCCTAATTCACTATCACATACTGCCCCAGTGGTTTGACACCCAAAATAATCTGCAAACACATTAGGGTTGTGCGATGCTTTGAGAGCTGTATCTTCTTATATGGAAAAAAGGTAAGGCTTTCACCATGCAACCCCCATTGGAGTGTTTATAGTGCCGCATCCCATTCCTGGATTTGCATGAAGCTGGTACAGGGTTTGGGGATTAAAAGAGAAGTCAGGTTATACAACATCAAGGGAATGAGAAGTTGTGTTTGAAGCAGCAGTTTGAGTAAAGCAGGGATGATGAGGATGCACAAAAGGAGGGGGACAAGGCATGGACATGGCGTGAATGTAAAAATGAGTGCAAAGCAGGGGTGCAGAATAGAAGAAAGCAGTGGCTTCAGAAATGGGCTTTTGAAAGTGAAAAGCGAGTTTAAATAGCAGGAGCTTAGCCAGCAGAACAAGCAGGGGCACAGCCCTTACTCTGTTCATACTGTCACTGTTTGGGTTTGGATTCTTTTCAGTTAGTGCAATTAATTTTCTCTGGGTCACAACTACTGTCTTTTACATGCAAGGAGTTGAACACTATTTTTCTAATACTAGCAGAATTCAACAAATAATGCAAAGTGAGTACGTTTTGACAATATATTTATTATAAAAAGCTGCAAACATGCCAATCCTTTTGAATTGTCTTGTTTACTATAAGCAACATACAAATCAGGATTATTTTTTTAAAAAAAGAATATCAAAAAGAATTGCATTGTATATTGATATATAGTACACTGACTACAATAATGCAGTTTGAAAAGTCTGTGAAAGGCACTTCCAAAGTTCACAATAAAAAAGTAAACACTGCAAATCTACAATATGAAGCTGAAATTCAATTTCCCTTCTGCTTCAGTAAACAACTTTTTAATTAAATTGACATATATAACACACACAGTATTTCACAGGCCACAATTCTCCCCTCAGATACTCACATATAAGCACTATTGAGTTAAACAAGACTGATGTAACAGCAGGATTGCAAATAATGAAATACTTGTTGTATGTAAGCAAACACTCGAATTCTGTTCATAGATACACACTGGTGTCATGATGTGACTATGTGAGCTGAGATTTCACAGGTCACAATGGAACAGGAATTACTCATGATGTTGATATTTAATGATCATATACAGTTTCTTCCTAACCCTCACTCCCACCAAACTATACCTAATACTGGGGAGGAAGGTTAAAAACACACAAGATACTGTCTCATGACCATGGCAAAGTGATGGCAGTCGACAGAGCTATGCTTTGTGATACTTTATGTGGAAGTGTGGACAGGGTTTCAATCCATGCTGGCACAATGGTGAATTAAGATAACTCTGATGCTTTTCCTGAAGGAGGTAGAGAAAGACACACTTTTCAGCAGTTTGTTACTATACACCCAGAAAGAAAAAGTAGAGCTTAACACAGCACATGGAAATCAATATCTATATAGCCTTCCTAACATCCCCAATAATCACCATAAGACAGGACTTTTCCCCATTACAAGTCACGGTAAGGAAATGTAGTCAATGCTAGTTTCTATAACTTTTCATTTTACATTAGTAGAATGTAGACCATATGCAATCTCATGAAGAGAGAGGTCTATGCCTACATAACATGATCCACGTTGCAATCCTATGCACATTCCCTCAAAAGCAAGTCCCACTGAGTTCAATGGGGCTTACTCCTAGGTTAAGGGTACATGATTGCAGCCTTAGTCATTTTACCAGAAAATTCTTGAATAGGAAAATGCAACAGAAAGAACTATATAAAGACGTTTAAGAAGGCACCAAGATCACACAGTAGCACTCCTCAAAGCATTGGTTGCTCACACAGAGAAATGCAGGGACTCCAACTTATAACTACATAGGAACAATCCGCAATGAGAAACTGCAGCTCCAAAAACAGGTTGCCTCTTCACATTTCTCCTTCACTGCGAAAGCAATTCTGACAGTGGTTTGGGATGATTTTGGTACTCTGAACTCCTAAACCCTCATATTGAACTAGCAAGAGTGATTGAAGTTTTTCTATCATATATTGTGAGGGCTATATCTTATTCTATAGCTCAGTCTCCCTTTTTATTCACACTTGCTGCATCCCTGGCTTCAGTAGTAATTTGGTTAGAATATTTTGTGTGTGTTCAGTATACTTTTCCTGCCTCACCTTGTACATTCCAGATATAGTTTAAGGGAGAGTGCATACTCATGCTAGAAATGAAGGGGAGCAACAGAAGTCTTCTTCAGAAAGTGACATATCCTAAATTATATATTCTGGATTACAAGGTAGCTGCTAAGAGTTTTGTGAAATGTAATTATAAAGGAGGATAGATGCAGCCTTAGTTATGTTACCAGAAAATTCTTGAATAGGAAAATGCGACAGAAAGAACTATATAAAGACGTTTAAGAAGGCACCAAGATCACAGTAGCACTCCTCAAAGCATTGGTTGCTCATACAGAGAAATGCAGGGACTCCCAACTTATAACTACATAGGAGCAATCCACAATGAGAAACTGCAGCTCCAAAAACAGGTCGCCTCCTCTTTACATTTTTCCTTCACAGCGAAAGCAATTCTGACAGTGGTTTGTGATGGTTTTGGTACATGGATAGATGCAGGCAGGCACAGAAACCCATTAAGAGCTGGAAGTAAATTTCTGTTAGTCTATTTAAGGTGCAATCCTATACTACCTGGGAATAAAAAGGCCATTGCTCTCCAGGAGACTTCCTTCCAAGTATGTATGGAGAGTACTGCACTGTTAAGCACCTTCAAATAAAGAAAATAAATGGTTCTGAAGGGGCATTTGAAAGATTTATAGAGAAAATAACAGGCAACTAGCCATGTTGGCTATATTACCTCCAGCATCAGAGTTAGTATACCTCAGAGTACCAGTTCCTGTACTATCATGAGTGGGAGAATACTACTGCGGCTTGTGGGCTTCCCATAGGCATTTGGTTGGCTACAGAAAACAAAATGCTGTGCTAGACAAGTCTTTGGTCTGATGCTGTAGGGGTTTCCTTATGAGCATGCTCAGTACCCATGGAATGTTGAACTGCCAGATAGGAAAAATAATGAAAAGGAGAGGCAGGGTGGAATGCCTAAGCTTCCTTATACACGGAGGAAGGCATGTTTGGCCGGCACTCTCAACAGGAACATTAGAATCAGAACAGGAGAATACAATATTTATGTATTTATATCCAGCTCTTCTACTAAGCCTACTAAGCCTAACATTGTTCTGCAGGTCTGATATGTTAAGATGATTAATGATCTCATTCAACCATGTTCATGCAGTGGTACAGTACTTTTGGTTGTTGTTGTTGTTTTTTTGAGGAAAGAGGAAACTGGAATATTAGACAAAGGAAAGTTACCTATGAAACTGACATGCTTGAAATTAAAACTGTGAAAGCATAATGAAGCAAATGACTATGCAATTGCTGCCCAAATACAGAAAAGTTTTCTTTAACAACTTACACTATTTCTTGCCAAAAAACCAAAACATTCTACTCAGTACTATTTCTCTTACTTCTTTTCATTAGATCTTATTTGCAATAGTTAACTGGAAAAAGTATATCCAGTTTTACACTGATTTTGTTGAGGTACACCTCTCATTTTATAAGCATTAACAATTACTGGCAAAATCATGGCAGCAGACATTTGTTGCTACTCGTCTTATCAACGACTCCCTTTCACTAGACTTCAAATTACTGTATGGCATATCCATGACTCCTACTCTGAAGTTGTCTTTTTAAGACACTATCAACAATTTAAATTGAGATATAGGAAAACAAATCCAGGTGATAGATCTTTTTTTTCTTGTGGTGCTCAAGGCATTAAAAAGCAAACAAACACTGTCAGGGTTTCTACCCCACCTGCATCAGAGTAGTATTTTTAGAAAGTATGCCACAATATAGATTCTGTTTGAAAAAGCTTCTGCGCAGATACAGAGCAGTAAATCCATTTGAAGTTAATGCTTCGGAGGATCCATGTATGCTGGGTTATAAGGTGGCTGAACCGCAGAAGCTCCAGCTGTAAAACAAGACAACATTTTAAAGATATATTTTATAAATACTATGCTTTTTCCTGGGCTAATTATGAGCACTCTCAGAGAATCTACTGATCTGTGAGCTCCAGAAGGACTTTCAGCCTCATCAGTAAAATCTTCAAAGCAGACTGTAGCTTTTAAAAGTTCTTTTCCTTTAAAGGAGAACATATCTCTTAAAAAGAATGGAAGTTCAAGCAGGGGTCTCTTATGACAAAACTGACTCTGTCCTTACATGCTTTTAAGGGTAACCCAAAGCTGAGTGTCTGTACAGGTATACTGCTCAGTGTGATTAGATTCCTGACCAATCTATAAAGTGAGGACAGGATTGTACATTTGGGCCCTGCTGCTGCAGAATTACTAAGATGCCAGCATAGCAGACTGGCATAGCAGACTGAGGGATACCACAGTCAGTGGCGTAGCTAGCTGTTTGGGTGCCTGATGCTGGGGCGTGTCCTGCAGCTGGGGGGCGGGGTGAGCCACCCGTGGGGTGGGGCGATCTACCCGTGGTGGCTGGGCGAGCCTCTCCAATGCTTGGAGCCTCTCTGCCGCCTCCCCCTCAGCTGTAGGGAGGCTGAGGGAGAGGCAGTAAGCAGACACAACTACCATGCTGCCTTTTTAGGCAGCATGGAACCTGCAGGCGCCTAAGCCACCATGTCACCCCTAAAAAGTTTTGTGAGCCCATTTTTTAAAAAGACCCTTTTTGTCACACACACCCCTTGGTGATGACACCCGGGGCGGACCACATCCCCTGCGCTCCCCTTCCTCCGCCACTGGCCACAGTTGCTCCAGTACGGCATTATGCCAGCATATTTGATACCACCAGTACAACAGGCAAAAACTGACAAACTTGGCAGTTTAATGGTACAGAAACATGCTTTAGTTAGGTTCCTAAGTTTGCTCAGAGGTCACCATCACCAGGAAATTTGGTGTAATATAATGCCAGGAAAGGTTATGCAGTAATAAAGATCACTTTTTATAGAAGTCAGCAGAGAATCTAATATAATTGCCTGCCCCCTGCTCCCTCGCCACACAAAAGGATAAGATTCCAATTAACTCTGCAGCCAATGATAGCATAATACAGTAAATATACAAGCCCCAACCAAGGATCACCAATCTCAGATATTAAATAGCACATCAAGGGGCACGTTGTTGTCCTCATGTCAAGAAATCTTGGGAGCATGGAATGAGAACTTGGTTGGTGGAAACCTTGATGAAATAGCAAAGAACTAGAAAAAATAAGCTAAGAAGTAGAATGAGCATATTAATGGTTCATGTCCTCTCAGAAACCTTGTATTTGCTCCACAGACACCCCAGCTCCTGCAGCTGGGGGTGCAAGACAAAGCACCCCATTCTTCTCCACAGATTCTCTGCTTACCTGCCATGGTTTCATGGTAGGGTGGTGGTCCTGCAGGCTGTGTGGGGTAAGGTGGAGGGTACTGTGTTGGGTAGGGTGCTGCTGGCATCCCCTGTTGCGGTTGCACTGGCAGAGGATTATACCCTTGATACATCCCTGCAGGGTAACCTTGTGGTGGCATCCCAGGCTGCTGAGGATATGGCACCTGCACCACAGTTGTGGCTGTAGTTGTGGTCACGACAGCTGTAAGACATGGGAAGAGTGCCAGGGAAGCAATCAGCACATGAAGGAAGATGATTATATTTCTAAACAATCCCTTTGCTCCCCGTTTTTTCATTTTTTTGTAAACTCAACTGCCACCAACTGCATTCTAAAGCTATTCTGACTACATTCCTGAGGTGAACAGTGATGAAGCTCACCCTCCCCTCACACACGAATTTCTTAGTCCTTCTAAGAGACGCAAACAGACACGACACAGGGTTGAATCCCGCTAAGTCACTGGGCATGTGGAATGACTTTTGCAAGCACATCAGAACTTATCCTCCTTTTGCACTCCCTGCCCTGCACCACCCCAAATCTGCTCCAGGGGTTGAGGAAACCCCAGAGCAGATTTGACAGGAGGGGAGGGGAGAGGAAGTACAGTTGTGCTTGCAGGATATGTTCTGAACATACTACAGTTTAGCTGAACTCAGCCTGCATATTTGATTCACTTTACAAAATCATGGCTATTTGGTTGTTCAGATATTTAGGCAATTCCTACCATAACTGTTTGTTGGCATCAAGTCCAAAATGCTGCTGAGGTAAACTGGCTCTTGATCTCAGATGTGTCTAAATAACATGAATTGCTTTCTGCAGCTACATCCCAAAATTACACATGGCACTAGACAGCACTATTTTTTAAAAAAAAGTTTGAGTCATGAATAATTTCTTGTTAGAACAGCCTTCTTCCTTTCTTTACTAAGAGAAGGTAAAAAATAAACCATGCTTACGCCGTGGCTGTCTTCGGCATGCTTTATACAGGCAGCAACATGAACAGGTGAAGCAGAAAATGATGGTCACCACAAACAGTACGAATATGGAAACACCAACAGCTATGACAGTCCCGCTGTAAGAGGAAAAGACACATTTGAAAACTAAGGTGTCTATCAAAACAGGAGGCAATCTTCAGTTATAACTGAAAACACTGATAAATCACACAGTTATCCTTTGTTCATCAAATATTTGATCTAAATTGTTATATTTAGAAAAAAATGCATAAAAATAACATTCAGTGTGCAAACAAGCAATTTCCCTTAGAGGTTTATCATATGGATTATGTCAAATAAAAAAAGGAGGATTAAAAATTCAGTACTATGCTCTAGAAGCATTCTTTCACAAAGAGGCATAGTCATACTGAAGAAAGAAAAAGCAGCAGAGAGGCATATATAGATGCATCAGGTGTATCAGTATACCTGAAGGAGCATCTCCACCCCATCATTCAACCCGGACACTGAGGTCCAGCGCGGAGGGCCTTCTGGCGGTTCCCTCACTGAGAGGCTACAGGCAGAGGGCCTTCTCAGTAGTGGCGTCTGCCCTGTGGAACACCCTCCCGTCAGATGTCAAGGAAATAAACAACTATCTGACATTTAGAAGACATCTGAAGGCAGCCCTGTTTAGGGAAATTTTTAATGACTGGGGTTTTAATGTATTTTTAATCTTTTGTTGGAAGCCGCCTAGAGTGGCTGGGGAAACCCAGCCAGATGGGCGGGGTATAAATTATTATTATTATTATTATTATTATTAATGAGTGGATGAGTAGGAACACACTGTGTTGGGGTGCTTGGTCGCACTGGCATGCACATGGCTACATGTATGTCATCAAGGTGACTGTCCCTGTGTGAGCAAGTCACTTGGCTTCCAAATGTCATCAATCTTTAGCAGTATGCATTAACCTAGACTTGCCAAGAACAAATCTTTAGCTCTGCTCCTTTTCTGTGCTGGACCTACTATACATAGGGTGATCATTAGACCAGGCCACAAGACCACCACGGTTTGGCATTTGTTCAGTACTGATAGTGTGCTGAGCACACTAAGGTAACATGGTTCCTGCCCAGAGGTCTTACAATCCACAGTAGAAGGGCAATTCAGGGATGGGGAAAGACTACAATGCAGGTGGGTAGGTGGCCCCTGGTCTCCTTTTATGTAGCCCTTGACACCACCTGAACAGTGTTTGAAACTCCCATTGTTCTAGGCACATTTTGTGATAGGGTATTTCATTAGCGTGAGCAGTTTCTGAGCTCTGGGTGCAGTTCTGATTAAAACTGCAGAGTGGAAGGAAAGAAGGATCTTTTTCTGCCTCCTCACTTCCAGTTACTCTCTGAAGACTGGAGAAGAGACCCTCTAAAGAATATTAGGGGGGTGGGCAGGGGAAGGACTAGACCATGTGAAAAATGAATTTAATATTTTCACTGCAGTTCATTCATTTTCAGCTTTGTATTCTTGTTATAAAAAAGTGTGCCTAAACGTACCTCAGTTTCTAACACTGCTCTGGAAGCTTTCCCATTCCTCCATCCCATCCATTTCCCCCCTTCCAGTTCCTTTCCTTTTTTTGTGGTTTTTCAAAGTGCTCCTTCCCTCAGTATATGACATTTCAGAACAATTTCATTTTAATAACAACAACAACAACAATAATAATTTATTTATATCCCACCCTACCCGGCCAAAGCTGGGCTCCGAGCGGCTAATAACAGTAAAATAATACAGCATTCTAAAATAAATTCATTATAAAATCAGTTCAAATCAAATTGATGGCAACCATTGGGCTAGGGTTCTGTGAAGAATTACCAAAGGAGGGGGTCAGGCTGTGCCTTGGCCAAAGGCCTGGTGGAACAGCTCTGTCTTGTAGGCCCTGCGGAAAGATGTCAAGTCCCACAGGGCTTTAGTCTCTTGTGACAGATAAACTGATTTCTTTTTTTCCCTTTTTTACTTCTCCTCCTGTTTGTATGGCTTGGAGAAAAGAAGTATTTTACCCACCTGTCCAAGAAAAAAATTAGTAGGCTTCTGCCATATGTGTGTGGGTGTGTAGCATCCTGAAGTCAGAAAGTAATTATTTTAATTTGCTTTCCAGAACAGTAGCTGTACTGGCTGTTGTATTTTTTTATTACAAAAATCCTCTGTAGTTATTTGAGACTAACTTCATAAAACCCCGTAAAGCTTTCATCTGAGTAGAATTGCACACTATTAGGAATTCTAATCAGAGGCATACCACAGCTAAACTTGAAGCAGTGTGTGGTCTTTATTCCACCTTTATCACCACCTTTCTGTAACCAGTGAGGAAATGATGACACTGACAGAAGGGGAAAGTTCCTCACCCTTGGGTTAAAGGTTAGGGTAGAGAATAATAAAATAAGTTGATCTCGAGGAGAGATACAGATGAAAAGAGAAGCTGCACCAGGCAAAATCCAAATTGGGCCACCTTCAGCAACCAAGCAGCCTTCATAAATCATGTGCATTGAGCAACTTTTCATAATTTAATTTGTGAATATTTGTTTTTTAGTGTTGACTGTTTTGCACAAATTATTCTGGGTTTTGTATTTATTGGTTAGGGGAAGGAGCACACCAAGGCCTAACTGTAACCACTAGGGAAGGGTTTCAACATAGTGATATCATGATAGCTTCATCAGCAAAAGCATTTCTGCTTGCTTGATATCTCCCCTCTCCTTCTCCCAAGTACTATTCTGGGCATTATCCTGACCCACCTGAGCCAATCTAGGGGACACATGGGGGGGGGGGAGGAGAGGAGGGTAAAGTCCAGTTGTGCCAACTTGTGGGACCAATTAATTCAGTCCAGCCCTAGGAATCTAGTTCAGTTATCTCTGGTTTCTATTATTTTAGCAGGAATTGCCCAGGCACATTCAAATTATTTTTTTACTCATAAGGGCAAAAAAAGTACATTTCCCCCACATTAAGAAGAATCCATGATGAGAGTTTTACATATCAAACCTCCATTTTTAACTTCTTTCTATTCTTTAAAACGAATCCAACAACAATAAAAAAGCTCCAATGAGGTGGAAACAAAATGGCCACAATGAAACAAAATAAAGCATTTAAGGATTTCACAGTGATACTACATCTTCAGTTGCATGTTTATATTCTGCTCCATGCTTCTGCCAAACATCAGGCCAGTCAGGCTAAAAAAAAGTTTGCGTTCAACAACATTCAGCCAATGCACTTAGGTTTAATACACTGGTGGGTAAACTACATTATTATCAGCTACAGTGATAATATTTCCACTGCATGATGAGAAAACTGAAGGCACACCCAAAATATTTTACGAAGTGCAAGCTGGTATATCTTTGAGACTGCAGCAGCAAGCCATCTGACAACTTCAGTACTGTACTGACTAATTCCTGAAGCTCATACCAAAATAGGGGTGGAGAGAAACACCCACAGCTTGCATTCATTGAGTGTTCCTTTCCTTAAATGTGAAAAGCAAGAGCTTACTGGTGTTATGCAAAATTAGACACAATTTACTGTATATGAGCAGCCAAGTGCTGCAGCACGATATAGACTCTTCCGTGAATTGGCAACACCGCCACAAAATGAAATGTCTTGTGCAACGAAGGGCAGGGAGGGAGAATCACACTTATTGGAGCCCATCTTAAACACAGTCCTTGTAACAGCGATTGTAATGCAAGCTGAATCAGGTCTTTCTTCACTTTTGGGTGCTGATTTTAGAGGCTAATGCAGTGGTTCTTTAATCTACTACCGCCCATCAAGTATGCAACATTGCCAGACGGCCCCTGCCCCAAACTGCCATCATCATCGAACTCTAGATGAGGCAATTTGGTCAGAATAGATAGGTGTTATTTCTAAAAGGTGAAAAAATTATATGATCTGATGAGGAGCCAGAGAATATATAGGTGTATTTCTTATGCATGCATATGATACTCAGATCTTAGGTTCAATGAGACCACTGTACCAGACGGTCATTAGCCAACATCACCAACAGCAGACTGCCACCCACCCACTCTATCTCCAGGCAGCAGCACGGTTATTAAAACTGTGAGGGGAAAGAAGGGATGTGGTTGTGGTTGTTTTGTTCAAGCTGTAGGGGAGGAGCTGAGGAAAGTTGTCCCCAGGTGAAAGAGACAGTGGCAGGAAATGAGGTTGGGTGTTTATTGTCTTCAGCTACAAGCAGAGTTAGTGGTCAAACAAACATCATTTCTGATAAAGCCTGGGAGCTTGCACAAGTTGACCTCTCCAGCCAGGCAACAGCGCTGAGTCAGTAGTTTAGGAACTGACCTCCTGGATCATAGCTGCTTCTCTTACAGGGGCCACACGCTAGATGTCGAGTTGACAATGCATACATCTCAACCAGTGGGACGACCCCTCTCCAGAATGGCATATGAAGATTTCAGGGTGGGTTCATGTTTCCAAAAAAACATGTACTCATACGTATATGTCACAATATTTCAATACTTTTGAAAATTCAAGTCATGTAATTAGGGGAGCCAGGTAATTGCTCTGCGGTGGTGAGATCTGAAAGCTCATACAGAGAAGGAAGAAATGGATTCTCAGAAAAACGCCACCATTTTTTAATAGGCAGTTTTTCAAGAACCTGTTTCTCCCTTGTCTCTGATGATATTAGTGTACGCACTCTGTTGTCTTCTTTCTGGAAGCTCATCAGGTATACTCGGTCTCATTGGAGAGCAGGCATTCCAGTTTTATTCTCTCTTTGCTGCACAAGCTCCTTAAAGAGCCCGAGGAAGAAGTCTAGGATCTGGGGATTTATTCTTAGGGTATGGTGAACAGGAAAAAGCAACTGTCCTCGGCTGCTGTTATAACCCATTGCAAAGGAAGAGAAGAGGCTGCACAAACCAATTTGCAGAACATGCTGGAGGACAGCATGACTCTGGTCAGTAAATCAGGCCAGTCTCAGCAACTTATAACCACACTTTATATAAGGAGAAGCTACAGCTGAATGGTGAAGTACATATTTTGCCAAGGCTTAATACCAAGCATCTCTAGTTAATAGGATTGGGGACCATCTGAGGCCCAAGAGAGTGAAGCTTCAGGCCAAACCATGTAAACATTAAAATACCTTTTTTGTTTGTTTGTTTAAGACCATATCCAGCCTTTACTTAACGTCCATTTTTTCTTTAAAAACATAATAAATAAACAAAACATCAAGGTAGGCAAACAAACAAACAAACAAACAAAATAATAATTACAGCAAGAGGAGTAATAAATACAAGACAATAAAATAATGGTCATAATAAGCTTTTTTAAAAGCATAAAATATATTCCATAGTGGAATACAAGGTTCATATTTATACAAAACATATCAGATAATCATGAGTACTTAAAGGTGTCTTTGCATCAAACGTGCAGGTTTTTAAAAAAGAATTTTGCTTCAGCTGGTGTGGGTGGGAAGGCAGTGCTGATAATTAATGGGATCACACAGCTGAAGCAAAATGCTTTGCACACTCATTTTCCTTTGTACACAATAAGGAGAACTCTTTCCCACTTTCCCTTGCTTTCTGCTTCTGACTATAGTAGAATGCATTCCTTGCCCCTCTCCCATGCACTTTGGACACAAACCAAAAATTATTTCCCCAGTGGCTGCCTGTGTGCTCAGTTTCTCCCATACTGCCTTACTCTTGGTCTTTGGTGTTGTTCTGTCCCAGAATATAGTCTAGCGTTGCCCTTCTGAGCCGTCCAAATTTGCTACCCTAAGCTTCTGCATGAGGTGCTTGCACTGTTGGGCAAGCCCTGTGGGCAGATAACTAAACTAAATAAAGTAAATATGGGTAATGTCCATGAAGCCACAGTTACCATTTGTGGGTACTAAATAGTTGCATGTGATCATTTTATTCTTTATAGCATCAGTAGAAAGTGATCTGGACTGATATCCTCTGGCCATACAGTTGCATTCTGTTCAGTATTAAAGGCTGAATCTATTCCTGACTTGGTTAACTGCTTGTTGATAGTCTACAGTATTTCCTGGAACATCACTGGATGTAGCGGTTCCCAGGAATAGGTTTAATTAGGATTGTGCAGAAAGGTGTTTATGACATATCTTAATATCCGCCCCCCCACAAAGCAACAGATTGCCATTACATAACGCGTACATGGGGAAATAACTTTACTAGTTTTGAACTGAGAATCAGACCCATTAAGTTAGGTGTTTTTTAAACAAAGGAGATGCATTTGACAATGACAGTGAATTATTTATGTTTCATAATAATAATACCTTTATTGTCAATGTATACAACCTGTGTGCAATGAAATTAACTGAGCCTCCCCCCCCCACAAACACTCAATCTCATCGCACTCTGTGCTTGTCGCACAACACACCAACCCTGAAAGTCAGTTGCACTGTATTATTTTCCGTTCAGCAGCCTAACAGCCCACGAATAGAAACTGTTTTTTAGCCTGTTGGTATGACTGATTATACTTCTATATCTCCTGCCCGAGGGTAGAAGATTAAAGAGGTGCTGGCTGGGGTGTGAATCATCCCTGAAAAATTTTCTCGCTCTCCTAGGGAACGATCCCTTGCAATGTCATTTAGTGGGCTATGGGGACAGCCCATGATATCATGTGCTGTGTTCAGCACCCTCTGTAAAGACTTTCTGTCCATGGCTGTCAAGCCAACGTACTACACTGTGATACAATATGAGAGGACACTTTCTATTGTGGACCAGTAGAAGGAGGTCATCAATTGTTGTTTAACATTGTTCTTTCGCAAGACCCTGAGAAAATGGAGTCTCTTTTGGGCCTTCATAACCACCTGAGTTATATTTTTTTCCAAGTGAGGTCTTGACTCTCTCCACACAACCCCCCCCCCCGATATACAATGGGGCTAGTTCCCCTCTCTTCCTCCGAAAGTCCAACACCATCTACTTTGTCTTGCTAATATTTAGGTGCAAGTTATTCTCTAAGCACCATGTAGATACTTTTTGAACCTCCCCCCGTACGCTGATTCATCTCCACCTGTAATTAGACCCATTATGGTAGTATCATCTGCAAACTTAATAATTACAGTGGATGGATCAGATAAAATACAGTCATATGTATACAACGAGTACAGGTAGGGACTCAGCACACATCCCTGTGGGGTGCCAGTGCTGAGCTTCAGGGAGGTAGATGTAACAGGCCCAATCCTCACTGTTTGTGTCCGATCCCTCAGAAAGTCTTTAATCCAATCACAGATGGTAGACGAAAGGTCTAGTTCCATCAGCTTTTTGATAATAATGTCCGGAAGGATGATATTAAAAGCCGAGCTATAATCAATAAACAACATTCTAACATAATTCCCTGGTCTCTCCAGATTGTTTTACCTGAATACAGCAGCTGCAATGTGCAGATGCAGACTTGGAGTCCCTTGTGCCATTGGCAAGGAACTGTATTGGCCTCCCTGGCAAAAAGCTGTATCGGCACGCCCCCCCTCCCCAAGGTAACAATCACCTTTGTGCTGCTGTGTGAGAAGGACAGGGAGTTTCTACCATGGTTGATCTTGCCACAATAGCAGCAGTGCATTGACACACACACATGCATCAGAAACTCCATGGTCTGATATGTGATTTTTGTGCCCCTGGTTGGGGGGCAGTTTCGCCAACCACTAGTTGCAGCTCTGGCAACATGTTACCTTAGCATCCCACCCACCACCAGGAGAGAAGTCAACAGTTTGTGCTGAACTCCATAATGTAAGACCCACCTCCTCCTCCAGGTAGAGGTGAGAGAGATTTCTGTCTGGCGGAAAATGGAGAGCTCCTGAAAGTCAGTTCAAACAATGGTGAGCTACATGGATGGACAGTATGACTGGGTTTAAAGGCAGCTTTCTAAAGCCTGGCTCTAAAATGCAAATGACTATGGCTGCAATCCTAACCCCACTTACCTGGGAGTAAGCCAGAATTGTTATTCTGTACACTTTTTATATCAATCGCAGAACAACTGGATAATCTTTTTTAAATGCACCTGTAATGCTAGGAGCCTCAAGCTATGCATGTTTCATGCATAGTTTAGCAATTTGAACTTTGGATCCTGGGCATCAGAAAACAGCCACGTATTCCTTGGACAGTACTCCTGAGCACACTAATTTGAAAGCCTTACTTAAATCAATGGGACTTACTTCTGAATAAAGAGGGGTAGGTAGGGGCGTGCTGCAACAACTGGAGGGAGTTTAGCTATCTTTCCACAATACGTGAGCCCTCACAAGTCAAGTTATTAACTCTCTAGGTAGCCTATGCATTATAGTGGCCTACTTTAATTTACAATAGTACAAACTTATGTAAGAATTGAGTTTTATTACAAAATGTGCTGTAATAGTATATATATGACAGCAGAACAACAACCCTATTTTTTTATTTGTACCCCACACACCTGACTGGGTTGCCCCAGCCACTCTGGGTGACTTCCAGAATAGTTACGGGGCAGCTACTGGGGTATTTTTCAGTTACAGGGCATGGTGCAGCTCTGCAGCACGATGGGAAGGAAATCCTTCAGCAAATGCATTTCTCACACCCTGCACAAGATTACCACGTGCTTAGAGCTCATAGACCCAAAGGCACTTGGTCCTGCAAAAACTCTGATAAGAGTTTGTGGGCTCCCACCTGCTCCCTTTTCCACCACTATGCACTTAAAGCTGACATAATTTGTGTGCAAAGGATAACCTAGGTGCAAGATTCCTTACTAGGGGACATAGCATGGAGGTCCTGCGATATAGCAATGCCTTGGCCTGCTCTGGTGCTATGTACCTGGCTTGGTATATATTGCAGTGGAGGGGCTCCATGAGTGTACTAATTTTTGGAGACCAAAAGTGGGCTCTGATGTTACCACATGCTAGTTCCACTCATGCACACAGGTGTTCATACACTGCCTTTTGCATACAGAACCCAGAGGCTAGGTTGTGTCCAGTGCCCACAGTGGTTTTTTGCAGATGATCAGCACTCTCATTCCAAGTTTTAATTGGCAAGAATACTGTTTGGAAGTGTCCTGTGAGCCATACTATATGTTGCAATGCAGTCACATGTAATATTAGCTTGCTGGCAGTCTCTCCATTACAAAAATATCTGCATATTTTTGATTTGATTTTTTAATTGTTATACCGCTTCATATATTTAAAATATCTTTAAGCAGCATACAGAAAACGAAAGGAACCACAGGCAACTTAAAACAAAGTATTACACAAATACATACCTACATATAAAAATGTTACATTAGTAGCAATATCTATCAATCATCTAGCTATCTCAATTCATTTTTCCCCCTCCCTTCCTTCCTTCCTCCTTCCTTTCAGCCTCTGGGTTCACACCCAGGGTCCAAACAAACTCTCAGCTCACCCACAGAAGTCTCAAAATGAGAAGAGGTCCTGGAAAGAGGGGACATCACCCTAAGTCTCCCATTCTAGACTTGTTTTTATGAGCAATCAACTGCACTCTCAACACCCAGTTCCAGGTGCAGGAGGTTTGTTGAGTTTAACAGGGGGTCCAAAGGATGGGAAGAGGCCCCCCGCCACTTAACAGCTCCTTCTTCACCCTTTGTCCTCTGCTCTTCCAGCTGCTGTTTGATTTATGTTATTAAAGTCATTAACATGGTATATATAATTCGACTCTTAGGATGCCTTCCTACAAACTATTGCAGTGTAAATGTAATGCACATTTTTTGTTTAAGAAAAGAACAAGGTTTAAGGAATGGAGGCTGGGACTTTGGAACCTAAGAAGAGCACTGCTGGCTTAGACCAAAGACCTATCTAGTCCAGCCTTCTGTTCCCAATCAGATGCCCACTGGGAAATAACTGCCCACAAGCAGGAAATAACTGCAACGGCACTATTTATCCCATCAAAATTATTTACTTATTTAAACTATTTCTGCACCACCTTCTTCACCGTACAATCATAGGGCAGTGTACAAAATGCTGAACACATGCCAATATTTATTTCTAAAGGTAATTTAAACACTAAATTAAATGTAGCAGCAACATACAGTGGAACAAAAAATTGCCTTTCCACACTTTTGGTATAATACAGGAAGTGGTGGTGGTGGTGGTGAGAATCAGTTTTTACTTGCTGCAAGAAACTTGAGCCCCAGATGGCTTTGAGAGTCCAGGGAGGCTCATGTGGCACCAACACTGTCAGCTTGTAGGTGCCAGACAAAGACCATCCTATTCTCTTGGGGAATTTGGACCTTGGCATGGTTTGATTTTCTGGCGTGTTCTTGATATTCATCTATTGGTTGCATGGGATATTTTCCTAGTTTTCCTGGTTATTTGTGGATGGCCACTTTTAGCACCATGCACGGCTTTGCTCTTTTTATTGCACTTTTAATTTGCTGAATGTCACTTTGAGACTCTTCTTGTAAGTTATGAAAATAATAAATAATAGCAATAAAGGAAAACCAAAAACAATGTTAAGGCAACAACAGGTACCATAGGCTGACCTCAATTAACTACACCTTCTCACCTCCAAAAGCCTGAAAGACTTGCCCCCTGAAAGACTATAATGTTTTGGCAATACTGTATGCCCCTCAGCAAGGAAATCAATCCACAGTTTTGGGGCTACCACTAAAAAGTTTCTACTGCAGGCCCCCACATTTTGCAATTCAAAACCTTTCAGATAACTCAGTGTAGCCCCCAATTTATTTACTATTAGCAAGAAGAATAAATTTATTATTGCTACAATTCCTTTTAAGATGATGGAATCCGTGTTTATTAACCTGCTTTATTGCGTATCTAAACATATATAAATGCTTCTCTGCTTAGATTCATTACTACCACAAAGTTAAATGGTTTTGCCATTCAAAACATTTCACTTTTATTTAAGTAAAATAGTTCAAAAGCTGTAATATTTGAACAGTAAAGCAGAAACAACTTCCTGCATGAAGGATTAAAAACACATTTTCTTTTTTATTTAAACATTATTTCATTTCAGTGAACTGCATCAGCTTCAGTGAAAAGTTCCATGAAAGCTTTAGTAAAATCAATTCCAAACGGATTTTTTTGAGAAAAGGGGAAGCAACAAGCTGCTAAGGAGTGATTCATTGTTTCCGTTCAGTTAATACATCTGCCTTACATGCTCAATGCATAAGAATAAGAATTACAGAGGTTGAAATTATCTCTTTTGGAAGTTATGTACATACCGCACTGCTCCCATTAAGTTACTTGCTTTTACATATGACTGGCTAAAACCTTAAATAAGAAGGATTACCGTCATTGATAGGCACCATCCCTGTAAATTTTTACAATTACATAATCTAAAGCTATGCAGGCTATCCCCAATGTTTGCCTATTTGTAACATAAGACAATATGCTTGCAGACAGAACAAGCAAAGCTTACCCCATTTTTGTTCTCAGCAAAGGCTTTTAACCCAAATTCTTTCTCTCTCTCTCTCAAGTCCTCTAGTTTCTTTTCACTCAGAAACGAAACTGGCTGCTTTCTTACGGATGTACTGAAGCCTGGTGGATATGTGCTGTTTCGTTGTCAGTGACATCAGCAGGAAAGCATAGCAGGCTTCCTTGGTCACACCTACTTTTGCTCAAAAAAGCCTTCTTAAAGGTACAGAGCGTTGCTTTTCACCCTGAACCACAGAACAATATAAGGCACAACTGAGTCATCCTAAACTGCCCAATGGCTTCAATGCATTCTGCTCAAGCTTTTTGTATAAATGGAAATCCAGCAATTCTAAAATGTAGCCATATTCTTTGTGCCTGCCCTCAGATTGTGAAATTCCGTCCCCCAAAAAGCTACATCTAGCCTATTTACTTTACAGATGCTATTAGATGCTGAAGACACCCCTCTTTACCCTAGTCTTTGAGATTACACACAAAATTTAAACAGGAAAATTATTGGGCTTCTTGTTTAAATTGCATTACTGTATTATTAACTTTATTTTATCTAATTTTAAAATTATATGATTATACTGTTGTAATCTGCCCTTGGACCTAATAGTGAAGGGTGGAAAGAAATCCTATGATATATAAATAAATGTTATATTTATTGATTTAATTTATAAAAGTATTTCCATACCATCATAGCATCTATTATCAGGGTGGTATACAATGTTAAAAAAATTGCCATTTTAAAAATAAAAATACATATATCATTAAGGCAGGCATGGCCAAACTCGGCCCTCCAGATGTTTTGGGACTACAATTCCCAACATCCCTGACCACTGGTCCTGTTAGCTAGGGATGATGGGAGTTGTAGTCCCAAAACATCTGGAGGGCCAAGTTTGGCCATGCCTGCGTTAGGGTGACTGATTACTAAAAATAAAAACTAAAACTGGAAGTGTCACCATGGTCCCAAGCAGAACTAGCTTTAATAAAAATAAATAGATAAATAGATAAATAACCAGGCAAGAGATTAAATTGTATATGGAAGTTATTAATCTGATGACTGACTTTCAACCACAACAATAACAATATTTTCAAGTAACAGAGATGTTATCATGCTTATTAAGGAAATACAGCATTTGAAATCTTACTAATATCAGATCAAGACAAAGGCTTAATTGGCAAAATGTCCTTAATAATCATGGAATTGGATAAGAAAGTTGGGATCTTTGTATTGGGTAAACAAGCTTCAACAAGAGCTGACATGACTAAAACGGAAATGGTTATGGGCCAAAATACCACCATGGATTATATCTGTAAATTTACAGGAAATTTTCCTGGAAGAAGAAAATCCTGGGAGAAGAAAAAAAGCACCCCTAAGCCTAGATTAGTATAAAAAGATAGCAGAGTCTATAATAGCACCAATGAAACTTACAAACAGATTTACAAAGGTAATTTTTTTATCCTGTTTTGGAATATTATGAAAAGGTTCATAATAAAATATACCTGTACATTTTAATTAATAACACAAGAAGAAGTTGCTAGATCAGACCAATGGCCCTTCTATCCCAGCATCTTGAGCTTACAGTGGCTGAACAGTTGCCTGTAGAAAACCAGCAAGCAGGATTCAAGCACAAAAGCACTCTTCCCTCCTGTGGTTTCTGGCAACTCATATTCAGAAGCATTAATGCCACCAATTTTACCCAGGAAATTTCCCTCCAGAGGAACTTGAACAAAATTCAAGAGAGTCACCCCCACCCTGATGCCTACCCTGGACATGTTGCTATGACTGAATCAGTACCTGATCATAGCACACCACCAGTATATACAGTAAAACACACACAGGGAGACCGCTATTCAGATAACTAGGTGTTCAGTGTGGGATCGTATCTCTCTCTGGACTCATTCATGTTGTGTACACTTAAGAGCTCACAAGGTGAGGGAGAAGGGGAAATGACAGTATCCTCACAAAGGAAGCACCTTACGCAAATTGGCAGGCCATATGGAACACAAGGGAGCATGAGCACATTACTGTCATTTCTTGTCCCAAAGCCTGAACAGCTACTTCATGTTGGGACCCCAGGCACAAGCAGCCAGCCAACATCACACTCCAGTCCAACAAATGAGGGTACCAGGACAGAGCATACCATGCAGGTAAGCAAGTGAAGGGAAAACACATGCTGTTCATGCCCAAGTGCCACACCTGCCTCTGTATCGCCTTATGCCTACTGTGCCCTAGCTGAACTATCCTGCTCTGGCCCTCTTCTCCCTTGCACCCTCCACAGCAGGATGTAGAGTCCTCCACAAAGGAGAAGTACTTCTCTCAACATGCAGGTAAGCTCTCTGCTGCCAAAGGCCAGGCACTCCACTCCAACCAATGCCACAGCTCATGGTCATTTTTGCCTTGCAAGATCACAGATCAGATGCAGGGAGTAATAACAAGCTGTCACCATATGCAGCCCCCAAGGATAAAGGGGCACCTCCTCTCACAATCACTGCAGGTTCCTTCTCCTCCCAATGGGATTGAATGAAAGCTCAAGACATTTGAGCAACATGCATTTGGCAATGTGGGGGTGAGATACCACAAGGCACACACAGTGGTGGGGTATTAATAAGCAGCGCCTCCTCAGAACAGCTGTGGAGGATCACTTGCTCCCAAATGCCTACATGAGGAGTTTACAACGAGGAATGTGCTTTATGCTTTATCTAAATTAGATCAAAGATTACTACAGGCATTGACCAATGGACGCACGTCCGACTGAAGTGCGATCGCGTACACGTGCATGGTGCCAAACCCAGAAGTGACAATAAAATGTCACTCAAGGGGTGGAATGGGGGCGGGGCGGAACACTTTACATGGGCCCTGCTGATGCACGTGTGAGTCCTGAACTTAACCCCCACGCAAAACGAAGATTGCATTCTGCCGTAGGTGTTTGTGAGCTTCCCTATTTGCTAACCAGTAGTTCAGTCATCCATCACTACTCAAAACATTCATCCAATGAACCGATTTCATATGTTCATTTTAATATGGGTGGAAATTGCCACTTTGTTGTTCTTGAAAGCATGAAACTAACACCCAACAAGAAATAGTTGCGGCTTGTAAAAAGTTTGCTTCTTGGCATGAAATGTCACTTATTATAAGGATTTTCCCCACTCCAGGATTTAGTTTTCACCTTCAACAGAAAAAGACGACATTGAAGAGTAGTTATGACACTTTGCAATACAGTGGTACCTCGGGTTACATACGCTTCAGGTTAACATACGCTTCAGGTTACAGACTCCGCTAACCCAGAAATAGTGCTTCAGGTTAAGAACTTTGCTTCAGGATGAGCACAGAAATCGTGCTCCAGCAGCGCGGCAGCAGCAGGAGGCCCCATTAGCTAAAGTGGTGCTTCAGATTAAGAACAGTTTCAGGTTAAGAACGGACCTCCAGAACGAATTAAGTACTTAACCCGAGGTACCACTGTATATCAGAAGAGTCTAAGGGCTTGGTAGACAAATGCCAACACAAAACTGGTTCATTAAATCACAAGACTGTCATTTACATGAATCTGAGAGTTCATGACCACCAACTTATACCAGCATCATGCTACATGAATTTAAAAAGAGTATTCCACAACAAATAGTCTTAAGATTTCTAATTGTGGCTACAGGTATATTGAAACTCTATAAACATGCACCCTGTGAACACAGCTTTTTACATATGCCATGAAGCAGGGCTTTCTAGTGTAACATATGATAAGAATTTTGTAGATTTGGCAAATCCACACCATGATCAACTCCAACCCGGAAACCAATGTCCCCACTGTGGAAGGACGTGTGGATCCATAATTGGCCTCCACAATCACTTATCGACTCATTGTTAAAACCATGTTTATGGAAGACAATCTTACTTGGCTACGAGTGATCACCAAAGAAAAGAATGATAAGAATACATACAATTGCATGTATCACAGATATTACATTAGTTAAATGTGTGTACATAAAACCACTTATTTACTTGGGTTGAGAGTCGATGCCAAAGTCGTTCGATTTGTACATCTCAAATTCGATATCTGCTTCTGACCTGTAGTATAAAAACAAATGTAAGACTTTAATGTTTAGCAATAATTTCATCCTATGTAGCTATTCTTTACAATGTTATTCACGTGGCGTTAATATCTAGTGCAGGGAAGTCATACATGGCGAACTGTGCTTCTCAGCCATAAAGGGGAGTTTTTCCATTGAAAATAGAGATAATTAGCCAGCAGCCTAAGATGAGTGAAAGTTTCCCAATCCTTTCCTCCCTCCAGTGCCTCTCAAACACCTGTGAAGGGTTAGGGGACCTCCTGAGCAAAGTGGAATTGGGCCCAGGGAACTGCTGGGAAAATGGGAATGACCCCATATTGAGTAAATAACCTTTTTCCTGTAAACCTCCTTCCATTCACTTAGGATTCAAGCCACTGTGTTTAAGATGCACCTTTAAATGCTGAAGCACCCCATGTATACTAAATTTTATCCCTAAATGCAAAACAAAACAAGATTGTTTACATTTACCTCTAACCCCCAACACCATGGTAAGTCAAGCAGCAAGCCAGGTAACTAAAACATCACAGTAAGACACTAAAAGGCCCATAAAAGGTTTGCCTAATTAGAATATTCTTCATCTGGTGGTAGAACATTAGAAGAGAGAAAGCCAAACAAACCTTCCACAGGAGAGAAATATGCAGCTGGTATGCAGCTGTCCCCACAAAATAGAGCCACAATAAAGGCTCTCACACATTCCAAACAACCTAGCAGTCACCCGCAACCCGACAGAGGGAAGTGCATCCTTCTCCTCAGTTCTTAAGCGTGTGGGGAAATTACATGGGAGGAGACAGTACTTCAGGACCCAAGCCATTTAGGGATTTATAAGTAATAACTAACATTTTGAATTATGTCTGGAGCTGTGTTTGTAATAACCAATGCAAAAGTTCTAAAATGGGTGCAATATACGCATGAAGCTCTGCGTATATCTGCAAAGTGTCAAGCAAAACTTTCACAGTGAGCTGAGTCTCCGGTCATACCTTTCTGCATCACATACAAGTTGCTCATATTTAACCAATCTTAGCATGCTGTCTGAGCAGCAATATCGGTTGTTGCAATTTCCACAGCAGAATTCTGGACAAGATATTGCTGCTATCACAACTCCATTATAATCGTTATATTGTATGCAGTCTTCACAGAAACCTGAAAATAAAGTCAAACAAACAAGTCATTGCGCTACACATGTTCCACAACAAATTCACTACAAATCAGCATAGCTTCTTTTTATTTGGATCTCCTGGAAATTATATACCAACATGCACAAGCTTCTGACTCCTGCATAATTGTAACCCTAAATAGTACATCATTGGAAGGAAGAGAATGATCTCATTCAGAAGGAAAAGGTTATTGAAAGTAGTATTTACGAGCATCTAGTAAAACCTGTGAGGGAAATGTATATGGGGGAGGAGAGCTGCCAAGCGTTGTGTGTTTTACATGGCTTACATTTTTCTACAATCCATCGTGAAAGAAACAATCTGTTACAAAAGAAGTGCTATCTGCATAAACAGCTAGGTGCCCAAAAATGGCTGCTACCACCTCCTTGGTTTGGGCAGCTAAAAGAAACTTCTGAATATAGTCCTTGCTTGCATCACCAGTTCAGCCTTCTCTTGCTTTGATTATCAGCTAGAGCAGAAAACCACTATTTACTACTTAAACATTTATATTCTGCCCTTAAAGTGTGGTTTTTGAGACAGCCCTTGAGTATTCTCTCTGTCTCTGTCTTGCAGACTCTCTGTGTGTGATGCATCTCCCAGGCTACTGCTGTAATTCGAGTCAAGGGCACAAACAAAAATGATGTGGGAGATCTGTGATCGGGGTCTCATGGTGGTTGTTTTAAAAAATTGCTGTATGGGGCTCCAGAACTGGAGAACAATGGTGTCAATGGAGATGGCTAATCCAACCTTGCCTTTCTCCTCCCCATAATTTTTCCAAAGCAGCTGTTTGTTCTTCTGGAGGAGCAATCATGATATCACAAGTCTTTGGCTTGAATCCAGACTTGTTCTTCCACAAAAGGAAGGGCTCCTTCCATTCACTGAACAGCTTTCAATCCAGTGGAAACTCCCATTGGTATAAGTGGGAGTGGGGGAAGAATGTAACTATCATTGATTTCTCCTTTCCTGTGCACCCCTGCATCATCTCTCACACTGTTCTGGAGGGCTGCCCAACCTCATTTCAGGAGGGCCAACAGGAAGAAGGATTCTGCAAAAAACCACTTCACCTTCTTCTGCCAGTGACAGCATCCCAAGAATGGGAGTCTGCTCACTGGATCCAAGTATTTTTGTTAATCTGAAACATCAGTTGAAAATTAAAAAACAACAACATATCATCAGTTTTTAAACACTGTCAGAAATAAAATCTCTTCCAAGGTATCAGGCTGAAGCGGTACTTCTGGATAGTCCCAAAATATATTGGCCTGAAAAGCTCAACAAAATACAGCTATTTTATTTTATTTATTTTAATATCACACTTCAATATAAATTGCTAGGGCAGAATTAAACTACAAATAAAACAGATCCAAACAATTATTAAAAATGCACAAAACCTAAAAGGCAGCAAGATCTCAAAAGACAGGAAAAAGCAACAAACAGGTCTAATATTTCATCTCAAAGGTTCTGTCCTATGTCTAACATAACAACAAGTTAAGTGCCAGGCAGAATGCTCTGAACTTGAAGTGAGCACGCCATAGTTAGGATGCAAGCACTGAAAAGGTCCCATAGTTCCTGGTGGCTTACCAAACTCACCACAGATGGTAGGTGCACCTACAGAAGGCTATCTGCATCTTGATGTACAGTGCCAGCTGCCACCAAGGTGAAAGCCAGAATTTTGAATTGGGTCTGGAAATGGACAGGGAAGCCAACCCCAGTGAGTAATCCACTAACTGGACTTTGCAAACCATCTGCAAAAGCAACCTCAAACAGAGTGCATTACATTAGTCTAACCTTGAGAAGGTTAATTGAGGCCAGGCTGTCTCTGTTCAGGTAAGGTGTTCACTGGTCCACAAGCCTTAGCTGGTATAAGGAACTCTATACTGCAGAAGCAACCCATGCTTCTAATAAGATAGATAGATCAAGGGCCATCCCACAATGTGAAAACCTTTTTCTTGGAGGAACCGGGAGTGTTATCTCATCAAGCACAGGATGAGCACCACTTCTCCCACTTCTCTAGACAGATAATACACTCACTCATGATACCTCTGTCTTCAGTTTATCGGCCTTTATCCAGTCTAATACCGCAGCCAGACATAAACTGGGTAATTCAAAAGATTGAACCTCACAGCAAGATACTCAATATATTTACTTGGAAACATGCCAAACAGTAAAGAATCAACCTGACTTTCTACTAAGTCTGTTCAGGATTGCAACATTAACCTCAAACTGGGGGGAAATGTTCTCTCACTCCATTATTGTTGTGATAAGCAGGAGCTCTAAGCCTTCTGAAGGGGTCCACCACTGTGCACTGGTTTCTTCCTGCTTATTTCAAACTTAATTGAAATGAAACTCAAAAATAGATTTGCTTTCCACAAGTTGACACATATGATTAAACGCTGTAAAGCAAACTAGCAAGACAACTATAATTAGCAATGTTTAATTCAAACCTACATCAGCTGCCAGTTATTTTCCAGGCTTAGTTGAAGGCACTGATTACAATATTTAAAAGTATTCATGGCCTGGAAACTGCATATTCAAGGACCAAGTCAGACATCTCTGTGTCTGTTTAACATGTATATGTCAGTTTGAATATTCACAGGTGTGAAGGGGTGCATGGAGGACGGGAGCAAAACTAACCCCTCAACACCCCACTGCTTTGATTCCCTCCCCAGTCCAGCTCCAACAGTGGAAGTGATCTAGCCGGGGGGGGGGGTAGTGGTTGCACTCCAATGAGTAAACAAAGTTTCCCACCCATACTGACAAGTGCATGTTTAACAAACACGTGCACATTTGGTTTGGCTGCCCTTCCCATGTGCTGGTCTCCCCACTTCTGAAAATTGTCTACTACAGCTCTAACATTCTTCTAGAGAAGTCAAGAGCAGTGGCCAGCAGGCACAGAAACTTTGCAATACTGCCCCAATGATTTTGACTCCCTGAAGAAGATTTTTGCTGGCCTTTCAGACTTCAAGGAGGGAGTCCATCCAAGCAGTCATAGTTTGCTATTGATACTGAAGTAATCTGGGGTTTGTTATCTATGGTTTTTAGGTCCTTCACACAGTTGCTTGGCAGTAGGTCTTATTGCTTAATGATTTTTGCACTGATTGTGTTAGCTGCCCTGAACAGCTAATTACGCCCAGGCCAGACATAAACTTTTCTTTTTCAGTTGTTTCCCATAGTGGGTACATGTGCTTTTATAACAACCTTCTGCCTTTTATAACAACTGTCAACAAGCCTGCATTTCTAGAGATTGTGCCCATAGTGTTTGCATACTTTGGAGAGGACTCTAAATCCTTTATAAGGGCTAAAGTAGACATGACACTGAGGACACGTTTCCCACTGCGATCCCAATTATCAGCCCACCAGGGGATGCTATTAGCATTTCTGAAAATTACATGTTGAATGCAAGCACATGCTTAACAAAATGTCTAATTAGGCTCTGAATTGAATGCTTTGATCTGGTTCAGATAATCAAATTCTGGCCTGTTATCCTGGTCTGTTAAATGACATTAAGTCCCAAATGGGCTAGATTTTTGTACTTTGCTTTTACAACATCTTGTTGTTTCTCTGCACAAAAGTTGCTTTATACAGAGCAGGTGGGGGTGGGGGTACAGATCACTGGATTCCAGCTATGAGTCCTAAGGAAATGCTGTCAATTTAAAGGAACAGACTAAAATACTGCATGGGCCAATGAGCTGCTATAGATCTGATAAAGCATACAGAAAAAACACAGGGGGAAAAAGATAAATTATCACTTCAAAACACAATGGCGGCATCCTCAATTGTCTCCTAATTCCTCCTGAAATTCAAAGGTATCTTAATAAATTCTTAGTCTAATCCAGGCTGTTTTTCTTGTAGACCAGGAAGACAACACTGAACACTTAGGAGATGCTGCCTGCATGGAGGAAATAAAAGTTGCTACTTTTCCCCCATTCCCCTTTTCTCAAGCTGCTGCCTTTTAACACATTTCCTGCACATGAGAAGGAAGGAACCAGACCACACCACTGCTTTATTTCCTGTGCATTTGAAGAGGAGGTGCTTTTTAATCAAAGGTCTTCCTTGCTTGACTCTCAGAGCTATGTCAAGGAGGACTCACCCATTACACATTTTGTGCCATAAGTTCCGTGTTCGAGTGTGGGGTTTTGGGGTCCCATATTTCACCACTGAATTAGAGAAAACGGCAACTGGGTTTTCCATGGAATGCCATTTGCTCTGGTACAGCATTAAAACGAGTGTCTTCCTGTGGAAAGTGCCAGGGCAAAATTTTAAAGCGCTGCTTCGACACAGAGCTTTAAAACATGGTGCAAAAGGAAGTCTGAGTGAGCCTGTAGTTGAAAGCAAGATAGATACAATTATGCTAGACATGGAATTTTGTATTAGATACCAAGCTGATTAAAAAGTACTAACTTTTTTATATAATCATTTTTATTACTTTTACATATAATCACATTGCATAACATCTTGACTAACATCTTGACGCTGCCCATTTCATGAAGAACATGAGGCTCTAAAGATCTTTCTAAAGATTGTAGCCATGGGGAAATAGGGCCATAACTCAGTGGCTGAACACATGCCATGCAGAAGTCTCCAGCTTCAGTCCCAGGAAACTCCAGGTAGAGCTGGAAGAGATCCCCTGCCGGGATCTCTGCAGATCCACTGCTAGTCAGTGCCGGTAGTTCTGAGCTAGAGGGATCAATGGTCTGATCAGGTATAAGGCAGCTTCCTATATTCCTATTATAGCAGCAGATACATTAGTTGATGAAGCTTGGTCTGTCACAATATCATCATCACCATCATCAATTAAATATTCAAAGTGGGGAGCCAGGGGTTCAATTTAGAGAGCAATTGGCAGGAGCAAGTTAAACCTTTCCTACAGTCCATCTCGTATTATTTTGAACCCAGGATGCTTAGGAAAAGAGAAATAGTTTCACTAAAACATGCATTTTACTTCTGACAGAGAGGCGTATTGAAAGCTTTGGTGGTTCCCAAAGAGAGGTATCCCAAGGGTGAAATCCTGCAAAAGCAATCACTATGGCTGGGTGGTGTCCCCTCCCCCCACCATACGGCCCCTGTGGGTGCATATGCACCCAGTAAGGCTTTCCCTAGCATCCATGAGAAAACCTGAACCTACAGAAACAAAAACTGGCTTTCTTCATCCCGCCACTGCTCTTCTCTCCTTACTTACTTCTTTCTCTCTGATTGGAATTCCTCCCTTCCCTTGGAAATTCTGGCCAGAGTAAAGGAGACAATGGGCTATGGTGGATGTGGTTTGTGAAATGGGAAATGTGTGGGTGTGAAATGCAAGTGGCTATGGGTGCCATGCGGGGAAAGGGGTGGGGGGGAGATGAAACAGAGGAGACTGTTTTTGGCAAAGGAGCAAGGCTCATAGGCTTTCTTATCTTGTAGAGACGGGGGTGGGGTGGTGGTGAGAGAGACAGAAGTTGGAGGCATTCCTTGTTTTTAGCAGCAGCAAAGCCATCATACTTCCCACCCAGCTCTGTGAGGAATGGTTGGAAATCTTCTCAGGGATCTGCTCTGTAAAGGCCCCACAGAAATGGGTTGACTGGCTAGGGAGCATTTCTGCAACTCTCCCCAACTAAATAACTCAGTGAGGCAAAAGTACGGGTACCTCTACACCTGTGGCTTTGCTCTCCTTCCCTCTGTGATCTACTTCACACCCACCCACCCCACAGTATTTTCCCCTGTGGCGAGCAGAGGTTGGGGCACATGCCAAACCTATTGTGTGGGTTCAATTCATTGTGTAGGTTCTACTTGTGATCCCATTATTGACTGCCTTCATAAGCCCCTCTTATAATTCAATGGTGGCTTGGAGGGGAGATGCCTTGTAAAAATCAATGAGGACAACGACCTGGATCAATGTTCTTTTGCCATGGTGGCACTGGAAAGTGCTGGATAGGTGATTGTTTTACAATTCATTTTTTTTTATAAGATATTTATTAAAATTTTCAATATTTTACAAAACACACAAAGAAAAAGGAAAAAAAAGAAAAAAAAAGAAAATACATAGTAAAAATGTTTAAAAACAATTCTTTCCTTCCTTTACTTAATCTTCATTTACTTATTTCCAGGACCTCCTCACACCTTCCTTTTTTGTATTCCAGTTCAATTATTTTGTTCAGCAAATCCCTCCCCTCTTTTAATATCCTAATCATTAATCATAAAAATGTTGTAATTTTAGATTTTTACATATTACATAATAAACACTTTTGTCATATTCCCTTATAACCTTTCAGCTAGAGACCACTTAGTTTCTATCCAACATCATTCTAACATTCATTAATTTTACAATATTTCTGTAAATAATCTTTAAACTTTTTCCAATCTTCCTCCATCGACTCTTCTCCCTGGTCTCGGATTCTGCCAGTCATTTCCGCCAGTTCCATATAGTCCATCACCTTCATCTGCCATTCTTCCAAGGTGGGTAGATCTTGTGTCTTCCAATACTTTGCAATAAGAATTCTTGCTGCTGTTGTAGCATACATGAAGAAAGTTCTGTCTCTCTTTGGCACCAATTGGCCGACTATGCCCAAGAAAAAGGCCTCTGGTTTCTTCAAGAAGGTGTATTTAAATACCTTTTTCAATTCATTATATATCATTTCCCAGAAAGCCTTAATCTTTGGGCACATCCACCAAAGGTGGAAAAAAGTACCTTCATTTTCCTTACATTTCCAACATTTATTATCGGGCACATGGTAGATTTTTGCAAGCTTGACTGGTGTCATGTACCACCTGTATATCATTTTCATAATATTCTCTCTTAAGGCATTACATGCCGTAAATTTCATACCTGTGGTCCACAACTGTTCCCAGTCAGCAAACATGATATTATGTCCTAGATCTTGTGCCCATTTAATCATAGCAGATTTCACAGTTTCATCCTGAGTATTCCATTTCAACAACAAGTTATACATTCTTGACAAAGTCTTAGTATTGGGTTCTAACAATTCTGTTTCCAATTTTGATTTTTCCACCTGGAAGCCTATTTTCTTATCCAAATTATATGCCTCCATTATCTGATAGTAATGAAGCCAATCTCGCACTTTGTTTTTTAATTTCTCGAAACTCTGCAATTTCAGTTTGTCTCCTACAATTCAGTCCATGAAAGACAGATGTAATCTGAAAGTTGATGGTGGCTAAGGGACAACCTATGTGAAAATCATGTAAATGCTGCATAATAGCAATTTTGTGACTGGTGGTTTTTTCAGAATTCTGTATGTACCCACAAATCCCCAAAAGGTTGGGTCCCCCTGTCCTACAGAACAAGCTCCATTGAATATAATGAAACTTATTTCCAAGTAAAAATGTCAGCAACTGATCTGTGGGGTCCCAAAGAGCACAGTTTTTGCCAAATGTTTTTTGTACAAAGCCACAGGGAGTGGTCATTAGGACGTGCGGCATGGTGTCATCAGAATGCAGGTGGCACCCAGTTCTATTTTTTCTGCAACACTTGAATCAGGAGAGGCTGTGTGTGTCCTAAACTGGGGCCTAGATGAAGTCATAGGCTAAATGAGGACCAGTAAATCGAGATACAACAGACCCTGTGGATGGGTGGTTGCCAAGTCTAGAAACTGTGTTGTGCAGCCTGTAGGGGTTGCACTCACTCTGAAGCAACATATGCATGGTTCTGGAGTCTTGCTAGATCCACCACTGTCACAAAAGGTCCAGGTGACCTCAGCGGCTTTGAGCACCTATTACCAACTTTGCAAATGTTGGCATACCAACTATGGCACAACCATTCTTGGACAGGGATGGTCTTGCTGCATTGGCCCACACACATTGCTATCCTCGTGATTAAGCTACTGTAGTGCTACAGTGGTTCAGAAGCTGCAGCTGGTGCAAAATGCATCTGCTAGGGTGCTTAGTGGAACAACCAGCTTTACACATATTACACTGGGTGTTCAAAATCTGCACTTGCTGATTATTAACTAGCAAGCCAACTTCAAGGTTTTGCCTCTGCCATTTAAAACTCTCGACTGCCTCCTGCAGTACAGATCCAGCTGAACTTTTAAGATTTTCCACGGAGACCCTGCTGGCCATTCTACAAACAGCAGATTGTCACTGTCTCCATGGTAGCACCCACCTTGGGCAATCTGTGAAGCAGAGACAGTCATGGCTTTTAAATGCCTCTTTAAGATGCACATGTTTACCCAAGCTTTCATGGGCTCTTACTCTTAATTATTTCTTTGTACAGTTTTATCTGTGACATATGGTTGTGCTCTATTTTTAGCTTGGATTTGTTTGGTTTTCAGGAAGTAGCATTTTTGTCAGTTTTATGTAAGCCACTTGGAGGTGCTATTGTATTAAGTGGTACAGAAATATAATAAATAAATAAATACACAAATCTCCAACCAACCATTCATCGCGGGAGCACAGAAAATACTTCTCCACCAGCACTGCAATAGAAGGCCTTACACTATTGGTCCTCTAGCCATAGTTAGGAGATCAGAAATGAGCTGCAGGCTTACATGCTATCCTCTCCTGTGGTTATTCCCTTTCCTTGATCAATATTAATATTGGGGTAGTGAATGTTATTTCTGTACTGATGTTAATCATGGTAAAGAGACCAGCACTGCTGCATTATGTACTGGCTACAGTAAAACTTTCAGATAAGGACTAAAGGAGGAGTGTTATGGGTCAGAGATCACTCTGCACAACCAGTGGTGTAGCATAGGAGCACGTAGCCCCAGGCACATTTTCTGGAGGAGGAGTGACCAGGAGCCCCCACAACAGGTTCCCATCAGACCCTGGATCTGGAGCTGCGGAGGCAGCTTCCTTCAATGGAGCTCTACTTCTGGGTCACGTCTGACCCGGGGGAGTCAGTGGCAGAGAGCTGTTGCCCCTCTCCTGGGTGGGGATGTGCCACATGCAGCTCCTCCACAGCGGAGAGAAGCTGTGGGTGTGAGGTGAGCCACAGCCGGCTCCATTTGTGCCCTGCCTCCCTCAGGGCATGCCCCAGCCCCTGGCCTGTGTTTGGACACACTCCACCACAGTGCGCAACTAAACAGCCCTGTCATGCTCCAAGCCACATTTCTGCCCAAGATTACGACTCCAACTTAGTTGATAAAATGCCATAGAAGGCCATCACAGGACTTCCAGTTATAAAGTATCTGGTTACTTACACCGTATAAAAGATCAAATAGGCTGCTCGGGATAGTTACATGGGTGTTGATGAACACTCCTTTATCAACTGAAGAAATCTTTTCACAGTGTAATGATCTCATATCGCTCATGCAGTTTTAATCACTAGGAGCGTAGGTGTATTGGAAGGAAAGGGAGACCTTTCACTCCCTTCTATACTGAAAGGCAGCCACTCTCTAGGTTACAGGCTGTTCAGAGCTCTGCATGGAAATGTCAGGGATCGAACCGTACATTGAACCTGTGCTATATGCCCCTGAGCTGTGAGTGTTCCCTCTGGAATCACTTTTCACAGCCTCACAAACTAAGGCTTAAAATGTGGAAGTCGTCCCACAAAAGGAAAATTATATATTAAGATTTAGATAGTGTTGTCGCAGATATAGGCTCAGAGGCCTGTGGCATTAAATGGCTTCAAGAATGGGCTCAGAAAAAAATGTAAAAATGATTCCAGTATGCAGCCAAGGTCAAAGATTAGTGACATCTGAAAGGCTACAAACTTTGCAAGTTTTACAGTCAAGGTTATGCAGTATAAAGCAGAGTCATATAAAAACAAAGTCTTGCAACCTTGGAATTGACATGATACAATTTTTCATTCCTGAAACAGATAAAAAAAACTGCAAGCCCTTTTTATGGGGGGCGGGCGCAGGGAGTGCAAGCAAAGGCAGCACAAATAAACACTGGGGGAAATTCAATGTAACACTAAGCATATTGCTTCATCAGCACAAACAGATGAAACAAACTGCCCTGTCCTACCCCACACCTCACCCTGTTCCAGTGGTTCTCAAGATCCTCCACCAAGTCAATTTGTGGGGCACAGGAAGAGGAAGGAGGGAAGCCCCATTGAGCTAATGGAAGTCCTGGTGCAATGAAGTTGCTACATAACTAACTTAGGTTCATTCACTTCATTGGGCCTTCTGCGAGGACTACGTTGACTATAACCCAGTATTTACCATTCGCAGACAGAATCTAAGTCGATGAATAACTGGACTAATATACACACTGGGTTATACATGACTGCTACACAGAGGACTTCCACTGTATGCACACACCATGGTAAGTTATGATATTACAAATTTAATATGAATAAATAAGCCTTTAATTCTGAGTGACAAACCACCAGTTTTTTCTCTAATGGCCAATGAGACTAGAGAAACATACTTGAGTACTTCCTTGTGTTGAATGTTGGGTTGTCCCTCCCCTTTTCAGCGGTAACAACTTAATTTGTTAAAAAGAGCACTTGTTTCCTTCAGATATCATTTGCAAAATGTTCTGCTCAGCTACAAACAATGCATTAGTTCAAGAAGTATAGAGCAGGAGACAACAGCATTAAATGTATATTTATTTAGTGGCAGCAGTGTGCAAAAAAAGCTAAACAAATGTATGTCCCTTCTAGAAAATATTGTTTTGTGTTAATACTTGGATTCCTTTAGCCTTTCTTAAAGGCCCAACCTTTAAGGGAAGGGAATGTACTTTATCTTGACTTTTGCATTATTCACAGTGCACTTGAATACACTGTGCAATGAGACTTGCCTCCAGGTAAATGAATACAGAATTATAGCCTTAGTCCATCCTGCTACATCTGCTGACAAATATTTTTTGCTTTTTTATTTAGTAGCATAATATTATCTGAGAATTGTAAAAGTTTTCAGCCTCTCTCTCCGCTGCCACAGAAAAGTTACTCCATGTTCTAATGCGCCCACAAATCAAACACGTTTCCTTATATATAGCTCTTATTTTCTCTCCGTTTGATAGCTTTCTAATGTTTATTTTTCTGTGGTGAGTTATTGCTTAACTTTTATCCTAAGCTGCCTTAAGCACTTTTTAAAAAACAGAAACACAGACTATAAATCTTTAAAATACAAATACCTTTGTTGCTATAACTGTTTTCGTGCCCTTCACTATCAACACTTCTTTTTTAAAAAATTGTTTTTATTAAATATTTTCTTGGGTTACAAAAGTACACACATCACCTCTGTTTTCAGATCACAGACCCTGGTTTTGATTTGTTCAAACACCAGCAACTACTCCTTAAGCCCTTAGGCATCAGCCTCAGGTTTAAAGTGTGCATTTGCCCCTGCAGCAAAAGTCCATGACAACCTTTTAAACAAAAACAAAATTCTTCCCTTTATGCTGCGTTCCCTCAACCCCACTTCTGCACAAGATCATCAACTGCTCCTTTCATAGCCTCAATTCTTCTATAATGGAAATTTCCTGTGTTATAAAAAGCTGTGTTGGGAACAACGTAAATCATGGATGGGGAAGCATATGAGAAAAGTGGGAGGTGCTCCATCAAATGTGCTGGGAAAGCGAGAAAGGGTGGCTTCCCACTACCATGGGCATCACATAAGCACAAAGCAGAAAATCCCACTTTGCAGCTTCTTTCAATCTTTTCCATGAAACCCTCAGTTAATCTTCAGGGGCCTCTAATCTCCTGTGCCTTCACACCCCACCTTTTAAAACAAACAAACAAACAAACAAACAAACAAACAAACAAACAAACACAAACAAACAAACAAACACAAACAAACAAACAAACAAACCCTTTGCTCACAGAGCAGCTTTACATCTGAAAGACAGCCTAGAGTGGCATATGTGCATCTATACATATGAAGTAGCATATGTAACGTGCCCATGCCATTCTTCATCTCAAAACTGCAACAAAGCCCATGGATGTTTAACTACTGTTAATGGCCACATCTACCACCCTTTTCTCTTCCTTCCCTCTGTTCTCTGCAAAGCAAAATGTTTAGCACAGGCCTGCATTATTTGGGGGCCTGAATGCAGGCCCCCCAACCATGCCCCTGAGACTTGCCAGGTGCTCACCAACTCCCTTGCTTTTGAAGTTCCTGGCAACAAAAGTCCGATGGTTTTAGTGGGAGGTTGTGTATTTTAGGGCTGGAAAACCTTTGGCCTTCGAGGTGTAGCTGAACTGCAAGTCCCATCATCCCTGACCATTGATTGAGTATGATGGCTAGGGCTGATGGGGGTTGGAGTCCAAAAGCATCTGGAAGGCCAAAGGTTCCCCAGCCCTGTTTTTTGGCAAAGGCAGACTGATGGTGACACCAGAAATGCAAAGCCTGGCCCCTCAGGAAGGCCTTTGGGGACTAACAAGGCACAGCATGCTTTGACTTATACTAATTATACTTTGGGTTGTACCATGTGTGCTTTCTTTGTGTAGTAGTTGTTATACAAAAAAGCAAGAAGTTTACTGAGCTCCTGTTTAGCTTAGGACCACAACTTACACATTTCTGCTTTAGCTTTTAAGTGCCTCTAGCCATATACATAATTTTTTTTTTAAATGTCCAGAACAAACTTAGTTGGTCTCTAAGGTGCTACTGGACAATTTTTTAATTTTTAAAAATTTATTCTGACTGCGTCAGACCAACACAGCAACCTACGTGAATCTAGCCAAATACATTCATCTCCCTTTTACTGGAAGTCACCATGTACATTGGTACCTGTTGCTCATCTTCTTCACACTGCCTAAATTTAGAGTGTAACTTTAAGCAACTGTATTAATAATTTTGTGTGAAACACCTCTTGGTCAAGTAACTTCTTCCTCAACTGTTAGTTCCTTCAGAGGAAGAAGAAGAAGAAGAAGGTGCTTCCTCCTTTTCTTCCTCTTCTATAATGGCCTTGTGTGAACCACTCTAGTCTAACCTTGCCTGCTTCACCATTGTTGCCCAAGTCCCCTCTACTCCATTCCTAGGATTTCAGTTGCCTGCTTCAAAATCTACTGCACCTCTCCTAGCAAGGGCAACCCTGTCATAAAGTGACATACAGCAGATGACTTTGGTCTCAGTACTGGAACACAAAAGCCTCCTACCTCCAACATTTGTGTCTTGCCCTCCCCATTTTATAGGCTTGGGACAGATAACTGTAGGGAGCAGAGATTCTTTTACTTCCAACGCTTAGCTTATATTATTCCCCAAATAGCTCTAAGCCAGAGTGGAATGGGCAGTTTTCGTTAAAAAAAAAAAATTGTCTGAAACTACTGCTAATGCTCAAACCTTAGCTATCTTTTATTTATGACAAGAAGTCTTATTTATAAAGATCTTGAGGTGCAGACACGCAATTCTGAAACGCAGCAGACCTAGTCGTAATAGACAATCGGGTGTTAACCGCTCTCCCCACACGCCAGTCTGGGAATACGAAAAGCGGATTTTGGTGAGGCCGGTGGCAGTGACACTTGAGAACAAGCTCACAAAAGAGGCCTCGGAGGTTTTAAGAAAACGAAAACAAAAACCGGGTGATTCAGACACATACACGCACGATGAGCCACGAGTGGGGCCTCGGCGAAGAACGAACCAATTGAGAACGCCCCTTAATCAAACATGAGAAGGAAAACAGGTCTCTGTGTGACAGAGGGAGCGCCAGCTTCTTCCTCGCCTCGACAGCCCTGGGTGTCTGCTCAGTGCATCCCCTTTCTTAGAAGTTGCCCAATGTCCGAGAAGGGCGCCTTGTTTAGCCTCCCCCCACCCGCTTGCCATCCATAGCGGATGCACAGAGCACCGCCGAGCCGCCACCAGCTGGTTCTTGATCGCTGAAATGCAGAGCCGGCCACTTCTGCGCCTCCCCGCTGCTGACGCCTCGGCTCCCCCTCGGAGGAACTTCTCCCGGGGCAACCCACCAGCAACCCGCTCCTCGTCCCTCTTCCCTTCCCACCATTGTTGACGCCAGGCAGGCAGGCAGGCAGGCAGGCAGGCAGCCCTTTCCCCCTCCTCCTCCTCCTCCTCTGCCTCCAGGGTCTCAGAGAAGTCCCCCTCAACTTCGTAGCGCGTCACTCACCGCCAGGCACCAGGAGAAAGAGCGCCAGGAAGGCGCAGGCGGTCAGGAAAGGGCTCCGGGCGCAGGCCATCCTCCTCCTCCCCTCAGTCAGCCCGCGAGCAGCAGCCACAGACCCACCGGACGACTCCGCGCCTCACAAATGAGTGGCTCGCGTTGCCCGAAAGCGAAGAGCCACGGCCACGCCTCCTCCCGCCCCTCCGCCTCCTCCGGCTGCTTTTGCTCCAGTTGTCCCTGCGAACGCCTGAGCGAAATGGGAGTTCCGCGGCTTCTGCCTCAGGGCTGGCTCTGCCCTACCAGGCGGTCATTTCCCCGAGGGCCATGAATGAAGAAGCCCCAGAGCATGTGCAGAGCCTCTCCGTCGTCCCCCCCAGCGCCGCCCAATTTAGAGGTGTGTTCCCACACCTCTGGGATCAACAGTGCTATTCTGTGCCTGCTTCCTGGGAAGGAAGCCCCACTGTGTTCGGTGAGATTTACTCCCGTGCAATCGTGTATAGCGGGAGGTGGGGCAACCCGTCGCCCTCCAGATGTTGCACTTCATCCTTGCCCATCATCCCTGAGCATTGAGGGTGCTGTCTGGGGCTGATGGGAGCCGGAGTTCAAGAACACAGGTTCTCCATACCTGCTGTGTAGGACTGCAACCTAAAAGTCCCAAGATCCAGCTCTGACAATGAACTTCCTCCTTACAACCCCTGTTGTGGTTCTTGAAAGAAAGAAAGAAAGAAAGAAAGAAAGAAATTACTGGAGCTCCCAAGGCTGAGACCTGCCTTGGAAGGAATGTCCTCTGGCCAGAAAGTTCTGCTCCTTAATCCCAGTTTGTGCAGGATGTCTGCAACTGACCAATGGCAAGAAATCATTCTTCATGTGGCTGGGGAAACCCAGCCAGATAGGTGGGGTAGAAATAATAATATATCATCATCATCCTCATGTACTATTTTATTGTTATCCCACTTGTGTTGGGGGCCCCCAAGGTTCAACCAGTCAGTTTACAACCAACCTTTAGTGTGGAGGTTGGAATGGAAATAGAAAAAGTAACACTGACAAGAAGGCATCATGTTTAGCCCTTCTGTAGCCCACAATTGTTGTAGCAATTGTAATATGCTGTGCAAGATGGTGGATGATTATTAATTGTATTTTTGGAGCTTTTATTTCTTAGAATGTATTTTATTCTACTGAAATATGAATTCCTTAGAATTCAATATATGCTTAATTTATGCAAGTTGCTTGCAGGTTATCTCAAATTAAAGCGGTGCAATACGTTCCCATTGGTATGAAGAACAGGATGTTGGCTCTCAACGGATGGCCTTTGGAGGATGAGGAAATGGCCTGTCCCTGTTCTCTGGGCTGATGTTTTCCTTCCCATTGTTGGTCATCAAGAAGTGTTTGCAAAGAAATGGCAGTTTGGAGAAAGGCAAACCGGGAACAGACAGAAAACAACTTCAATGGAGAGAGTAATCTATTCATCAGTTGTATGATTAACTGATTACAGTTTATTTAATGGCTTGCACCCATGGATATAATCCTACATTACACATGGGCAGAGCAATTCAAAAGGAGTGTGGCTCCTAACCTCCCCCTTTGATTTTTCTTTCCTTAAACACAGTTTTATTGCCAGCAGGAAATATATAAATTAGGCCAGCTTCAGAGCTGGTGTTGAGGTGTGTCCTTCATTCCAAGGTGTGTGTTGGGGGAGTGGCATGCTCCGGCAGCACATCCTTTTGGGTGAGTCAAGAGGGGCAGCCTCCTGATGGATGAAGCATAAGTCTCTCTCTTTCAGGATGGGCCTCAATGTCCGCAGAAAGGGAGGCCCAGAGGATCCTCTGGTCTTTGTGATCCCTCCCAGGGACTGCAGCCTAGCCCATTTAACTGTCTTTCTTATTTCTGTAAATGTGTAGAAGTTGGTAGGATTCCACAACAGTGATCAGAAGGAAAGATGCCATGGTCTCTTGCAGGTCCTGCCAGCTTTTTCCTCATCAAAGCCTCATCAAAGCCATTTTGTCTGGAAATGCAACACCTTATTTTTTTGCATGTGGACAATTAATTACCTATTTATTGTTCATTGGAATTGTTTCCCTTTTCAGCATGAGCTTCTATGCTAGCAAAATGACGTTTGTGGCAGGATGCCACATTTCTTAGCCTTGTTGCTACAGAATATATTGCTGCATTTCCTCCTTTGTTCCCTCACAATAAATTGCACACTGCTGCAGGCCACACCTGCTCATTACCAAAGAGAAGCAGAAACGGAAGGGCATGCCAATTGCAATGCCAGTGGGAGAGGTTTACAATAAATAAAAACTTTGCAGTGAGGAAACGGATGATGACATTTCCTTCATGTGACCACTTTCGCATGCCCTCTTTGTACATCTAGTCTAGCAGTGGTGGCACCTGTGTAGGTGTGGACTCTGAGACACTTTTATTACAGGTCCACCTTTCCAATTACCGTATTTTTCGTTCTATAACACGCACTCGACCATAACACGCACATAGTTTTTAGAGGAGGAAAATCCGTAGGCATGCCACCCATAGGCATTCCCTCCATAACGCACAGACATTTCCCCTTACTTTTTAGGAGGAAAAAAGTGAGTGTTATGGTGCAAAAAATACGGTACTTCTTGATGGATAGCCCTGCTGTCTTTTTTTTACAGGTAGACCTGGCATCCAGACAACTCTGCTGAAGTCCTCAGTTTTTTAATCCCACCCAGCATTCAATTGAGCTGCTGCTGCTGCTGCTGCAAGTAACTTCATGGCAACCCCCCAACACACTGCATTTCCATAAAGCAACCCAACCCAGCAGGATAACAACAATGGAAAACACTTCAGGGTTGTCAAGCACTATTCAAGTTCCACTCCCCACCCCACCCCACAGCCCTTCACATAGCAAAATATGTTACTGTTCAGGATCCATGATCCCTCAACCACAGATCCACCACCTACAATATGATATAACAAAGATGGGCTTTATATGTGATTTCGGTAACAGCAGAGTAATTTTTTTAATGCTACAATTTTATTTAATACAGTGGTACCTCAGGTTAAGTACTTAATTTGTTCCAGAGGTCCGTTCTTAACCTGAAACTGTTCTTAACCTGAAGCACCACTTTAGCTAATGGGGCCTCCTGCTGCCGCCGCGCCACTGGAGCCTGATTTCTGTTCTTATCCTGAAGCAAAGTTCTTAACCTGAAGCACTATTTCTGGGTTAGCGGAGTCTGTAACCTGAAGCGTATGTAACCTGAGGTACCACTGTGTGAAATAAGTAGGAAAGATGAAAACCCTTGTTTTTGTCACTACCTTTTTGTTTATGAACTGAAGCACTTCTGCCCAGTTACAGCTAGCTAAACTCCTCGGCACCTGAATTGTTTTCTATGGGGCAGCAATCGCTTCTTCAATAGGGAAGATTAGCATAAAAGATTATAAACCAAACCCAAAAGTCTCTTCAATAGAGACAATGGGCGTTTCAACTCTAGGCTTCAGCTTCATTAACATGTGATCCGCTTTCCTAAATGTCAATAATTGCTGTGACTCATTTATTGTCTGGAAACACTGAGAAGTGCAATCAGGCTAGTTTTTCACAAAACGAATGAGGAGATTAGTGCCTTTGCTCCACACCTCCTTTCTACAAATAGTAGAAAATTCCTTACAAATGCTAGGTACCCAAATGAGCCATGATATGTAGATTTCCCAGCTTGCTTGCTTGTTTTTTTTAAAAAAAGGAATTGCATTGTTGCTTTTTGTAGATTGGGCTGGGGAACCAGCCTGCACACATGCAGCAGGGTGGGGTCTTCCCCTTCCTGGGTTGCAAAGGTAGTGCCTGAACACTACTGTTTTCCTGCCATTGGGTTGAGAAAGGGTGTTGATTATTCAAGGCAGCAATTGCTCCCTCACTCTATGCACATACCATACATTTAAAGCACTTGACATCCTCAAAAGAATCTGGGAGCTAGTTTGTTAAGGCTGCTGGGAATCTTAGCTATGTGAGGGGTAAACTACAGTTTTGAGGTTTCTTTGGGGGCAGTCGTGTGCTTAAATGCATGGTGTATGCACAGCCTTCAAATATAGCTATGTATGTGTAGCAAGGGAGGCAATTTGTTGCTTAAAAATGCAAGCTTCTCTTCTTCGTCAGGAATTATAACCCATATATAGGAGGAGATGATAGGAAGAAAGAAATTATCCAGTGGCCAGTCTTGAAAGTTTTTATTTTTCTATATAAAATTAATTAAGAAGATAGAAACATTAAGGGTATTATATCTGATAGCTCCTCTGTTTAATTGTGAACTTGACCAAAGAAATAAAGGCCAGTTACTCTGCTGTCCTGTAAAAATAATGTTAAAGCTTCAAATATAATTCATTCAATTTGATAAACATGATAACTATTTTTCAAGCAGCAGCCAAAGAACGTGTTAGAGATAATTAACAGATGCCTGCTGGCCTGGAAATGAAAAAGCAAGGAATGACTCACTGTAAACTAAACGACTTTCCATTTTCCAAGCCCAGAAGTCAAAGCTTCGTTTGTAGTTCAACTAAGCCCCTCCTTTCTACCACAACCTACTGCCTTCCCCCTGTGGTTATTTTTCTAGCCTGTTTCCCCAAGTTGAGAAACAACGTACATGCCAGCAGTGATTCATTTCGCAATTGGTAGAACTATGAAGAAGCAAATGAAGAACCATAATGTAACACTATGGAGGACTGCTGCTCTAAATGTGTTGTAAACATTTTTTGCTTACTGGCTAAATCTCTTTGTTTTTTTCTTTTTAGTAGTGAGGCCCCCTCCTCAAGTTACATTGGGAGGTGTCTAAAACTCCCCTATGTTATTTTTCCATTAAAAATCACCCACTTAAAATTGGTTATTTGCTGCAATTTTAAAAAGAATTGGGTCAGAAAAGAACCCACCACCACACAGCACAGTCCCAGTAGGGACCAGGGCTCCCCCCCAGCTGCTCTTTGTAAGCAAAGAAATTTGTCCAGTCACAAAGACATGATTCAAAAAGTAGTCACATCTAGCCTGACTTAGTTCTCAGATCTGACTTGTTCCCTTTCAGATTCACATAGCAGAAAACAAAATCCTAGGACAGAGAAACAGTATCGAGTCAGAGAACACTAACCCTCCCCCCTTGACATTTTGATTTTCTGTGTGCATGATATTCCTATGTCTTAAATAAATCATGTGAGTCTGGAGTCTGAAGTAGTACAGCCAGAGAATAGGTTTACTGTCTCATCTGCTGTTTTTCAGAACGAGGCCTAAAGCTGTAGCAGAAGCACTGCTATAAAACAGAGGTAGGAAACATCAGGCCTGAGGGCCAGATTCAGCATTCCAGGCCTCTCCATCTGGCCCTTGGGGGGGGCCTTCCCAGGCAACACCTCTTCCCAGTTCATCTCCGCCATCACTAGCCTACACCCTGCAGTGGTCCTGCTGCGCACCCTCCTTGAGTGCTTTTGCCTGTGTGGAATCAGCCTGAGCTGTGATAATGCCTCATGTGTGGCTGCTTGTAGAAATGTCAGCTGTTAACGTACAAAAGTAAATGTCACACTAGTTGCTCCACCCACCACTGGCATGAGGTCTCCAGAAGGTTGCCTGTGATAAAATACAGCCTTCAGGCTCCAAAATGTCCCTCATCAGTGATATATAAGCCTTTCCTACATCATAGGATCAGCAAGGAAAAATCCCACACCAATGAATAAATCCTATAGGGAGGGAGGAATTCAACATCACACTGTTACAAACATTCTGCTAGCACAAGTGTTTCTGCTCTCCAGACAGAACAGTCTTCCCCCTTGTGCTGTTCTGTGGGGTTCTCCCAGCTACTATCACCCTGACACAATTTAGCAGGGTGTATGAGAGGAGGAAAGCCCCATTGCCATAGTGGAAGTCCTTCTATTAGCACTACCTGGGGACCTGGGTGACGCTGTGGTCTAAACCACTGAGCCTCTTGGGCTTGCTGATCAGAAGGTTGGCAGTTTGACCACCACGCGAGGGGCTGAGTACCCATTGCTCTGTCCCAGCTTCTGCCAACCTAGCAGTTCGAAAGCATACCAGTGCAAGTAGATAAATAGGTACTGCTGTGGTGGGAAGGTAAATGGCATTTCTGTGCACTCTGGAACTTGTCATGGTCCTCCGTGCACCAGAAGCGGTTTAGTTATGCTGGCCACATGACCCGGAAAGCTGTCTGTGTACAAACTCCAGCTGCCTTGGCCTGAAAAGCAAGATGAGTGCTGCACCCCATAGTCATCTTTGACTGGACTTAACCATCCAGAGGTCCTTTACCTTTACTAGTGGGACCAGTTAGTTGAATCCAGGCCATGATTCATGAATGGTGAAACATCACTCTTACTGCAGAGAAGCAAAACTCTGCACTTGGTGACAGTGTTGTAGTTAAGATTCCACCTGCTTAGCTAACTTCTGTATGATAGGAGTGTAACCACATATGTTAAACGTTTTTAATAGTTTTCAATTCTTTTAATTAAGTTTTGATTGTACTTTAAATTGTACTGTTTCAGCATGTTGGTGCTTGCAACCCTAGGCTCCTTTGGAATAACCTAATTAGTAACAATAACAAATGATACATGTAAATGTCTGTTACTGATGCAATTTTAAAATGAAAGGAAATTTAAATGGAGAAGCAGCAGCAGCAGCAGCAGCAGCAGGAGGATGCGTAGCCCTTCCTCTCCTGCCAGCTGTTCTTCTTTTTAACTGCTCCAGCAAAGTGACTTTCCCCTTGTGAGCTTAAAAAAGCCATGTTATTATCTCTCCTGTGCCCAGATAGGTCACTTTTTTGTTGCAATTGCTCTGATTGTGGATGTTTTGTTCACCCTTAAATTTTTATTGGCAACTTACACAGAAATGCACAGCTTACTTAGTAGCATCCTGTGTTAAATATCATGTATACACTCCTCAGCTGCTGTTTTTATAAGCTTACTGAGCATGGCCCATGTTACCTGATTAAATAAGCCCCACCTGCAGCCTAGCAAACCCTGCCAATTTCCTCTTGGCTGCTTTTGGTGCTTGTGGAATTGCTTCACAAGCCTCCTTCCTTCTGGCAACCTTCTCACTGTTTAGCGACACTGCCTTTATTCCCCAAAGAGTGTAAGGGATTCAAGGCTGCCAACTAATAGAGAGGTGGGGACCCTGGATGGAACTACTGTTGTGCAATTAACAGCAGCAACATCTGCAGAGATCAGCAAGCGAAACTGGAGAATCATCACCTGTTGTTGATAATTTATTTTTTTTAAAATGATATTTATTAAGGTTTCAATAAAAGATTAAACAGAAAAACATAAACGAAAAATACACAGTTCAAAAAAACACAATACATAGTCCAAAAAAAGAAAAAAAAGAACAAAAAAACACAAAATACAAGACAAAAAGAACAATTAAAAACAATATCACCTTTTCGTTTCCATCTTTAAATTTAATAGTTTTCTGGACCTCCTCATACCTCCCTCTTTTGTATTCCAGTTCAATTTGTTTGTCCAGCAGTTTCTTTCCCTCTTTTTTAATCCCAATCTTTAATCTTAATATAATATAACATTAAAATTTTACCTCTTAAAAGCCAAATTTCCATTTCCTTAAACTTCTTTAATCCTAATCCTTAATCTTAGTTTATCTATAACTTTAAATCCTGTACAGCTGGAAACCACTCATTTTCAATCCAACATCACTCTAACATTCTTTAATTTTACAGTGTTTCTGTAGATAATCTTTGAATTTCTTCCAATCTTCCTCCACCGACTCTTCTCCCTGGTCACGGATTCTACCAGTCATTTCCGCCAGTTCCATATAGTCCATTAGTTTCATCTGCCATTCCTCCAGTGTGGGAAGTTCTTGTGTCTTCCAATACTTTGCGATAAGTATTCTTGCTGCTGTTGTAGCATACATAAAGAAAGTTCTATCCTTTTTTATCACCATTTGGCCGACCATGCCCAGGAGGAAGGCCTCTGGTTTCTTGGGGAAGGTATATTTGAATACCTTTTTTAATTCATTATATATCATTTCCCAGAAAGCCTTAATCTTTGGGCACGTCCACCAAAGGTGAAAAAAAGTACCTTCAGTTTCTTTACATTTCCAACATTTATTATCGGGCAAATGATAGATTTTTGCAAGCTTGACTGGGGTTATGTACCACCTGTATATCATTTTCATAATATTCTCTCTTAAGGCATTACATGCCGTAAATTTCATACCTGTGGTCCACAACTGTTCCCAGTCAGCGAACATAATGTTATGTCCAACGTCTTGTGCCCATTTAATCATAGCCGATTTTACCGTTTCATCCTGAGTATTCCATTTCAGCAGCAAGTTATACATTCTTGACAAATTCTTAGTTTTGGGTTCTAACAGTTCAGTTTCTAATTTTGATTTTTCCACCTGGAAGCCAATTTTCTTGTCCAATTTAAATACCTCCATTATCTGAAAATAATGAAGCCAGTCTCGCACTTTGTTTTTTAGCTGTTGTTGATAATTTATGCTGTTGAAGCTGAAGGAGCAGGAGCAGGGGGGGGGGTGGGACTTGGCAGCCCCAAGATCTAACCTAAAATATAGTGCCTTATTCCCACTTTGTAGGGTGAGCAGCATGGATAGAAGATGCAAGGAGGAAGAAGGCTGGTGCAGAGCAATAGCCATCAGAAACCTCCAGATGTGACTGGGTTACAACTCCCATCAACCCCAACCATAACAGCTGATTGTCAGGGACAATGGGAGCTGGAGCTCAACAACATCTGGAGGGCACCATGTTGGATTCGCTTGGTGTACAAGATGGAATTTTGGCAGGTGCAGCTTTGCTTACTTTGCAGAACAAGCTGCATCGGCCAAAGATGAAAGACATCACACTAGGGTGAGGAACTCTTTAGGCCACATCTCCATGGTGGGCAGGGTCAGCAGGCAGAGCATTAAATGTGAATGTTCCCCTTTTGTAGTAATCTAGTTTCTGCACATGCAAACATTCCTCCATATCTTCCAGCCAGGCAGGGCTGGTGAAAGGTGGGGCTTGGGGTGGTACAGGGCCAGGAGAGAGACCTGAGGGCCAGATAGAAAAGCCTGGAGGTTCCCCATGCCTGATCTCTGCCCCTCTGTCTCTCCTCTGATATGTGTTTCTTTTAATGTTATCCAAAGAGACACGAGGCAATTGCATGTGAGCACACTCATGTCCGCCATATTTTTGCACACCTCCCCTGGAGATCAACAAACTGCGCTCACGAAACGGGTATCTTGATTCGTTTTAGTGAAGCAGTTTGTCTGAAGTATGCACAAGCTGCTGAACTGAAGGGATGACTGAACTCTGAAGCAGGAGTAAGGTAAAGGTAAAGGTACCCCTGCCCATACGGGCCAGTCGTGTCCGACTCTAGGGTTGTGCGCCCATCTCACTTAAGAGGCCGGGGGCCAGCGCTGTCCGGAGACACTTCCGGGTCACGTGGCCAGCGTGACAAAGCTGCTCTGGCGAGCCAGCACCAGCGCAGCACACGGAAACGCCGTTTAGCTTCCCGCTATAAAGTGGTACCTATTTATCTACTTGCACTTGGGGGTGCTTTCGAACTGCTAGGTGGGCAGGAGCTGGGACCGAAAGACGGGAGCTCACCCCGCCGCGGGGATTCGAACCGCCGACCATGAGATTGGCAAGTCCTAGGCGCTGAGGTTTTACCCACAGTGCCACCCGCGTCCCGGAGTACTGGTGAATAATTCAAGTGTGCGACAGGGCAAAATTGCAGCCAATACAAAGGCCGAGGAGAAAGGAAGACTGTTTGCTGCATAGACTTTTCTTTTTAATAGAGAAGTTTTTTAAGAACATTTTAAAGAACATTAAAGAACACCCATTTAAAAATAAATGGGTATGCTTATGGCCACATTTTCTTACTACACACCATTCAAGCATATAGGATTGCTGGGTGGGGTGGAGAGACAGTATTCCTGTACCTGTGACAGCAGCGTGGCAAGCAGCAATTAAGCAATTGATTACAGCATGTAGGTGCATTTTCTGTACCGCAGGCTGAAAAAAGGGCTCGTGGGAGTGGTTGGGTGCAGGGATACCAAAGAGGAATGTCAGAAACATCAGAGTTATCAGTTCTAGTGCTTTAAGAGAAAGAAAGGTGTAGACTTACAGCAGAGCAACCTGCCAGGTCTCCCAGATCTAACAGATGGGGGATGGACATCACAGCAAGGAGATGGCTTGCGCTCCCCCCAGCAAACATTCATACATTCTTTATCCACAAAGCAGCCTACGTCACTTTGGCTAGGACTTCCCATCACGCCACCTGACCAGATGAGGGCATAGGTGGCAAATACCCAAATCTTACAGATAGTTGTTCCCCTTTCTGGGTTCAAAGCACAGCACCCCAAGCCCCTAGATAAGGATACCATCAAAGCAAGCCAATTAGCCTATATCAGGGGTAGGCAACCTAAGGCCCGTGGGCTGGATGCGGCCCAATCACCTTATCAATCCAGCCCACGAACGGTTCGGGAATCAGTGTGTTTTTACATGAGTAGAATGTGTCCTTTTATTTAAAATGCATCTCTGGGTTATTTGTGGGGCATAGGAATTCATTCATCCCCCCCCCCAAATATAGTCTGGCCCACCACATAGTCTGAGAGACAGTGGACCGGCCCACTACTGGAAAAGGTTGCTGACCCCTGGCCTATATCAAAGCAAGTGAATATAAGCATATATGAGCTCATTGCTACAACAACTACCAATTAATTGTGGGGTTATCTTGACTACCAAGATGGCATCTGCAGAGCTTCCGGAACAGTTCATCTTTGGTTCAACACAATGCAGGTAGCTACAAACACACAATACTAGGAGTGGGGAACCTGTTGCCCACTTGCCAATCTTGGCCCACCAGATTCCCCATTGGGTGCACAAGACAATTTGGGACAAGCCACCCTCACCTGCCGGAAACCTGAGCACACTCAAAGCACATTCTTCTCCTCTAGGGCACTGTAGTTTATCCCTCACAGAGTTACTAGCAACTCTTAGCAAATTGCTGTCCTAATAATAATAATAATAATAATAATAATGTAGTAGTAGTAGTATTAGTAGTGGTGGTGGTGGGAGAGGAATGTGTTTCCATTGTGCTTTAAAGGTACAGTGTATACATCAATAGCTAACTGTGTGAGCCTGAATGTGTGTGCTCAGAAGTAGGTCCTATTGAATTCAATAGGTCTTGTGGCCAGAAAAGCAGAGATAGGATTGCAGCCTAAATTACTGAAGGTATAAGCTCAGTATGTCTCGCTAAAGGCATTGGTAGATTGCAGCACATTCCTATGTATATTTGCTCAGCAGATACAGGTGGTCATCCATTTTATTAAAAAGTGGTGAGCAGTTGTAAGGCTACTGCAGCATGGCCTCATAGTTTTGTAAATCATCAATGTATTATAATTTTAAGTTTTGGAGGCTGGCTTCTCCCTGTCACTTCTGTGGGAGTGTCCAGCTAGTCAGATTTTTTATAAAACATCAACGCTTTGTTATGTTTTATTTCTATACATGTCCCCACAGGTCCCCAGAGTTGTGAACAGCATATTAATGCAAAATAATTAAATAGACTGATGGTATTAATCTAAAGACAGCCAGGAAAAAACCCCTGCTAGATTCATGTTTATTAGTGCTATTCTCTGCCCCAGTGAAAAGAGGCTTCCATCTTTTACATGCAGACCGTGTATCATATAAATGCAACAGAACAGGGACTTCAGGAAAAAGCAGAAGTCAAGTGCTACATTTGTGACATTCTGTTGAAGATTGTTGTGTAAAGGCCCTATGGACTGATACCACACTGGTTTCCTCATAGGGTGTGCACATGCGTCTCACCACTAGAGGCCACCATATATCTAAATCATAACCAAAAGCGTGCCTGAATCATTCGTAAATAGTAAATCCAATCAACACACTCATGTTGAAAGGTCTTCTGATTTAGATGGTTAGAATTGCCCAATACCACAGGAGCTTGGCCTTATGCTTTTCTCTGCCCATCGTGATGTGAGATTTCTACTGTGTATATCTGAGTAGAGACAAAACTGAAGGAAAGGAGAAGCAAAGGCTACAAAGTATAAAACCAGCATCTAGTAGATTGAAGTTAAACACAAAACTAGCACAACCACATCAACAACAAAAAGAGGTCTATACTGTAAATAGGGAAAGGAAAGCATTTCCTCCACAGACAAGAACGGCAACAAAACAAAAACAGGCAAGAAGCTGGCGGAAACAACCCACTTCATTATTCTGTAGTAGATTACAGTGGTACCTCGGGTTACATACGCTTCAGGTTACAAACGCTTCAGGTTACAGACTCCGCTAACCCAGAAATAGTACCTTGGGTTAAGAACTTTACCTCAGGATGAGAACAGAAATCGTTCAGCAGCAGCGGGAGGCCCCATTAGCTAAAGTGGTACCTCAGGTTAAGAACAGTTTCAGGTTAAGAATGGACCTCCAGAACGAATTAAGTTCTTAACCAGAGGTACCACTGCATGTTATTATTGAAACAAATTTTAACTATGCAAATATCTTTATAATATTCACATTTCTCAATCTCAGAAGAGTGTTGTTGTTGCAGACAGTGAACTGAAGCTGAAAAATTGTAACTTACCCAACACTTGTCAAGAGTCTGAGTTGAGATTTAATCCAAATTTCACCACTCCTGAGCTATCTCAAGAGGCACTGGACAGACAGTGCTAGCTTCTGTAATAGGTGTACTTAATATGGCACAGGCTTCAGTCCTAAACATTCTGGCGAGGGAATAAGTTCAACTGAATTTAATAGAGCATTAAATGATGAGGGGGAGAACCATGTATGCAACCTTGAGCTCCTTGGAGAAAAAGATGGCATGGAAGTGCAATAAATAAATGACTTAATTCTGAATGAACATGTTTAGGATTGCATAGTGAGGCTTGTGTTTGTCTGCAGCATACTTTGAGGCTGAAAGTTACTCAGTTATACTTTTAGACTTATGCACATTGATTAGAGAGTAAGTTCCAACTAACATAGTCAAACCTGTTCTGTGGACTGTGGGGGAAATCAGCTATTGACAGTTTAGATGACAGAGGAAAATTTAAGCTCATGTTTCCTGATTTGTTCTCAGACACATTGCTCAGGAGTAGGATGTCCTGGGGCAAAAAAGGAAGACTGGAATCCTACACCTTTCAAGGTTGTATAGAAGAGAGAATTTCAGCAAAGGTAACCTGCTGAAATTCTCTCTTCTACAGAACAGGACTGGGGTGGATGGAAATTCAGTTCCGTTTTCTTTTTAATGCAAACTGTGGGGGAGGAAGGGAAAGGAGAATGTTAGCTGCTTTGAGACTCCTTCGAGTAGTGATAAAGCGGGATATCAAATCCAAACTCCTCCTCCTCCTCCTCCTCCTCCTCTTCTTCTTCATCTTCTTCTCCCTAATTCACACCTCCCTAATAATGGAGCTACTTGTCAAAATGTGCACTTCTCTGAATTTTGCACTGCAATTCTACAACCAAAGAAGTATACAAAAATGCACACATTATGAGGAAATGTGTATAAAACTGGATATACATTTCACTGCTCGTGTGAGTATACAACTTGCATGAACAATTATTTGCCTGGCTGACCCTCAGAGTCGATCCTGAATTGCCTTAAGTGTGTTGCAGCCAGGAAAATAAGTTTAGCATGTTTTTCTGGATGACACGCCCCAAACTCAGAGTTAAAAATTATACTGCCCTGCAGTTTGATAGCGGAACAAATATTTTAAGCAGTATTGCCATCCTTTGAGCAGCAGACATGTTTCCCATGAGTTCACCGTATAAACCTGATCTGAAGAAAATTCTTACTTTTGAAGGGTGGATAGATGCCTGCACATTTGCAGGTAATATTGTCTTGCCTGGAGGGTTTACAAAAGGCACTCCCTCAAAAAGTTACAGCTGTAAGATCTGCATGGCAGACATCTAAAGTACATGTCTGTTATGCACAGTGTGTATCAGCCTTGGATCATGCTTAGACTCCAGCTGAAGAGTGGTTTTCTCTTGTCCATTGCAAACCTCCTCAGTTTCAGAATGTGCTGTGAAAGAGGGTCATTAATTCATATCGAGGGCCAGTTCCTATGGCTGTGTTGAGAATTGCTCCATGACTGCACAGGATACAGAGAAACCATCCAGCTGCCATCCCATAACCCTTTTCTGAGTGTGAGATACATTGGATTCAGTGGGGCTTAGTTATGAGCAGACTCAGCTTTCACGCCCAGATTCTTTAGGGTTATTCTGGGAGGCAGCATCAATTTAGAAAGCCTAACACTGTATTCAAGGAAACACGCTATACTAAATACTAGGCATCAGTGTAAGGTTTTTTCAGTTGGAATTTCCACAAGACTATCTGGTTGTATATGCAGGATTAGAGCCATGCTGAGGACCCAAGTTCTCAGTTCTGAAACTACTCAGCTCTAATTAGGCTGTCACAGTGTTAACCAGCAACTGTAGACTCTTTAGCAGTACTGCTCCTTTATCAATCAATAGGCACAGATGATGTGAAAGCAGTACAATTACATATATATTCATTGCTCACCTTCTTATATAAACTCTTTCAGGAGCTGTTCTTCCAAAAGTAGTGGGGCACAGGATACTTTGCGTTGTGAGAAAATGACATTGTTTAAAAGCATTGTTGTTATTGGTAAGTTCTATATATATATTTTTTAAATTGGTTGCGGGAATTGGGGACTGTGAGACTTTAGGCTATGTATTTTCTCTTTATACGCATGCTACCCACGCTTGGTTTAATTCTGTTCTTATTTTTATTATATCGAATGAATAAAAACCTCTAGCTTTTAATAAAACTTATTTGCCTATAACAATGTTTGAGTGCCTTGGTCAAATGATTTAATTAAAATATTCAAAGCTATTCTTAGCAAACAGAGCCTCCAGTTCAATTTAAAGGGGAGAGAAGAAGAAAGAAAACTGCTTTTCAAATGTTGGAAGGATTAATCTCTGACTCATTGCTAAGCGACGTTTAAAAATACTAATATAATGTAGCTCTTGCTATTATTAGAGATACAGAAAGCTCTAGTGGCCTAGAATGATTTGACTGAACCTTATAATAATCTTAAGGGGAAGAAAATTTAGGGACAAGATTCAAGAAGTTCTTGTAACTATTAACCCTATGTTGAAACTAGCCCAAACTGAGAAAGAAAACTATTGTTAATTTAACAGAAATTTCTGTTTGTCTTGCAGCTCCTGTAGCTGAGGCAACTTGTCCATTATCTGAGCCTCATCATCCAACCACAAGATCACCAAACTGTAGGGTCTCATCTCCTTCACGTTGTGTTTCTCAAACACTGCGTGAGATAACAAATTGGAAAGGAAAACCCAGAAGACATAAGCTAAGCAAAGACTATATTGGCGGCCCCAGTAACTTCAAGTAAGTTAAAATCAAGTACTGTAGCTTAATTTGGATTCCTGCATGCATGCACATCACTGAACTGAACTGAACTGTGTGAACTGGAAAGCACTGCATTCAGGTTTTTCAGGTTGTAATGAATGAAAGAAAATTGCTTTGGTGGCGGATTCTTTCACACGTACTAGTTGTGAATCTAAGCAGTATGGCTTCAAATACACAGTGGCGGAGCTTCATGCTCCGGCACTGGGGGGCAGAGAGCAGGTGGGCACACGTCCTGGGGGTGGTGCGCTCCCCCCCACTCCCATTCCTCCACCACTGTGAATACAACTGTTGGGAATCAGAAGTGAGGATAGAGCTGTTGTACTTGAGCTCAGCTTTTGGGCTTCCCATAAGGATCAGGCTGGACTAAACAAGCCTTTGGATTAATCCAGCAGGGCTGTTCTTGCATTGCAGCCTATGAGTAAGGAACTTATTTGCACAAGATTTGGAAGATGCTATCCTGAAGCTATTGGCTGGAAAGTTGAAAGAGATGTCCTTGTATACAAGAGAAGGGACTTCAGTCTGTTGAATTTCATTGTACACAGGTCGTACATTGATAATAAAGGTCTTATTATACAAGGACCTGAGAGACCAGGGTTTAAATCCCCACTCAGCCATGAAGCTCACTGGGTGACCTCAGGCCAGCCACTGCCTCTCAGCCCAACTTACCTCACAGGGTTGTTGTGGGGGATTAGATGAGAAAGGAGAGATTAGATGAGCTCCTTGCAGAAAAAGGTGGGAGAGAAGTATAAAAATATAAATAAATAAATTTTAAAAATTTCAGCATCATACTGCTGACTATTGAGAGTATTTGCTAATCATTATACAGTCTAATTTCTTCTCTAACAGAAGGGTTATTGCACGGCTGGTGCTTCAGGTCAGCTAATGAGGATTCCAGGCAACTTTTGGCAGAGTCCACATTGTGCTAAAGGAGCAGCTTTGAGGCTGTAACTTTCTGCTATGCCTTTAACAGTTGCTTGATCTGCAGACATGAGCAGATACTGTAAAACTGAAGTCCCCTCCCCGCACCCCAATGAAGTTGGTGTTAAAGGCACAGGAGGCAGGTCTGACTAGTTATTGTTCCGTGATCAACCCTGCCTTAATGCCATATACCATCTTAACTTGGGTTACTTCTCATGTAGAGGTAGAGGTAACTAACTGCATCAACTGGTTCTCAACTAAGATGGGGAACTTAGTTGCTTACCTGGGGAACAGTGTTGCTTACCTGAATCATTAACAGCCTATAAGAAGATGAGTTTTTGTTTTTATGCAATCTGCTGTAGTCTCTTATGCTCCTGGCTATAGTTGGTTGAGAGGCCTGTTGTTAGAATAAGCCTCCACGTGAGAAGTTGGTAAATTTACCAGTATTAATAAAATAAATAACAGCAGTTTGTCAGAGCTGGGAAGGAATCTTGTTGAAGCTTACTTGGGAGTAAATTTACATGTCAAAACTCCTTGAAAGGGTTTGCACAGAACCAAGAAGACGGATGGGTGGCAAAAAGCCTCAGAGACAGCCTCTTCACTGATCTTATGAAAATGCAGTCTTTTAATGATCCTGTGACCAAATAAATCCAATTCAAAACCTGACCTCAGATAGACAATGCTGCACATGGAAGTTCTACTTTTGACCAAAAAATTGCTTTTACTGGAAGGGATGCTCATCTTCCCTTTGGTCATAGTCATAATACTACTTAGGATTCCTTTGTATTCAAATAATATATTGCCTATTTTTTATGCCCTTTACAAATAAATGTGTTGAGGTGTGTATGTGTGTGTTTGTGTATGTACACAAACATGCATCTAGGGTGTATGTGCCAAAATGGGTCTTTGACCTGGGTGACAGAAAGCCTAGTTTCTGCCCTGAGTTTGTACTACAGTATTCTAACTAACATGCTTTGCTTTGATACGCTTGCTTTGACAATCCAAGTCTTCAGTGATATCTGCTAAAAATGCTAATCTGTCTTTTAGACATCTCTGTCACATTGGATGGAGTCCCCAAACTGGTTTTGCTGTAAGTAATTGCTGTGGATTATTGCTTGCTCAACTATCAATGCTTCCTCTTTTCCTCTCCTTTTTAAAATGGTTGCTACAAAAAACGAGCTTTCTCTCATGATCTGAGAGCGACATTCTAACTTGTTTGAGCCTTACCTTTATGCAAGCTTTTTTGTCAGCAAGTACGCATGCAAAGAAAGGCCCTTTTCTTCAAAGGCAGGGGTCTCCAAAGTGGTGCCTTGTGCACAGCAGTTTGCCCACCATTGCCTCCTATGTCTCCTGCAAAATGTCTTGGTAGACAGCCATCTCCAAAATCACAAGGCACGAGAGACTGTTTGCTCTTCTTAGTTCTGTTGCACTTGCCAGATGGGCAGAGTATAAATAATATTATAATTGTTGTTGTTGTTATTTATAGCCTGGTCTTTCCTGCTTCAGATACATTCCCTTAAATAGACCCACTTTTCAGTAAATACAAAGCCTGGACACCTACTTTTTCTTTCTTCCCCAACACAGGTGAGATGCAAAGACCTCCTCACTGTCAGTGCAGTGCTGACTGATGCTTTCTTTTCCACTGAATAGAACATGGTCTACATCATTTTATGTTTATGTCCTTTTAAGATGAGGCGGCCTTTTTATGTTATGTCATTTTCTGATTGGTGCCCATTGCACTTCTTCAAAATTCCAAATGTGTCACAGGCTAGTGGTGAGCCCTGTTTTCAAAGCTCTGTAGCCGTTATAGCCTCCTTCCTTTTTTGGACACAGTTGAACAACCTTGTCTACAGCAAAGCTCTGTTTATTTGCCCCTTATGGTTTGCTTATGGTTTTCCTCAAATAATGATGGGTCTTGTTCGTTAAGTAAGAGACACTTAATGATCTCTATCAATACTCAGCACCTCCAACTAGTTTCCAGGTTTCCTAGCAAGACGAATGAACTAGTTTACAGGATTAGTGAATGAGAGGCCACATTAAAAAAACACACAGGAAAATCGTTTTGAATTCGACATGCTTTACAACTCAGTCCTAACTGTTTCTATATGGGAAGTATTTGGGGTTCATGATTAAGAAACATGCTGCTCAGTTTTACAATTTTACCTTGTCTTGCAGACCAGCTTAGATCCTGAACTAAAGATGATCTTTGCTAAGGCTGGCATAACGCAGGACCACCTGAAGGACAGGAGAACATCAAAGAAGATTTTGGAAGTAATTGAGAAATGTGGGGGTGTAGAAGCAGTATTGAAAGAGGCAAAGGCGACAGGTATTGCACTTGAGCACCTGTGTAGGTAGTGAAAACATTTTTCTGTATTAATGTTATGTAAACATTTATCCAAGCGGTCAAATGTATTGGTATAGTCACTGGCTGCCTTGCTGCATACAAACGCAGTATGGAATGTGGTTGCACAAGTATGGCAGCCACCAGTTGGCTAGTGACTGTGCCGTGCCGTGCTGTGAGAAACTCAGGGTAGACAGCTTTCCCTGTTCCCTTGTACCATTGACAGTTTCTAAAGATGTTTGTTTAAAGGCTTAATAGTCCCTGTCTTGTATTCAAAAAGTGAACACCAGGGTGGGGCTGTTCTACAGAAAAGGCCCTAGCCACCACCTGTCCTGTCTTTCATCCTCTGCTTTTATTGGTGCTTGGCGGGGCTTGTTACTTTTGCCATACCCATCCCAGGTGAGAAGACTATGCTTGCAACTGAGGGCTGGATCTGTTCACACTTGCACTGATGATGGCACACCTTGAGTGAAGAGCACTCTAGTCCAACCCTCTGACTCTCCCTCCATCTCCAATCTGGCTAGTTCCATGGATTGGCAGGATGGCTCCTTGGCTACTGTGGGAACCTTGTTCCTCAGAGGCATGGTGGAGACCGGCTTCCCCTTGCCTACTGGGATGTCCTAGAGCCACAGGATGGAACCCTCAACCAGATCACTGTTCAAACTGCCTCTGCCCCCCATCTCTGCGGCCTCTTCCTCCCCCTCTGACGGATCCTGCCATTCCCACCCCATCCCACCTGGGACTCGGCTAGATTGGAAAAGCGATTCATATGCGTTGTGTATGCTATAGAACATTATGCCACCAGATGGCGCTGTGGAGTCCCGTTTTCCTCTACCTGTTTTACCTGTTTACATTTACAACGCATTTAACTGAAACACTTCTTTGAGGTGTCTAGATCCAGCTCTGTGACATGGGGCCTATGATACCACCATGCATGTTTTGGGGTTCTGAGGAATCAGATGAGAAAGCAGGTACCAAACCATTCAGGGCTTTAGAAGTAACCAGCAACTAACGGGCAATTCCTGCAGATCACACAGAACTGGTATAACAGAATAAACCTTTCAAGCTGTTCTAACTACCTTGACCAATTCATAAGCAAGCACCCTTTTAGAATGCATAAAGTTGGTTTTAATTTTTGCATGTGGATATTTGCATTTTTTCGTGCATAGCCCTGAATCCATATGTGGATTTGGAAACTGTAAAAATAAAGAAATCTGTGTTTGGGATGTAAGTAACAGTGGCTTCGTACATGGACATCAACAATCAGATTCAATGTTGCTCTTGGTAATTTTTTAAAAAATCTTGCTTTACTTGGGACTTTGCTTTCTTGCTTAACTTGGTGGGGCTTTGGAAGAAAACGATTTTGTTGAAAACTTTAATTGAATGGGCTGAGGAGCTGTTTCACACCTGTCTTTCTGCAGGCTTATTGAAAAAACCCCTTGACCATCCTCTGCTTTATCCTGCAATGCCCACGGAGCTGGATTCCACTTGCAGCCCAAACAATAAACAAGACTCCTGTAGTTTAGGAGTGAAGGATGGATTTAAGGATGTACTAGCAGCACCTAGCTCCATATCAAAATCAGATGAGTCGTCTCATTATGTTGAACTCCCTGCAGTTGTCATATCTCCAGCACCTTGCACGTCTCCTTCCAAAAGGGTATCTCAACACAATTTGATCCAAAATTTGAAGGACGTGCAGCTGAAAAAGTCAAAGAGTGACAACCGACTAACTCCTTTCACCCGCAACATTCTAATGAGTCGGATCAGAAAAGGGACACAACTGAAACCAGCAAGTATCTTTTATTTTAATACTGCACCGGTTATCTGATGATAGCTTAAGCGTTCCTGTTAATCTCCTCCCCATTCCCCGAATTGGCTTTTAAAACAACACTGCTCAAAATGCAAGCTTTGTGCCTATGTCTTCAGCTAATTTTCTAGTGAACTTTTAAGTCTAAAAACCAAGCCAAAATGGTGAGCACATAATAAGCATCCACTTAATAAACCTGTTTGCCATATCTCAGAGGTAATGCTTCTTATCTCTGTGCTCTGTTTGGAAGCTGGGGATTACCTAGAACAGGCATCCCCAAACTCAGCACTCCAGCTATTTTGGGACTACAATTCCCATCATCCCTGACCACTGCTCCTGTTAGCTAGGGATCAGGGCCATCTTAACTGTTGGCCCAAGGGGTGCGGGGCACCTGGGCACTGGGCTCTCAGGGGCACCATGCTGAAAGTCTGGGGCCCGAGAGTTGGAGTCTGGGGAAGAGCCCATCGGAGTGCCACAGGCTCTTCTGCTGCAAGGCACTGAGGCGGCCGGCCAGCTCTGCCCTCTGCCCTTCTTCTCAACTGGGCTGCACGCACACAGCTCCTCCGTAGCAGAAAGAGGCTGCCAGCTAGGGCAGAGAGAGGCTGCGTTGTGTGAGGTGCCCGGCTGTGGCTGCTCCATCCAAGTCAAACCTTGGGGGGGGGGGTTGCTGGGTAGATCTTTGCACCCCGATGCCGCATATGCTTAAGACTGCCCTGCTAGGGATGATGGGAGTTGTAGTCCCAAAACAGCTGGAGGGCCGAGTTTAGGGATGCCTGACCTAGAAGATGGGAGACGCTGAACTTTGGCCTGCCTAAGTGGGTGGTATCTCTCTCTCCATTTTGTTTTGTATAACTTAATGGCATCAGCAGGTGGGTGGAAAGATGTTATGAGTAGTAAGATGTGATTGGGAATGAACCTTGTCTCATTTTGAGAGAAGGAGGGAAAATGCACAGCTTGTTCCACTGTACAGGGCCTTGTTCCAAAGGTACATGGGTACTGTTCAATGTAGGAGCTGCATTAGGCCAACAATACCACAGTGTTGGAACCGTTGTTCTTATATGTGAGATTAGGGTGCCACTGGAGAATTCAGTGTATCCCATTGGATAAATATAGCTGTTGCCACGATAAGTGAATACTGTATACTTATAATAATAATTTATTATTTATACCCCGCCCATCTGGCTGAGTTTCCCCAGCCACTCTGGGCGGCTTCCAATCAAGTGTTAAAAACAGTACAGCATTAAAAATTAAAAACTTCCCTAAACAGGGCTGCCTTCAGATGTCTTTTAAAGAGAAGATAGATGCTTATTTCCTTCACATCTGAAGGGAGGGCGTTCCACAGGGTGGGCACTACTACCAAGAAGGCCCTCTGTCTGGTTCCTTGTAACCTCACTTCTCGCAGTGAGGGAACCGCCAGAAGGCCCTTGGCACTGGATCTCAGTGTCTGGGCTGAATGATGGGGGTGGAGACGCTCCTTCAGGTATACAGGACCGAGGCCGTTTAGGGCTTTAAAGGTCAGCACCAACACTTTGAATTGTGCTCGGAAACGGATTGGGAGCCAATGCAGATCTCTGGTCTTAGGTTATGTGTTATTAGGACTTTTGGACCAGGACCAGGACTAGGACTGTGATACCATGAAATAGAATGGTACAAGATAAGCTAGCAGTGGTACCACACTGATTTGATGGAGGCCACACTGCCATAGCTTCACCCATCTCCACAGCGGATTATGAAAGATGGCTGTGAATCAGTGTGCAGATTAGCAGAACAATGAGCTAGTTCTGTAGAAAAAGACCATAGAACAGATTCTATAGAATAGACTTGGCTAAAGCCATAAACTTAACAAAGAGACTAGTTTGACCACTTTATGTTACTGGCTTTAGCGAAGTCTGTAAAGCAGGAGGAGCCAGGCTCACAATGTACTTTTGGAAGCTGGCGCCATTTGGGCCAAGTGACGAGGAGGAGGTGCACAGGTGCAAGGTGAGAGCACGGGACATTTCAGGATCCAATCAGAAGCCAGGATGGCTTCTGTAATTCCAGGATGTCCCAGTCAAATTGGGACAGTTGAGGGTATGGGTTACCCAGCTCTGCCATAGATGGCCTGAATTTCCTGTGTTTGTACCTGACATTGCTGACTAGCTCTTCTAAATGCATGCAAGCTGAAACAAGAAATCCTCAGGGTGCTTATAGTAAGCTGTCTTCAGTTGCCTTCAGGAAGTGAGGCAAGTGCAAGCCAGCTATATAACGTGAATTCTGCACTTGCACAAGCTCTGGTTACACAAGCAAAAGGACCTTAATAACTGGAGGCTTATTCTAATCTCTTATGTTAAAAATAAAATAAAAATCAGGCCTAAGTCCCAGTGACAGGCTAATTACCTCAGCTGCTTTCTTGAAGCCAAGAAGAAAGCAGATTGAGTTCATGCATCTTGCTAGATAAAACGCCTGGGGTGATGGCAGCTCTCATCTAAGAGACAAAGCTTTGTTTCTAATTTGCTAGTCTTCAGCTGTTGGGAGCTGACTAAAAATGGGTTGTTGTTTCTTAGAAGTCTTGGAACATTAGAACACTTTGCAAATTCAATAAATAAAAGCCCCTCTGGCCAATTTGTCTAACAAATTATTTTAATTATGACTGAAACTTGTTTAGGGAGGGGGAAAAATATGGCATTAACATTATGTAGCAATAAATATCCAAACCCTGCATTTCTCTAAATTTTACGTTGTAACTTTAAGTATAAGGTGTCTAAAAGTCTCCAAACATTGTCAGTCCTTGCTGTGTGGCTGGCCATCATTTAAAAATCAAATTTAGTGGGGCTGACTTAAGTTGCGTGGATGTGATCAACTTCATCTTGTGGAAAGTGGAAACTAATTTTTTGGATTGGTCCTTGCTTTCTGATTCAGAGAATGCTTTATGTGGGCATGGTGGTTTTATATCATGTGCCCTGTTTAAAAAAAAATGCTGTTTGGCAATTTAATTCATAAATAACAGACTACAATTGCCAGAGGTTGGAGGGGGAGGGGGGTCTCTTTACAATCTGCCCCAGACGATCATTCAGAATACATGCAAATTATCTAATAAACTGAGTTCATGGATAGTTTGAAGGATTCCCATAGGCATTCTGTTACCAAAAAGAAGGAAATGAATCACCAGGAAAAAGACAAGGATTTGCATATTGATATTTCCTATGTGTTGATGCAAATTTAGAGATAATGACTGCAATTTAAGTGGAAATGCATCTTACCACAGTAGGAAAGACTGGTCTGGGTGCCTACTTGGTATTCTGTGAAGGTGCTGTTGATGAGCACTTTCAATACCTCTTCTCATGCTTCTTTATCTTTAAACCAGCTAGGGCTAGAAAGCCCTTGAAACAGAGAATTACAGTGGTACCTCGGGTTAAGAACTTAATTCATTCTGGAGGTCTGTTCTTAACCTGAAACTGTTCTTAACCTGAGGTACCACTTTAGCTAATGGGGCCTCCCGCTGCAACCGCGCGATTTCTGTTCTCATCCTGAAGCAAAGTTCTTAACCCAAGGTACTATTTCTGGGTTAGCGGAGTCTGTAACCTGAAGCGTCTGTAACTTGAAGTGTCTGTAACCCGAGGTACCACTGTATCTTCTGATGGTCCTTCTGTAAAGTAGAACACTTGGCCCACCCTACTGGCCACAGAGGGAACATATTAGACTGCACAGGCCTTAGTCTGATCTTCACTTATGTTACCTAACATAGGCAAGGGTGCGACGCTCGTCTCTTAAGAGGCTTTTCTTTTTATGTTTTGCCTGGCTGTTTATGAGGCTTTAATTCCACATTCTGGTTACATTTTGTGTTTTTATCTGTATTGTTGTATTTGTTGATGATTGCCTTGTGGGCAGGAAGATGATTCATAACATGCTTTTAAGAATAAAAATAAATACCGTATTTTTCGCTCCATAAGATGCACCTAGTTTTTAGAGGGGGAATGCAAGGAAAAATATATTCTTTAAAGGGAGCGCTGAGCAGAGCCTGTATGCATCCCAGGCTCTGCTCAGGGCTCCTTTTCACAAGGTGCGTGGGGCGTGTGTGTGGCGCTTGCAGGCGGCTCTTTAAAGGGAGCACGGCTCTTGGGGGCTTTTCTGGGAGGTGGGGGAAGGGACAGAGGGGCTAAGCCAGAAGCCAGGACAGCAAGCGGGATTGCTGTGCAGTGATCCCGCTTGCTGTCCTAGCTTATGGGATAGCCGCGCGCAACCTCTCCCGGGCAGCGGGATGAAGGCTCCCCCAAGAGCCGTGCTCCCTTTGAAGAGCGTGTGTGCAACTTTGGGGGCTTTTCCCCGAGGAGGGAAAAGCCCCCAAGAACCGCACACACGCTCCACACGGCTCTTTAAAGGGAGTGCTGAGCAGAGCCTCCCGCCTGCATTCGCTCCATAAGACGCACACACATTTCCCCTTACTTTTTAGGAGGGGAAAAGTGAGTCTTATCGAGCAAAAAATACGGTATGTGGGCATTTACACCCCACCTTTTTAAGGGAGGCAATGAACAATATAAATCACAGCAACATAAAAATATAACGGCAAAGTGAAGAAAAAGAGATTGAAGATTTAACTATAAAATGTAAACTGAAATAGAGCAGTCCAAGTAGTCAGATTTAAAACTGGTCAATCATAGTGGGGCTGGGGGCTGGGGCTATCAGGCGAGATACAATTTCCACCTTTAAAATCCTTTGGGCTGTCCAGAGAACACATACAGTGTGACCATAGTAATGTAGATCTCTTTGCTGTAAATTATTTGTTAATCGAGTTGTTTTCCTGTCCACCACATACATATTGCTTACTGCTGTTGTACTCTTCTGATATCCTTTCTAAACCCAACTATTTTCTCTATGCTGTTTGAAAATGAGAACAATTCAAATATGTATACTAAACAAGTCTGAGGCCCCTGAGTCAACACAGCAATAAAAGTGGAGATGATTGCCTAGGTATAATTGCCATGTATGATAAAACAGAGATCTAAGCTTATAGAGGAATAAAATAACTTTAATTGCAAGTTCTGTATAAAATTATGTGGCCCTTTGAGACTACTTGCAGAAGATAGGAGGAAAAGAGACTTGAAGCTACAAAACTGCTACTTATGGAACTTTTATTAAATAGTCTTATTTCTCCTTGTGCAAATGCAGAAACACAGAATTTATAGTTTTTGATGTATAGTAGTAAACATCCTCCTCCAACATAGCTAAAAGTGGAGGCTTGCTACGGTAACTATATTTCCTCAATGGCATGGCTGCAAGAAAGGAGATGGATGGAGATATACTTTTGTTTTACACTGAGACATTAAGGCCCCATCTCAGAGTGATTTAACAACCAATGTGTACAGTGGTACCTCGGGTTAGATGCTTCAGGCTACAGACGCTTCAGGATACAGACTCCTCTAATCCAAAAATAGTACCTCAGGTTAAGAACTTTGCTTCAGGATGAGAACAGAAATTGCGCAGCAGTGGCAGCGGGAGGCCCCATTAGCTAAAGTGGTACCTCAGGTTAAGAACAGTTTCAGGTTAAGAACGGACCTCCAGAATGAATTAAGTTCTTAACCTGAGGTACCACTGTATTTCCAGGAAACTCTAGGAATTGTAGGTCTCTGTGGGAATAAGGGTCATCTAACAACTCTCAGCATCCTTAAATAACCACAGTACCCAGCATTCTTTGGGGGAAGCCATGATTGTTTAAAGTGGTGTGATACTGCTTTAAAGATAGAGTGCAGATGATGGGAAAGACAAAAGGTCAAAGATGGGTGGGAAAGACAAAACATAGCAATGAAATATTTGATCCTTCTCAATCTGCTGGCAGCGAAAACTAGAAAAGTATGGCAAATAAGTGCTGAAATTATGCTTGGAAATGAGAGTTTTGTACTATTAATCCTGGAATGGTAAAACTCATTTGAAGAAATGTTTTTATATAGTACCATCTATGTACATGGTGCTTGTTGAAGAATGAGAGAACACGGTCTCTCCCGCCCTCCCAAGGGTTTCCATTTTAGGAGACAACAGAAGGAAAAGAGGGAAGTTGGCAGAGGGGAGAGAGAATGTGAGGTTTTTGCAGCTATGTGCGTTTAGGCTTGGATACAGCAAGGCACAAAGATGACCAGTGACTTGTCCCGAAGTACTAATGGAGAAGGTAAATTTTGAGAAGGGGGTTGAAAGAAGCAGTGGGTGGCACTGCAATCATTGTGAGAGGGAGGAGCCCACTCCTGTAACTGGTACATGGAGGCATAGCATTAGAGGCTTTATGGCCATCACAACTACTTTTGACAGCCAGTGTGGTGTAGTGGTTAGATTGTCAGACTAAGACCTGGAAGACCAGGGTTCAAATCCCCACTTGGCCATGAACTTCAATGGGTGAGTCTCAGCCTAACCTCCCTCACCAGGTTGTTTTGGGGATTAAATGGGGGAAAGAACCATGTCCCCCACCTTAGGAGAAAACGGATGGGATAGAAATGCAATAAACAAACAAACTAGCCACTGATAGCCTAAACATGAATTTGCCTAGATGTTTGTGTTGCTTCTTGGAGCAGACACCAAGCTACTTGATCCTGACCGAATAAAAACTCCTAAAAAGAACCAGATGGCTGATTAGTTATGCTGATAGTTCCAAAGTAGATTTGACTTCTAAAAGCTGCTTCACTGTTTCATTTTTTAACTTTGAAAACAGGTAGCTCAGAATCCAATGCCTCCCATTGATGACGACATAGTTGCTGCTCTTAAGGATGTTGTTCAGAAGAGACACAAGGCAATACACCTTTCAGGTAGATGACTTGGAACCCCCCCTTCAACATGTAACTTAAAACTATATTGCTTTATTGTTCCTTTGGACAAGCATCTGTTCAATAATTTTCACTGGAACAAAGTACAGTAAGTGATCCCCCAAGAACTGGGTGAATACGCTTCTGAAAAGCCGTGCTTCCTGTCCCTTTTAAAATGTTGAATATTCATTCATTATGTCAATTAGAAATGTGTGAAGATGGCAAGGATCTTGAACTCGATCTGTTCCTAAAAAGCTATTGCTAAAAACAGCTGAAATATTGGGTGAAGTCTGGGATAAATGTGGCACCGTATGAGGTCACGTTCTATTTAATTTTCTAAGTAATGGGGGGTAATGGGGGGGGGAGTACCATGGTTATGACAGATTGAAAGCCATATGTGAGGAATCACAGAGGACAGAAGCTGAAGTTGACATTTATGATGTAGCAGCAATTAGCAAGCAATGTCATATTTAGAAAGCTGGATAGGAACAGGAACCACAAACTCATCTCTCCCTGGTGTTTGCAAATTTTTTAAAGGAATAATTCTACTTTTACCAGGTCTCTTCCAGATGTTTTTATGAGACCATGTAGCTTTAGAGAGCCAGTGTGGTGTAGTGGTTAAGAGCGGTAGTCTCGTAATCTGGGGAACCGGGTTCGCGTCTCCGCTCCTCCACATGCAGCTGCTGGGTGACCTTGGGCCAGTCACACTTCTTTGAAGTCTCTCAGCCCCACTCACCTCACAGAGTGTTTGTTGTGGGGGAGGAAGGGAAAGGAGAATGTTAGCCGCTTTGAGACTCCTGAAAGGGAGTGAAAGGCGGGATATCAAATCCAAACTCTTCTTCTTCTTCTTCTTCTTCTTCTAGAGAACATTCAGTGGACTAGGGAAAGTAATGCGTCTCTTCCTGCCTTTAACTATTGCTTCTAGATATAAAAGGTTAATATGTTTACTCAATCAAATAAGCAATATTTTATTACAAAATCAGAGTACTACACAACTACCTGCCTTTTTTAAATAAAAAAATGGGATTATAAAAGTTATTATCTGTACTAGAAAGAAACAAAAGAACCTTTTCTGTTTGATACTAGAAACTGTGAATGAAAGATCACATTATATTATTCTTTGCACACTCTTGGGACACTGATCTTGGTTACAAATTCATTAGGCAGGTAACTGACATTTTATGTGGTTACATTGTACACACTTCTATCTTGTTTTTATTTATCTAAAAAATGTTATACCCTGTCCCCAGCCCAAAAAAGAGAGTTTCCCAAAGATGGTTTCAAAAATATGGGTGACATCCAATGTTAGTCATACTTGTTTATTCAATTTTTATGAGATGGAATGGTGACTAATGCTCCAGTACCAATACAGTTGTACATTGGTTCTTGAACGGATTTTGTTCCAGAAGTTGGTTTGGCTTCTGAAAATATTCGGAAACCAAGGCATGGCTTCCGATTGGCTGCAGGAGCTTCCTGCACTCAATCGGAAGCTGCGAAAATTGCGTCTGACATTCGGATTCCAAAGAACGTTTGCAAATTGGAACACTTACTTCTGGGGTTGTGGTGTTCAGGAGCCAAAACATTCGAGTCACAAGGCATTTGAGAAGCAAGGTACAACTGCATTCCACTCCCTTCTATATGGTAAGATCACTCCCTTTAATAGGAAAGTTGGTGAATGCTGTGGGAAATTGAGCTGAAACAGACACTGAGAAACAAGAGAGGGATGCTGGTGTCCTTGGGGGAACCTGAGGTTTGCAGAGGAACCTGAGGTTTACAAAACCAATACAAGGATTTGTTCAGTGCTGTAATTTCTGCATTACTTATGTACAATGTCATGCTCGTATTAATCTCCTTTTAGTTGTGCAGCGCCCATCCATTCATGCAAAACTTGCACCACAATCCTAGCTCAATGGGGCTTGCTCCCAGGGCAAGTAAGGATAGAATTACCTACTTTCCTGAAAGTAAGCCCCATTGAACCCCATAGAGGGTTATGCTATTAATCACATCACAATTACTTTTAAATTACAATGCTATTAAATTGCAATGATCTCCAATATTTTTAGTTAATGACATAACGGAACACCAGTACATATTGGCTTCAATAGAATACACTACTATCCTCAACCTTTTCTTGCAGATACTGAAGAATCTGACTTGGAGAATGGCGATGAATGGAATGATTAAAATTACCATCCTTAAGGATAATAAATTAAACATGTTAACTACTACTTGATCTTTTAATACTTGATTGTTTAATACAAATATTTTCCAGGATACTTGGAGAATATGACATACTTTAACTGTAGGCTATTTAAATACTGAAGATGTCTAATATGGCACTGACATGACTTGTCTTAGTATTGTTTTTTAACAATCATGTGCAGGCTATAAGCTGCTCTTTGATTTTTCTTTCTTTCTTATTTCCTCCCAGTGCTGTTTTGTTGGTGAATATATTACAAATATAAACAGTTTCTGCTTTTAACTTTTATTCCTGCTGATACTCCATTTAGTATCTGCTCCTAGAATACAGATAATACGTGTCTAAAAATCAGTAATAAACTGTGTTTCCAGGCTCTAGTGAAAAATTACTTCTCTTTTTGGTGTGGTCATAGAGACAGTGTTCTTATCTGAAGGTTATAGAAACATGCTCCTGCCTGCTCGTCCGCCCAACAAAAGGAAGTTGTGTCAATAGCATGGAATATGCTTTGCCTCATTGTTCACCAGAGTTTTAGGTGTATTTCCTCCACCCCCTGAAAGTAATGACCCTATTCTTGGTTGAGTCCTCCTGCCACTCTCCCTGCAAGCTTTGGCTACTCGTGTGCATTTGTTGCTTCACCCATCCTTCCATTTCATCATATGTATGCCCCTTTTTAAAAACCAAAGTTTCCCAGAAAGCTCCCTTACATAGCCACCTTGGTTTCTTTATGTGCTTCTCCTTTGTCTTGCTTTCTGGAATGGTTTGGGATTGAGCCTTTCACAACTCACTTTTAAGAAACCCCTACCCATCCTGAACTAATTTCTCCTTTATTTAAGAACATTCATGACCTGCTTAATAATATCCAAGACAAATCTCTAAGCTACGTACTCAAGTCAATATGTACAAACCATATAAAACCATTAATCTCCATACGATTACAACAACAGACCCAAATCCAAAGTTGTCAAACAGAGTCCAGCTTCAGTAACCAAATTCAGTGGTCTGGGAAAGCATGTGTAAATAGGTCTTGAAAAGATATCTAAAACAGATAATAGAGGAAGCATTCCATATGGCACAAGGAAGAGCAGTCCAAACATGGAGCTGATGACAGGAAAAGGCCAGTTTCAGAGTTGTTGTCAAATTATTAGAATGTGGTGTTACCAATAAGGTTTTCCCAGGGTTCATGCAGAAGATCTATATGTGGCCAGGCACAGTATTTCAGGTTACTTGACCCAATGGTCTTCAGGGCTTTATAAGTCAACATGACCTTGATAAGTAACTAGCCATTTTGTCAGCAGTACAGGTGTACTATGTGCACATGTGGCTGCACCATCCTATATCATTGTCAAGGAAAGCTTTATACAGTCATAGAACATGTTGCAGTAATCCGCTTGTAAGGTTACCAATGCATGAGTCTCTCTAGACTCTAGACTCTAGGTAGGCAACCTAAGGCCCAGGGGCTGGATGCACCCAATTGTCTTTTCAACTCGGCCTACAGACGGTCTGGGAATCAGCATGTTTTTACATGAGTAGAACATGTCCTTTTATTTAAAATGCATTTCTGGGTTATTTGTGGGGCCTGCCTGGTGTTTTTACATGAGTAGAATGTGTGCTTTTATTTAGAATGCATCTCTGGGTTATTTGTGGGGCATAGGAATTTGTTCATTTCCCCCCGTCAAAATATAGTCCAGTCTCCACAAGGTCTGAGGGACGGTGGACCGGCCCACAGCTGAAAAAGGTTGCTGACCCCTGCTCTAGACAAGCTGTCCCTATTCAAGGGAGTGTGAAGTTGGCATTAGTAGTAGGGTGCCTTGCCACAGAGATTACCTGGGTCTCCAAGGACAAAGATAGATCTAGAAGCACCCTTAAACTATGTACCAGTTCCATTCAGAGGGAGTGCCACACCATCCAGTGTCTCTATAGGAAGCCTCTCCCAAATTTTCTTGAGGTTTCTACCCTCATATTTTTTTTAAAAAAACCCTTTGGAAATTTGCTTTCCAGAAGTTACTAGCTTTCTCTTTCCTTGGTATTGGGAAGCCAAAGATGATGATGTCACTTCTACCTAAGGTTTCTATGACTTTCATCTCATCAAATAGCAGTGGTGTTGTTGCCACAGAACTTACCAGGCAAAGGTCTGGGGCTGTTGCATAAATGCCACTTGACAAATGACCAGGAGGCAGTGGCAGTGGGCAGATAGCAGCAAGCCAGGAAGATACCTGATGGCTGAGACACCAACTGCACAGCACAGTTTTAAATAGAACATTAAAAACTCCCCCAAAAGTGAATGTAATAAGAGTGGCAGTGAACTTAGTCACTCAGGTGACACCTTTGGGGTTGTGGGGGGCAGTGAGCACATTATTGCAGAGAGGGGGTGGGCTTGGCCTGCCCCTCATTTATTGTGCCCTTCTTTTATTAACACAAGGCAGTCCAACAAGTACCCAGGCCTCAACTCATATAGGGTTTTGCTTTACATACGGTAATCCCAGCAAAGCAATCCAGTGGAATGCTGTGTGTTGATAAAGTGATGCAAGGTTAATTATATTTTTACTACCCAAACATGTCATCACCTTTATCACAGTTTCCACTCTTGGAACACAGCTCCCTCCTATTCTTAGATAGAAGTATGTATGGCATTGAGACAAGTTTATCAAAAGCTCCACCAAGCCAAGAATTCTTCCAAGTGCTGTTTCTACAAGGCTACATTAAGGTCCACTTTCAGTGGTGGCACTGTGCCCACTGCTGGAGTACTGTTTGGCACTCCAACAGAAGCATTTGGTTCACAACCTATGCTAAACAGAATAATGTAGAGAGTCTATAAAAGTAGGGACTGATGTATCAATCAGTATCATATGTACAAATAGGGATGGCGTATGAATAAATAGGGATTTGGTTACTTTCACATTTCCTATTTTTCAAGCCATGCATTCACTTTGTCCCATAAGGTTGCTTACAGTTGTGGACTTTGGGGTCTCAAATTTCAGGAGCACTCTCTGCATCGCCAAAATTCAGCATCCCTTACCTTCCGTGTTCCATTCTAAATAACAGTTGTGGTGCCCCCGAGTCTCTGATCCCAGTGTGGCCAAATCAGTCGTGCTCCCCTAAATTAGCCTCTGTTGCCTAACATTGTAGTGGAGAGGAGCACGTGGGCTGGTGCTGGTTCGCTCAAAATGGCTAAGCAGGCCTGAAACCTAGCCTACAGCAGCTGTCAGCAACTCTTGAGGGGTTCAGACCCCAGCAGTCTTTTGCAACTCCATTTGGAGATGTCAGGGGATGGTTTGGGGATCTTTTGAACGCAAACCAAGTACTGCACTGTTTTGCTTATGCCCCTTTCATAGGTTACAGCCTTATGAAAACAGCTTCCAAGGCAAGTCATGGTAGATTTCTTCTCCCCACCCTGCTTTGTGTAAGACACACACATGGGTGGAGAAGCTTTTTCAGCCCAATGGCCTCACTACCTTCTGGGCAACCTTCCAGGGGCCACATGCCATGAAGGTGACTTTTCCCTTTGTACACTAGACGTGTGTCTGCACATGCTGCTCACACGCCCGCCTCTATGCTCAATCTGGGCAAGCCAGAGCCATTATCAGAGCTCAAGGTCCCACATCTCAGCTAGGCAAACACACTCAAAGCGGCACAAGCAGGGTTGGTTTGGGATGTGGCAGTGCAGTAGCTATGGGGTGGGGGTAGCTGGGTTTTCTGCCCCAGGTGAAGCCTCCAGAGGGGCGTCAGTGAGGCTCTTGGCCTGTGTACGTATGCACATGCGTGTTAGGTGTGTGTACCAAACTGGGTTTGACCTGGGTGAAATAAACCTAGTTTTGCCCCTGGATGTGGCCTAGGGATGGCTGGAGCCTGCAGAAAATTCTGTGAGCCAGACAGAGGCCTGGGGTCCACACTGGACCCTATGGGTCCCCAGCCCTCTGGTGCAATTTGCAGCCTGGTGAAAGTTGCTCACATTGCGTGTCATTTCGGTCAGTCCTGTTGCTTGACTGAACATTTCTGAAGTGCTATTTGTGGTGTTGCTTTACTGAGTCTTATGGACCAACACCTTTGCTTTTTAAAAAATTTCTCGTTCTAGGAAGCCTCTCCCCCCAAATTAGACCAGAACCAGCCGTGGCCGTTCTGCCAAACGTTCCCCCCTCCCGCTCTTCTCTTAGTGATACACGAGGCGCTTTGGGACCTTTCTGTACGGAAGGAGCCAGTTATGATGGTGGCGAGCTCTCCCCGCCCCTTTCCCCGCCCCTCTCGTCCCAGCCCTCCAATCGGCTTGCCCGAGCGGCGGGAGCGGCTGGAGCCCTGGAGTGCCGCCGCCGCGCACACGCCCCCTCCCTCCTTCCCTCCGCGCCGAGGCGGGGGAAGCCTCTCCCGGGGCTTTGCGCCCTTAGCAAGATGCTCCTGCTCGGCGCTCAGGAGCCGCCTCAGAAGGACCCTCTCAGCTCCGGATAGCGAGCGGCGTCGGCCGTGCCCAAGCAACCGGGAGCAGGAGAGGCGGGTGCCGCCGGGCTTGTTTCCCTGCCTCCTTCCACCCGCTTCGGGGCGGCGACTGACTGAGGCTGGGCTCCGCTACCCTAGCAGCCGGTGCAGCGCCGAAACCCGGCTGGGTGGCGGCTCGCCTGAGGCGCACGGATGTCGGTGTCCAGGTGCGGCGGTGGCGGCGGCAGTGGCGCTCGACCCGCGCGCTCTGTGCAAGGCCGGGACTGGAGAGGTAAGAGCGCAGCGCGCGCTCGTGTGGCGCGTGTCTGCCTGCGAGTGCGGGGGGGGGGACACGGCGCGCGTGGAAAGTACAAGCGCCCTGGGGAGCGGGGCAAGGCGGCTTTCACGTACGCGGCCGCCGCAGCTGAGGGCGCAGGGGCTGCTGGAATCCCGCCTCTTCCAGCCTGCCTGGGAGCGTGTGGATTGTCCTCCTGGCCCGGGGCTATTTTTATGACTTGCTGCAAGCGAGGAGAGGGGCTTGTTTGCAGCCTGCCTTGCTTGGCCTCGCCCAAAGGAAGCTGGAAGGACCGGGGGGGTCGCGGGGGGCTCAACATATCGCTCGTCTTCCCGCCGGGGCGAGCTGCGACTCTGCGACCTGGCTGCTTGAAGGACGGCTGCCTTGTGCTGGGGGAACTTGGCCTCCCACCCCCGCCCCACAAGAGCGCTCCTTTGGGGAAGGTGGCGCGGCACCCCGCTTTCCAGAGCGGACTCCCTCGCCATAGATATTCCTCCCGTGGCAATGACAACCCGGAGGCTTCCTAGTGCTCCATCCCGGGGCGCCAGTCCCATGTTATGAAGCGTGTGGAGCGTGGCGTCCTCCGCCCCTCCTCCCCCTGCTGCTCTTATTTCTGTTGGCCCCCCGCCCCTCCTTGTGTTTACCATGCGCTGCCCGGGGCGGGCTGGGCTGGGCTAGGCTAGGCTAGGCTGCTGCTGCTGCTGCTGCTGTTTCTGTTGCCGACAGGAACTGCTCCTGACCTCCAAATCCACTCTCATCTTTTCCTTCCCTCCAAACACACTACCATTCAGGAAGTGGTTAATTTATTGAAAACATTGGATGGACTGTAAGCTAGATCTTCTCAACTAGATCATGGTATCGTTATGGAGGCTTAGTGGCAAGGGAGTGGCACTCCACACGCGCTCAGAGGCAAAGACACAACATCTCTTTGTTGTGCTTTGAACACTTTTAAAGTAGAAAAGCAGCTAATGAGCACTACATGGCTATAGTTCCTATTTTAAACTCTGCAGACATGTTTCATGGCTTCAGAGAGATGGCTGCAAAAATTGGAAGGAGGTCAGGCCTCTGCTGCTTTAGGGATGCTGGGCTTTGCATCCTTTTGAGCTTATGGTGGCTGTCTGAAAAAGCTAACTAAATGTCTCTCAACCATTAGTTATCTTTTTTGACTGCATTGTTTTGGGCTGTCAATTTGGTGAGGTAGACATCTCTCTCTCACCTTTCCATTTTCTGTTCAGTTCTCTGCTAGCAGTGCTAGTATTGGGTGTGATTGATACAAATATTGTATATAACAGTGACTAGTTCCTGTCAGGCGCTTCAAGGGAGTAAACAGCCCTGAGGACTGTGAAACAATGATGTTGTGCTTGTCCAGCAAACTAAGGAAATACAGTTATAAGCAAGATTTGTTATTAGTTGCCATGATCCCTTTTGGTAGAGATGAGTTTGCATGCATTTTTGTGTCATGGGTTGAATGTGCCTCCAGTACCAACTCTAAATGCAGGTCCCTCAGCCTGAGTTAGTTCCCTGCCTGGTAGCAGCATGGCTCATTGATGGACCAAGAATAGAGTCAGTGCATTTCCGGTGTAGAAATAAAAGGCTAAGAAAGGAAGTTGGGAGTTGGGAGATGCTTCCATGTAAACGTTTCCTAATACGCTGAACTCTGGTCACTCCTGTGTGGAAAGGGATGTAATTACAGCACTTAAGTTGTAACGTTTCCCAATGCTATATGCATGTGAATTGCTTTGCATTGTTCTAGAAAGCAATGATTGGTTGTAGCTTCTCAGTGTGTATGCACACAATGAATTATCAACATGTGCACAGAATTAGTATATTATTTAAGTTATGCATGAGTTGCACACTGTTATCTGCACACGTGGCTTCGATGTAGGAAATCAACAATAATGTGAAATGGTCCTTCTGTGCAAATAGATTCATTCTGATCTATTCCCCTGTTATATTTTTTGAAACATCTGTGAATTTCAGGAGCATTCTCATTAATAATAGAACTAAGATTTGGGACAAATGGACAAATTGACACACCAGTGTGAAATAATTTTGTTCAACTGTATAGAGAAGAGTGATCTATGGCAATTGCCTCTTAGTTTCTGGTTCACTGTTCACTGTTTAGTATTTACAATGGACAGCTTACACAGTGGATCCCTGAGTTCCATAGGTTGGTTTACACCACAATCCTATCCTATGCTGTGTGCTCAGAAAAAGAGATTAACAGCACAATTCGGTGAACCCCTACTCCGAAGTTTCAAAGTCCAATTTTGGTCAATGGGTCTTCCTCTCGGGTTACTGTGTATAGGACTGCAGGTGTGTACACACTTACTTGGGTGTAGGTCCCACTTTGAATAGAAGTGCATAGCATTGTGCTATCAATCTCCTTCCCTTCTCCTATACCTGTCAACATACAGAGAATTCTCCCAGTGTACAATTCAGAGTCAAAACAAAGTAGACGTCACATATGATGTTATTTACTAGGTTCTTTCTTGGTCAGAATATAGGGTTCTGTCCTGTGGAGTACAGAACAATATTATTATTACTTGAAAGCGCAAATCAAGATTAAGTTAGGGCCATAGATTGCAGCGAGAGAAGGTAATTAGTTTAAAATACGTTTTTAGGTCTTTCAGTTCCTATGTAATTATTGAGAAAGAGTGCAGCCTTTGATTGAGTTGGAAGACAGAGTGCATCAGAAGGTCATCCTCTCTAGTTCAAGGCTTAAGATAGAGGAAAGAGTGGGCTGTGGCCGGAGCAGTGTTAGAAACTCAGATATATAAACAGATCGCCAAGTGGCACCTTAAACCTAGGCTATGGTTGCCACAACAGAATGTCTAGGCACCATTTCCCCCCTCCCCCTGGAGATGAAGTTTGTTATTATTATTCATTTCATTTCTATGCTGCTTTATATTTTAAAGAAAAACTCTTTACAATACATTAAAACGTCAAATAAAAGAATCCAGAATAAAACAAATTCAAGTGTCAAGGAAAATATTTCAGCTCCTTCTGTAAGTGACAGTTTGCTTTCCCCATATTTATTTACCTGCTTTGTTTATGTAGCTGCCCCATAGCAGAAGTACTCTAGGAAGCTGGTGTGGTATAGTGGTTAGAGCAGGGGTCGCCAAGGTTTACCTCGTCTGGGCCGGTTCACTCCCACAGAGATCACTCTGTGGGCCAGATCGCATCTGCGCAGACGCGATTTCCGGTGCCATGGAAGTGAGTCCCTGCTCCGCGCTGTGCCGGTTTAGTGCAGTGTGCGGGGGCACGCCAAGCAGGTGGCTCAGTTCGTGGGTGGCTCGTCGGCCGTTCAAATGACCCCCGTATGGGCTGCAGGTTGCTGACCCCTTGGTTAGAGTGTTCGACTAGGACCTGGGAGATCAGGGTTCAAAAATCCCCACTCAGTCATGAAGCCCACTGGGTGAACTTGGGCCAGTCATAGCCTCTTTACCTATCTCACAGGGTCATTGTAGGGATTAACTGAGGAGGGGGTGAACCATGTACACCTTGGAGAAAAAGGTGGGACATAAATGCAATAAAAAAGCTCTTCTGCTAACCTACTTAAGGAAACTGAAGGGGCCATAGTGATAGCCACAGTTATGAGAGATCTCTCGCCCCAGCCCACTGTTTATTGCTATTTTGGAAGGCAGTCTACACCTGCTTAATGATGAGGCTTGTTTCCTGTGGACAACTCTGTTTTGGCTGTATAGTTTTTCAGTTACTTCAGAAGCAGGAATTATTTATGGATCTATTCGGTTTTGAATTATGTAGTGCCTTCAGTAATGGCGGCGCTTCCCCCTGGCCAGAATTCCTAACCAAGGCTTGTAGCTGGATAAGAATATTTCGTCTTAATCGTCATATTTAGTCTTAAACAGTGGTTCTAATGCATCCTTTAGGTTTGGTTAAGTGGGGGATCCATTGCAGAGAAAGATTGGGCTGTGTGTGTGTGATATCATAATTTCATGGCCTGTTCCTGATCTCATAAGCACAATTAAGGCCTTTTTTTTTTTTTACAACTGCGCTGGCTGTTAGTGTACCTGTTAAAAATGGTCTAAAGCAGGGTGGTGCAACTTTTCATTCCAAGTGGGCTGCAATAGTACTTGTTGAGGACCATGTCATATCCTGTCAATAGTCCATGCTGTTGGTAGGCAAAGGAGGGGGGCTGTGGTGGTGGAGACCCACTCACCAGCAGAATCTAGTGGAAATAAGCCTCCACTACTCCTAACTCTACCATCACCTGCACAGATAAGGGGTTAAGATTGCCCTCATGCCTCCTTCCCAAAGCCCAGCACCTCGCTTACTCAGCTTTGGGAAGGCAGGGTGAGGACGGGGGTTGTCAAATGTTGCTGACAGCCACCAAAACACCTAGGGCCTTGTGTTGGACCACCCTGGTCTAAGGTATAAACTAATTTTTTAATCATGCCTGGGGGCGGGAGAAGAGTAGGGGCAACAGAGGGGCAACACCCTGCCCTGAATGAACACAGACTAGAGCTTTCCTGAATGGATAATTTCAACCAGTTTGGCACCAAGAGGACATGGACTCTCATGTTGTAATGCCTGCCGGCTGATGAAACAATGGAAGAGTAAATAGCACGAGACAAGATCGGCAGGTGACCAACCAAGACATGTGTGTTAACCACACTCTGCATCTCTATTCAGATTTAATCAAAACTGAGATTAAATAACTCCTGTTATTTAATGTTATTTATCTCCCAGCATCATATCCCCCCCCCCCGCATCCCTTCTCCAACTGAATGCACTTAAGAGCCTATCTGCAACCAGGAGGAATCCTGATTGCTAAGTGAGTAAAAGTCAGAGGTGGAGTTGGCAGAGGTACGAATCTAAGCTAAGCTAGTGTTATGCCTATTATGTGTCATCTGGAAAGACTGTAAGCAGCATTCATGCCCATGATGTGTAAAATAATTCTCATTCCATCTAGTTAACCATCCTTTCCCCCTTCAACTTTATAACTGCATCAGGTGCCTCCTTCTCCATTTAAAATTGCCAGAAGAATGGAGAATGAAGTACTTATTCATCCAGCGACGTAGCGTGAGTTGTCAGCACCCGGGGCAAGGCAAGTAATTTGCGCCCCCTAACCTGCCGCCGCTGCCAGCTTCTTCTTGCTGCTGCCTGGTCTGGTCTGGTGTGGTTCTCTCTCGCGCTCAGCGCTGCGCTGGGTGGCCGCTGCACTGTCCCTCCCCCAGATAGTCCCTCGCTCTCTCTCCGCACCGCACGCCTGGCACCCACCCCCTCCACAGTGGGCGGCGACCCAGCGGCTCGGATCGGATTCGCACAGCCAGCACTGCAGTGAGAGAGAGTGAGTGAGCCAGGTAGGGGCAGAGAGCTGCAAGTGCGAGCGCGCCCCCCCCAGATGTTGTGCCCGGTGCGGCCGGCCCCCCCTGCACCCCCCACGCTACACCACTGTATTCATCATACTGCGCAGTTTCATAAACTGAGAAAAATAGTCTTTCAAAGTGAACATATGTTAACAGTGCACTAAACTTTCTTCTTTTTAAAGAATTCTAATTCTCTTTTTCAGAGTCTAATCCCAGCAATTTCTCCCTCTGAACTGAACTAGCACTTTGCTGTAAAAGGTAAAGGGACCCCTGACCATTAGGTCCAGTCGTGACCGACTCTGGGGTTGCGGTGCTCATATCACTTTATTGGCCGAGGGAGCCAGCGTACAGCTTCCGGGTCATGTGGCCAGCATGACTAAGCTGCTTTTGGCGAACCAGAGCAGCGCACGGAAATGCCGTTTACCTTCCCGCTGGAACGGTACCTATTTATCTACTTGCACTTTGATGTGCTTTCGAACTGCTAGGTTGGCAGGAGCTGGGACCGAGCAACGGGAGCTCACCCCGTCGCAGGGATTCGAACTGCTGACCTTCCAATCGGCAAGTCCTAGGCTCTGTGGTTTAACCCACAGCGTGAGCTTATACCCTATAAACCTTGGCTTGTCTACTTCTGTTTATTGAAAGATATAAGGGACAGCACCAATATAATGATGTTTTGTCATTAAACTTAACAAAGTTTTGCTGCACACAACATAACAAATGTTTATGGAGCTTGTTTAACAACCTTTGCTTTAACTACAGTTACTTTTCTGTTTCATGTGAAATACCATCAACTCATATAATAGTGAATTGATTGTTATCTCCCTGTGTTAAAGGAGAACCACGAGAACTATGAGATTCATAGATTATGTAGTGTTGGCAGTAACGGGACATAATTCTATTTATTTATTTATTTAAAGGATTTATGTACTGTCCTTCAATGAAGCTTCCAGCATGTTTTACAAAGTCAAAGTAAAATGCACAAACTACTAAAACCTCTGTAGTTTGTCCTTCCTTTTGCCCTAGCAACCAGGATGCATCTTTCCTGTGGGGGGTTCTTCTGAAATTAGGTACCCTCTAGAACAGTGTTTCCCAATTAGCTAAGTACTGCAGACCCCTTTTTTTTTGAAAGCCAAGCCATGGACCCCCTAGTTTTGAAAATGTTGATATCTCTATAGTAGTTTTTGTTATGTGAATGGTGCCACCATACCTTCTAACATATCCTAGTGCAAAACCGGGACATGTGCCTTCCAGGCTACACACTTGCATGCGTTATGTGAGAGGATGCCCTCCCAAAGGAATGTCATGGACAGTTGACAGATATGTGCCATGCATCCCCTGGGTAGATTACACAGACTCCCATGGGTCTGTGGACCACCAGTTGGGAACCACTGCCCTAGAAGACATTTTCTGCAAATGCTGTTGCACAAAAAGTGTGGCGAATGTTAAAGAATCCCCTTCCCAAATGGTAAATGAAAAATATGAAAACTTTGCAAAGAGGCTTAGGTATGCCTCCTGCTGTGCAGAGGATGTAAGTGTTAAGAATTCACTGTATAGTTAACCTACAGTACGATGGAATGCATGTCTATTCAGTAGTATCCCTCTTGGTATTAATGGCACTTATTCCCACGTAAGCAGATACAGGTTGGCAGCCTAAGCTTTGGATTAGGGTTGGCATTGTGGAAAACAGGTTTGTTGTGCCTTTAACAGCTGTATCTCCACCATCAGAACAAGCAGGACATAGTTGACTTCTCATGATAAACATGAGGCTGTCCAAGACGTGAGTGGGTTGGTGGGTGGTAGCAATAGCTGTACTCGCTCTAATTTTGTTTTATGCCATGCCCCTTATGGCAGTCATTTTGTGTTTGGTGCCCACAGAACTCTCTCACATTTTGAAATGTGCTCAATAGTCCAGAATATTTGGTGAACTCTGCATTAGTGTATAGAACCATTAATAAAACATCTCTCTAGTTATTTTAATATGGCTAACATGACTTCAACAGGAGTGAAAATAATTCTAAAAATCATTTTCTCTGGTATTAAGTTAAAAATAGTTTGGCAGTTGCTTCACTGTTAATGTGAAAACCCATGCTCTAAGGGGAAAAAGTGGTCATGACCTTTTTCAGTTCCATGGCTGGAGTTCCTTGGAAAGGAATATCACATTAGCATGGCAATGTGTCATAACAAAAAAAGATCAGTCTTGTCTTCTGAATTAAATATTTCTCTTTTCTCTTGACATTGTTTTTTTTGTTTGAATAATTTTATTGATTTTTTAAAGAGTTTTATTTTTTTAACAAAGATTTAAACATCCAGTTCAAGAATACATTCAGTAAAAAAGAAGAAAAACACACATAATTATTTTGCAGTTGTTTTCACTATATATCCATGACCCATTCTCCAACATCAACCTAGGCTGATGAATGTTTAGCATATTTTATAAGAAAGAAGTGTCATTGTGACACCTGCCTTGTGTGCTTGTTTTCACTAAAAACAAAAACTGAGAACTCTAATGTATCATTGCTTTTGATGGGACATATTTCCCCCCTGTGATCAGTGGGACTTACGCTGCAGGCGTGTACAAGCCTTGGACTAAGCTGCACTGAAATTGGTGACACTTTTTCTTGAGTAGCTATGTATAGGTTTCTACTGTTGGGCCTAATTCTCACCTAGGGGGTAAATTTGTGCCTAGACTCTACCACTTGAAAGAAAGCCCAAGAGAGGGAATGCTATTAACTCTGAGAAGGAACGGCAGAATTCACCCATGTATCAGGCACTTCTGATCTCTTAACTAGCTTTTATCTTGCTTATTTGACAGATTTATAGACTTCATGGCAAAAAGGCATCAATGAAGTATAGAGAGTAAAAACAGAATAAAACACAAAAATGCAAACTCTTAATAACAATAAAATCAATTCAGTAAACTCAAAAATCAGTGGAAACATTTCATGAAATATAAATCTGATTTTCCATAAATGATGGGGTTAGCACCGCAGAGAAAGCCTTCCTAAACAAAACTGTGTTCAGTAGAGGCATAGACATCATTGTGCTAGGTGTCAGTCTGATCTCAGCTGGTAATTGATTCCAGAGAGTTAGAGCTGCAACACTAAAAGCCTGGTTTCTAGTACAGGCAAAATACACCTCTTGTGCACCACTTGAAATGTGGTTCTGTTACATTTGCACTGGGCTTAACTTGGGAAAGGTCCAGCATTGTGGATCATCAGCAGTGAGGCTCATATTCTGCTTCCATTCTCTAATACCTAATTAAAAGTCATCAGATTTTACAAGATGAATGAGAATGCTCCAGGAGCTCCAATAATGCTTTGTTTCCTGCAAGACATAACTGTAGGGAAATAACACTTGAAACATTCTTTCCCAAAGAAACAACATTTTTTGTTTGTGGAAAATAACAAATACTTATGTGTCTTTTTGATCTCTCAGCTACAAACTAGTTAGGTGAGGAAATGCCAAAATACAAAAGTGTCTTAACTTGGTAAAAGAACAGATGGTATACCTTTGAAGAAGAATATGGCACTTCTGTTCACCTGCTTAAACTTCCCGTAAGCCAGTATAACCTTTCTCTAAAATACATTACTGTACCCTTCAGCTGTGATACTGTAATAAGAATGCCGAGTTTGCCCTTTTAAGCTGTAATAAAAATGTTCTCCGGTATTACAGATAATTGAAATGGAAGAATATACTGTCTCCTTCCCAAATAAATTTTTATTGGATAAAACAAAGGAAATCTGAGGAATGCTGCTGTTTTGGGTTAATGTGATTTTTAAAGGTGAAAAGGAAACTGTGGCTTGAGCTGAACTCCTGACGTGCATGTTCACAAACTAGTCAAAGGTCTGCCAAAGTGTGAGAGGACATGTGGTTCCTTGTACAGAAGACTTCTTTTAAATGTTTGTCTTTTCAATCCAAATAGCCGTGCCTTGCCCCAAAGCAAGAGAAGCATCTCAACATTATGCATTAACCTGAATATAGAAGCCCCTGGTTTTAGCATATGATTCTGGAATTGCCTTTGAAACAGATACAAGATTTGGGCTATAGTCTAATGCACACTTAGCTAAGTAACATGAAAAGGATGGGTTTGTGAAGGTGTTATTTGCCATTTTGTTCCTATCTTATTTTACATTTCATCAGCTAATACTGCTGTAAAAAGAAGGCACAATGTAGAAGTATAATAATAATGTAAATGGCAGGAAATGGGACATTTTTGTAATCAGATTTGAAATGAATATGTACTTTTAAGGAGAGGGATGCCATGAAATTGCATTTTGGTTATTGCTGACCAGCAGAGTGGGGGGGAAAAACACATTAAAAAGTAGTCATTTTTTAAAAGAACCAATTTTGATTAAAAAAAAAAATCAGTTATGTTAACTGTCACTTAAAAATAACCTGGACTGAAAGAGGTATCTGAATGTAATAAACAGAGGAAGGCTACCATTCTGAGCGGCTCAAAGTGCTGCATATGGTGCTCTGTCTATGGGGTAGCAATGGATGTAGCTCTTAACTTTGTATGGTAGCCTACATTCGAGCCACACAAAAGTCACACCTCTCTCCATCCCTTCAAGCCAGAGAGGCATTATTGCAGGTCAAGGATGCATTCCAGCTAGACAAAAACCCCAGAGAAAGGCGCAGAGCAAGACTAGTGTAGCCTGGTGAGGGAGCGTGGCCTAGCGGGTGTCCAGAGGGATAGTCAGAGAGGTTTAGAGGGATGCGTTGCATTCCTCACCCCTATCAGCCAAATGGCTCAGATATTTAGCTTCCATGTCATGAGGAAACAATGTTATGCTGAGGGCCTTCCAGCCTTTGCATCTAGCAAATATTTGGCACTTTTTCTTCTAGTGTATGATATTGCTTAGCATCACAAGACTCAAGTACTGTTGAAAGAACTCTTTAGGACCAGTTAAGACATGATGGCTTAACTATGGTTAGGCCAATGTGAACATGCAGAGGGGCCATGTGTCTTTCTCTTCCGTAGGCACTTACTCACTTCAGGCTTTATGATAACCAGAGTAATCTGTGATACGCGAGTTGGGCAAACTATAGTTGCTGCTAACCTTTGTTTGTTTTCAAACCAAAATTCTCCATGGCTAAGGTTACTTTAATGTATGGTGTGGATGTCACCTTAGTAGACCTGATTGAGTGGCTCTGCTTCCCATCTATCCCTAAAGGAATTGGTTGTTAATTTAAGGAATACAGTGGTACCTTGGTTTCCAACCATTTTGGATTACAACCACGTTAAACCCAGAAGTGGGTGTTCCTTTTTTTTGGATTACAACCAATTTTTTTCTGAGGCCCCATTGGCGAAAGCGCGCCTTGGTTTACAACCTGTTTTGGTTTACAACCGGACCTCTGGAATGGATTATAGTTGTAAACCAAGGTACCACTGTATATCTAATGCTATGAGTCCAGTCACAGAGGGTATTGTAAATGGAAGAGAGAGGTAGGTGATTTTTACAAATTCAGCTTTCTTGCTACAGTCCCCTGTGTGTGTGTGTGTGTGTGTGCACGCGCGCGCGCACACACACACACACACACACACTCTCTCGGCATCACAGAGTTGGGGGAACATCTAGAACAGTGTGAGAGGTGGTGCAAAAACTGGATCCAAGAGCCTTCCATTGATGTAAGAACAGCATCTGGTACAATCCATTTTTATTGACCCTCACCCAGGTACTACTTAGCATGCATGCTTGTTCAGGAATGGATGAATGAAAAAACTTGATACAGTACTGATAATCAGTTCTCTTTGCATGAAAAAACCACCGCAACACTGCATGTGGTTTCCTCTTTTAAAAAGACCTCTAGTGAATCCTAGAAGTTTCCTGCAAGGGTGAACCTGAAAAATGTGTGTAGATAGGTTTAGCATGGCTTTTGTGTATATATCATGTTGAGAATATTAATTATTGTGAAATTTTCTCAAAGGAATTCAAAAATTTGGAGATTGCAAATTGCCATTGCATAATACAATCCATATACATATTTGGGCTGAGGCTCTCATATTTTTGGGTATAGCAAAATTATGTTTGGACATTGTTACAAGTAACAGCGTAAGTGGAAACAAACATCACTAAAACCTTAAAACTGTTTAGAATTTACAGTACCGTAACTAATATTTATAGGAAGTTGCCAATCTTCAAAGGAAAGTGCTTGTGTCTGTCGGTGATGTGTATCAGACCGTCTCAGAATTAGGGTTGAATCAGCTCAGTAATTAGGCACTCCCATGTTGCCAAGTTGTAGAAAAATAGGAGATAAAAACTTAAGCAGGACAGCCTGCAGTTATCTGTATGGGTGAGTGAGCTGCAACAAATTTATTTGTTTATGAAGGAGTGACTGAGCTATTCATTCACAAATATGGTGTGACTTTAGACTTGACAGCTCAAAGCAGACATTTATAGAACAGTCCATAGAAATGCAAAAGATCATATGGTCAGATCCAGACATGTAGAGAAGGTACATGTCTGCTGTGTATTTAATGGAGGTGAAATGATATAATTAACCAGTAGGATTTATGTACCACTTAATCCTCACAACTTCTATGTGGTTTACATTAAAATGACCAATAAAATCATATGAGTAGTAGCCTAACTACTTAAGAATGGCACTGTGGTCTAAACCACTGAGCCTCTTGGGCTTGTCGATCAGAAGGTCGGTGGTTCGAATCCCTGTGATGGGGTGAGCTCCCATTGGTCTGTCCCAGCTCCTGCCAACCTAGCAGTTCGAAAGCACGCCAAAAAGTGCAAGTAGATAAACAGGTACCGCTCCGGCATGAAGGTAAATGGCATTTCCATGTGCTGCCCTGGTTTTGGTGTTCCGTTGCGCCAGAAGCGGCTTAGTCATGCTGGCTACATGAACTGGAAAAACTGTCTGCGGACAAACGCCGGCTCCCTTGGCCTGTAAAGCAAGATGAGAGCTGCAACCCCAGAGTTGTCTGTGACTGGACTTAACTGTCAGGGGTCCTTTACCTTTTACCTTTGGTAGCCTAACATTTTTCAAAATAAAATCAGCTATTTTAAAAATACAGTATAACATTATACAGTGGTACCTCAGGTTACATACGCTTCAGGTTACAGACTCCGCTAACCCAGAAATAGTGCTTCAGGTTAAGAACTTTGCTTCAGGATGAGAACAGAAATCGTGCTCCGGTGGCGCGGCAGCAGCAGGAGGCCCCATTAGCTAAAGTGGTGCTTCAGGTTAAGAACAGTTTCAGGTTAAGTACGGACCTCCGGAACGAATTAAGTACTTAACCCGATATACCACTGTAAAGTAAAATCACACATTAAAATACATGCCAGATTTACATGCCTGGATCAGTTTGCTGAATTGTATATCTTATTGCTGTTTGTTGTAAAGCTAACGGCACAGAAGACTCGGAGTAGCCACTGCAAGCATTTAAAGAAGTAAGTTGTGAAGTTCATGTGGTTCTATCCAATAGGTGTCCCACTGATGATGGGATGCTCTTTGATCCAGGGGAACATTGCATCAGTGGAACAGGGATTGAGGGAATATGTGACAATACCTTTCCCCCCTGCAGCCCACCATGTTGCCCCCAAATCTGGAGTTTTGGGGTGGAACAGAACAGGAGATGATGCAGGGAACTGCAAGGGGGAGGGGCAGCTGCCAAAGATGGATTCAATCCCTGTTCTGTTGAAAGAAGGCTCTGGTGGGTTTAAAAGCCTTCCATTAGTGTAGGGGCACCAATTGGATACCATCCATAATATGTATTACAAAGCTGAGAAGCTTGGTGGATATATATATAAAATTCTTCAAGCCTCTAGATACATTTAGTATTGGTACAGATTCAGTTTAGGCTGATCCCACTGTCTGGTTTAAAAATATAAAAATCTGAATTGCAAGTCAGAAAATGACATTGGCTAGATTTTTAGCCCACCAGTTCCTGTTGGGTGGAGGTTAAAATTCTATTTATACTAATTTAAGTTTCATGAAGAAAACCTTCCTGTTGCATAAATGGGTTACGAACAAGAGGTGAGAATTGAAACATTTCTATTGTGTGTGGGGTTTTTTCCCCCTTTGGGGGAGGGATGTGTGTCATGCCTTTAAAGTGTAAGATGATGCATTCTCAAAAAGGGTATATCCAATCACCAGGGCAGATGAATTAAGGCTTGTAAAAATAAATAAATACGTCATTTGTTTCAAAGGTTTCATTAGGATCACTTGAGACATGCATGCTCCTTGCACAGGACAGGAAGTATTTTGAGAAATCTTTTCTCCTTTCATGCCTTGCCCTGGGAGTAATCATTGATGTTGCCACAGAAACAGCACGTACTGCATTACGCAATTCCTTGCTTAGACTGGGGGGGTGTTGGGAAGTGTTTTAAAACCCGCCTTGAAATTTTGATACAGCACACTGTGTTTTCATTTGTCAGCTACTTCCCTGACTTGAGATTTATTGTCCCGTTCCAGAACATCCAACGCTTACAGAAATTCCAAGTATTTTGAAGAGGAAGATGGAAAAATGAACGTTCAGGCCCCATCCCCCCCCCCCCCAGTTAATTGTGGCTTGGACTTAGCAGTGGCTTGCACCAATGTAAAGGCACTTCTTGTGCAAAGCAGCTTCTCTGAATTCTGGCAGCCCAGCTTCAGCCTCTGTGCCCCTCTATCATTACTGTTCAAGAGGATTCCTTGACCCTCTCTGGCGGCGGCTTTTTGGGGGGGGAGGGGGTTTGCTGCACAGAGGGTGGGCTAAGGAAGTCTCATAGGATCCTGCCCTACATGCAAATTTGCGCATTAATATTTTGTTACTTAGTCTGAGATAAGTCCATACCCAGTACATTAAGCATAGTGCCTCTGAACCGCCCTTTAACTAGTTGCCTCATGTATGAATGCAGGACAGAGTGTGAACAAAACAAAAAGAGGTTGGCTACTAGAGGGAGGGCCTTTTTGGTGTTGGCACCATCAGAGAAGCCTGCCTGGTGCCTACTTGACCATTTTCGGTGCCAGGTGAAGATACTTTCCATCTTAAATATTTTTTACTCCTTTTTCTATTCTCTTTTTCTGGTTCTATTCCATGTTAGATTTTATTTTCATATTGTATTTCATTTTTTAAAATTTTATTTGTGAACTACCCAGAGGGCTTATGTCATTAGGTGGTATATAAATATTGGAAATAAATAAATCTATGTTGTGGCCAACTATTTATTTAGCACAGTTGGTGTGTATTGTGCTTCACACAAATCAAGATGACAGATCTCTGTCCCAAATAGCTTAAAGTTTAAAAGTTGACACAGGGGAAGTGGAGGAAGGGGGAAGTAAAGGCAGGGCTAAACAGGGTAGAGTATGAAATTGCTTCAGTTTCCTGTGCATAGCCTTGGTTACAAAGTTGCAGCAGGGCGTGAGTTTTCTCATACAAAAAACACAGCAGAGCAAACAACCACTGTTGGCCTTCCTGGTTCTGTGACCATTATCGGCCATTATCTGGAAGAGTGTGTACAATGAATATAGGTTCATTGGGCTTAGGTCAGGACACAGATTGTGAATGGAACTGTTCTCATTTCAGCCAAGCTGTATTATGATTTGTGTGGGCTGACACCTTGTAACTGAAATATTAAAACACAACAAAACCTCTTTTTTATATACAGTATTGACCATCTAAGCTAGGAGTAGCCAACAAGGTAGCCAACACCCTACAGATGTTTTGGATTACAACTCTGAATAGCCCTAGCGGCATGGCCAATGGGAAGTGTAGTCCAAGACATCTAGAGGACACTACATTGGTTATCCTGATCAAATGCCATACCTGAGACAAGGGCACTTTACCAATGTGTATTGCCCAATGAATCTTTATATTGTCTTCATTAGAGCAAACTCAGATGTTGTAAACATTTCCTCATAGGGGAGTGGCCTTGCTATGTAGAAGTATGAGTTACCTCTGATTTACTCTGTATTTTATTTACCTGGAAGATTATAGATAAACGTTTTTTCTGAAAACTTTGCTTGAAAAACCAAACATTTCAAATTATAAAGGGTTAATTCAAAAATGGATGTTGTTTCTCACTATTCTTAACACTGTCAAATAACAAATTATTTTCTTCCTAAGAGAAGTTGTAAAGTGGAGAAATCTGTCCGTACGTCATTAATATGTGAAATGAGTCCTGATTTTCTGCATAATATGATTCATGGCTATAAAACAAGATATGTGACCTTTTGAGTCACTAGAACATCTTCCTTCTTTTGCAGATCTGGGATTTACCTTTGGTCTCTCAACTAGCGTTTTTCTGGGGGGAAGCAGTTAACACCCTTAATTTTCAAACATCATTATAATATACTTCATTGCAAAATACTTTTTAAAATGGACTTGTTAATTACCAATTGTCATGATGACATTAAGGTAGTTAGTATGTTAAAAAAGAAAAGAAAAAAGCAGCAGCTATGGAGTTTGGCAAGATAAATGTACCAAAAAGGCACTTTCAACATCCTAGAAGTAGGATTTTAAGGAATATATAAGTGTTGGAGGATATGAATGAGATTACACAAATTTGGTTAAATGTAGCCATTTAGGCTATGCACATCTTTCTTAACAAGCTTTTAATCTGGACAGAATATTTTGTGTTGTCTTCAGTGTCATCTGCTTTCCCTTTGGTTGCATCCCCACGCCGATAGGCAATCTTGTTGAAAACTGTGCACACACTTATATACAGTATACACTTAAGCTTTATGGAGCACACTGACTCTCTTTAGAAACATGTATTTTATTAACTTGTGGTTCTGACAAGTGAGGGGGGTGAGTCTTTATCTGGAAGGGGGAGGCATGCCTATGTTAAAATGATTAAATAACTTTGCGGTGATTTGGATTTTGAAAAGAAAAAGAGTAACTTGCTTACCAGTTGTTTGGAAAATGAGACGTAGTATTTTAGTTTCTAGTCTCATTACTCTGCACCATCATGTAAGCAAGGATTGAGAATTGGAGACAGAAGGCATTCTGACGTCATTCTAAGCTTGGGTAGAGCCTAGTTGACACTGCAGGGATTTACCCCTTGACTGACCTTCAAACAAAGCTTGCAGTGAACAGGACAGAGCAACAGAATGGCTTAGCATGGTGACTAGACATCACAATATTAGTTTTTAATTGCTGGAGATAAGGTACTGTTCATTCTGTGTTGTGATGCATAGTTAAAAGATCACTTTAAATAAACATATGCAGTATGTGGCAAACCTTCTACACTGACTGGGATTTGGGCAGCGTTAAGTGAATCTAATGGGATTAAGAGATACGTAAAATTCAGAAATGGTTTTGTCCTACTCTCCTGTCTGCTCAGCTACAAAACATTAATTGCATAGTCTTGGCAATTAGGCTGAGTTCATGCCCTAGAGAGAGAACATTTATATACTTGGAACTCATTTGATTTTAGCCTGACAAGAGTACTGTTAGTTATGTAAGTCTGAATATAGTAGTGACTTCTCCAAGATCACTAAGCAAACTTTAAGGGTTCAGGAAGTTGAACCTGGGTTTCCTGCACTGATCCCAAACTCCCTGGCTTTTTGAACAGTACAACAGCAAAGCACTCTAGGCCACGGTTCCAATTATATCACTGTAGTTATGGTCCCTTAAAGTTTTCATTCCAGTTCTCTGTAGATGCTTCTCCTTTCCTTCTTGCAAAATTGACTGGCACTACCTTTTTTTCTTTTCCTTTTGTAATAGTGTTGTAACTTCTAGTGGTTAGATCAAGGATGCTTAACATTTTTTGGCCTGACAGCTGCCTTGATTATTAGCCATGCCTCTGAGGGCTGCATCTCAGTGGTGGCTGTAGCCATCATATGTATGTGCATGTACGCATGCCACACACAGAGACACTCACTAGGCAAATAGGTACACAACCTTCACCCAACACAAACACAATCAGCACTTCCAGCCCTCCCCACTGGGGTGCAGCTGATTGGAAACACAGTCTTTAACATTACACAGAAAGGCAGTTTTCCTGCCCACCCCCATTCCAGCACTGGGGTGGAGGGAAATGCTGCTTTTTTTTTTTTTAACTCTTGAAGAGCAGTCAGGCTTTGACCCGTCTCAGCACTGTGGTTCTTGGGACAAAGAATAGAGAGAGAAAAATCCTTTGGTTCTTTTGGGGTTATCTCTTAAGCAGCAGGCATATAACTTTTAGCAGATCTTGGTGGGCCAGATGCAGCCTGTGGTCCATGAATTATCCACCCATGGGTATCGCCAGGATTTTTGTTTGGGGGGGAGAACATCAGATTTGTATTGATTATAGGGGGCAGCTGCCTCCCTGCTCTCCCCGGCCTCACCCCTGTATCCACCCGTTTAGACAGTGGACTTACCCAGTGTTGTGGGAGGATGATACAGTCCAGGGTCACTGATTTTAAAGAGTTTGCAAGAGGGAGGAGAGGCTGAATAATGAGCACACATGGGATCATAGTTCAGCTACCCTTAAAGCAATGCACTGGCTGTGTGTGAGCTACAATTGTGCCCCTCAATTGGCCTTGAAGGCGGCTGCTAAAGACTTTATTTACTTCTGGGAATTAAGGGGCCCAACAGTTGTAAGCATGACACTGTAATTTTGAGCATGCTTGTGTTTTTATTTACTATTTCTTGCTGTTGTGGAATATTTGTAATGATGTTTAAATTAAATGATGTTTAAATTATATTGTTTACCATTCTGGATTGCTGCCTGGTAGGACAGGCAATGAAGAAATACAGTAGAAAGAAGTTTAAAGCCCTCCTGGATCTGTTTTTCATGTAGCCTAATGACAAGCTCTGGAGAACTCAAAAGCTTGCACGCTGTTTTGTGAAATTTTGGTTGGTGTAATACGCAATATAAAACAAAATCTTTATTTGGATAGCCAGCTGCAGTTTTGTTACAGAATCATGTGTATTAGAAGAGGCATGTTGCACACAGATGTGGAAACAGTTGCATTGCTTATCACATGTGGAAATTATATTTCTGATTAAGGACTATTAAGCCTATCTAATTAAATGACACTAGCTATTACCTTGCTCTGGTGGAGTCAAATTGAAACAAAGGATTGTACCAGTGCAGTGGTGTTTAGGATAGAGAAACTTAACCGTTTTCTCTAGCATTTCTTGATAGAAAGCTATTGAGATTGTCTTTCTCAATATTGAACTTCAGTATTGAAATATCCATTACATGAGCCAGATTGTTTGAGAGAGAAAGAATCTACAAGTGTAGGTTAAGTGTCTGATACTGGGAGTATGAAGGACATTAATGTTAAGGCTTTGAACAGGGAGCTAAAAATAGGTGGTTGGATCCACAATTGTGTGAGTGGGAGGTCATTTATACTATGAGACTTTCCTGCTCTGTCTGCCCCCCCCCCCCATAGCTGCTAGTATATGCGAAAAGCATTTCTGGATGGTTGGGATTTGTTATTCCATGGTTTGACAGCTTAATTTCTTCCTCATTTACAGTGAACAAAGTACCATCAGATGAAATTTTTAAGTGGCAGAATAATAGAATTGCAGAGTTGGAAGGGACCCTGGGGGTAATCTAGTCCAACTTCCACAATGCAGAAATCCTGTCCACAGCTGTTTCTGGCTGGGCTCAAGCCACTTACCTTCTGGTTAACAGCCAGATGCACTGACCCATTACACCACCTGAAATATTTAACCCAGGATTATAATATGAAGGCTAAACAGATTAAACTCATGAGAGTTATGGGTTCTAAACATCGCTCCCTCTTCCATATATTAGCTCAACTTTGTCCATTTTCTATTCTTATTGCTTTGGATAAATGAATGAGAGCCAGAGCACAAAATCTTCCAGAATATGTCGTAGAGAGAATCTCTAAATCTTTGTTTCCTGCTAGGTGATCTGGAAATGAGCTCCAGTTCTGCTCTAGAGCAATAAAGTTGTTTCCCCAAAACTTTCTGCATAGTTTCATAACAGGTGAAGATAAAAAGGTAAAGGACCCCTGGATGGTTAAGTCCAGTCAAAGGTGACTATGGGGACTACTGGTAAGCTTTCAAACTGCTAGGTTGATTACCTTTTTAGTTTGATTACAACTGGCCTGTTGTCTCCTTAAATCTTCATGTACATAGTGCTTGGCTATGTGACTATGAAGTGCCATCTACTGGTGATATTTGACTTTATAAAAAAGTGTGATATTTCATGTCTTTAATTTTTAATTATATGAAATCAAGTAATGCACATATACACATACGTATTTGCTTTATAGGATCAATTTAATTGATCGGTGGGTTCAACTGTGATGGAAGTCTAAAGGGTAAATTTTAGAAGTAAATTACTCCTGTTGACTGAATATAAACAGATATAATGCAGATATTGATGAATATAATTGCTGTCAGAACTCTGCTTATTACTGATTAACTGACCATGCTGGGGAAACCCAGCCAGATGGGTGGGGTATAAATAACAATAACAGCAATAATAATAGTAATAATAAAATGTCTCTCTCCACTGCCAGAGGCAGTAAGTCTCTGTATATCATTTTGGGAACCACAGATGGGAAGAGTGCTGTTGTGCTCAGGTCTTGCTTGTGGGCTTCCCATGGTCATCTGGCTGTGAAAACAGAATGCTGGACATGATGGGCCTTTGGCCTGATCCAGCAGGCCACACCTTGTGTTCATGTAAACACACACATAAAGGGAGCAAGGGAGTGATATTTAATACTAAGATTGATTGATTTTTTTAAATAAAAAGTTTGAATAGTGTAATAATGTATATAATATTTTTGTTGAAGTGATTTTTTATATGTATATAAAAAGAATGTTTGTTAGCTTTGTGGATAGATATGTGGTTGTGGTTCTTCACCCTCACCATGTGTTACCGTTTTTTTTGTGTTATTCACAATTTGCCCTTGCACTGCATTGTGGAAACATACATCATTGGGTGCAAGTTGTATAGTGGTACCTCGAGTTACATACGCTTCAGGTTACAGACTCCGCTAACCCAGAAATAGTACCTTGGGTTAAGAACTTTGCTTCAGGATGAGAACAGAAATCGTGCTCTGATGGTGGCGCGGCAGCAGCAGGAGGTCCCATTAGCTAAAGTGGTGCTTCAGGTTAAGAACAGTTTCAGGTTAAGAACGGACCTCCGGAACGAATTAAGTACTTAACCCGAGGTATCACTGTATTGAAATGCAGTTTTACCTACCTGATTCTCCTGATCTAATATAGCTGCTATGTCCAGGCACAGTAATGACTTATTTCCTTTGTGCCAGGACTTTGACAGACATTCTGACCAATAATTTTAATAAACCACAATATTATAAAGAGATTTGCAAGATCCATCACTCTAGCCACTACAGAAAGTGTCCTGGCAAGCAAATCACTTTCTCATCTTAGGTAATTGAATGTACATCTTGTATTTGCCACATAGCATGTTGTACTACCATGGAATTCTGAGAATGAAAAGCAGGTCAAGCAACATGCCAGCATTGCAAACTAATAAAGATCTCACGTGAGAGGTCCCAAACATCAGGAAGTGCCTGTAATGTTTTGACCTGGCCTTGCAGTATGGTATGTGAGAGGTAGGGGGAGCACAAGATCACAATGCTTAGACTCAACCAACATCATTACATCTGAGTCAAGCCTTAGAATCTCATAATATCACTAGGATCATAAACCCTTTAAATAGCCCTAAATGTTAAAAAAAAACAAAGAGTGAAATAATCCTTAAAGAATGTCATTACAACCTCACATTATCGCAGGCATATTACCTGGGAGAAGAGTATGTTTTGTGTACAGATTGGCGATTTTCAGTAGACAAGATTTTAACCTAATTTTTACATTAAAACATTTAAAGCATTTATTTGCACAAGTATTGTCTTGCACCTATAATCTTAAGATACAGTAGTAAAGCACCTTTGAAGGTAAGCAGTTTAGCTAGACAGCAGTAGAACAATTAGTAAATCCTTACTGCAGTAATTATAGATAGCTTCCTGACCCTCTTACTTTTAGGTTATGGTCAAGGACATCTTCCATATGATAGAAAAGGAAATGGCATTACACCAAAAGTTGTCTACCCAATCTGCTTTCATATTTGGTCACAAAGACTGCAGCAACATGCACTTGCTTTGAAGTTAAATAGTACTGAAACTTCTACCACCTGGGAAATAATTAGAAAACAAGAAGTTCCCATTGCTTTATGAGATGCTTCCAAGGCTCAGTGTGATATCAAGGACAGCCCCTAACTCCCAGTCTCCCCCAACTGGGCGCCTTCCACATGTTTGGTGTGTGTCTCCTATCAGTCCAAGCTAACCTGGCTATGCTGGGTGAAGGTTGATGGGAGTTGTAGTTCCAAACATCTTCAGGGCACCAGATTAGGGAAGGCTGCTTTAAAGTGTCACGGGACTTAGTTGTTTTTATCCTTCTTTACCATAATTTTCAACGCGTGTGAAAATAAGCTGGGCTAAGTGGAAATTCCCCACCTGCACCCCAAGAAAGCAGGTGCTTAATCCCTGATTTGCATCAGAGGGACTGAATGAGCAGAGAACACACCGTAGTAACTACTGTCTTGCCCCATGATTCAGGACCAGAACAGAACATTTAGTTTAAATTTTGTTTTCCCTCTTAAAATGATGTAAGGTAATTGTGTGGGAAAGACTAATATAAAGCTTAGCTCTCAGCTATTTATCTTATGAACATTCTGCAAATGGATCTGCAGCGAAACTATGAACAGGTTTTTCATGCCTTTTTAAGTACCACATATAGCTTTTAAGAAGCTGGATAAAACAAAACATGTAAGTTTTCTAGTGGGAAAGTACAACTCCAACTTGATAATTGCACAATTATGTTAAATACCTTTTCCCCCTCCCACTTGTTTCCAGGAACTCATAAGCCTTGGGTAGACGGGAATCAAGAGCTACCAAGTGATCTTCTGGCTGGTTTCCAGTAAATGGGCATGGATTCTTCAGCCAATACTGCAGATCTGATTGGCTGGCCAAATCGTGTAGGATCTGCAGTATTGTTCAGAGATTAAAACCTTAGAGTATGTTTTTACTGTATGTCCTTGTTTATTGAGGTGAAGTTGTTGTTGTTGGTGTTTTGTATCTTTATTTCAGATTTTGTTGTGATTTATGTGGAAATTGTTCAGTTTGGTTTTGTATTTTTAAATGTTTAACTTACTGTTTATGACTACTTTCATTATGTTGTAGTTATGTATTTTTTTAATGTTGTAAGCTGCCTTGAACATGGTTTGCACTGTGGAAAGGCAGCATACAAATAAAATTAGGGATGGTTGGATGCCATGTTATAGTACAGTGGTACCTCGGGTTAAGAACTTAATTCGTTCTGGAGGTCTGTTATTAACCTGAAACTGTTCTTAACCTGAGGTACCACTTTAGCTAATGGGGCCTCCCACTGCCGCCGCACGATTTCTGTTCTCATCCTGAAGCAAAGTTATTAACCCGAGGTACTATTTCAGGGTTAGCGAAGTCTGTAACCTGAAGCGTCTGTAACCTGAAGTGTATGTAACCGGAGCTACCACTGTACAGGTGCACCTGAATGATAATTATTTGATCTTTTATCTAAAATCTGGGCACCAAAGAGGCAGAATAAGCCATGAGACATAATAATCAAATATACTTTATTATTACAGAAACAGAAAGATCAATTAATTGCAGGGTTGCTAACCTTTTTGGTCTTGTGCGCACATCTAGAATTTTGAGAGTGCCTCTGACACTATCCCTCTGGTGGTTTCTCCCCCTCACCCCACTGTGCTTTCCCATGGCATCTGGGTAAGAGTTGGATCCAGTAGAATTAAATGTGCATTATTTTAGACAGTATCCCCCCTCCCCCACACCATCAAAATTAAAGCTTAACATTAAGTGGACTGCTGAGTAAAATATTTGGTACTTGCCAGCCCCACAGAAACTTTGACCCAAGCCAAAGCACGGCTCCTCGTGGATTTTACACAGGAGGAGAACAAAGGCAACAACAAATCACTGACACTTCTGTGGACACAGAGGTGACCTATGATTTGATAGTGGCTTTGAAGGTGTCCCTTTTAAAAATGATAAGCCCTTGAATTCGTGTTTTGGAAAGCAGTTGACCTGTGGTGTCTATGACTCATGTAAATGGAGACAGATGTGATCTATGATTTGGTAGTGTTTGGTAGGAGCAAGAATGATATGCCATTCCAAGAGGAGCTGTTTTATTGAGTCCAATGTGTTTGAGCTCATGCATTTTTGTTCTTTGGCACTCTGTATTTCTCCTGATTTCTGCCCTGGCCACTCCATTTCCCTCCCTCCCCTGAAATATTGCAGTTCACTCCCTTTTAATCCTGTCTTCCCCCCTTTCCCTCCTACCCTCTCAGTTGCTCCACTTTCTGTTCAGCTATTGATCTGAGCCTTGAAAAATATGTAGAGGAGATGGGAAAGAGGGTCACTCTTCCAGCTTAACTCCTTAAGCTCCATATACTTCTCAGTGCGGAAAATAGGTACCCCTCCTCAGTATTTCAAGAAAGGTGAGCTTTGAGGCTTCATGGGCACCTCAAAAGTGTCATTGTACACACAAGGACCATGTTGGCAACCCCAGATATTCAGATTGGTCTAGCACCAACTATGTGGGTAAGTGGTACGAAGGACAGAGCGGATCAGGACATTCATCATCATCATCATCATCATCATCATTTATTCAATTTATCTACAGCCCTTTACCGAAATACCTTAGGGCAGCGTTCAACACTAGAAACATATTACAAAACATCAATGGAAAAAACATAGTAAAAAGTATACCGACAGACAGCCTAATGGTAAAATAATTACAATAATAACAGACGTACAGAGTGAGAAGGAGCAATGTGCTATGAGAAGACTGGAGAAAGATGGATACCAAATAATGAGATTGAAGGGCAGTAGGCACCAGCTGCATGTGCAGGATCAAACTGGGGTTAGAGATTAAGTTCAGGTGCCTAAAGTAGCAAAGGTTACTGGTTTGCTTGGAGAGCAGAAGGACGGAAAAATTAGAAAATTAAAGAGGGAAAAGAACCTGGAACATGGTTGTTATCAGTTCCCAGGGTAGTCAATATGTTGTCGTCCAGATATAGTTTGACTCCATCTCCCATCAGCCCTGACCACTGGACATGTAGACTGGAGCTGATGGGAGATGGAGTCCAATAACATTTGGAGAGCACCACATTGGCTACCCCTGACTTATCAGCACTTGAGGGAGGATGCTGTACTGTAGATCCTTGACTAGTCTGCAATAAAGTAACAGGGGGGCAAGCCTTTTTGGGTGAAGGCATGGAAGAGGAACTCAAGGTTGTGGTTTCCCTTGGAACCCTGATGAGGAGTACAAAATAATAAAGAACCAGGGAACAAGGTTAGGAAGGGTGAGCAGAGCTAACTAACTTGACTGAATGAGCATGGCCTGAACACCGCTTTTAGTTTTTGATCCTTTTAGTTTTTGGTTATGAGAGGGAGCAATTTCCCTAGATATTTATTTAATTTAAAGCACCTGTAATTTGCTTAATATTTAAAAATCTCTAAGCAGTGTACAATATTAAAAACATCCATTATCATTAAACAAAAAATTCAGCCTAAAGCTAATAAAACTACAGTATAAAAGCATCTAAAACAAAACCAATAATGCAGGGGATAAACAAGGAGGAGAGCATTTAAAACAGTAGAGGCCTACCATGGATGACAAGTGCAGAACTGTGTGGAGTGTAATAAGGGGTCCTGTTTGAAGGGAGAACATTAACCTTGATGGATGATAATGGGCATTACCTGTTTACTGGTACTTGCAGTGCCTCAGGCATGGAGCTTCCTCTAGGCCAGGGCTCAGAAACCAATTAAACGGTGCCACGCGGGTGGCGCTGTGGGTTAAACCACAGAGCCTAGGGCTTGTCGATCAGAAGGTTGGCGGTTTGAATACCCGCGATGGGGTGAGCTCCCGTTGCTCCCCAGCTCCTGCCAACCTAGCAGTTCGAAAGCACGCCAAAAAGTGCAAGTAGATAAATAGGTACCGCTCCAGCGGGAAGGTAAAAACCATATTGTCAGGAAAGCATTGTTTAATGTCTGGATAAGATACAGTGGTGCCTCGCAAGACGAAATTAATCCGTTCCGCGAGTGTCTTCGTCTAGCGGTTTTTTTGTCTTGCGAAGCAACCCTATTAGCGGCTTAGCGGCTTAGCGCTATTAGCGGTTTAGCGGCTATTAAAGGCTTAGCGGCTTAGCGGATTAGCTGCTAAAAGGCTATTAAAGGCTTAGCGGCTTAGAAAAAGGGGGGGGAGCGAAAAAAAATCTCAAGACTCGCAAGACATTTTCGTCTTGCGAAGCAAGCCCATAGGGAAATTCGTCCTGCGAAGCAACTCAAAAACGGAAAACCCTTTCGTCTAGCGGGTTTTCCGTCTTGCGAGGCATTCGTCTTGCGGGGCACCACTGTATAAGGACTTACTTGAAAATAAAACCCCAAGGTGGTTGTCACCGATGGAAGCAAAAGCACTGAGGAAGCTCAATATGGAGGCCAAATGGCCGAAATATTGGGAAATTCTGGAACAAGAGGGAGACAGATTGAAACTGCAGAGTTTTGAGAAACTAAAAAATACCTGGAAGAATGGCAGATGAAGGTGATGGACTATATGGAATTGGCGGAAATGACTGGCAGAATCCGAGACCAGGGAGAAGAGTCGGTGGAAGAAGATTGGAAAAAGTTTAAAGACTATTTACAGAAATATTGTAAAATTAATGAATGTTAGAATGATGTTGGATAGAAATTAAGTGGTTTTTAGCTGTAATACTATAAGGGAATATGAAAAATGGATTATGAATAGGTAAAAATTTAATGTTACAACATTTTAAGACTAAAGACTAGGATAAACAAAGAGGGGAAGGATTTGCTTGAACTAACAAACTGAACTGGAATACAAAAAAGGGAGGTGCGAAGAGGTCCGGGAAACAAGCTAATGAAAAATAAGTAATGGAAAGATTGAGTTGTTTTTAACTATTTTTATTTTGTATTTTTCTTTTTTCATTTTGTAATATCTTGAAAATTTTAATAAATATCTTTTTTTTAAAAAAAAAGATAAATAGGTACTGCTCCGGCGGGAAGGTAAACGGCGTTTCCGTGCGCTGCTCTGGTTCACCAGAAGCGGCTTAGTCATGCTGGCCACATGACCCGGAAGCTGTATGCCACCTCTCTCGACCAGTAAAGTGAGATGAGCGCCGCAACCCCAGAGTCGGCCACGACTGGACCTAATGGTCAGGAGTTCCTTTACCTTTAGGCAAGAAAGGAAGGTGTTTTCCTATTCTGAAGTTCTCAGTCACTTCTGCTGTAGATGCTAATGACTGATCTTGTTATGGCTCCCTAAGCATCAGCTTAGTTCGCCTTCCCAGACAGTGCTGAATTTTTTTTGAGTCAAAAGTGCTGAGATATAATTAAAAGAGTGGTGAGGTTGAGCCTCCTTGGTAAGAATTTAGGGGACTGTTCTGTGGCTGGCAGCAATGCAGTTCATTGTTAATACTGCTGGTCAGAGGTGAAGCTTGTTTGGATTCCTAGTTTTAAAACAACAACTCTTCTAATTATCAGATTGCAACAGTCAGTCCCCTTAGACCTCATCTTAGAACAAATCCATGGCTCTGTTGCATGTATTAATGTACTTAATGTTCTCTTGAGTTGCAGGCAGACTGGTTGCACTTTGACATGTTCACTACCTACTTAAATAAAACGCTTGCACATACAGTATGATTCATGTTACAACAGGGGCTTCTGTCTTCAGTTTTAACTCCCACCCACCCAAAGCACACTGAGCACAGCTAATAGCAATATGTTATTTCCCCTCAGTTTTTAAATCAGGTGGTTGGAAGTTTCTGCTGGCAATCCCAGAAATTGGGCATTTGCAGGGCCTGGCTGATAGAATCTGCTGCCATCCCATAACCGCTGCAGCAGAGGGACATTTTTTTCCTCCCCCCCCCTTACAGCCTGAGCGATGGAGTTGTATAAACCCCAACGCTGACAGTCAGTGATTAGAACTGCAGTCCAATTTGACTACCCCTCTGGAGATTTAAAGTGGTTTAGGCTGCAATCCGATATACACTTACCGTCCAATTTTAACTCAACGGGGATCACTTCTGAGTTGACATGCACAGGTTTGCACGGTTAGTAATGTTGGATTTTTTAAAAAGTCGTTAAGGACTCTTAACGATCTTCCACACTGAGCCCCCTCCTAAAACTACAGCTCCCAAAATGCTAAGGCGCAACAAACCTGTAAATGACTGTATCCCCCCCCCCCCCCCGATCCCCAAGGACAGTTGCGCATTAGCCTGAACACATTACTGCAGACGTTAAGTGGCATTTAAAGCGGGTTGATGCTTGCTTTTACCCATATGCGCCTACCTGCGAGTAAGCACCATGGGCCCCAGTGCGGCTTTGCCTTGTGTTACCCCAGCCCTTTTCTAAAGCCTGCGCGGCCAAGGCATCCCTTTGTCTCCGCGAAGCGCGCAGGGGGCGGAGCCCAGCCTCGGCGCCTCGCGCGCATTGCTTGGCTCCGGAGTTGGGGGGGCGAGTCTTCCTGCTCCGCAACTTGTTCCCCGCGCTGGCCTGAGGGGGCGGAGCGTCCTGCAGGCCCCGCCCTCCGGTGGCCTTGCCAGCACCCCCCCCTCCCGCTGTAGCCGAGGATCCAGGACACGCGCCGGCTGCCTGGCTGTCGGCGGCGCACCTTCCCGGATCTTCCTTGGAGCTTGTCGCAGCAGGCGGGACCGCAGGAGGGAGCGAGCCCCCAATGCGAGAATGGCGTCTCCGCCGGCTCGAGAGCTCACGCAGAACCCCCTGCAGAAGATCTGGGTGCCTTACAACAACGGGCTGCCTGCGAAGCACAGCGCGCAGCGAGGCGGTGAGTGAGCGAGTGAGCAAGCAAGTAGTGGCGGGCAGATCTCGGGGCGCCTTGGCTTTCGGGGACACCGGAGTTGCATCAGCCCGGAGCCCGCGAGGGTGTGTGCCGGGGATTGAGGAAGCAGGACGTGGTAGCGGAGGCCTCTTGAGGGGAACGAGAGGCGATGGAAAAATATTAACACCTCAGCAGAAATAATAGGAAAGCCGGCATCTTCCGAGGAGAGGCGGGGTAGCTGGATGACCCTCCCTCCCGCTGGTGGCCGGAGTGGCTGTGCTTCTCGCTGCCGGAGCGCCGTGCTCAACGCATGTCCATTAGGGTCCTGGAGAGGCACAGCTCAGAGGGATCGAGGCGATGCCCTCTGAGTGCCCGTTATTCTTGGCGCAAGGGCTTCGCGACTCATACAGGCTCTGGAGATATTTGCTAGCTGCCATTTACCTTCTGGTGGACTGCAGTAAAAAGTACATAGAATGTGTTTCGCCTTAAAGATCCTGCCAATAAATACTTTAACTTTCACCTTTTGGCAGGAAATCAGGTGGTTTCTCCATACTCTTAACATCGCCCCCCTTTGCCAAATGTACTGCCCCCCTGCCCCTCAGCCTCCGTCTACCCCAGCTCTCTTGCATGCTCTTTGCTTTCTGGTAAAATAAAGAAAGAAAATAAAATAAAAGCTATAGCAGGAGCAACATGAACAACAAAAAAAGGCAAGGGGGAGATAAAGACTATATAGAGGTGCCTTGCCTTTCAGCAGCAGTGTTATTAAGAGGAATTCAGCTTTTGACAAAGTACCTCACCAAAGACTGCTGAGTAAGCCTAGCAGTCAGTGAATAGGAGGAAAGGTCCTCTCATGGATCATAAATAGGTTACGCTGCTGGAAGCAAAGAGCAGGAATAAATGAACAGTTCTCTGAATGCAGTGAAGTTGAAAGTGGAGTCTCCCCAAGGATCGATATTGGGACCTGTGGTTTTTAACTTACTCATAAAAGATCTAGAGTTTAGAGTGAACAGCAGTGGGAGTAGCCAGGAATTTTTTTGGGCAGGCCTTTTGTTAGGGGTGCAGAACCTCAGCTATGTATTTTTATTGATTTTTATTGATTATGGGGGACAGCTGCTCCTCCCTGCCCCCCTGTGGCTACGCCCATGGTGAGCAGTGAGGTGGCTACGTTTGCTGATGATACTAATTTTTTCAGAGTCCTTGAAACAAATAGAGATCGCAAAGAGTGTCAAAGGGACCTCTCCAAACTGAGTGAGTGGTAAAATGGCAAATGCAACTGAATGTAAACAAGTGTAAATTTACACATGGTGCTGCTGAAAATCTTAGTTTTTGGGGTCTTAGTAGATAGTTCAATGAAGATGTTGACCCAGTGTGCTGCAGTCGTGACGAAAAAGGAAAATTCCTTGCTAGGGATCATTAGGGAAGGAATTGAAAACAAAACTGCCAGTATCAAAATGCTGTCGTACAAATCTCGGGTATGACCGTATTTGGAATACTGTATAGTTCTGGTTGCCTCACCTCAAAAAGGATATTGTAGATTGGGAAAAGGTTCAAAAAGAGGCAACTAAAGTGATTAAGGGGATGGAGGGAAGGTTGCAGCATCTGCGACTTTTTAATTTAGAGAAAAGGTAAGATTTGATATGATAGACATGTACATGGACAAGCGTGGCATGGAGAGAGAGAACTTTTTTTCTCCCTCTCTCATAACACCAAAACTCATAGCCATCCAGTGAAGCTGAATGATGGAAGAGTCAGGACAGATAAAAGAAAGTATTTCTTCATGCAGGGAGTGCATAATTAAACTATGGCATCTGCTTCCATAGGAGGCCTTGAAGGCTACCAACCTAGATGGCTTTAAAAGAGGATTTGGATATATTAATGGAGATGGCTATCGAAAGCTACTACTATGCCCTGCCTCCACAATTGTAAGCAGTAATGCTTCTAAACACCAGTTGCTGGAAACCACAGGATGGGAAAGTGCTCAGATCCTTGCTGTGTGTTTCCCACAGGCATCTGGTTGGCCACTGTGAGAACAGGATGCTAGACTAGATGGGCCATTGGCCTAATCTAACAGGCTGTTATTCAGTGATCCTGTGTGTGGCCTTCTGGGACTCTGGGTTTCTCAGGCCGGTGGATTTCTTGCTTCTGCACTAAAGAACACATGCAGGCAATGGGTGTCAATATTTTTGGTTTGGTTCCGTTCCAGTAATAAATACCAAAGAACTGGAAAATGAGGCAAATCCTGAGAAGAGATGGGCTCCTTGTAAGCAGGATATCTGTTTACCTATAGCAGAATGCCTACTTTGTCCCACAGTCACCCACCCCAAAAAAATATAAAAATCGGCAGGTGCGAGCCAACATAGATTGAAAGAATGCGTGTGCCTGTCTGCCTGCCTATTGGAGTCATATATGATCAAATTGGCTTTCCCCTTAGAGGATACTCTTGTCTCAAGATTACATAGATTTCTGTCCCCTTTGGCAATTTCTTTTCTCCAGAAATCTGTCTCTGGAAGCTTACAGATGCCTTCTGCTCCTTTGTTGCACTACCTTTGACCTTATCAGGTATATCAGCCCCCATGTTGGCTGCAGCCATTGAAAAAAAATAACAGCATATGTCCAGCATGCCACTTGGCAGGTTGCAGGGTTAAGTCATGAGCAGTACAAGTCACTACTATGCCTATGTCTAAAATGGTGGTGTGGATTGCTACTTGTCCTAGCTAAGTGATCAAGTGGTTATTTGCATCTTTGATACAGGTAATGCCATGTTGTTATCATCTAAATGGCAGGGGTCCCCAAACAATTTACAAACGAATATACTATTTTTTATCTAATTCCTGATATTGAAAGTAAAAGGCACCACTCTTGGGTCTTTTTTTTTTGCCTCAACGCTAATCTCTGGTTTGCATGCTCCTCCTTCAGTATGGCTATGAAGAGGAGATTGGAAGCAGCTGCTTCTGTTTGGGAGTTATTTGTGTTGTTTATTACAGTGGTACCTCGGGTTAAGTACTTAATTTGTTCCGGAGGGCCGATCTTAACCTGAAACTGTTCTTAACCTGAAGCACCACTTTAGCTAATGGGGCCTCCTGCTGCCTCTGTGCCGCTGGAGCACGATTTCTGTTCTCATCCTGAAGCAAAGTTCTTAACCTGAAGTACTATTTCTGGGTTAGCAGAGTCTGTAACCTGAAGCGTATGTAACCTGAAGCGTATGTAACCCGAGGTACCACTGTACATTTATATATACCACCCTTTTCTTCCAAGGAGCTCAAGGTGCATGATTCTGATCCTCACCATTTCATCCTCACAACGACTCTGTGAAGTAGGTTAGGCATGGTGAGTGGCCCAAAGTCACCCAGTGAGCTTCATGGCTGAGTGGGGAGTAACATCAATTTGTTTTATCATCCAGATTGGGTATATGGTTTATGGAAGCAAGTCAACTTCAAACCATACTTTATGCATCTGGATTGTTTCAACTAATCATGGTTCAGATTAACTACAGTTTGGGGTTCAGAGGACTGCAGTTCCATCTAATATGGAAGCTTCTGATCTCCTTGCAAGAAGGTGAGGGGTGTGTGTACATGCAAGGCTCACTGACTTGTAGTGGTAAACCATGGTTTAGTGATATGTCCAAACATTGCTGTGTGTTTCCCACTAGTATAGGGGAAGGAAGAGGCTATGGAGCAGGGGTCAGCAACCTTTTTCAGCCGTGGGCTGGTCCACTGTCCCTCAGACCATGTGGTGGGCCGGACTCTATTTTGAAAAAAAATAAATGAACGGATTCCTATGCCCCACAAATAACCCAGAGATGCATTTTAAATAAAAGCACAAATTCTGCTCATGTAAAAACACCAGGCAGGCCCCACAAATAACCCAGAGATGCATTTAAAATAAAAGGACACATTCTACTCATGTAAAAACACGCTAATTCCCGGACCATCCGTGGGCCGGATTGAGAAGGTGATTGGGCCGCATCCGGCCCCCAGGCCTTAGGTTGCCTATCCCTGCTATGGAGATGCATGGTTGAGAAAGGAAGGGTAAAACAGAACTGCAGAAGAAGACTATAGTTCATAGTAACAACATCAATTTGCTCAATTCCTGGAGGGGTGTGTGCGTCCATGTGTATTAACTATAATTTGGCAAAAACAGTACTGTAGATGTTACTGTTTTCTATGTTCCTACTTTCCTCTAATATGGAATTTTCATGCACTAACACCCCCCCCCAAAAAAAATTAGTGGTCCTCGGACAATGGGAATATTAGTGTTTTGAACAGAGTGATTTATTACCACAGAGGCTGAAGGCTAGGAAAATGAAGATAAAAATTGAACGAGCTTTTAAAAAGTGACATTGAACTGACTAATGGGGGGGGGGTAACTACTCTGAGCTTAAGTTGAAGCATTAATGATGAAAGAGTGTGATATCCATCTGCTATCGTTTTCAGTAATCTAATCCTGAAGATGTTTTGTGCTAAGCCGAAACTGAGTGCAACCTGGCCTTTCTATAATTGGCATGAACCAAAGTTATTTTTGAGTTAATCTTTCAGGTTGTTTTAAGATCTGCACAGTCCTCCCGGAACCTGTGCATGAATGTGGAGTTGAATAAATTTATACAGCAGTTTGGCCCCATTTTGGCAGTATTGCAGAAGGATTTGGCTGGTTAATGGTTTCAAATAGCTTCTTGTTGGAATTATTTGAATTAGTGCTTCTTGGAACACAGTTTAACACTTGAACTAGTGCTTTAAGTGTGCATTTGGAATAAGATATGGTCAAAATAATGGAATATTTCTGTTAAGACTATGGGAGAGGGGTTTAGGCCTGTTCTGAACCAGCAGGCATACGTGCAAATATCTTAAAGGTAGTACTGAGTATAAAATAAATGCATAGATGGTGCAGTTTCTAAGGCTGGGATGAGGAGCCTGTGACTTTCCAACCGTTGGACTGCAACTCCCACCGGCTCCAGTCACCACAGTGTGTGATCAAGGGTGATGTAGGCCTGCAACACCTGAGAAGAGCACAGGTTCTTCCTTTCTGTCCTAAGGAGACTGGCACATGAACAAATAGCAGACATGCCACTTCAGACCTTTGGTCCATCTAGCCCCGTATGGTCATGGTTCTCAAGCAGGGACATCAACTGCTTCCTGATACTTTCAGCTGGAGGTGTTGGGTATTGAAACTGGACCCTTCTGCAGGCATGTGCTCTGCCACCAGACTTTGGCCACTCTCTATAGCAATAGTGCAGGACTGTCAAACATTTATCATAGTGGATGTCTCTAAACATCAGGAAAACAATTGTCCAGGCCTTCCCTCATGTGAAAATGGATGTGGAGAGAGAGAGAGAGAGAGTGTTCAGGTTGTGATGGTTATCTTTGTCCTTGTCATGGAACAGGCTGATGAAAGTAAAGAGGAATGCACAAGGTTACTATGTCTACAGTAGCTGAGTAAAAGAGCTCAATTAAAAATAGATGACTGACCCATAAATGTTTTTGCACTGTTTGACACTCAGTGCAAAAGGTTGGTACTTTTGAAGTGTGGGCAAAAACAGAGACAGGGACTGAAGGGAAGTATGGGCTCAATGGCAAGTATTTACAGAGGCTGGCTTTGCTACAGAGATGGGGAACCTATTTCCTTCCAGATAATATACATGAAGTGCTTTCAACGTCCTAGAGAAACACTTTGTGTAGTAGAAAAAGACAAAGTATTATTTAGCATTCTGTCCTTGAGGTTGTTGTCCGAACGCAACACTGCCCCAAGCTGACCACAAGTAAGCAAGAGTAAAACTGCTAAAGGGAAAGTTTTGTGGTTGTTGTGTTGCATTTCAGTAATTGCTGGCTATCTCCCTGGGGGGAAGAGTGTTGTGTGCACTGGGATAACAGGTTTATTTCTCTAGCTCTTTGGCAAGTTGTTTAATCTGATGTGAACAAGGACCTTGTCATTTAGTGACTGGCTAATTGAACAGGATGGGTTCAAAGGCAGATAAATGCAAGCTTACAGTGCCAGTTAATAAGAAGCTGATTAAGCGCTTTAGCTTTTGAAAGTATGAAAGTGTTTGTTGTTGTCATTGATAAAGTCCGTGGACTATTAAACTTTGGAATGTTTTTCTAGAACACAGGTTCTCATTACTTTTACAACAACATATTAAAATTCAGTTTATTACTCCACTCAAGTAATGGTCATTATATCATAGTTCTAATGCAGGCTGTAGAAATACAAAGAGATGCATAAGGTTAAACCAAACCATGGCTTAGTGCAAACAAGCAAAGGTGCAGGTTTCGGGACTGAATATTGCAGCTGCTTCACTCCTGTCCTGGTACTGCTGCTGCACTGGAGGCTAAGCCATGGATTGACTTATTATTACATTGAACCCATACTCATGGTTTGTCTTGCTCTAACAAACCAGAAGTTGTAACCAATGTTTGTTCTTGGTTTACTGCTCATAGCTGGCCTGGGGGTGACAAACTATAAGTCTGGGTTCATACACAACACTTAAGACAAGCCATGGCTTTAGATGCCAGCTTCAGTGTTTACTCTGGGAGGCCTATCTGTTCATTTGTGCTAAGCCGTGGTTTGATTTAGTCTTGCATGCAAACTGGGGACAGCCATTCTGACAAGGAAATCTAACACATCCTTATCTGTTATAGGAGCAACGGCAATTTAGTTTTATGATGAAATAGTGCAATAATTTATTTCACTTTATGAAGAAATAATGCAAGAAACCAAGCATCACTGGGAAAATAACTCCTATGAATGGAATAGCAGTGTCTATGCAGCAGTTAAAATATTGCTTTGCCTGGCTTTGCTTTATTAACTGTGGATGTTGGAGCAGGGGAGAGAGAGCTAGTTGGTGCAGATGTAATCTAATACCAGCCCTTTACTAGAGTCATTGACGCTGTGCTGAATGTTGAAGGCAGCACACTGAAACTATTACTTAGCTGAATAGGGGCAACACCTAGCTGATTATCCTGGTTCGTTAAATGTTTCTTTTCAGAAGATCTGTTGAATACAACCATGAAATGTGCAATGGAGTTGTTTAACCTTGCAATGTAATGATCAGAATTGTTACCCAACATCTAGAACCACTATCAGCTTAACATTCACCACTGTGTTAATAGATACATATTTCAGAAGTTACTGTTTGCCTAGAATTAAGTAGAAAAACAGGAAGATGAGATAGGATAGCAGGCAGGAAACAGAAGTAGCTACATCAGCTACATCACCAACGTGCTTTGCAGCACAGCTGGAGCTGATGGAAATTGTAATCCAAATCATTTGGAGCCCCCCAGGTTGGTGTAGACCAGTTTTGCCCAACCTTGGGTCCCCAGCTGTTTTCGGACTACAACTCCCACCATCCCTAGCTAGCAAGCCCAGTGGTCAGGGATGTTGGGAATTATAGTCCGAAAAAAGCTGGAGACCAAAGGTTGGGAAACACTGGTGTAGACTACTCTACTGGGCAAAAATACCCACAAAGTATGGGCCTGAGGATCAGATATCACTTCCATCCACCAACATCCTGCATGTTGACTTACCATTTCCATTACAAAAGTCACTTACCAGAAATATTCAATATTCAGTTTATTGATACCTTTGAAGTCTAAAAACCTTCATAATTGTGCCTTGTGTTTCTCAGTCACCTGTTATGGCTTCTAGTTACTCTTTGTGGTTTCTCTACCGTTCTGCATGTGGTTCCATGTTTAGAAATGTCCAGACCTAAGCCAGTGGACTTCTTAGAGTGCAGGCTGTAAGATTTGTCTTATGAAAAATATTCTTTTGGACCTTAGAATCATAGTATTGTAGAGTTGGAAGGGACTGCTGGGATCATCTAGCCCAAACCCTTGCAATGCATGGAGAATAAAAACAAGAACTCTCATGACACCTTAAACCACCCACTTGCACTTTGATCTAGTTGAGATTCCTGCATTGGAATCTAGTAATACTTGAGTGTTAGCCAGGCACACAAAAAAATGGCACCCAGACTTTTTGAGGTGCTTGCAAATGGAGAATCTTTGGGTGAAAAATGTGCCCTGTTAATTTCAAACCCTGCTCTTCAGTGCAGAGTTCCTCCCCCCTTGGAATAAAAGACATGGTCCTAGTGAAAGTGATATGCAAGTCTTGTGCCTGCTTTAGATACTCAGTGGCTACAGTCTGGCAGCTTTGAACATGCAGGCTTCTGTAACCATGGCTTCACACCTAGACGTCACCTAGTTAATCCAATTTTTTTATTCCCATTTCATTTTGTGATAAGCTCCTATTTCCTTTCCCCCAGTCATATGTGCCTTGTGTAATCCTTAGTTGATTTCTGGTTGCTCAAAGCACCCCCACCTGCCCACACATTGCACTGAATGCATTCTGTTTCTCTGTTCATCATATTCTTGCTTCTATATCAGCCACTCAGCCAAAAGGGAGTTGCAGGCATCACTGATCACCTGGTTGTCAGGTCTTGCTTAGCCTCTTGCAAAGCATTGTGGGTAATAATAGTATCTTGAAAGGGGCTTCTCAAGGCCAGACAGTCAGGTTACGTCGGAGGATTGGCTGGTGGGTGGCTCTGTCGTGAGAGATGAGGGGAAGTGATAGCTAGACCCAGTTCACCCACCTCTGATATGAAGAATAGTTGCAGTATGTAGTGGCTTTTTTATTGAGAATAGTTTGTACAGCTGAGTACAACTTTCTAGCGTGGCGTTTTCTTCAGGCAGCTAAGTCCTGGTGGGTCTGATGTTTTCATTGATGGATCTTAAATCAGAATTAGGCCAAATTCCTTATCTCTCAGAATGGATAACAACGGTAGAAAATAATGTATTGTTTGCCACAAACATTGGCAACTTCATTTCCCCCCATTTTCTAGCTAATGAAAGAGAGAGCATATGCTATATTTGCACTGTTCGAGCTTGAACCCGAAATAGGGAGAAATGTAAAGTATTGCACTTGGGCAAAAAAAATGAGAGGCACAAATACAAGATGGGGGACACCTGGCTTGAGAGCAGTACATGTGAAAAGGATCTAGGAGTCTTGGTTGACCACAAACTTGACATGAGCCAACAGTGTGACGCGGCAGCTAAAAAAGCCAATGCAATTCTGGGCTGCATCAATAGGAGTATAGCATCTAGATCAAGGGAAGTAATAGTGCTACTGTATTCTGCTCTGGTCAGACCTCACCTGGAGTACTGTGTCCAGTTCTGGGTGAAGAATCACAGTCGTGATTTCAACCCAACACTGGGCACCCCAGTTCAAGAAGGACACTGACAAACTGGAACGTGTCCAGAGGAGGGCAACCAAAATGGTCAAAGGCCTGGAAACGATGCCTTATGAGGAACGGCTAAGGGAGCTGGGCATGTTTAGCCTGGAGAAGAGGAGGTTAAGGGGTGATATGATAGCCATGTTCAAATATATAAAAGGATGTCACATAGAGGAGGGAGAAAGGTTGTTTTCTGCTGCTCCAGAGAAGCGGACACGGAGCAATGGATCCAAACTGCAAGAAAGAAGATTCCACCTAAACATTAGGAAGAACTTCCTGACAGTAAGAGCTGTTCGACAGTGGAATTTGCTGCCAAGGAGTGTGGTGGAGTCTCCTTCTTTGGAGGTCTTTAAGCAGAGGCTTGACAACCATATGTCAGGAATGCTCTGATGGTGTTTCCTGCTTGGCAGGGGGTTGGACTCGATGGCCCTTGTGGTCTCTTCCAACTCTATGATTCTATGATTCTAGTCTCATTTTGTATATTTTCCTCCCCCTTTCCCTTGGTGAGAATTAATCCTAGCTTTTTCCCTTACTTATCAACAAAATCGCATATACTTTTCATAGAATTTCTTACTGTGCTCAGCTGACTAGGGTTGCCATATTTCAAAAAGTGAAAATCTGGACACAAAAGTGGTTGGATCTTTTTTTTTTTTGGCAAACCTGCTGTTTTTTAAGGAAAGCTGTTTTTAATGAAAACTGCCGACACGGGTTGCCATATGTCTGGATTTTCCCAGCTAGTTTTCGCCTGGACATTGCTTCCGACTGCAGTACTCCAGGTATGTCCTGGAAATTCCAGACGTATGGCAACCCTAGCATTGACTGCAATGCTGAACTTGGTTTGAAGGACATTTTAAGCATAGGTAACTGCATATTGTCTTGCGGCCATCATTCTTTGTAAGTAAGTAGAGCTGTGGAGGAGATGGCACTTGAGTAATATCAAAAGAGTCTTCGAAAACATGCTGCTCCCGCTTTTACTAGCGCATCTTTGTGGAGCCCGAGGGAGGCTGCCCAACAATTTCTGACTACAGTGGTACCTCGGGTTAAGAACTTAATTCATTCCGGAGGTCCGTTCTTAACCTGAGGTACCATTTTAGCTAATGGGGCCTCCCCCTGCCGCCACACAATTTCTGTTCTCATTCTGAAGCAAAGTTCTTAACCCGAGGTACTATTTCTGGGTTAGCGGAGTCTGTAACCTGAAGCGTTTGTAACCCGAGGTACCACTGTACTGTTGAACAGCTCCTTGCAGGACCTCTTACAGTATAAAGTAGTGTGCTTTCTTCTGTGTTTTCCTTGCACTCAGTCAACAAAAGTACTTAGTGAGGGAGACTAAAATGGGACTGATAAACCAGTGCTTCTTAACCTGTTTAGGGACACGATGTGTCTTTCACATGTTTGCACTTTGTTCCTTCTTGTTTTTGTTTCTCAACACATGCTTCTGTTGTCACATACTAAAATTATTTGAAAAGACTGTTGCACAACATTTCAGGCACTTTCCTAAGCGAGTGGTTGACACATGGATATAGCGTTGCACGTTGTTTGTTTTGTAATTTTGAATTCTGTTAAGAAGTTCTAAAGTTAGATTGCTTGCACTGAATTTGCCCTTAGCAAAGGGCTTGTTAATGTAACCAGAGATGCTGAAGTTTGCTTTAGAATTTCAGCTGGTGGTTGTTTCTCAGTAACCCTCTTTTCAAGTTAGCCATAACAGTGTGTTTGACCTTTTTGCTGTATTTGGGACACTGTGTGATTATTTTGAATGCTGAAAAATACTGTTTATGTCAGGAAGAGAGATATATATTCACTTAGGCCAATTAGCACAGGCTAGGGACTCCTGAAAGAATAATAACTGTATTGGTTGCAATCAAAAGTTTTTAAGTGGATTAAATCCATTTATCAGTGCTGCTGCCTGTTTTCTACCCTGCTTTTATAGGATTGAGAAAAACTGAACAGATGACTCAAGGGGAAACCTTTGCCTTTATAGAAATTTAAGAATAAACATGTAGAACTGATAGCAAGGATTAAGAATGTGTTAGATTTCTAAGCATCTCTTCTGATAAAAGTAAAATGTAGCTTTGTACAGTTCATCCAGTTAGGCAGGCTTTTTTTGCTGGGAAAACATCAAGAGTTGTGTCAACCAAAAAAACCAAAAACCAAAACAAAACTGCAGTGGGAACGACAGTATGTTCATATCCTGTCCAAAAAAACACAGCTGTTTCCTAAATGGACTTAATTGTAACCTGAACTTTTACTTGGCATGATTACCAAGTATATATTTTTATTTTCAGTATGTATGACCAACTGCCCTACGCTGATTGTTATGGTTGGGCTCCCAGCAAGAGGGAAGACCTACATCTCAAAGAAATTGACACGCTACTTAAACTGGATTGGAGTACCCACAAAAGGTGATTGCTTTTTTCTTCGTACGTTACAGATTTTGTTGGGAGTAGGTTGCTTAAAATTATTTTGTTAACTTTAATGTTATGATTTTTTTTTTATAGTGCTATCTGAGTGCACGACACTTTGGGACACACCTGGGCAAACCATGTTCATCTCTTGACTAATTCCCCTGTGGCCCCCAGCTGATTCTCTCCTCTCCCCCCCACATTGAGCTGGTTGACATTGGGCACAGCTGAGGAGTGCAGCGATTGGTGTGCTCTTCAGAGGTTTTCAGCACTAAAAAGCTGGGCAGTGGGAGGGATGTGATGAATCCCTGAAATCCCACCAGGTGCTTTCTTCCCCCAACCCAATTGTCCAGTTGATTGGTGCTGGGAAGATCTGAGGAGTCTCCTGATTGGACCACTTGCAGAGGGCATAGCGTGATAATCAACATGTTAGTTTGAGAAGGGAAAGGAATGAGTTATTTTCATATAACCCAAGAGGACCCATTCATCAACAAACAGTTTCATCTGTTCTGTTTTTATTTTCCTTAAATTTTGAACTTGTCATGCAGCCCAGTCTTATGATGACCATTGAGGGAAAGGGGAACTTCCCTCTCATTAGTACAGCTTGTCATATGGCTGTGTTGCTTAAAATCAGCCTGGCGATTTATGTATTACTGTCTAAAGTTGAGCTGTTGCTGATTTACTCTTAGATGAACATTATATTGACAAGAATCTAGAAAATTGCTGAGGTTGCTAGGAATTGTTAACATTTGCTACAGGTCTTCAAGTGTTATGTATTTTATTACTTTGTGGATCCAAAGGTTGCCTTACCTGAAGGCTGATTCATACACTCCCGAGTCACAATATTATCCAAACCAGGATACAAGTTGGTTTAAAAAAACAGAACGTTATTTACTGTTTTCTTCTGCAAACTCATTCTGAGTAAAGGCAGCCAGGCTTCAACTAAACTACCAAGACCTTGTGTCAACCCATTGGTCTACACGCGAAGCCTTTCATACAGTGGGAATTCTGAGGGTTGTGAATCATGCAGCCTACAGGTGTTAGCCTATGAGACTCGCAACATGAGGCTGTTCTCACAGGGCTTGCTCCTAGGTGTGCACACAGGGCTGCAATCTAATACAATGGGAAGCAAGAACCAACATGCATTATCTAGTTGCACTCCTTACAAAACCCTGTAAGGTCAATAAATATTATTGCCTTCCTATATTGCACATGATTTGAAGCAGAGAGATTGTAGCCACCTGTTGAGTAAATGGCACAGGTGAGATTGAAACCGGGGTGGGGGTAGGGTTCCTGATTCATAGGATCAGGATTGATGCTATTCTATGCTACGCTGGCTCATCTATACATCATAGGAGAAAGCAGATGTTGCTAAAGCCAAGTTTCTTGATTTTTTTCCATGCAGAATTTAATGTTGGTCAGTATCGGCGAGACTTGGTAAAAACATACAAGTCTTTTGAGTTCTTCCTGCCAGATAATGAAGAAGGCCTGAAAATTCGAAAGTAAGTTTGTAATGTGTCTTTTTCCTTTTGCTTCACAGTGTTGCTTTGATCTGCAGGAATGTTTCGTGTTTTCAGCATTTGAGGCAGCTGCTACCAGCTCTTATCAATTCAAGGAAAGGGACCCTACAATGGCTCAAATTATTGACCAGCCCTAAGGGTTGCGTTCCTCGTACAGATTATAATCTTAGTACTGCTATACTAGCTATATGGTCTGAAAGAAAACTTTTAACTTGTTTCTACATTTTTAAAGTGTGTGTCTTGGATGCCTGTGTAAAATAGGTTAATTGATTCCGAAATTTTGTATTTTGCTTTTAAGCTTGCTGTAGACAACGTAAGTGCCATGTATATTTAATGATGCAATTTTTTCAGGAATATAATTGTTATATTATCTCTTCTTTTTAAGACAGTGTGCCTTAGCAGCACTGAATGATGTTCGGCGATACCTTTGTGAAGAAAATGGGCATGTGGCAGTAAGTGTTTCTCTCACCTCTTTGCAAAAAACAACACCCCAAACCATTAACTAGCTGCATTTTCTGACATTAGTTACTGACACCACCGTTCTAAATGCAAAATTAATATTGCAATATTGTTCAGAGCAGTGTGGGTTTAATTATTGATTCCATACTAGATGGAGATTAGGATGACATGTTTATGAATTATACTGGAAAGGTGTGGAAGAGAGGTTATGAGAACCTCTTCTCATAAATTCTGCTTTTGGAAGCATCTCTCCTGTTTGAAATATGATGTTAAGTTTCTGGTGCAGTAAATGTTCAACAGAATTTGCAGTGTTTCCATTTTTCTCCTCTTCTTGCTTTTTGAATTCCAGTGAGACGTGTAGTGTACAGTTTGTGCTGCATAGAGTTTGTGATGTTGACATAGACCTTGCATGATTTTTCTAAGAACAGAAAGAAATGATAACCCAGTAGCCATCCTTGACCCTCATTCATGCAGCTGATTCCCCCTCCCTTCCTGTTGATGTGCCTTTTGCTACTTACTGGTTTCCTTATTTTAATCTTTAAAATTGCCCCTCAGTTTTCTAGCCTGTAATGTTTGTTTGCATGGCTTTGTTGGTGTTACACAAGGACAACAATGAAATGTGTGGGAAGGCATAGCATACCAGGAAAGAAGAAGAATTCCCCACATATTTCATACTTACCATTCTTCATTGTTCAGAAATGATCGGTTCCAGTCCACTCACATAATAGCAGTTTTCAAAAGCTTTAAATCCAGCTCTCAAATGCTATGAATCAAACCTTAGTCAAACCCACTGGAAGTTCTTAATTGTCTAGTCCAACATTTGTGATCTCCTGGCAAATGACCTGAACTGTGAGGACTAAATGATAAACCTGATTTGATGTCTCAGTATATACTTGTGGTTAGTGGTACAAAACTGTTGAGTTTATTGCACAAAACAACAAAAAGCGAGCATGAATTTTTTGGGGGAAGGGATACCAAATTTGGGGATTTGCGTTGGGCTATTTGGACTGCCTCCTATCCTTGTTCCATGAAGTGAACCAAGAATAAACTTTGTACCTCTGTGTTTAAACATGTATACTTCACAGAGCCAGTAACATGAATTTGCTAAGTGCCTGTATTTCATTTTTACAGGTACATGTAAAAAGTTTGGTGGGGAAAGAGTAGTTTGTGACAAATCTGTTCTCTTTGGTTGCTGTTACATGAGATCTACTCCTTCCGGGTTGTACCTGTATATTTTCTAATATAGCATTTATTTTTCCTTTAGGTTTTTGATGCCACAAACACAACAAGGGAACGCAGAGAAACCATCTATAAGTTTGGGGAGGAAAATGGGTATAAGGTGAGTTAAGAGCCAAGATGTTTGAAATGGCTCGTATGGGGGAGTACAGACTGATGCTTTGTTCTCAATACATGATAGTTAAGAGATGGCATTGACTGGAACTTCATGTGATATTTGCCAGCAGCAGTCTTGTGGAATAAGTATCGCCTTCATTAAACCATCCTAATTGCAGCTCCTAACGTGTAGTTAATCAGTAGCCCTGTTTGCTCACAATGGGTCCTAGCAACTACTGTGCTAATGGTTACTGCCACTGACTGGGAGACAGGATTCTGAGACCCTGTTCTAGGATTTCAGACGGTGGGCTGGAATAAACTGTCTTTCTCCTTAGCATATAATAGTTGTCTTATTAGCATTTAACTCCCTTGTCAGTACAGCTTCTCTGTGGGTGGATTGCTTTATGGGGAAGCATGCAGTTGCAATGCAGGTAGCGGGATGAAACTGCAGGGCTGCCTTCCCAACACAGGGGCCTCTTCTCCTTACCTTGACAGAGCTGGGTTGGGGTAGTAATGGGGTTGAGGCTGTGCAACACCCACCCCACCCATGGTGCTTCCACTGGTGCTTCTGCTTTGTCCAGTGAAGCAACAATGATGCCAGTATTCCAAAGGGCATCTCTGTGACTCTGCCTCACCCCACACCCCACTACTGGGGCCTGTATTCTTTGTTCATCCTCCCAAAGACACCTTGCATAGAGTTCATCTCAAAAGCATCTATGTTTGTTAACAGTTTGTAATACTGCAGATAAGTATTCTGTATTTATACTTTTTTATTTGCTGGTAGGAACGGCCTTTTTATACACCTCTTACTTTCTGTGTCTGTTTTGTCTTTGCTGCTGGCAAATCAACAGTGCTGCTTCTTCATCACAGCAGACTTCACTGACAGAGAAGTAGTATGGTGTGTCAACACCCCAGGCTTCTACTTTGTGCTGCAATTTTGGAAAGAAGCTGTACTTTTTGATCAGAGGTTATGTCAGGCTACAGTAAGGCTTCGCTACTGTGCCTTAGGCTCTAAGCCAGTGTGCCGCCTGACTCCCTTTCAATGACTTGCCCTCTTAATTTGCAACTGCTTCATTAACACTATGCTGTTTGGAGGTGCCCAAAAGTAACAGGGGAAATGCATAAAGTTTGATCTCTGATGGGATGTTCAGCAGAAGGCGTATTTAAAGGCAAAACATAGTTTGCAAGACTAAATATTCTGCTGACTACACAAGCCTGCATTTGCAGTATTAGCCACTGGATCTGTTCTAACCCTTTCCCTCTTTTGTCACTTCCATAATTGTTTGTTCCTGTTTGGCTCAAAGACTTTCTTCGTGGAGTCAGTATGTGTTGATCCAGAAGTCATTGCTGCAAATATTGTGGTGAGTATCAACTTCTGCTTTTAAAAGAAGGAAAAGGTTTTATGTCTCAACATAATTTCCAAAATCAGCCACATGGTACAGCTGCTTCTTTTTACCCTTCTCCATTTTACCTACTTTTATACAGTCGTTTGGATTTATGGATTGCACACAATCTGTTTCTGCAATTTTCTGTTGAATATTGCAATTGAAGGCATTTGGCCCACAATGCATCCTGCATTCCGCTTCCTGGCAAATCTTGGACATTATTAGATGCAAGGCTTTGTCAGAATTGCTTTGAACAAAATCTCTTGCAATGTCCACTCCAGTTTCTTCATAATCATCATCTTTTTTTTAAAGGAAGTTTCAAGATACGTTTTAGTTGAAAAAACCTAGCTTACAAGCAGGCAACCATTTTTTCCTTGCAATACAGGTTACACGTGATGTTTGCTGTTGTGCAAATTTGTTATCTTAGCTGCTATTAGACCATATTGGAGTACTGGTCCATCCAGCTACGTATTATCCACACCGACAGGCAGCCTGTTCCCAAGGTTTCCAGCAAAAGTATTTCCCTGTCCTACCTGGTGATGCCAAGGATTGAACTTGGATCAGGCCAGTGGGCTATCTAGTCTAGCATTCGGTTATCACTGTGGTCAAGCAAATGCCTGCAGGAAGCCTTCAAGCAGGACCTAAGCTCATTAGCACTCTCCACATCTGTGGTGTCTGGTATTCAGAAGCATACTGCCTCTTGACAGTGGAAGTCAAACATGGCGGTCAGTGTTTGTAGCCATGATCGCCTCTATGAATTTGTCTAATCCTCTCTTAAGGATGATGACCAGCACTGCCTCTTGTAGGAACAAATTCCATAGTTTAACTATCTTCTGTGTGAAGAAATACTTCCATTTGTCTCTCCTAAGTCATCTGACATCAGTATCATTGGATGTTGCAGCCTTCTGGTGTTATGAGAGAGGGAGAAGAACTTTTGTTTATTCACTGCCTCCACACTATATCCATACACCTTGTACACTTCTATCATGTCACTCCTGACTTCTCTCTTTCTAAACTGAAAACCCTTAAATTTTATTGTATATTGTTAACTGCTGATTTTATTTATGTTTTGTAAAAAGAATAGGATAACTTAACACTGACTTTTATTGATGCTTTAATTTTATGTTTTATGCTTAGAACAGGTTTTTTTTAATAGATAAGTGGTATACAAATTTCATTAAATAAACAAGAGTAATTTTTTTAAAATAAAAAAGAACCCCATACTTTCTTTCTCAATCAGCAAGTGAAGCTGGGAAGTCCTGATTATGTTGACTGCGGTAGCGATGAAGCTGCAGAAGACTTCATGAAAAGAATTGAGTGTTACAAGAATTCATATGAGACGCTAGATGAAAATCTAGACAAGTAAGTCTCCGTGTTGCTTTGTTTACCTTCAGAAACTTAATTCTGCCTATGTGTGGCTTAATTCTCACTGGTGTGATTAAATCTATGCCTATTTGAGATTTTCCGCTTCAGATTGCAGGTGGGGATCACTCGATTTGAATTCTCATCCATGCATAAAAAAATCATTAGTTGTACTTGGAAAACTAGGAGGGGAAAATAATCTAGTCCAGCTTTCTTCTTGACATTTTAGTTTTCTACATGTAGGGATATATTTTTCCATGGGGAAGCACATAGGAGCCCAGTTCTGCAGCCTTAAAGTGCTGCCAAGACACAGGTTTATCCCCTCACTGGAATAAAAAAATAGAGAGACAGGCACCTCCTAACAACCTTATGCTTACCATGGAAAGTCACCTATGTCCTGTTGGTCCAGATTGTGGAGATCACACAATAATAATGATTTTACACCCACACCCACACCCCTATTGCTGTCTAGCGGCAACAGGAAGCATTCCTCAGTACCAGGAAAAATATACAAAGTGTCCATACCGGACTTACTATCATTTCACTGAAATTGCTTAGAAGTTGCTTGCACAGTTGCCCAATAACCTTCTTTCTAGGAGGGTTAGAACCTTAAAAAAAAAAATGAATGAATGAATGAATGAATGAAAACTCGAGAGTTTTGGGTACCAGTGAATGCCTTCACGTTTGCCATGGTGCCTGTGGCTGCTTGGTGGGCAACCTATGCCCTAATAGAAGTAAAATTTCCACACACACACTTTCAATGAGGACTGGGGATGCTAAATGGGCACAGAATGCTGACTGACTGTTGAAGGGTGGGGAATTATTATTTATTATTATTTATTACATTTATATACCGTCTATACCCGCTGGTATCTCCTGCAAAAGGGCATGGCTGCCTGACTACCTCCACCACTATAACCAGGAACACCATACGTTGCTGCTGGTCCTGCTTGCCTTAACTAATGGCATGTTATCGGGATTGGATAGTTCTTCCCATGTGTAAAAGCCATTTACTTGGGCTTAGTCCCAAGAGAAATTATGTTAGGGTATAATTGCGTACTACCCAACTTCCCCTTGCTAGTTGTTCTGGGGAAGTTGTTCCCATCATATTCTAGCACATGGTAAAAACAACCCCTTATTTCTGGTGCCTTTGGAGGAGATAAATGAAGCACTGGTCTGAATATTGTAGTTTTTACATATAGTTTTGTCTCTTACCGTGAATAGGGATCTTTCTTATATTAAAATAATGGATGTTGGACGGAGTTACCTCGTGAACCGAGTCATGGACCACATTCAGAGTCGGATTGTTTACTACCTCATGAATATCCATGTAACTCCTCGCTCCATCTACCTCTGTCGGCATGGTGAAAGTGAACTCAACCTAAAGGGAAGAATAGGAGGAGACACCGGGCTGTCTCATAGAGGGAAAAAGGTAGGGATTGTAATGTCTAATGTAGGGATTCTTTTTCCTTTCTTACCTTCAACCAATTTATATTTAGACCAGCTTTCCCCTACAGGTGCCTCTTTTGGACTATTATTTCCATCAGCTCCAGCCAGGACAACCATGATGGCTGGGGCTGATGGGAATTGTAACCCAAAGCTCCTGGAGGAAGACACCAGGTTTGGGAGGGCTGACCCCAGACTGTATTTTAAAATTTAATTTTAACTGGTTAAACTTGTTTTGTGAGCAGGATTCCCCCTGGCTGCCTCCTTCCTTCTGTAGCCCCCTGTATCCTGTGAAAAACCACTACTCAAAGTCAGAAGACCCTCAAGAATGGTGTCCAATGTGACATAGAAGTGCAGGGGATGGGGGGCGCAGTGAGAAGGGAAGACTGGTATAGATTAGGGAATGTCCCGCCCCTTTTGCACAAGTGGGAAGTGTATGGTAGTTGGAGAAGTGCTCAATTGGACCCAAGCTAAAGAATAGCAAAGAAAAGCTGAATATCCGCTATGGCCCTCATTTCACAGGCCAACAGACTTTGTTTTGTTGAAGGCATACACGGAGCCTTTTTGAAAGACACCCATTACCTCATGGTCAGAGAATTAGGTCCTATTGGCATCTAACTCGACTGGAGTGCTTCAGCTGCAATTTCTTCATGACATTATTATTTGACGTGCTTTTACAGTTTGCCAAGAGTTTGGCACAGTTCATTAACGAGCAAAACAGCAAAGATCTGAAAGTATGGACGAGCCAGATGAAAAGGACCATTCAGACTGCAGAGGCTTTGGGAGTGCCTTACGAACAGTGGAAAGTTCTGAATGAAATAGATGCGGTAAGATCATCTCGTGGTCACATCTGAAATGGTTTTGAATTTGTATGATGGAAAGAGACTTACTTTATGATGCATCAGTAGGAGTTCTCCAGTGTGTGTTAGATTGCAAGTCTGCAGGGACTTGTTTTCATAATTTATAGGTTGAGTGGCACCTAGCTATACATATGCATTATAAAACAGTAATTGCATTTGTCATCATTATTAGGATTAGAATGTAATAATGATTAGATTCATGTTAGTCCACCATCCTTGAGAAGTCCTTCAAGCCTTTACAGTGGTACCTCTGGTTGCGAACGCTTCTGGTTGCACACGCTCTGAGTTACGAGCTCCGCTAACCCGGAAGTAGCTGCTCCTGGTTGCGACCTTTGCCTAAGGATGTGAGCGAAAATCGTGCGCCAGAGGCGTGAGCGCAGCGGGACACGCCATTGCTGAAAGCGCGCCTCAGGATAAGAATGCCGGTTTCCGGTTACGAACGGACCTCCGGAACGGATTCAGTTCGTAACCAGAGGTACCACTGTATCTCACTTTGGTACTGGGCTTTATTAGTTCAATTAGATCTGCATTGTATTTCTCATTGAAGCATCACTCACAACTTACTTCAGGGTATTTTTAAGTGAAATCATTGATCAGCTCACATCCTCAAAGTTCTAAATGAAGAACACCATGCTCCCCATCCTGCAATTCAAAATGCATTGGGAGTGTGCAGTGAGGAAAGTGTGCAGAGTATATGATCTGTATTATCTCCGGCAAAAAAAGAAGGAAAGGGACATGAAAATAGTGTGTCTTCTCTTCTTGCAGCTTTTGCCGCAAGGATAGCTGGCAGGACTGTGTAGATTGTACAAGTAACCCAAGCACTTGCTTCAGGTAGCAAGACGCTTAAGACGGCATGGCAGTGAAGTCTCAGTAAAACCCAGGATTTTTGCAACACCATAAAAGTGTGTTATACAATGCACACCTTCAGGGGGAGGGGATGTCGCAAGCACTGTTTAAATGTATATTACGTTGTAAACTCCAGTGCCCTTATGGAATTGGCAGTAGTTGTAATAGTAATAAAAATACTTCCATAGTTCTTTTTGAAAATCCAGACCACTTACATATAGTGTTTTTATAGTGCTTTCTACAACCTATGTAGTCAACATAAGTCAATACTGTTCTTCCCATATAGTAGAGGAGATGGGTGTCTGATGTTGGGAGTGTCTTATGTCAGATGAGCAACCTCTGTAAACAGCGCAGTCTTTTAGCCATAAACCTACACTAATTCTCATGTTTTCGTTGTTTTCCTAGGGAGTCTGTGAAGAAATGACATATGAAGAAATTCAGGAACATTATCCATTAGAATTTGCTTTGAGAGACCAGGACAAATACAGATATAGATATCCTAAGGGGGAGGTATGCTATTTTGTTATATTTTCTCTTCTTGGATGAGAAGTGTGTAAGAATACCTAGCAGCAAGTGGGATGCTAAGTGCAATGTTTAAAGGGGGGAGGGGGAGCTTTTGAGGTAAAGGGGAAAAGCGATTTTTTCATACTAGCTCTACAAAAGTCTTTCGGCAGATTTCCCTCCATAATATCTATCTCTATCTCAAGTTCTCACTTGTATACACATGTGTTAAGCATAGCAGTTTGTTTTATGTTCATTGCGGTATACCTTTTTGTTTCAAAGGGTTTTTTTTTTTTTTGTTAAACTGAAATACCTTTTTAACCATTCAAAGTTGTAGGCAGTGCGGATGAAAATATTGAGCCGGGCCCACCACCTTTCATGTATTCCTTGAATGTATGGAGAAATAATTTCTGAGGGGGGCTAAAATAAACTCATATGGTTGAAGCAGAGTTAATTCTGCATCAGGTGGTCCAGTCTTCTACATACTTGCATTAGAGGTCAAGCGTTAAGCTGTGCTTGGAACAGCTGTTCCAATATTTGTAATATGTGCAACATGCCTTATCGTTAGCTGAGTGTTCCACCTCCCATGAGTTGGCTGTGTGATCACCAGAACAGTGCTGGGTCCCAGGTGGCCATTATTTGTAGCACATTGAAGCAGCCATGTCATAATAGAGAAAGCTTTCTAGAGTTGTTTGCTAACCTTTCAGAAAAAAGAAATGGGTTTTTTGTTTGTGTTAGCGGCCGTGCACCCATGCTTAATGGCTAATCTTTGGTGTTCTTAGCTGTAATTTGTTCATGCATTCATAGAAGTAGCAAAGGTGAATTACTGACTAAGAGTTTCAGGGTGGTTAGGCCCCAAGAAGTGCTAGTTTTCATTAATATTTACAAAGTAAACGTATCATTACAAAATGAGTCATTAGATCAAATCTTGATATCTAACAACTTAACTAAACATGTTCTGAGTCCAATTTACAAACTGGCAGCAAATTTAGATACCTTGGGTAATTTGTATAAATCAGGTAATTTGTATTAATCAAAATGGGAAAAAGGTTTAATAAAGATAATCCTTTCAGCATGGGATTAGCTGTTTGCCTTGTACACAACAATGAAAGAGAATTTCTATAGACAGATGTTCAGGTACTATTTGATACCACAAATATGTACAAACAGAGGTAAATGTTGAAGGTTTAACTAATACGGTGAATATGTATCATATTTTTGGTCATACCCCCAGATCAAGTGATAATTGGGTTTTCATCATAAGGGAAATAACAAAATTACAGTTTTTGATTTGCAGTGGACCTACTGGTTATCTTATTAGGTTTATAAAAGGCAAACTATTATGGAGATCTTTAACAGCAGCAGGACTCTGTCGGTCACAAAATGGATAAACCTTCCTTTATATAGAAGACTCTGGTGCTTGAGAGCATTCAATATGGCTTACTCAATTAAGCTTACAAACATGATGGAAATCAGAGAAGGGAGACAGCAAAGTTACAAATTTATTAAGTAGAGCTTTTTAAATGAAATGAAATAAAATGGGAATGATTAAGTATATGATACAGCTTAACCACACTCACTTTGGTACTGATTTCTGTGATGGTGCATTCTTTCAAGATAAATTGGTTTAAATTTAGTGTTTTGTCTTGTACGTGTGTATGCACACTTATCTGCAGAACATCTTATTATGTTTTGTCTATAATGGACAGCTCTTTGTTTGCTCTGTGTATACAGTCAAGAGGTTGATTATATTGTTGATTTCTCCCCCAGTCATACGAAGATCTTGTTCAAAGGTTGGAGCCAGTGATTATGGAGTTGGAAAGGCAGGAAAATGTGCTTGTAATCTGTCACCAAGCTGTTATGCGCTGTCTGCTTGCTTACTTTCTGGACAAGCCTGCAGGTAATTATATTTGCCTTAACATGGAGAATTTTCACCTTGGTCAATCAATAACAATTTCGTCCAACAATTATTTCATGTGCATCCTAAATGAGCAGGAAAAATGCTGCTCTTCATGACTCATGTCAGACTTACATTTTCACCTGTGCATGGGTCAAATGCTTCTTTAATCAACACTTGCTTTTCTGGGATATCAGCATTGCTTTTGTGAACCTCCTATGCTCTAAGATCATCTAGGGAAGACACTCTCTGGGTTTTTCAGCCTTCTGTTGTCAGGGCAGGGGAGATCTGTTCCACCCCATCCCTGTCCCATAATGGTGCTCCACCTGTGGAATACCCTCCTTAAATCTGTGTTCCTGAAGCCTGTAGTTAGGAGCTTTTATTCAGGAGTTTAAATTCTGGGTGCTTTTTATTATGGCAACTTCTGGAATTTTGGATATCTGAGTTCTCAAAGGATTTGTTGCCAAGAGACGGCATGGCTGTATCATGCCTGTTTGTTTTTATGATGGAAGTTGCTTCAGTTTTCTTTGAGATAGGATAAAACTATATTGAATAAATAAATAAGGGATCCCCAACCTTTTGGACTCAGGGGAACATTTGGAAATCTAACAAGCTATCACAGGTACCACAAAATTCTTCAGTTTCACAGAAGAAGAAAACAACAACCTGATAATCAAAAGGGCAAATAACACAAATTGCCCCATGGACAAAACAAGCAGGAAATATCTTCCAAAAAATAAGCACTGCCGCCCCCCCCCCGCCACAAGCAAGCAAGCAGCAGCAAGATATACACACTGAGAGACAATTAAACAAAATGCAAGCGGTGGCAGAAGCCCTTTATTTCCTTTCTTTTCTGTTGTGTTTTGGGGATGGGGCACAGGAAGGTTAGGCACCATCCTCTGAGAGTCCCCACACTCTTTTCTTTGTCTTCCAATGAAGAATGCATATGTGGGGCCCAGAGGCTTTCTGGGAAACAAAAAGGAAGCAGGCAGAGCAGCTGGAGACCTACACATCTCTTCCTTTGCAGCACAACCACTGCTAAATGTGGTTTGAGAGAGAGAGAGACTTTCAAGAAAAGCTGTATTTCCCCCCCCCCCCCAAAAAATATATATTTGTGAGTGGCTTGGAGCCCCGGTAGACACAAAGTAAAATGTCTAGGGGTACTATGGCAAGTGCAGGTGCCATGTTGGGGACCACTTCCATTGCTGCACTAACATGGTTAGTGGTTTGGAAGAGGGGCATTTCTGTTACTCTCTATTAAGTTTATTTTCTCTCCATCTGTTTTAGAACAACTGCCTTATCTCAAGTGCCCACTGCATACTGTCTTAAAGCTAACCCCAGTGGCTTATGGTAAGCTGTTCAAAATGTATTCTATGAATCTGTTTGTATTTCAGCTATTAACTGTACAGTGGACGCTCGGGTTGCGAACGTGATCCGTGCAGGAGGCACGTTCGCAACCCGCAGTTTTCACAACCTGCAGCGGCATGTCTGCGCACGTGCGGGTTGCGATTCGGCGCTTCTGCGCATGCGTGACCGCCCAAACCCGGAAGTAACCCGTTCTGGTACTTCTGGGTTTCGGCGCGTCCATAACCCGAAAAAATGCAACCTGAAGCGTCTGTAACCTGAGGTATGACTGTAATTATTATGGAAAACATCACATTTGTTGATGGCAGGTATCCAATAGTTTAAAGTTATTTGTATATCAAAAGGAATTGTTCACTTTTTTAATAAAGTTACCAGAAAGTCCATGACAGTGTTTCATAGCACCATCCTACGCATGCCTACTCAGATGTAAGCCCTATTGAATTCAGAGAGATTTACTCTCACGTTAGTGTGCATAGGGTTGCACATTGCAGATTGTAAATGTGCAGGTCATCATTGGGATTTGATTGCTTAGTTAATCATCCTGTTAAAATTAAATTTATTCTTTTTGTCTCTGTTCTTCTTGAGTCTTCAGATTGGGGCAGGCTAGGAATTTACATGAAACAGATTGGCAATAAAATGTAGTGTGGTGGTGTTAAGGATGCCAGCAAACCATGCTCTCTTTGGGGAAACACAATTCCATGTCCCTCCGTCCCAAATTTCAGTCTTCCCCTGCCTAGCAGACAAGTCAGCATTCTATGTCCTGTCCTCATTGGGCTGTTTGGGGGAGATTTCCCCATTGTTTTGTGTGGTTTTTCTCTGTACCTGTACGAACCCTGCTGCTACCACCTCCTTGTGTGTAGATGATGCCATTTTGACTAAAGGGTATACACTAGGGCATTGAGTTTATTATTGGTGTGTGAAGGATAAAAATTAGAACTCATGCTGTTGATGTATTTGTAAGTTGACGTCACTGTTGTGTGTGAAATGCTTGCCCTATGAACTGATTTAATCTTAAGTATTATCTTCCGTTTCCTTTTGCCCATTATAAAATTTCTGAAGCAGCATAAGCTTTGGCTTCCTTTTCCTTTTCTGATCTCAAGCCTGAGAGAGTTTGAATCCTGAATTTTGAAATTCTAGCTGGTTCAACTAAAGTACATTGGTTACCATTCACTGTGTTCTTGTTCTTTGTAGCTGGAGTGGAGCACTCTTTTAATATGTGGTTGTTCTTTTAAGCAAACAGAAGTCTGTAGTGACATCTAGTGTCCAAAATAAATTGTGAATTGCAAATTCATTTTGTATCTTAATGCTTTTGTATCTTAAGTCATACTCTTGAGTAGATCCATTAGTTTCAATGGGCTTAGTCATTACTGACTTTTAAAGTATTATCATTCCCAATGTGGAGATGGAAACAAGAACGGATTTTACAGTGATGGCGGCTCCCAAAACAAGGAAGACAAACATCTGAAAGTTTACTTCTGTTTACAGGTTGCAAGGTGGAGTCTATATTTCTGAATGTTGAAGCTGTAAATACGCACAGAGACAAACCACAGGTAGGTGTCTTCTACTGTCACAAATGAGAATTTGCAACTCTGCAGGCGGAATGGTGGTGGTGATGGAGACTGGTTTAAAGTTGAATAACTGGGAACAAGAAAGAAAAGCAGGGAAAGAGTTAAGCACTCTCTCCTGCCCCAGTTTTCCATTCCTAAAGGCTATTGTGGGAATATTGTAGGTACCTGTGCTTTGATATCTAGCTTCACCTTTGGAGTATAGGTTTGTACACAACCAAGTATGTAAGTGTGTATTATATTATATTATTATATTATATTATATTATATTATATTATATTATATCATATTATATTGCAAAGTATGCTGCTATTCTCTCATATTTAATGCCCTGCAGGCATGTTACCGCAACCTTTGTTGCAGCCCCTTCTTCTTTTTCCCACCCTTTTTCTTGCATTATGCCTTATTTAGGCCACTCTGACTATTTTCACACATTATTGAAGCAGCCTCATTAATGCCAGATACCCAAATTGTGTGGGTGCTTCTCCGTGGCTAGCTGCCTGTGTGGATGTGAAGGAGAGCTCGGACCAGTTTTCTTTGTACTTTTGTTTTGTTTGATTTTGACTTTACGCTTTGCTCTTCATTTTAGAAGGAAGCCTCCCACTGAATTCTCTGGCATGCTGAAAGTTGGGATGACTGTACTTATTAAGAGGCTACTAGCTGTGTGGGGAGGTGTCTACATGATTTGCCAATCAAGAGAGCCATGTATCCCCCTCCCCCCGTCTCTCATGTATGCACTAGGCCTGGGTGATGAATCAATACATTGGCCAGGACTGTTTTGAGGGCCAGAGCACGATGGTGCCTTCATCTTGGTGATATATCGCTGGTGAAACCCTTGCCGCTCTTGAGTCAGGATAACAAGAATGTGCTGGTCATGCCTGTTGATGTTATTGGATTCAAGTATGACAAAATGGTGCATATTTATAGCCCAAGTTATGAGGTCAAACAAAAGTACAACCTGCACAGGATAAATGGCCTGCTCAAGTATGAAGTCGGGCCTCTTATATCTTGTCGCTCTTACATGTGTGGGTTTGGTGAACATTAGAATAAAAATCAAGGGCTATGTATAATGCATTGCAAGATATATTTATGTAGACTGAACCAGTGGTATTTATTCTGCAAGTTTTTTAATAAGTCCCTTGAGAAACAGTAACCAAAGTGAGCTAGTATAGTGTCATTGGTTTGAATGGCCTGGGGTGATGATAAGATTGGAAGCTCCCAAACATGTCATTATTTCTACTAGAGAATTAGCACACAAATGCCTAATTATATACCATTAAAAATAGAGGAAAATGTGCTATGTTTGCTCCTTTGTGATGCTAGAAAATGACCAGATCTTCATTATATACCTATTTTTTTGTGATGTCATCACCTTCTGCACATGGTCTCTGACTTATTGAGGAGAAATGAAATAGAACAAGAGGTCATGTGCAGTGGCGCACACAACAGTCATTTAATTTGAGCATTTTTTAAAATGAAGCTTGTAGTGGATTTTGGAACTTCAGATAAATGCTCTGCAAAACAAAGGAAATTGTTTTATTCTCTGACAACTCATCATCTTCATGCCTGCTTTACTTGCATTTCATGGAATCTTCTCTCCTTCATGACAACATTATGACACTCTCTAACTGCACAATGCTTTCATAATACAGCGTATGTCATCTGAGTGAATTTGGCAGCTAATTATACGACTCCACTTTGGGGAAATAACAGTGCCTCAATTGTGACAGTCTGTAGCCTTGTATTCAGGTGATGCTATGGTGAGCAGTGATGCAGAGCAGATAGCAAGCTGTTCAATGAAAGCCCTAAAAACTGCCACGATTAGGAATTGTGCTGCAGTTGTGCTGCCACCCAATTGTTTGCTTAACTCAAGACAGTATTTTCATTGCGTTAAGTCGCTCTGTTGGATCTGAATGCTGTGTGTTTTTAGCAGCTTTAACAGTGTTGCCTTACTCTTTTGATCAAGGAGTGTTTCACAAATGACTCATCCATGGCCACTTGGTTGGTAGGCAGCTGTTAACGGTTTCCATTTAAACTGTGTGTGAATAAAAAGGTGAGAGAGAAGCTTTTCTGGACATGCTGAAGCGTTTAAGAAACGCTCGTTCTGTAAAATGTGCAAGTCCTTGAAAGGCTACCATGTGTATGTTTGTTTGTTTGTTTGTTTGTTTGTTTGGGTTGGTTGATGCAGCGGCACAATACCAGCATTCAGTTCTGATCTGGCTTCATGGTGCATAATTGTGTGAAACTGCAGGAAGAACAGAACCTGGATGAAAACATTAGAATATATTTTTGAGATTTAGGATTGGTTTCTGTCAGCTGCTCAGTGTCTCATAGGTTTGAGTTGCAGGGTCTCTGGCTCATCGTAAAGGAACATATTTTGGTTACTGTAGGTATCCTCTTGACAGTGATAAGATTGTCCTTTAGGATTGAGCAGTAACTCTATTTTTAGTGAAGTTTCATGGGAGATTTTTTACCATGTTCTTGCCATCATATTCTTGATTATGGTAAAATGATACTGGATATCAAATGAATCAAAACAGCCACTAAGACTTTTTTCCAAGGCTGCTCACAATTTTAGCCAGCCCTGGCTGCCAAATTCCTGTTTTACAATGTTTGGATACTGAAAGTAAGTAGTTATTGTAAGCGGCACAGTTTTGGGTAGCAGGTTTAACGATGTTTTGTCACAATAAGAATACAAGCCGGCCATATACATGTCTTCCAATATTACTAGCCAACCTGTGTACACACACAGGGGTGCAGTTCCCTACTCACATAGTTGGGAGTAAATCCCATAGAACACAGTTTCACCTGTTTCTTAGGATTGATTGCCCATAAAAGCAAGCCCGAGAGTAAAAAACTATGGTAATGCCAGCACGTTTCAGGAACCCTCTTTGTTGTGAGTTATTTTGGGGTTAGTCTGAAAGTTTGTTTGGGCCATGGATGAGAGCCAGGAGGCTGAGAGGTGTTGTAGAAGGTGAATATGCTGTCTGTAAATATTTATTAGTAATTTCTGTGAACTGTTTCATATGAGGGTTCCCCCTTTCTGTAGACTGCTTAAAGGTCTTTTTATATATTCAGGAGTAAGGAAGTGCTCTAAAGGAAATGAATAAATAAAATGTGCTGCTTATTTTTCCCCTCTTAGCCTTCCTGGTTATCAGTGGAGAGAAAGGAGAGAGATGTGAAAAGTAGTGATGATATTCATTAGCCGCAGACAGTTCCTGTGATTAGATACTCATTTGGGCTAGTGAGTGAATAAGAGAGAGAGTGTGCCCTCATCCAGGTGGTGGCCTAGTCCTCATTTCTCCCGCTCCACTTCCTGCTTCTCAGCCATGTTTGTTGTTTTTCTGTTTTGCATTAATCAGGACTGTTATGGCAAGCACAGGTAGTGTTATCCCAAAGGGAAACTTTTCCTTCTTCTTCTTTATCCACAATTGAAGAGTTCCCAAGTTCCCAGGGTGGGTTCAGGCACTGCTAGCATAAGCCTAAAGCAAGGGAGATTGACATGTTGTTGGACTACAAGTTGCATCATCCCTGACCATTGGCTGTCCTGGCTGGGGCTGATGGGATTTGGAGTCCAACAGCCTCTGGAAGGCAGTGCATTGACAACCCTTGCCTTAAAGGTTCTGAGAAGGCAACGGATAGTGTTCTGTTCTTCTGTCGTTTGTTCTGAACCCATTTGTTCGGAGGTTTCTAGTACCTAAGTTCACAGCATTTTGTGCTCCTGATACATAAATACTGCTGCTGCAGTTGCACTGGCACAACCATGATGCAGTGCTAGCATAGACCCATGATGCTTCAGCAGTGAATTGACCTTAAGAGTTCTGTCTTCAGCTGTTCCTGCTGTGCTGATAAACTTCAGAACGTGAAGGCACAACTTGTGACATTTCAGAAGTCTGAAAGGGGCCAATGAAAGGAAATGGTTTCCAGGGCTGAGGTGGCAGAAGAGGAGGCGAGGCTCTAAGGCCCATTAGAGCTTCTTATAAAAACATCAGAAGAGCTTTCTGGATCAGGACAATGGCTCATCTGGTCTAGTATCCTGTTCTCACAGTGGCTGACCAGATGCCTGCGGGAGACCAGCAAGCAGGATTCGATCACTCTCCCCTCCCGTGCTTTCCAACAACTGTCATTCAGAAGCTTTGCTGCTTCCAGTTGTGGAGGCAGAGAATAGCCATCATGGCTAGCCACCATCAATAGTCCTCTCCTCTGTGAAGTTGTCCAATCTTGTCCTTCCTCACAATGAGCAGAAGCATTATAATAATTTATTATTTATACCCCGCCCATCTGGCTGAGGTTTTTTTTTAAAAAAAGCTCATGTACTTATTCTGAGTAACTTAAAGAAGAGAACAGTCTCTTAATGGTTGCAGGATTTGATCTAATTTTGTGCCAAATACTCAGTTATTGGGGAGTTCTCCATATAATTTGAGGGCTGTAGTTATAGCTTCATGACTGAAAGACATGGAAATGTATGCTATCCTAGACAGTAGGAACTACCATATTTTTCAGTCTATAAGACGCCCCCATGTATAAAACGCCCCCTATTTTTGGGGACTCAGGTTTAAGAAAATAGGGGGAAAGGGATCAGTGGATAAGACGCCCCCTAATTTTTGACATTATTTTTTAGGGGGAAAAACCTAGTCTTATACATGGAAAAATACAGTAATATACAGGGGCTAATGTCACAATATGACTAAAATGATTCCAGTAGAACCTATGCACATAGGAATGTAGGAAGCTGTGTTATACTGACTCGGCCATTGGTCCATCTAGTTCAGTACTGTCTGTATTCAGTGAGTGACTCTCTCCATGTTTTCAGATAGGAGCTTTTCCTCCAGCTCTGCTTGCAGATGTCAAGAGATGCTCTACCACTGAGCTATGGCCCTTCTCCTGGCACCCAACCCCCTCCCAACTGTTCACTTTTATTTAATGGTATCCGGCTGATAAGACTTGCTTTTTGCAGTATGAATGTGCTATGCATAATGTAATGAATTACAAGCTTTTAAATATAGTTATATAGTTGAGATACTCTAAACATAAGCAGTTTCTGTGTGTGTGTTTTGAGGAGAGCTGCCAGCACTTAGCCTGTGGTCCACAGAATTATTAAATGCAGTCTATAAAGAGGGCAATTCTGCTGTCTCTGTTTTAAAAAAAGCTTTATTGCTCTAGATAAGTGACTATATTTGTTAATTTAACAAGCTCGGCTGTTTACTTGTGAAGAAAGCTGACTGGCCATGTTGCATGATAAACATTTTCCTCTGTATTTTTATTATTACACAGAATGTAGACATTTCAAGACCTCCCGAGGAAGCCCTTGTAACTGTCCCTGCTCACCAGTGAAGCCCGTGTCCTGATCAGCTATGAAACGTGTGGTGCTTCTTTTCATCATATTATATTAAAATTATTTCAATCGTTCCAATCACTTTGGAATCATCCACAGATAATATCAGTTTTTGTGTAGCTCGTGGCTTTTAGAAATCAAACAATCAAATCTTATTGTCCCCTACCCCCTGGATTGGAACTAATTGGCTGAGCCATCTGATTACTGGCTTCTCTGATATAACGCTTGATCAATTGGTGATTGCTAATTTTAAACCTGATGTTTTATGTCCATTACAGCTTGATCAAACACTCAAACCCTGTTGGGAGATAATATGGGGCAGTTGTCTATTAATGAGTATTTTTATTTTCTCTTGAGTGATTGGATTGTTTTACATAGAGAAGCATGTCTTTCTACAGTTAGTTCTGCAGCTAGTGAATAGTATCGGCAATGTAGATAGTCTGCTAATTCATAGAACCATAGAATTCTATGACTGTTTAATAGTAGCTTGTGGGAAATAGTGTTCTTGCCCCTGTCTTTGTGGAAGATGTATTTCTGTGATTTCAAAAAAAGGTCTGCAAAATTTATTATGGGATTAATTGATCATTTAAAGTTTAATTTGTACTTCTAATTATTTTGACAGCTGATTTTTAAAAGCTAATTTAAAAATATTGTTAGGTTTTTTAAAAAACAACAACTGCAGGTGGTGTTAAGACTCTTTTAAACACCCATTAAAAAGAGGCCTTTCTCTTTTCGTTCACATGAGAAGGAATGCCTCTTCTAAGAGGTTGCCTGCTATAACTAAACTAAACATTTTATAAGAAAAAAAGAAATATGCTTCTTGCTTCAGGATTCTTTCATTCTATTCAGATGCAATTTCTGGAAATGGCATGAATTTTAGTTAATAGATTCAATCAGTCAACTAAGGTGTTTTTAATAGGGTGGCAGCCCTAATTTATAATTTATATGAAGAGGACTCATAGTAGTAATGTCTTAATTTGTTTTCTTTATAAAGTAGAATCATAGAAATATATTTCTTCTACGGTTTGGCAAACGGAGGCAAACTGCTATTGCTTACTCCCGTGAAGTTACTAGACATTACTAATACCAGGGTAAACATGCATTTGGAACACTTCTGGATAGAACCACTGTCAATATGGAGTAAAGAAATGGCACTTGTGGAAAGGAATAATACACAACTACTGCTTTCCCTGCTGCTTCTACATTCTACGCTGTAGATGGTGCAAAGTTGGGCTGCTGAGGGGTGTGGCCTGGGGAGAGAGGGTATGTTGCTGAGGAGGAAGAGGAGGAGCCTGAGGAGAGTCCTGAGACCCAGACAGAGAAGCCCCCAGGCATGAAGTTCCCAACCCCTGACATAAATTTACCTCCTTGGAGATTCAAAAGCAGCTTCGGGGGGTGGGTCTGAGAAGAAAACATTCTAGTGCACACAATGGCATTTGTGCCTCAAGATGATGCTCTAAAATTCCAAAAGGAAAAAGGTGGAGCTTCCCCATATGTCGAGGTGGGCCAGTAAACTGCAATACTTAAAAAATAAATACAGTGGTACCTCGGGTTAAGTACTTAATTCGTTCCAGAGGTCCATTCTTAACCTGAAACTGTTCTTAACCTGAAGCACCACTTTAGCTAATGGGACCTCCCGCTGCCACCGCACCGCCGGAGCACGATTTCTGTTCTCATCCTGAGGTGAAGTTCTTAACCCGAGGTACTATTTCTGGGTTAGCGGAGTCTGTAACCTGTAACCTGTAACCTGAAGCGTAAGGTACCACCGTAACCTGTAACCTGAAGCGTAAGGTACCACCGTAAATCATTTCATACTTCCTGCCAGCCAAATAATTCCCAGGGTGATTCACAAAACCAAACCAAAGCAGTGTAGCTACTGCTAACTTACATACTCTAAATTCTAAGCATCTTGTAAACAAGTTTGGTAGGTGAGAAAAAGGGTTGTCCCTTGAATCCTGCAATGCCACATATAAACAAAACTATTATAGGGGCCAGAGATGTTCCCAGGAACAGCCTCTCTCCCAGCAGAGGCACTTGCTTTGTTCAACTGATTTTCACTAGACTTAACTTCATGTTGGGGGTTGGGGCTGGAGAATCAGCTTCGGTGGTGCTCATGGTTACATTGCTTAGATCAGGAGTGGTCAACCCATCAGCTAAGAGGATGGCTTCTTATTTGAAAAGTTTTTGGCAATTTCTCTCCTCTCCCCGCGTCAGCAGAACAAACAAACCAATGGCATCAGCATCACAGTGAATAAACAAAATGAATTTGTGGGAATTTTGAGTGGGGGAAGTGGGACTTTGAGGGAAAACAATCAGCTAAAAGTATATAAAAGAAAATACAAATAGAATGAATTGGGGAAGGAAAGAAATGGGTTGACTTTAGATGGAAAGATAATAAAAGGGATTAATTTCCTTCTTTGGCCTTAGCCCACTTTACCGTGCTTCTCACAGCGTTGGGCATGGGTCAGTGCAGCCCTTGGCTGGAAAAGGTTAGCCCCCTGGCTTGAATCCAGGAGTTTTAGTTTTGTAAGATCGATATCACAATTATGATGATGTCTCGTGGCAAAGTAAGGGAAAGGAGCACATATCCTTATGAATCTCTAGGTGGTCTTGCATTTGAGAACTGAAACAAAAGATCCTACATAGTGGATTTTTTGTTCTTCAGGACTGGTTAAGATTTCTGTATCTATGTATATCTTGGATTCCATTAAGATGTTTAACTGATGTCAATCTGAAAGGCCAGATGCAAGACCTGTAACACCCTACAGTGCTTTGATTAGGGATCTCATGTCTTTCCTGGATAATAGTCAAGGTCAGGCATAGGCCTATGTCTGGTCAAGGTAATACAGGGAGGAGAGGATCTGGAAGATCAGGCTACGTAGTATGAAACCCTAGCAGCATACACAAACACACAAAAAAACACAAATACCAAATTTCACACAAATTACATAAATAACCATAGACACATAATTTTCTTGGCAAACAATAAAACATCTATTGGTCTTAACACTAAAGACCCAACTTCCCGTCCATTCCATATTTCAAATTCATATTACTTATTGCCAATACACATTTTTTTCATAATTAAACTTATTCTCAATAAATCTAATTTCTTCTATCCCCCTAGCAACTATTACTGAAGTTCCTTGAATGCTCAAATGCTGCAACAGAATTTAAACTACTATATTTATTTTTCATATATTCTTTGAAAACCTCCCATTTAGAAACAAATTCCTGTTTTGATTTATTTATGGAAAACGTATTAGCAGCAATTTTCTTAAAAGTTGCCATGAACCATGCAAACCTACACTGGAGCAGGTATAATCATTAGGGTGCCTTGGGTATGTGCCTTACACATTTGTGTTTCGTACTTCCATTGAAGAGTAGGATGACTCATTTCATCCTGCAAAGAGATGAGTTCACTGCTTCCAAATCTGTTACCTGGAAATCTCGCTTTTGGGGAGATGTACCACTTCTGATGGTGGAAAAAAGTTGGTTCAGGCTTTTAGAATAAAATGATGGTGTGCTTGATGGTAGGTAAAGATCATTGGGGCACTCATTAGAGCTCCTTGGGTACATGTCAATCTGGCTCACTGACAGGACAAAAAGTTCATATTGTGCGGAAGAGTTGAGTACCGGATGCAGTTGGACAGGACAAAGTTTGAAAACTCCAATAGGAGTTTGAAAATGTGTAAGGAATGTTGGAAGCTGCTGCATATTAGATCAGGCTCTTGGTCCATGTAAGCCCAGTACTGCAGTAGCTCTCTAAGGTCACAGGCAGAGGTGTTTTGTATTGCCCCCTAGCTGAGATCTCAGGGATTGAACTTGGGGTCTTCTGCATACAATGCATGGGATCTACCTTGTCCAATAGCCCTGATCTGAACACAACTAGAAAAAGATTTGTACATTTCATTACACTGGTAAAACAAAGCCTATGTATAAATGGCTTTTTTTGGCCTGAGCAAAAACTATGTAGGGCGGTTTAATTTGATCTCAAGGATCAGGTAGTAACTTGCATCCAATGGCTGCTGCTAGAATGACTGTGGTCTAGGATAGAATGAGCTTCTAGGATAGAGATTTGCAATAGGCAGCCTTTGAGTCCCTGAGGGGTAATTTTTGGTTGTTCAGACATTCTACTTGTGTGTAAAAACAACTTGCAAGTGGGGAGAAGTGCACTAAGCCTCACCCACTGTTTTCCTCAACACTTGAGTCACCAAGATGTGGCTGGGCTACAACTCCCATCATCCCTGACCACTGGTCCTGCTAGCTAAGGTTGATGGGAGTTGTAGTCCAACATCTGGAAACCTAAGGTTGAGAAAGACTGATCTAACTTGTATAGCCTCTTGTATCTGTGGAGGCTTCCTTAAGCAATTTCAGACCTTTATCTTCCTGGGTCCTTAATCACACTGGAAGCCTCCATGACTGTAGGAGGTTGTCTGCTTCAGATGTTTAACATCCCAACTTGTGGAGGGTGATGGAGCCGGAGCTTAGCAATTTGTCTCGGCTTGCTTGTTGTTTTCATATGTCACTGGAATGCCTGAAGACTAGTATGTTGAGTGTTCAATGTGTCATGACATATCTTATCTGTGATGAGAGGTGGTAGTATCACATAGCTTGTTGCCTAATACAGTTACTGGTTTAAAGGGAAGGAAAAGTATTGTGTATAGGCATTGTAGCTGGGTTCAAACTTGTGACTCTCAAGGATCTCTCCCTCCTGGACTTGTGCATGTGTCATTGCTTTGACTGTGATAATGAAAACACTTCATCTGGGTTGTTCAATCAGCTAGCAGTATGTGCTTATGTTGGTAATTCCCAGTGAACACTGGAAAAAACCAGACTTCTACCTAGGGCTACATAAGGGGCCCAGAGGCCTAAGACCAAGCATTGCAAAGTGCAGCTAAACTCACATTGGGATCTCTCTGAGTTTCTGATAAGCTGGTGTTCAGAAGAATGGAACTCTGAAGAGTGATGCATATTGAGAAATGTATTCCGGAATGATGGAACTTGTTACAACGCATGAATATATAGAGGAACCAGATAAGACAAAAAAATTGTGATTTTATCCAACCCAACTCTGTGCATATTTTCTGGGAAGCGAGGCTTCACTGATGTCGGTGGGTCTTATGCTAAAGTAAATGTGCATAGGATTACAGCCTTAATTTCACCATATTTCCATGAACTAGCAAAGGAAAGCCCATAGGTAGTGAGAAGTGTTCAGGAATTGGCCAAAGGGCAAGCATTGCGTTTGAGTGAAGTATATAAAGCTTGCTGTCTTGTTCTCTTTTCAGAATGTATGCGTTAGCCGCTCTCGAGAAGAAGCTTTGAGGACTGTACCTAATCATTTGTAGCACCTTTGACCTCCCCTTGCCAGCACCGTCCCAAACTGCTGAAGCAGTGCTAAGGAAACCACTCAGGGACCTGAGAATGAAGGCAGCCTTCAAGGAAGCCAAGCAACACAGAAATGCATGCACTCCTCCTCTTCTCGAAGACGGTGTTTCAACTGCCTGGGTCTGGCACAAGGCAAAGTTGGCATTAAAGGTTGAAATGGACCAAGTATTTGTGGAACAGAGAATGAAATTGCTTTTAAATTAATATATGTTGTCTTTATCCTGTTGTTCTTCGACTGTGGATGTTAAAAGTATGAAATGCTGGTGTCTCTCTTAATGCTGTATCTTAGCTTTCTTCTGCAATGCTTTCCTAAGCCTTTCTTGCTGTGATTTCCTGTTTTATTCCTATATTATATATAAAATCTTTACCAATGTTTCTTCGAGGATTCTTCCAACTATTTATTTTAGTATACAACAAAAGGTACCACCAGTCTCTTTGTGAGATATATTAATCCACTTAATATATCAATTTTAGCAACAAGCAGTGTTGTCCACTCCAAGTCATTGCTTTGCAGTGAAACATTTTATTTTCTTTCTTTTTTTTTGGTAGCTGCACTAATTTCTAGGTAATTTTACTAAAGGCTCCACTTGATGCTTCACATCATTTAATGGAAAGCCAGAATAGGTAATATTTTCCCAGATGCATTCCATCTATCTTGTTGAAATGTTCCAGAACTCCTGGGTTATTATTTGAATACTGTGTGAATAGTTTCCTTTCCACATCATGCATACGGCAAACCTATTTTGTCTGCTTATTAAAAACTGCATATTTTACTTAACTGTTTTACCTGGTCCTCCCCCCCTTTTTACACCCCCTCAAACTCCAAACCCCAAGCAGAGAAGCCTATGAAAAGGGAGGATTTTTAATTGACACTAATGTAAACATTGCTCCAAGTGGAGCAGATAATAATAACAACAATAAAACAATTAGCATGGTGCATGGTGGTTACCAGAGGTGAATGGCAATAACAGTGCAGGGACGGTATAAGACAAATTACTAGAGAGACCAAATTATTATGAAGCGCTCCGGAGTTATTGGCATTAATGCAAGCTTGCTCTTACCTATCTTCTTGAACCAAAGTCACAGATGAAGTATTACCTGTTTGGGGTTTTTATTTTTATTATGTATTGGTGATATTTAAGTTAAAATGCATTGGATGGGTAAGATGAAAGCGATCCTTTATTGCATATCTTCTACTTTAGTGATGAGAACAGGATTTGCACATTCATAAATGGAAACAATCTTCCATCCCCCCCCCCCCAAATGAGGACTCAGGATTCTTTCTTTCCGTAAACCTTAAGCAGCCACATCTTTGCCTCGGTGCATTCCTTTAGTGGAGCTCAAGAGCATAGTGAAGAATAGGGCCCTCTAGGATTTTCAAGTACAGTGGTGCCTCGCAAGACGAAATTAATCCGTTCCGCAAGAGTCTTCGTCTAGCGGTTTTTTCGTCTTGCGAAGCAAGCCCATTGACGGATTAGCGCTATTAGCGCTATCAGCTGTTTAGCGGCTATTAAAGGCTTAAAGGCTTAGGGGATTAGCTGCTAAAAGGCTATTAAAGGCTATTAAAGGCTTAGCAGATTAGATAAAGGGGAAAAGCGAAAAAAATCTCTAGACTCGCAAGGTATTTTCGTCTTGCGAAGCAAGCCCATAGGGGAATTCGTCCTGCGAAGCAACTTCAAAACGGAAAACCCTTTCGTCTAGCGGTTTTTCCGTCTTGCGAGGCATTCGTCTTGCGGGGCACCACTGTATTTATATGCAAAGAGGGATACTATGCTGTAAGTGTAATTGGATCAGTCCTGCTTTAGGGTCACAACCCAACAGGGATATGCTCCAGATATATCCTGTTGCAATGAATGGGAGGCGTGTGAAAGAAATTCCTGTTAGTGATAAAACTTCATGCATGTTAGGCCAGTTGTGTTTGTTGTACTAAGCCAACATATAGTGTAAATAATCTGTCCATGTGATACAAATCAGCAAGCAGCAGATTAGGTGCCTGTTTGTTCTTGAACCGAAGAAAGCTTTGTCCTGTGTGATTTGAATGCTTTTTTGCCTTGCTGTCTGTGCTGGTACCTCATCGAACCTTGCCATGCTGTTAATGTTAAGAGTTCTCTGCAATGGACTATGTAAGCTTTGCCAAGTGGGGACTCGTTTATGTGGCTGGGTGCTATAATGTAACATACTGCCGTGTTCTTAATTTCTTTAATAAGGTAGCTTAGCAATATAATCAGCGTTCTGGAGATAAGCCATAAAGCCAACCTTATTTCAGAAACATAAAAAGGACTGTGTTAAACTATCAAACACTTCAGAAGCGCTTTAGCTGTACTCCATCCTTTAAGATAATATGCCTTGACATCATAATGTATTTATTCAGGTAGATCACGACTTACTGGAGTAGATGAAAAGGGAGAGCTCTGCTGTTGGCCCACAGTATGGTGTCAGCTGGAGAAGGGGATTTTGGGTAATGGCTTAAATCACAGATGAATCGTGTCAACAGCCTAGCCCTAACTTCTCTAGATGTGAGCCACAAGTAATTATTATTATTATTGGCTACTTAATGGGCTTGAGTTCATCCCTGAAAAGTTGAGGATTCATGAGCAGAAAATTGTGCAGGTATAACTTTGGATTTTAAGTGGTAAATGCGGTTCCTATAGGAAAATACTCTCCTCTAAGTTAGCTTAGCCTGCAAGCTAGCCTTCATTGGCGGGTGTAGCATTTTCTTCTAACCTTTTCTTAACCAGAAGTATTTGCTTTCTCTCCCCCCCGCCCCAACCTTCATATTTCTCAACGTGCTGTAAAACTGTGGCTAAATATTTTATGTATAGTAGATATTTTTATAGGCTACATCTAAATATACTGTGATAACAGTAGTTTCTATTTACAAGATTGTATAACTGAAAAAATCATTGTGTGCAAGAATAAATTATAATTGTATGTTGATACTTGAAAATGAAAATACTTGGAAGCTCTGGATTCTAATTTAACTTAAGATGTGATCCTAATTCCACAATTTGGAAATGAGCCCCTTTGAAATGAGTTTGCTTGCTTCAAAGTGAATGAGTTTAAAACGAATATGTTAGATGGTTGGTGTGCCACCAGCTTCATCTGGGTTTCTAGTGATCAACTAATCCAGAAGACCTCTTGTATTTGTTGATCCACAGGACTGCTTCATCCTCTACTTTTGAAAGTGTGAAGAGGGTTTCTAAAAATATGGATCTGACAGGTACATTTATCAGAGAGTTGCCATTACTAGCCGTTTCCTTTTAAGTGTACACTTGAATGATAGCCGGTGGCTTTGCTTATGTGAAATTCCTCTCAGTAGGTACAAGAAATGGAAAAGGTTATGAAAACATTTCCTTTTGTCATAACATGTATCGTAGACCCAAATGATTTTGAATGAGACTAATTCGGATGTGACTGTTAACTCACCTAGTTCTAAGGATATATTTGGCCTTCAATTTAATCTTACATGAGATTTATCCAGAGCTAATAAACATTGTTTTAAATTGTGAGGGATGCTAATTGACTTTTCTCTTTCCTGAATTTTTTTTTTTTTTTGGACACTTCATGTCCAGCTCAAGTGCAACGATGTTCAAACTAAAATCTGTCAAATTGGGTCAAGCATTTATTTCAAGTGCTATTGATGAATATTGAGTCATTTCCAGGTTTTTATATTCTACAACAACAGGCCAGGAACTGTGAGGTTTGCTGGAGTTAGTGCTAGATGAACTGTCACTGGATGAACTGTCAATGTTTGGTTTTAAGCAGCACTGCTGTATTTACATATGTTTTTTGAAGTGTTGCTGGCACTTTGAGACTAGCAGAAACAGGTGACTGCTTCTTTTAAACACCTACTCCTCCTTCAACCATAATTTATTTACCCCCTGCCATTACTCATAAAACGACTCTTCTTTTAGGCTGCCATTGCCAGCGTTTAAATAGCACTGTCATTGTTTCGGGTTGTTTCCTGAAAATGCTGGATTAATTTGAATCAAAGAGAATCAGAACCTTATTTCTAGCTATCTTTCTACAATTTTTTACATCAAAGAGTGCTATTTATTTAATGTAGTGATGCAAGTGTAGCACTGTATCCTGGCATGTCCATTCGAACCACCGACCTTCTGATCAGCAAGTCCTAGGCTCTGTGGTTTAACCCACAGTGCCACCCGTGTCCCTGTGGCTAGGGTAGAGCCCACTAATAATTAGAGCCAACAGCAGTATAGTCCCCCTGCTATGTAGCAAATCTTCTGTAACTCTCATCACTTTCCCAGCTGCCATCACTCATCACTCTTTCCTCCGCCATCTCTTCTTTCCGTCTTTTCCATCTTCCTCTGTGTTTGCATCATTTCTTTTAAACCGAATTGTTGAGAGATTTCACTCCACAGAGAATACCACTTGACAGATTTTAACCAGCTGGTTCCACAAAGTCAGGGTTCATAAGATGTTTGTTTGTGTACCTGATGTTGATGATGAGTAATGGGACACCGAGTTGGCAAGTACAAGCCATGCTTTGGTAACGTGGCACAAATCATTCATTTTAAGAATTTTAACTAATATAATTTAATGTAATTAAGGTATGTCAGTAGCTGGATTAACACTACGTGCCCAAGACCCAGTAAAGAGTTGGCTCTCATGTTCCCACTTCCCATTCTCCTGTGTGGCCAGCTTTCAGTTTCAAAGAATGTTGATGTGTCAAACAAACCAATTTCAAACCATGGGTTATGAAGTTGTCTTGTTTAACCAGGTAGTTTTGTAGACATCACCAGCTGCTGTCTTGTAATTCATAGTATTGTTGTATTTCTTTTCTCAGCTGATCAAGGAATTTTCACTTTCCTTTAGCATGCTATGATGTTTGGAAATAAGCTGACAAAGTAGTGCAGGAATGGGGAAACTTAGGCCTGGGTGGGAGGCAAAACTATCTCTGGACTTTTTAGTCCAGACCTCCTACTGGCCCTTCTTTGCACATGCTGTGTTTTTGTCTGATTAGACTGTGTTCTTGTAGCCGAATGCCTCTTTGTCTGCCTGAAGAATAGAGTGTGTGTGTGTGTGTGTGTGTGTGTGTAGAAACTAGCCTGATTTACAAAAGTTAAATTGAGTTGCCTCTCTGCCCCTTCCAACACTCGCATGCACCCCCAAGAAGGGTGTGTGGCCCTTGAGCTGAAAAAGATTCCTGATTTCTGATGGCAGTATAAATAAAGAAATAGTTTAAATGTTACAGAAGGCAGTTGGCAATTTTCTGTAATGCTTCTGTAATGTTAGTCAGTGTTAATCAGATGGAGGGAAATCAATTATGGAATAAATAATAAAACCTACATTCCATAGGAAATACCTTAGTTAATACAGTTTAACTTTTACTTGTAGCTCTAGGAAGTGGCCTAATATGTCCACAGGTACATTCTGAATTTATGGAAGATTTAGAAATTGCTGTTACGAAGGAAGTTGCCTGAGGAGAATTCAGTTTATATCAGGCCAGTGTTGAGCCCAGAGTCATTTTTAAACTTATTAATTTCATGAAATATCTGGATAATCACCCCGAGTCCTAGCTAGCAAATCTCGTGTAGACTACCGTGACAGACCTCTATTTAATTTAGTATTACCTCAGTGTTAAAAAAGTAGTTTACAAATGCATAGTGGTATTTGTAGCTGTGGAAACTTGTGCTTTTGCCTATAAAAACAAACTCCTAGGAAGTATTGTACTGCCTGACTCTTTAGCCAAAGTGTCTGCTGTTGATGCCTAGAGAATAAATATTTTTAGTAACCTATGAAACCTGGCACATGGGAAAGATACGTCTTGCAGCAAGCTGGACTTAACAAATCATGTGACTTTCAACAAGAGTAAGGCTAGATTTGTAGCTATCAAAACAAAGAGTTTCCGCAGTAGGGATATTTCAAGTTGCAAGTGGTGAGCTTCTGCCTTGAAGCATAACCCAACTTTCAAGAAGCAAAAATATTAAAGCTAAAGATTCTGTGTATCTTAAAAAGAATCATGAATGTTTAAAAATGCTGTCATGTGTCCCTGAGAGAGCATCCCAGGGGACCATAGCCTTTCTAATGGATACCAGAGCTTTAATGTTGGTGCCCCCAAAGCCTAGGGCTGAACCAATGCCAGAACACTGTTGGCATTAGAGCTAAAAAGAGAGTGTTGCTCTGGCATCGACACCCTGAGGATTAATTCCAAGGGGTATCCATTTTAGGCCCCAGGGGAAGCCATTGCAGGGAAGGCAATATTTATGGTAGTGGAGTGGGGGAAGTAGGCATACTTGGAGGATATTCTTACTAGCCTGGAGGGGCCCTAGCTACCAAGTCAGTGGTGGCTCATGCTTAAAAGAGCCTGCTTTGTGGGTTAGTGTCCAGGTCATTAGCTTTCAGAGGGTAAAATAGGAAGGGTAGCGTTTCAGATAATAGATGTATTTTTATTTAGCCTTCTAAGTTTTTCAACAATCCATAATCAATACATCGGTTTGACAGCATTCCTTCCCTGTTACCCCACATCCCACCCACCCCACGGTTTCAACATGCTGTACATGTTGTAGGGTGTTTCTGCCTAGCCTAAAAATCTGTTATCTGGATCAAGATACAAGGTAGCAATGATTAGTTATCACATACTGTGTATTTAAATACTCCTACGGGAACTAGCCTTCATCTTCTCAAGTGTGCTGAGGCTTGACTAGACCTATATTGGCTGGCAACGAGACCAAAGTTAGACCCAAACCACACAGGTCTTTAACGGCAGGTTCTTTGAAATGAGACCTGCCCACCATCCTTCATTAAAGGTGTGTTGCCCGGTCTCATGCATGCTTATTTAAATGTTTGCCCAACTGCATTTAAGTCAAGTTCTACCTCACCGTGTGCCCAATACAGATTGACGCCTGGAAAAATAAATGACAAGATGGCACCCCCTTCCCCACTTAAACAACCAAGTTGGGAGTTCCATTTGTCTTCCAACACTGAGGACAGGACAGCATCCTCAAAGGGGGTTGGGGACTAAATGGCACACATACACACAGCTTTGTTCTCTAGCACTTCACTTCCTCACTCACTGGGTTGCAGATAGGGGGCCTGTGGTAGCTGTAGTCTAATAAGGAAAGGCCCACATGTTTTTAAATTAAAAAAGACTACTTTCACTGTCTTTTAGATGGGGCTTCATCCATGAACAGCAAAGCAAGAACAACTTAAAAGGCTGTAAACCTGCTGGATTGAGGGCCTGAGAAGCACCATAATCAATTGATGCCACTTTTTATTAATTAAAAATAGCAATATTTGAAGCTCAGAATCAACTCAAATTATTTAGTTTGATGGACTTTAAAAACTGCCTAGCCATTTCACTTTATTTGAAGGGTAGTACCCTTCGATAACCTCTTTCACCTCTTGAGCAAAATATACAGCATATACATAATTTCCCCCCCAAACGGATAACTACATTCAAGTAACCACGTACACAATTTACATTTTCCCTACTGCAGAGGAAGTCATTTACATATGATTCACAAGGATACTTAAACTCAACCATGCACAATGAAGCTACCGCCAGAATGAGCACAATTAGTTGCTATTGAGTGTTGTTCGGAATGAAAGGAAAGAGACGACGGTATCCTCTGATCACATTTCACATGGAGTGCTCGAAAACTTCCATTACAGCAGTACCTGAAAGTTCCTCTGTGCTGACAAACTATTTCTCTAAAATGCGTTCAAATTTAGGGTTGGTAAAAGAGAACCCAGCAAATGCAGATTGATCCATAGAGTCTATTAAGTTTTTGTCACTGTATGATAGCCGTGGTTTCTCACTCAAAAACTCTCTGTCAAAATTGCTGTAGTCACTTGCTGATTTCTGTATAGAAGAGAAGCAAAGGACCGAAAGAAAGAAAAAAATTAGTTAAAGTGACTTCAATTCTTCTTGCCCTTGCTCAGTAGGAGTCCCATTTCATTTTAACAAGCTCAGACAAACAACTGCAGCATGAGTTCGGTTGGCTGCACTGCTTCAGCAAGTAACAAGTAGGAATTTATCACACATCAGGTGGAGATTGTTTTATCAAACAATCACCTGTAATGTCTAGTAATACCTGAATACAGAAAGTCCTGCATATCTGCCATCTAGCCATAATATGCTACCAGTAAGAAATAAGATCAACCACATATTGAGGGCAGAACACAAATTAGCATACAGAAGGTTCCAGCTTCAATTCCAGATACCTTCCAGACCCAAATCCTTCCCTTTACCTTAAAAAAAAAAACCCTTGCACTGATTTACTTAATATAACAGTGAGCAGCATTACCCATAGGGGAAGGGCCACTGCTTGGAGCAACAATATTGTTTATTGTTATATTTTTAAATATTGTGTTATCTGTTTGGTTATGTGGTATAATTGTGGAAAACCTAATAATTTTTTTTTTGAAAAAACAACAACAGATAAAAGCATCACAGTTTTACACTTGGCTAGATTCAAAAGGATACCTACCACTTTGGGTTTGAAGGGCGGTTCCACTTCCCTCTTCTCAAGTGCCGTCCAATTAATCGCTTTGAAGAAAGAATGATCTCTGATGTTTCCAGTTATTCCCAGTCGTCTTGTTGGATCCCTTTCAAACAACTGCAAAATATAATGCGCATGCAGCTTCAGTTACTTGGCCTGCAGATCACATTTCTGATAGAAACTAAGACTTTAGCTGCTGTTCAGAAAAATAAGACGATGGACTCAATGGAATTGATCTAGGGCAGCCATTGTGGCCAGTTCTAGTCACTATTGCTGGCAGCTGCAAAAGCTGCTTTGGATGGGGAGAAGGGGTGGTATGTATGCCATATGACTGCCCAGTTGTTGTGTATACAACATAATCTGCAACAAGGGGGCATATTATCACTAGGTTGCATGTGACAATGCAACAAGACCCTCCAGTCCTGTAGCTGGTTATATAATTACTGATTATTTCACAAAAATCTTTGCCTGGAATGCAGGGCACTTAAGATCTATTACTAGCTTAAGATATTCTCCAGGCCCCTTTCCATTTTCCCAAACAGAAAAACAATTTAGCCTTAGCAAGTGTATACCTTCTCTAGTATATCCTTAGATTCCTTGGTAATCCAGCGAGGGTAGTGAGGTGTGTCCACACGGATTGACTCAAATAACTCATCCTCATCATCACCATGGAAAGGAGATTGTCCAATAAGCATCTCATACAGCAAGACTCCAAACGACCACCAGTCCACAGAAAATGTGTATTTTAGGCCTTGCAGAATCTGTTGTCGATACAAGAAAACAACAATGTAAAATGCAATGGGAAGCTTTCTTAACTCCTCAAGAGTTGTACAAATCAGGATTTTGGCTTTTCACAATTTAAAGCAATTTTTTCTCTCAGTCCTTTTATCACATTCTCAGTCCTTTTATCAGCATGAATCACCTTTGATTCATTGGCTGCATTGGGACTCAACATTAACCTATTTACTTTTGAGTTTACCTCTGACAGAGAATGAGATGTGGACTGTCATGTTTTTGCCCGCCATGTTGTGGCAGATAGTAACATCCAATTGGTTGAACAAGTTTACCTGTACTGAACATTCTGGCCTGAACCCATAATACGTACCACTATTTCAACTGTGGTACAAACTGTGAGCTTGAAGAACCTAGGAATAAATAAACTCAGCATATAGATGGCTCAGGTGTAATTTTCTACTCAGGGTATGGTCATTCCCTCTTATACTGGGTTCCCTAAGCAATGACCAACTAGGCTTTATTTAGAGCAGGGGTGGGAAATCTGTGAACTTCCAGATGTTGGATTCCATCTCCCATCAGCCCCAGCCAGTCTGGACAATGGTCAGGGATAATAGGAATTCAGTAACATCAGGAGGATCAAAGATTAGCAACCCTCTCCTTAGGAGATAACATGAAACTCTATTTATTAATTATATATTCAGTAAGCCCACAACTTACATGTGGGTTATGTTCCATGCGCCTAAAGCCAAAATCATGTATAGTCAAAACATTCTGGGTGCAACGGTGGATGAGATAGCCAGTCTTTTTCCCCAGATGCCTTCCCCCTTTAAAAAAAATTGTTAATAATAATAATATTTGCCAAGTGTGTAAAGTTGAATGCACACAAGTTAATTGTGGACTTAATGAATTCTATGGCTATTTCAAGAGCTGGTATGTTACACATGTATGTTCCTTACTTCAGGCGCTATGTAGTCTGGAGTACCGCAGAAAGTTGTCGCCTTGTTCTCACCAAACACATTCTCTTTGCACATCCCAAAATCAGCAATTTTGATGTGACCTTCTTTATCAAGCATCACATTGTCTAGTTTGAGGTCTCTGTGTGAAAAAAAAATAAAACTAATCAGCACAACCATTCAAATTGGACAAAAGCACCCCAATGACTTAGCAATTGCATCCACTTAAAGGTATTTGCTTTCAACCTCATAGGATACTTTCAGCATTAATAAATAGTTAATGGCATGTCTGCCAGAGTGTAGAAGATACTGAAGTTGGCAGATAAGTAAACAAATAATTTTCCCAATCTTTTTTTAATGAAAACTAAGGCAGAAGAAGGGCTCCAATGCTAACTCCATGTCAAAAGCATGAATTAAAATAAATCCATGGGGAAATGAAAATTGAGGCTTTTGAGGTGGAGGCACTATGTAGAATCCTTAATGTGTCTACTCTGGGGCACAATGAAATTTTGCATTGGCAACAAAGGCCTTCACCTCTAAATGATTCAACAAGTTGTGTTATTTATCACGTTTGCATCCAACACAGAAATACTGAGTTTTAGTCACATATTTTCTGTTTGCCTCTGGTGCATAAGCCATTTGTTTTAATTTACACAGATCCATTATCAAGCCACATTAACAATAGTTCATTGCATTGTGCAATTAATTATAGCTTTAACCGGAGGGGTAAATGCTGTAAAAGAGTCAACAAGCAAAGCTCCAGCTATAGTCTGGGTTCTATCCTACAGACATGTGTTCATCATTTGCACTCTGGTCTTAGACAGCAGCCATAAGAACCAGTTGCCAATAAACTTAAAGCACACTTCCAAAAAACTTACTGCCAAGAAGCCAGTAGCAAAGAATTAAGGATGCATGCAATCAACAAAAACTTTCAAAAGTTTAAAATACTGCATCTTAATGAAGCTTGATAACTCTGTACTGAAATATGTACAGGAGGGTGAAGAAACGGTATTTCCCTACCCACTTTTGACAACTTTTCCTTTTTAGAATGGCTGCAACATCCAGTCAATTCATTGCTGAGATTAATTAAAAGCTTTCTGATTAGTTAAAAAGGTGCTCTCATTAACTGAGCAACACCTTATTTTTATAAATACTTATTTTTAATGAAAGTGCCAGGCATTATCCTTGAAAATACATTCTCAAATAGGATAGAGCAGCTTTTCTAAAATGTTGCCTGGTGCAACACACACACAAACACAGGCATGTACATATGCATAACACATCTAAAAACAATGTGCTTCCCCCTTTTAAACTGTTTTATTCACGTGCAAGTTTATATCCAGCAATTAACTCTGCAACAGCCCCAATCTCTAGCAGTTTGCATTTAGCATTGTACTAAAGCGAAAGGCTGCCAATAGCTGTTACTGGCCAGTAATGATATCATGAAAGCCCGTGTTTCATATGACATCAAGAAATTCTTTCCTTGTTGGCAGCTGAATTCCCAAGAGCAGCAACCATTGCCAAGGCACAGTCAACTGCCATTTCTCATCATGAAAAATTTAGACAAAGCTTCTGTAGAAGCAGACAATACAGCTCTATTTAAGTTCAAGTTAGCAGCCCTCCCACTCACAGGACTGATACTTGTAGATAAAAAAAAAACTTCTTTCATATTATTTGCATAACTACTTCATTCTGTAAAACAGGACATTAACAAATAGCTAACTTGCAGTTTCAGAAAATGTTGCTAAATATAAAATGCTGCAGAGTAGCTTTCAAACCGACTCTTAGATGAAAGCTAATAGTGCGGCTTATGAAACTGTAGCCCGCTTAGTACAGTCTTCAGATCTGGTGAACATGGCTGAGATTTCAAAACGAGGCATCACTTGAAGATGTCAGCCAAGGCTGAGACTTGTTGGCATCAGTCTGTCTACAAGTAACGTTATCGTATGAACTGTGTCGTCAAAGAACATTTCTGCATTTTATAGATAGGGAAAAGACACCGGTAACATAGACAGATGTGAATTCTCTCTGCCTCTCATGAACAGCCACCCACTGAGGATGCTGTCTCCCCTTTCCAGGATTGTATCCTGGATTAATTACTATCAATCTCCTTTGGCACTAGAAGGAAGACAAAATATCTCAGTCTTGTGTCTAAGTGCTTGGCAATCAAGAATGTGAAACAAAGGGTCTTTTGTCTAATGTAAATAACATTTCTTTATTCTTGTTGCCAAGGAGAAAAACACAAGAAAACAATTCTATATTGGCCTCAAGTGCTTGCTGAATTGCTTCTTTTCAACACATTTGGAATAAAATCAGATTTTTAATAGGGAACAGTTCCTTGTAAAACACACTGCTTGTTGGTTAATGACAGAATCCACCAATTCAGGACGTAACTGTTGCAATGTTTTACAAGGCTTACCAAGGTCAATCAGCACTCACCTATAAATAATGCCTTTGCTATGAAGAAATTGTAGGCCACACAGTATTTCAGCTCCATAAAACCTGAAACACAGTAAAACCACTTTAAATGGAGGGATTAATTTAAATAAAGTAGGGGCCTACTGATGATGTAGTACTTCATTTTCTTTTGGTTACTTTTTCAGAAACCTCTCACTTTTCCCCTAGCCACTAAATGCTGGAGAGTTTGTCTAACACCCTAGGATACAGCTTAAGTTGGAAAAGGCTATTCCTAAGTCAGCTCCTTCCACAAGTATACTTCTTGGAAATCTAATTGTTCCCTTTAATACCTTGGCAAAACTGAGCAAGCCAACGGTACAGTAAAGCTAAGCACTTGTGGAGGTGCAACAATCTGTGATATGAGTAGAACACTTGCTGTTACGTTGCATAGGTGCAGAAGCTAAAAGCACATCCCATCTTAAACAGAAGGACAGTTTTAGAATCGGGCCCACAAACCTTGCCACAACATTATGTTATCAACACTTACGTAGCTCTGAAAAGATCAAAGCGGCCTTTGTCCTGTATATGGAACATTAGGTCTCCGCCATTAAGAAATTCCATAACGAAAAACAGATGGTCCTGTTTACAAACAGGAAAGAACACAACATTAGCTGACTGATGTCAGTATATACACAGTATGAACATGTTGTTCTGCAAGTGAGTCGAGTCATATACTGGTGGCAGCCTCTGGCTGGAAATCTTAACAAGCAGCGTCAGACGTTTATTGATGTAGAAAACTTGTATGACACCCTTCCAATGCGTGTGCATTGCTCATGAAGGCTGACAACAATTAAGCACAAGACCATTCCACAAAAGCCGTAAAAACAGCAGCAGCTGACAACACTTTAAAAATGAGGTTATGCTGTGTAAAGATCATCTGCCTGGCATGACAAATACTAATTGGAACAAGGAAGTTTTAATCAGTCAGTGAAAAACAGTTAAGAGAGGGGCCCAGAAAGCAATAACATGAGAGCATTGGTGGATTTCACCCATGACCCACCTATCCAAGCATCCTCCCCTCACAGTGGCCAACCAGATGCCTATGGGAAGCCTGGAAGCAGGGATCTCGCAGGGTAGGTTATTCCACAGTCTGGATGCAGGCACTGAGAAGGTCCTTTCTCTCATGTGGACTACTTGTGCCTCAGTCACAAAACAAGATAAGAGAAGAGTCTCTCCAATAGATTTGGGGGTTTGGTATGGGAAGACATGGCCCTTGGGTATCCCAGACCCAAACCATTTAGACAGGAAGGGAAGACCGCTTCTCCTCTACCAGATTCCAGAGCCTTTCGTGAATCTATCCTTCATTTCTGTATTTAATGAAAAAGTTGCACCAGTCTCATTTTTTCAGGAAAAGTTTTATTTTCATGTCGTGGCTATTTCAGGGTCCCTTCCAACTCAAACATGCACTTGGGAACCTTCTTTATAATTTCTAACCATATATTTGTGTGGTGCTGGTACTACTGTTGCGACCCACCTTAGGTTAGGTTGCAGCCCAGGAATGGGCCCCAACATATAAGCTGAAGTCCAATGGTGTCCATTATTTGTTTAATGGACAAATAATGCAGAGCCTGCAAATGGATACTTAAGGAGTATGCAAGAAGACACACAGATGTAATGATATGCTCTTTAAGCAAACATACTCTCTTCAAATAAGTCACCCACATATTTCACAGCAACAGCAAATTAAGGATTGAAGTACCTTTGTCTGAAAAGTGCAGTATAAATGAGTAAGAAATGGATTTTCCCATGCCAGTGCTAAGACCCGTTTTTCTACCATGGTGCATTCCACATCATCATCAATTAGCACCACATCCTTTTTCAAAGCCTTCACTGCAAAAAATTCATTCTTCCCTTTCAGTTCAGCAAGCAGTACCTGTAAAACAAAAGATTACTTTGGGATGCGAATTATGCTTTAGAAGCTCACCAGATGATCATGTCCTGGAATTGCCCCTCTGTGCAACAGTGGAATTAGACCTGATCAGAGTGCTATACCCTGTACTCAGGCAAATAAACGTGTCATTTTGCAGCCTACAGTCATATGTGTTCATAAAAATCAGAAACAGTCTCATGGCATCCTGAGCTAAGAACTCAGTGTGACTGAAGCCTTCATGGGTTAGAACAGATATCAGGTACAGCAGGTGCTGTCTAGAGTTGGCCAATAGGCCATACAAGTTTCCCCTTGTACCTGGGATCTCCTTCCCAGAGTCAAGCCAAGCAGCGAAAAGGCAGAGTACTAGGAAACGTTTCATTTCACAGCAAATATTAAAAGCCACAATAAAGCCACAACTGGAGGTAGGGATGTGGGGGGAGTGGAACAACACCTTTCCTCACAGCCACCAAAGGTCCCAGGCACCTGTTGCCTTGAGTCTTAGCCCCCCGGTCCCACTTTGCTGGTGGCCTGAAGAATCACATGGATCACTTTCTCTCTCTCTCTCCCACACCATATAAGGCATTCTAGCAACATACAACCAGCAGTTTGGTAGTTGTTTATACATGCAAAGAAAAGCATGCCCTACCAGTTACCTACCTTTCCAAAGCTTCCTTTCCCAAGAACTTTGTGGAATACAAAACTGTCTATGTTGAATTTCCTCCTACCAGATGGTCGTGACAGTGAACGTCCCTCCCAAAGCTTATCATACTCACTATTATCTGTAAAAAGCAAAATGCAAATTTTTCTGTTAGGACCCGGAAGCTTCTCTCTCTTCTCCCTAAATGGCATGCTATTCTATGGCTCTATGAAGTGTTGATGTACCACATGGACCATTCCATAAATCTGCTCCTGTCACTAGAGTGAAGGACGGAGGGAATGTATGCTGTCATGCATGTGCATGTATGCATGGAATTATAAGGTCAAATTCCATGCAGGCATGAATTCAAAACGAATTCAAAACATCAGAGCTGCCTCAGACACACACAGTTCTTGACTGGGTTCTTAACTAGAGGCTTTAATAACTGAAGTTTAGGGAAGCTGTTACATTTCTGCCTACACTGCTTACAGGGGCATGGAAGGGGGCAGATTTTATTTACATAATTGTTATGCCACCCTTAAGGCATAAAATAAAAGTATACAAACAATAAAAATATAAAGAAAGGATCTGGCAGAAAAGTTAAAGCCATTAATAATAGCAAACCATGTTACACTACATGCTGAAATCCATCTACAAATAAAACGAATACTTTTGCCTGGTGCCAAAAAATGACATCAGCTTGCGACAGTTCACCTTTCCTAGGAAAACAGTCCATAAACGAAGACTAGCTGCCAAGGCTAGCCTGCTCATGAGGCTCGGGTGAGGCAGTTGTCTCAGGTGGCAAGCTGGTCATTTCGGTACCAAGCCAAAGGTGATTTCATAGGCAAGGAGATTCTGAAAAACTCTCCCCCACCAACAAAAGTTATAGTCAGATTGAATTATAGTTGAATTAAGTTGAGAGCGCTCCACAATCTTTGTCTACGAATTAAGGCTCTCAGCTACAAGGTAGGATGCTGTAGTTACATGTGAAGAAGTGTTGTGCATATCATTACTTGTTGTCCATGTCTTTGCATAACTACTTTAAGAATAAACCATCAAACCAAGTGACAAAATATTGTTTGTACTATATGGGTATTGACAAGTTTTAAATTTACATGTTAACTGTTAGAATTATGCATACACAATAAAGAAAAAATGTTTTTCACCTGTTGTATCGCCACTCAAGGATTTAGGTTTTTTATCAAAATCTTGGTAAATTCCGACACTTTCTACTGACCCAGAATCAGATTTTCTGGAAGATTTCTGAAAAGAAACAATGAATATTCAGAATTACTTTATGCTTAAATTAAGAAATGATTGCTTTTCACTAAAATAGCCAGGCTAAATATTAGTACATTGTTTGGCATGATGTAAGGCATTTTCTTATGTAATATTAGTATGTGTAGAAGAAGAAGAATGGAGGATTTTAATTTTCCACTGGGTTTGTTGTCTTATTTTACCAGAACAGATTGCACATGACCAGTTTCTGCAAACCATTTCTGCAAACTGTGGGGACACAAATACAGAGAATGGGCACCTGATGGTGTGAAACATGCATGCGCCACAAGTGTGTACATGAATTCTTACACCGAGTCTTTTTGTGTATGCAAATTACATGCAAAGTGGCAAACTTATGTATTCTGCATATGATGCTTGTGGACACAGTTGTCACATTAGGAATTCATGGTTACCAAGCTGCTAAATCTGACAGTTTGTGAAACAGTGTCTCTTGTCACCAAAAGCTTCTCCCACAACCCCATCTTCAACTATGAAAACTGGAAATGGACTGCAGATTCTTACTTTAAACATTCGAACATTTGACTTGAATGTCAATAAATCTGCATTTCTAGAGACAGGGGCTGTGTTCAGTTGTCACGTTTCCAGTTTTCCAAATCAGTTTGTAGGACTGTGAATCAGCTCTGTGCCTGCGTGATTTCCCTATGTTGCAACCCTAGTCTGGAAGATCTGCTTACACCATTTTGTTGCTTTGCATTAAATGGCAGACTGTGACTTGATTAAACCAGAAAATGTTCTACTTAGTTTGAGGGAAGAGGAACAGGAGATAATGTGTACACTGGTGGAGGAAGGAGGGGTAGGGGGAGCATACCACCCCTGGCAGCGCGATCCCGGTGTGGTGCCATTGCAGCTGCCCCCGCCTGCACTGGGTGCTACGCCCCCTGCAGGTGGCACACCACGCCCCTGGGACACACACCAGCCATGCCCCCACCTGCTCTCTGCCCCCCCCGGTGCCGGAGCATGAAGCTCCTCCACTGAATGTGTAACACAGGGTTTGTCCCTGATCCATCAGATGTCCGAACGCAGCCACAAAGTGACCACAGATGCACATTTACACAAGTGCCAATTGGCAAAGGGGCATTTGTAAGGACTTTAGCTGTTCATCTGAACCTCTTGCTAAATATTGAGGAAAATCTTACCACAATTCTGCACTTCATCTGAAATCCAAGTAAGCAAGGGGGTGGTAATATCCCCATCACTTAACAGGGTAAACTGGATGTCAATGTTGCTAAGTGGTTATACATATGATACGGAATTTATCACTTGAAAATTATCATTTGTATTGACGATTAGATCATAAAATATGATATGAGGAAAAGGACTAAGCAGCATACCTGACTAACTTGAGTTAAAGCTTCTGCCAATAATTTCTGATTGATTCCACAGAGATTTGCCACTTTCTTCTGACATTTGTGGTGCACATTCATTCCACATTCTGAAGAAATACAGTTATGAACAGCATCAGCATAATGCAATTTATAAGCACAATTGATGAATCTACCATTTTTACAGTGATCAGTTTGCTCACTGGGTCCTTTAACCGAACTGAGATCTGTGTTTGCCTTTCCCCCATTTTTACTCTCAGGATTAAAAGAAGCAAACATTACTATATGCATGAAAAACCCCCAACAAGAACAGCGTTTGGTTTGGAGATCATCAATTTCTTTTCACTTGTGAACACAGTTGAAGGTTGTCAAGTTGTTGTTTTTATAAAAAAAAACCTTTAGAAAACACAAACCATGCGCATACTTTTCTGTTTAACTCTTACATACAGTACAAGCATATACAGTGGTACCTCCGGTTGTGAACGGGATCCGTTCCAGAGGTCCGGCCAGATCCTGAGGTTTTCGCAACCGGAGGAAAAGCGGTAAACCGCTTCTGCGCAAACGCGCGTGGCAAAACACTTCCGGGTTTGCTGCTTTTGCAACCCGAAGTTTACGTTAGCCAAGGTGCTACTGTAATCACAGAACTGATCCCTTCCCTCTTCAAAATTCCCCCTAGCACAGCTATTTTGCCCAAGGCTTGTAATGGCCAAAAGAAACAGACTGTACCTTCACATTTTAATCCTTGCTTAACAAGTCCCCAGAGAAGACTACCACAATGATCACAGAAGGTAGGACTCATGTAGTTGTAAACTTTGAACCTGTGAGGCATATCGATGTGGAAGCGCTCCTTCTGAAACTGAAGACACGTTTATATTAGGGGGGGGAAGTAAAACAAGTATTTGGAGATTTCTCTCACACAAGATTTTCAAGTAGAGGGAACGAGAAATCCATTATTTATCCGATCATGTAGCCAGAAGGTTGACACAAGCAATAAGTTGAATGGGGGAAAAAATTAATTCATAAAATTTAACATATTAGAGACACTGCCCACAAGAATCCTAAATAAAAACGTATTCTAAAATGTCCAAGAAAAAGTCGCCATGGACAGTGTTGGGTGTATACTGTGCTTCTTTGTGCCTGAAATGGCAAATCTGAAGCACAGTATCCTGTCTACTCATTCACACACATTGCATTTCTTTAGAGCAGATATATCTACAGCCACAAAAACTAGGAAAACATCAATACATGTGGGAAATGACAGGGGAGCCAATGAATAGAGGAGTTTTTGAGCAAGTCAAGAAGAATGCCTTTATTCTGACAAATGATGCAAAACAAGGAAGCATATGTTTTTTGTCTCTTTAAACTCAGGAACTTCTTTGTGCTTGGCCAGACAGACTTAGGGTAGTGATTGCACAAATCCCTTTCTCCCAGGGTAAGGGAACAAGATTGCACAGTTCCTTAAAGACTTTAAAAAAATTCTCTGGGGCCTTTTGGATAACTTCTGCTGAACTGCAGGACCTGGACCAAAAGACAAAACTTTAAACTGAACAGCAATTTGCTTAGCTGCTCAGACCCACATGCTGTCTTTTCTTGCCTTCCCACTTGCAAAAAACAAATCACGTTCAAGATCTCTGATAACTTGATTCTTAAGAAACAAAATGATAGGCAAAGCATGCCAAATTTACATAATATGTGAAAAGCACATATCTGGTTTTCTTTACCGCTGCATGTCTTTTTTTTTGTACACACAATACATATTGCAGTTAATGAACATATAAAATGTTTTATTACTTACCATTGTATCTCTGCTGTTTGCTGCAGTACCAGTACATCTCCCAATGATTTTATCAATGCATTTTTTGTGAATAGCAGCATTACATTCTTCAGAAGAGCAACAGGAATAGAAAGATACAGGCAGCTAAGTTTCATGGAGGGAGATATATATAAAGTACTCTACACAAAAATGTTATTTTCTCTGATTTTCATTTATCAGTTGTATGATAGTTACAACTTTATATACATCAGTAGAAATGATACATTGGAAAGCTTTTACTATTAGGGTTGAATTTTAAATATATCTGTTAGCATTTTAAGGTATAACAAGATGCCTTCTTGTTTTTCTGTGACAAAAAAAATAAAAGGCCCTTTTGTTATCTGGAAAATGGTAGCCCTAGACAAGCGTAATATTTATTTATTAAAAAATATATTCATACCACTATATCATAAAAAATCAAAGTAGTTTACAACAATGACATCTTGATATAATTAAAAAAACTACATAAAATTTAAAACCAGCATCAACTAAGTTTTCTTAATTGCCTGCATAAGCCTGTTAGCATAGAAATGTTTTCAGCAGGTGTTTAAATGTTAAAACAAAAATGAATAATTAGGAACTGCTGCTATTTAATCTTATTTATTCAGCTACTTCTATAGCACCCTTCACCCAAAATGGTCACAGGGTTGTTTACAAACATAGGGTAACAAGATAAACAGAAACATTAAAATAACTCTCATAAACCATATAACAGCATTATAAAAATGACATAAATGATCAGCCTCTAAAAGCCTGACAGAAAAAGCAGTGTTTTACCTGGCATCTAAAAGAATAGGTTACCTATAGTGATTATCAGCAACTTGTACTACATCTACTAAAGTTTCTCACCGGCTATTACCACCCAAGAATAAAAGACAATGCAATTAACTTACGTCTACATTTATATCCCTGCTTGTTTAGGCCCCTGTAAAGGAAATGAGGGGAAGGTTTAGTCACAAGCAAAACTTATAAAACGTAATATATTCAGACACACAAGTTGTTTTATTAGCCCAAGGTCTTATTAAGAATATGCGGCTGATCCCACTGAAACATTTGAATCTTTCTTTCCCTAGAGAAGTCACAATACACTTTTGAAGTAGGGAAACATCAACCTGCTGTTAATACCTAGCTATGCATTTCAAAGTGGTCCCAGATGGGAGAAGCTGTCTTAGAAAATGGAGGCTGTACCCAAGTGGATGAGAGAGAACAGTCAAGCTGAAGAAGTCAGCTGCCACAAACTTTCAGAACACCGTATGAAATATTAACTGCACATCAGCAGAAGTGATTGGATTTGATTTCTAGATTTTGTAGAGATGCTTTTCTTGTTTGTGCATCTTGTATACCACTCTGATGACTTCATGATGAGAAGCAGTGTATGAATTTGTCAAATAAATAAACTGTGGTTCTGATTGGACGTTCCCCAAACAGGTGCCCTCTGGATGTTTTGGGTGGAAGTTGCCGTCCAAAGCATTTGGAAGGTACAAGGTTGGGGAAAGTTGTTGATGAAATCCATCAGTGGTTGATGCAGGGGTTGTTGCTGTTTTGACGTGGTTTTGAAGGCTCTTGGTTAAAGAAGCCCACTTAAGCCATCCTTGTAAACTGTTTAAAAAGCTCATTTTCAGGTCAGAAAAAAATAATCTTCAGGGTTTCCTACAGGCAGTCACTCTATGGAAAACTAATGCTAGAGTAGAAGTCAAGCTAACAGAAGGAAATGGTAAAACTGAATCCGTCAGTTCTTGCTCTAGCTGTAGCTGTGTGCAACATATAGATAAATAAAACAGACAATAGCTCTCACCACACAAAATCTTTACAGACAGAGCAAAATGTAGGTTGCCCAAAGAAGGTGGCAATGAACTCATGGTTTTTGATGTAGTGGATCTTGGCCTGTTTGATTGCTCCTCTCCTGTTCATAGTCACAGTTCCTTCATCTTCTCTCATTGATTGCTTGCTGTCTGGAAGCAAAGAAATGAAACAGTGAAACTTGTATTTATAAAAGGAATAATTGTTTCATTATTTAGTTTAACAGGTACATTTTAACTTAGTGATAAAACACTATCACTAAAAAAAGAAGAGCACATGCTTGTTCCTCTCCTTCGACTGTCTTCTGTCAAGTGCTGCTGCAGTAATATAAAAATTAAAATGTACTGAAGATATGGAGCATGTTAGGAAAACTCAGCAATATGCAAATTCTATATCTGATAGCAGGCACTCTAGCCACAACTACAGTGCTGGGGCGAAAGGCACAAAACCCCAACCTTTCCCCTATTTCCATGCTGACCACTAAAACTTAATGATCTGAACACATACACCCCATTTGCATTTTTCCCCTGTTCCGCCAAGGCACCCAAGACAGTTTACAATTCCAAATATTACCAGGAGCAAAAAGGTACACAATATTTGTTGGCCAACTTCCGGAACCAAACTACTGTGAAACTATACCTTTAAAAGGCTGGAATTAGATTAATGAATACATCATTTTTCTTTTATTCTGCTATAGAAATGCCCTTTCAGTAAACAAAGGAAAATCAAATGATTTTATTTAGGGCAGGCTTAGGGAACCTGCACCCTGCCCGACCCACTATTCAGCTTGAGACTCTCTCTAGCCGACACATACTTTGCCTGCTTTTGCCTGGTGGCATTGTGGTATTGACTTATGCTTCTTGCTTGCCTGTGTAAACAATAGAAAAATGTGTATAGATATATTCACGTGTGCAGAAAGTCTTGATTTCTGCACATGGCTGGAATGTTGCTTACTGCATACAGATAAGAATCACAGCCATTGCTCTGCTGCCCACTTCTGCTTCTGGTCCCACCCAACACAGGCATACAAAAGATTCCCCACCAGTTTCTATGACCTTTGGGCTGAAAAAAGTTCTCCACCCCCGATGCAGAAAGTCTGTGGAAGACAGAGGAGGAGAAAATAAAGGTGATGGAAATGTGAGCTAAAATCACTTGAAAATACAACCAAGAGTTTGGGCACAATTTCTGTTTCCTTGTGCAAGGTGTTTGTAGTTAGGCAAGAATATGAAGATTGATGCGTGGATCCAAAACAACTTACTCTCAGTGTAGGGGAAGTAATGACACCACAGTGCCTGGCACTAGTATATTAAAAGAAGGGTGTGTGTGTTTTCATAAGCATGATGATGCTGCTTCTGGTTGTATTAGTTCAAACTGATGGAATTAGGAAATCATTTCTCTGTAAATACACAAGAGTAGTAGTTTTTTTAAAAGTGTTTTGTTCCCCTGCAGTTTTATTTTAAGCAAATATTGAAGGACTTGGCAAATGCACTGACTCAACATGCAAAATTTGCCCCGGCTTCCCTCTGCTTGGTCTGCTATCCTTTCTCTCCCACATCTCCCTACTCCTTATTATCCCCACATGCACAAAACATGTACAGCAAAGTGCCAAACTAATCTGGTTTTGCTGTGTGTAATGTGTTCCTTTAGCAATAGGGGAGAAACAGTTAAATTGTGGATGTGTCTCAAAGACAAGGGGAAATCCCCTTTCTGACCTTTTCAATCTTCCGACAGAAGTGCTGTTTCCTCTTGTGCAATGGAAAGCTAGAGACAACCTGAGTTTGATGAGTTTCCCGTTAAAAGAGTATCAGTACATAGACACCATTTTCTCTATGGCTTACTCAGCTTTAGCACTCTGTCTTTCACAAAGTGAATGGAACAACAGCTAGTTTCTGTGAACTTTGAGGCCTGGAAGACAGGAGCAAGATACTAACCAGTACATTTGCAAGTCTGGAAAATTATTCCAATGTTTCCTTAGTTTTTGTATCTCAAACTGATCTCAATAAATACATGCTCCACTTAAATCTAGCAAATGCGTTTAGGACCAAGATAAAAGTCCAAGCTGTTTCATTTCTCCATTGCAGTCCAGGAATTACAAAATTATCTGCTCTGGTGACACATTTTTTGGAACAATCCTGGTGCTCGAAGGTGTGCTTCCACTGTAACAAATTCACTGCAACACTCCTAGCAATTCCTGTGAGCCCCAAGTCCCCCTCTGCCTCCCTTATATCCAGTGCTTTCTTCAGGCTCTTCCCCCAAGCTGTTACAATTCAGAGCATAAAGAGTGATGTGGGCTGGAGTCTTGTAGAAGAGAAGACCAGCAGCTGATTAAGGAGGAGCGGAAGGGCCCTGGATTAGGTGGAATGGCTGAATGCTTTGCAGCAAGCCTGCCTGAAGATCAGGGAATGAGAGCTGAATGCCAGTAGGGATCTCTTCTGTATGCTGAAAGGAAGGAAACTGCTTCCCTAAGTTTTTCTTTTACTCATTTACGAATGTATGCATCAAGTGTATAAAAGGTACATCTGAAAAAGAACATCAACACAGAGCAGAAGTAGGAAAAGTAAGGGTGTCAGGGAAAGAAGAAGTGACAGAGAGCTCTGTTGCAAAGGAAGGAAGTAACAGGAGGAACTGCAGCTACTAGTCAAAATTAGATTTTGTATGTGGCTCGTAACGTTTGAAACTTATAAAATGCTTCTGAAATGCCAATGATATTTAACAATATATATGCAAAAATGATGCTCTATTTAAAAATAAATTACTAGAATTAGAAAGAGAACTGTTTTTGAAGCAACCAGTCAATTCATCTGGTTGGTAACCAGATGAATCATAGAACTGTACAGTTGGGTCATCGAGTGCAACCCCCTGCAATGCAGGAAATATACCTTCCTTCACTGGCTGCTGGTCATGAGGGAGGATGAAAGGGAAAGTGGCAGCTCATCTAGCATTAAACAATGGTGTAGTGTTATGTATGTATGCAAGGCACCAAAAAGGTCTGCATAATGCAGTTCTAGGAAGAGGGTAGGAGCAGATTCCTGCATACTTGGGGAGATGGATTCCTGAGGGATGCAGGAAAAAAGATAATCCCGAGCTTCCCAAAGGCTGGCAAGAGCAGGGACTGTAACCTCTTTCCCCTATAATTGAGGGATCAGCTTTCATCCAGTCAGAAATGGGAGATTGGCTGAAGTGAATAAAGTGGCTTGGTGCTTGCTCCCCTTCAGTCTGGGAGCTTGGCCTCAATAATTCCCCATTGCCATTTAAAGGATCACAAGGGAAGAATGGTATTGGAGGACATGCACAGAATCCCCCACCCTTATAGGCATTCTGAAGCCCAGGTAGGCTATGGAATCTGTCGCCAGTACTATGGACTAATCCAGGAAAGGAGATCCGTGCTCAGAATTATGCATCTCCATGCATAGTCACTCACTGTGTCAGATGTTCATACAAATGCACCAAAACGTGCACAGGTAGTCTGTAAACACTACATTGTTTTCAATGGGATGCACATTCAGATCTGCATTTGGATGCAATTCACAAACATAATCCCTGATCCACTAAGTGACATGCCTAGCAGAAGTTGTCCTCTATATTTAGGAGGCATCTGGAACAAAGTGGAAGGAAAAATTACCCCTTTTACCCTACCCCTCATCCTCCCTGCATTCTATTTTTATGAAGCCATGAAGATGTGGGCAACTTCTAGCAAAATCTTTTAAAAAATGGAAATCTACACTTCTTACACACTATTTAGGGAATTCTGCCATGTACAGCAGTTCAAGTGATAGCAACTAGCATGAAAAAATTGTGGAAAGCTGTCAAAGCCTATAAATATTACAACATGCCACCAAACTTTCACATCTTACCAAACAAAGGAAAAACCTTTGCTCAGACCTCTGGCACAGTTTCCATTGAAATGAATGGGGGTAGTGAATGAACAGTGCAAGAAAGCTACAATTCCCATTAAGAGTTTTATCAGATGGAAATATTGCCAGTTATTGCCATTTACTGTGGGTCCATTAAAAAGAAATTTAGCTATGGAAAACATGCATACGTATTAATACAATCTATAAATCACACAGAAATAGGCAACACTTTTCAGATAACTCTTTCCTGCATTAACCTGCAGTTAATGAGCATTCGAGAATCCATATAATCTTCCCCACCCACTGAAAATGCTAAAATACTTTGTTCCCTACTGAAACTACCTATTTTTCAAAGAAAGCAATTGACAAACCCTTCCGTTTTATTGCTGAAGTCCGCGGCATAATTCCAGAAAGAGAAAGCTATTCTTGCTGCCTCCAAAGCTGCTTAACACAGAGAGTGAGACACTCAGTATGAAAGTAAACCAACCACTGAGGTGCTAAGTTCTGTGACTGGATAAGGTCAGTAACTTCATTAAAATAAACAAAGAAATTGGCAACCAGTTCTACTTCTTATAAGCATCATTTTTATATGGAGGGGGGGAGGGGAGAAGACTCATTTGTGGGACCCCAAGTCTAGCATTCAACCACCTTCTACCCCTCAATTCCAGGAATGATGGAATATTCTTTCTGCTCTCATATGGAGAAGAGAATTGAATCTAGGGCACATCAGTTTGGAAACATGCCATTTTAGTTCAATGACAAGCAATTTGCTCTGTACATCATGAAACTATGGAAGGAAACTTCTCATATACCAATAGAGGCTTGGGTTAATAACATCTGGATCATTGCTCTATCAGAATGCCTCACATACCATCAGCAACTAATCAAAGGCATCTCCAAAAAAGATAGCTTTGAGACAATCTGGTCTTTCTTTTTCTCTTTTATTGAAGAGGAACAGAATATTTTAATGCCACCATCATCACAGAGCTGTCTGTGGAGGGATATATTGATTGAAAATGTATTGTATAGTAATTGTACTATAACTTTTGAATAAATGTCTTAATTTTTTTTAATGAAATGTGTGCAGCAAGCTGCCTATACCACTGAATAGGTGAAGATCCTTAGCATGTAAGAGTGCCATGTGTGCATTGGAGATATGTGCAGGGAGCTCCTAGACCAGATGTATTGTAAAATTTCTTGCCATAAACTTGCATAATAAATTACAAGTACTATATATGAGAATATTTTTCTGCTTACACGTTCCTTTTCTTAATTTACCCCCACATTTGAAAACTAAGGCTACAACATTTAACTGATTAATTCATCAGCGAGGAACCTCTGGCTTGTGGACCCAGCAAAGGTCCTAATTAGGCACACAAGGTAGTTTCTCCCAAGACATGCCCACACATAGGGGCAAGTAAAGATGTGGCCTCTTGCAGTCCATATGCCAACCATATGACCATCATTGCTTGCAATCCCCCAAGGCTTTGCCTGCATAGTCAGAAATCAAACCATGCAGGCAATGGGAGCAGGCTTTACAGGCAATGATTCATGGTGCCTGCAACCCCTTGAGTGTCGGAGCCAGCCGTTACAAATGGCGCAGTTTAGCATAAAATAAAGACACAGAGAGCCAGCAATATTTTCAGGATGGTATGAGCAGCTCCTTTCCAACTTCCCTCTCCTCCTGTTGCTTCTTTATTATCCTTTGTCTCTCTCCAGCCGCATGGCCGTTTGCCAATGTCTCACGTTACCTCATCCGGTCAAGGCTTTTATTGCCCCCATCACCATATAGGGTCATCACTGCCCAGAGGAAACACAACTCCATTTAAGGTCAATACATTCCAATACATTGTAAAGCTCAGAGTGCTGGTCAGCCGAGGTCAGGGGGCACCCTGCAATATTACAAGCCTTTGCCGTGGCTTTATGACTCCCACACTTGAGAATTTCTTTGTCCATGTCGTTTGCAATCAAATGGGCAAAAGAATACACTTCACGGGAGATCATGGTACCTCAGGTGACTGACAAGATGTGCTTTTGGTAGTTTACCCAGTGAAAATTCACCAAACTAGTGAGCTTTCAGTGCTGATGCAATACCTTTTCCCTGGAAGCAAAACACTGGTTTATTTAAACTGGGCATAGTATGCAAATGTATCAACCAATGTTGTTCCAGTCCTGCCAGGCCCAAGGAAATCATTGGATTTTGTAACTCCTTGAGCAACCATGATGGGCTAAAAAGGAAGAACAGTGGTAGAAATGTTCATACCCTGTGCAACCTCTTGAGGGTGGCAGAGGATCCAAGTGACTTCTTTTGCTGAAGCAAAGTGTCTGCCAGTGCACTTTCGGATAATAAGAACACTTTGATAACAGGCTGAGGAACACCTGTGATATAGAAAATGAATTTTCAGCAACGCTTATGAAGCAGAAGCTTCTGAGTTTGTGTCCAGATGACCACAACACATAAAAGGGCGCATAAGGTGGTTAAGAGTCCCTATCAGCTGGCCTCTCACCACATCCCATGGCCAGTCACCCATCCATCAATGTCCATGCACACATCAGAAGGGCATCTACGCTCATTTATGTGCAACCTTGAAAAGTACTTTATATTGACTTACATCATCAATCCACCTAGCTCAGGTTTCTCTACAATGACTGGCAGCAGCTCTCCAGGTTTTCACACATTGCCAGCCCAACTTGGAGATGTTGAGGACTGAATTTGGGACCCTCTGCATGAAAAGCAAATGCTCTACCACTAAGCTATGGCCCTTTGGATATTCCCCCTTGCATGGAGGAATGCTCATGTGAGTATGTACACAGAACCTCTTCTCACACATGTCTGACTTGGGTGAGGCAAAGAAGCTCACACTCTTCCCCTGGCAGCCCTCTGAGATGCCCCCAAACTTTTTCTGAGGGTTGGGGAACCTCCCATTCCATCTGGGAAGATTTCCCCATCCTCAGCTCCCATGCCACAACTCACTCCATTCCATAGGCTATCCCAAGAGGCTCTTCAGGGGACTTAGAAGGCTGCTGAAGGAGGAACAGGGAAGTCACCTTCCATTCTCACATCTCTGGATCCAAGCTAACGTCATCCAATTTAAAGTTAATGTTTACTATATATTGCATCATCATCATCACCATCATCATATTGAAGAATAATATTAATATTCACCCATTTCCTTACCTCCATCTTCAAGAAAATATTGTACAGCCATCAATACTTTCCCTTGAGGTTGCAAGTCAAGCTAAGAAGAACAAAATCAACAAATTACCTTCCAGTTACACTAAAATTCCTACAAACATCTTGTTCTACATTCTGAAAATATCAATGCAGAGGGGCAAGTCACAGTTGAAGACTACTTTCCTTCTCTCTCACATTTATTTCACAATGACAACAATGTTGATACTGTTAGTTTCTTAATTATTACGGAGTCACCCCACATTTCATTTATCGTCAGCTGAATGTAAACAATAAAACCATACAAGGATTGTCTGGCTGTATGGAAGTTCCACATCATTTGCATTAACCCAAATACCACCGATTCCCACAGTTTCCCACTGAGAGCCTCTCTAAATAAGCAGAACATCATTTGAGCTTTGCCCAGATTTATGGACTACCAGGTTACAACGCCACCCACTGATGGCAAATTCACTTTGGGGTAAATTATCAGCCTCAGATCCACTAGCTCACCAGCACTTCATCCGACAGATTAAAATCCTGAGGGCACACGTCACAACTGCAAGGCCCATCAGTTTATCACAAATTAGCCTAATCTTTTCTCTATCCCCGTCAGGGATACAGAGCAAGGTTGTGGAAATAAGACACAGTAATGACATCAAGGACATGAGGCACGTTGAAGCACACATTATGTTCCTTTTCTAAGGAACTAGACAAGGAGCATTCCCATTTTTTGAGAACATGAAGTTCTGCTGAGAATAATCTTAACAAGTGAAAAATTCATATGCTATGAGCATGTGGCCCTCTAGAGATCTGGTTCTAAGCTGTATAGACCTAGGGTAACACAGTAGAAAATAATTAATCACATGGTGTCATACTCACCCAGAATTCTGCTTTCCCATTGCCTTTCTTACATCTTTCAGCCAAAACAGATACACCCACAGTCACCTCAGATAATGGGTCTTCTGCTGCTTTCATGAGAACAATCTGAATAACGCGGCCCTCATAAATGTGGGCATCAAATGAAGATTTCCACTCTGGGTACATAGTGGGTTTCTTTTGAATCAAGGTTTTGCCTCTCTCTGGAAATGTCACAGAAAAGGCATAAATGAAGAGCTGCCAGGAAAACACTAAATTTCACAATCACAACCAACAGACGATTTTAATTTTATTAGAACTATAGCCAGGAAATAATCTCAACAATGTTAAGATAACAAAGAAGGATTTTTTACAAACACATCAACTGCAATAACAGCCAATGAACATTGAATAAGTCTTATTTTAGTCATTGTTTAGATTGCCTTATCCCTAGGGTCCCCAGCCCATTGCCCCAATGGAGAACCCTGGCCCTTCTCATTGTTTAAAAATTTATTTTCCTTTATTGTGCTTTGGATGGCACTGAGCTCCTAGGAAAACCAAGTACAGGCGTCCAACCACATCAACCCTCTTCCCTTTCCCTTCCCCAGAATGCCACTGGGACCCATGTGGGATGTTTCTCTTGTATGTGTTGATGGATTTTGCCTTCAACATGTGTGTTGCTTTGTGGGGTACATGGGTGGGTCTCACCTGTTTGACTTCTTCAGTAGAGTTTGCCTGTTTTTTTGTGCCTTAAGGTGGTGAGTGGATTTCCCCTGATTTTCCCAATGCCCCCACAGCTTTTCCAGATTTGGGGAATTGCCAAAATTGTTTAGCTGCTTTGTGGGGTGGATGTGTGTTACTTCTGTGAAATGGGTTATGTGGTTGTGCATTGGGGCATGGGAAATGTCTGTTTTGAAAGTTGGGATTCAGAGCCAACTTCTCTCTTATAGGCATGCTCTCCCTCTGTCTTTTGCAAAGTTATTTGTCCTCCATGACAGCAAAGATCCCTTGGGCAGCTTTTCTGTGACTAGATAGATGCCCAATGGAAGCCATTTTATAGTGGTGCCCACAAGAGTTTCTCAGATTTCCAAATGTGGCCTAATATCCAGGCCCAATTTTGGCAACTGTGTTAGTTGAGCCATGATAAATAGCCGAATCTCTGTAAACTGTATGGAGAGTGATCGGTTCCTTAATATTCTGACATAGGATTTAAGTTCAGAGTTAAGTTTATGTTTATCCAACAGCTGTTTTGTTTGATGCACGTCTCTCAGTATGATGGACTGTCCAAACAGTAGTAAAGAATAGCACCTCAGTTTGGCTTTATTAGGTAAGGACTGCCAAAACCAACATTATAAATTAGGTATTTGACAAGCAGGCTGATGTTAGCTTGCCAAATGTTCACAAATAGCCACCTGAGGATATTCTGCATTCTGCAGACTTCTGCTTTATCTCCTCTGCTTCTGCCAAAAAGCTTTTACCTGGTCTCAGAGATCCTTTCTAGTAACAGCTACTCAGAGCAGATGTTTTCAATTAATGAAAAGTGAATCCCAGAGCTCCCAACCTCCACCCTTTCTGCAATTTTGTTGTGGCAACTTCTATAACAATGTCCTCAAAGGCAGATCGGCAGCCCATGAATTTCCAGATAAAGATAAATGCTGCTCTAGTATCCCCTCCAGCATCTGTTACATTTTTTCTTGAAGATTTTAAAGGAACTCTACCCATTTGTCGTGGTGATCTAACACACGCTTGACTGTGTTGGCCTAAAAGGAGGAAATCCAACTATGCAGTAATCAGCCTGGGCCTAAGAAAATATTTTCCCCATTTTACATTTGGCCAGAAAATGTTCACTTGAGTGACGTTTGGGTGTACCGATTTTACTGGTACATGGACCAGAATTAGAAAATGTTAATTATGAGACAGAGGTCAAATGATTTTTTTTTTTGTTCAACTTCAACTTGCTTTCCCACAATGATTACACTGACATAAAAGTGTATATATATTACTTATGAACAGATAAAATATTAAAGATTTTCAGTTTATCCATTTTGCTGAACAATTTGTGTACCCAAAAGTATTCAAAATAAACCAGAGCAATACTTTTAAATCTTCATTCACAGTATGGATATGCATTTGTTCCATAATAAATGAAACAAAAAAAAGAAAGAAAAAAGGGTCCATTCATTTCTTTCCAAAAAGGATCCATGGAACAAATAGAATGGAAATGAACAAGCTTTTCTAGTTCTAATAGTAACAGCCATTAGCTTAAAGTTAGAGGGAAAGAAAGCACTTATTATGTAAGTATTTTTAGTCCAAGCCCTGGGAGACAATTGGTTTTCATGCAGTGCAAAAGAAAAGGCCTCAAGAATATTTTTAAGGGTCTAAAGTTCAGCAAGGAAGGCCAGCAATACTCCTGAGCCTTCTAAGAAAGGAGTCACACAGGGCCAGGGTTTATCCATCAAAGCTCTAGGGAACCTCCTTATCCTGATAAAAGGCCATCAAAGATACTGTTTCCTAAGATGCAGGCATACCTTGTTTCCCTGACCTCTTTAGCCAAAGGTGTGATTTTTTTTCTTTTTTTAGTTGGAAAGCCTTCCTCCCAGATGCTGAGAGTTTTCAGTATAAAACACACATACACACAACACAACACAACACTCACACGGAAGTACTGTATCAACATGTAAAACCTTCATGTCAAAGAGAACAATAACTACCAGACTTTTAGAAGACATCTGAAGGCAGTCCTGTTTAGGGAAGCTTTTAATGTTTGATGTATTACGGTATTTTAATATTTTGTTGGAAGCCGCCCAGAGTGGCTGGGGAAGCCAAGCCAGATGGGTGGGGTATAAATAATAAATTATTATTATTATCATCATCATCATCATCATCATCATCATCATCATCTCTTCCTGATACATTGCCTATGATCAGATGACTTAAATCCAAATGATGCTGTACACAAATAGCCATATTCTTCACTCTTTCCCTGTCATTGGGATTAAACTGGCCTATGCCACATACATTAGACTAGAAACTGCATCCTTTGACACCTTAAGGTTGTAATTGTATACACATTTACTTTGGAGTACATCGCTACCGACTCAGTGAGATTTCCTTTCTCATAAACAAGCACACAATTAGACTCTGGTCCTGCCAGACCACATGTGAGGAATTCCAGACCACAAATGGAATCAATTCAACTGATCAATCTTCTTACCTGTAGTCAAGGCCTCTTTCATTTTTATTGCACAGAATGGCTGTGGTTGCTCTCCTTGATTCGGCATAGGTCCTAGCTCAAAGGAGTTGAATGATATTCGTAAGAAGGGAGCCATTTCTCATAGCACAATTGTAAACCTACACAGGGGAAAAACAGATAAAAAAGTTAAGGCTAGAGTTAGAAATTGGGCCGTGTGGAGAAAATAAGATGAAGAAAGGACTCAGTAAACCTTGCTTGAAATCAACTCCTGATGTGTTCTGATACCCATCTGCTGAGTTGACTAAATTTATAGGGAAAAGATTAGATGCTTCTTTCTTTCCAGTAAAATTATAATAAATCCAATTCAGAGTAAATCTGAATCCAGACATTCTAGTTCACATATAGCTTTTTAAAACCAAAAAGCAAAATGCATCATGTTATTGTGTGCATATTGGCTCAGCTCCTAAGAACTAAGTGTCTTGCTCTTCTCATGGAATAGAGGTTTTCACACTTTCTGTACCCCCAAAACCAGATCTATAAGGTCTGAGGACCTTGGGAAATGGTGTGAGATATGGCATAAGAGAGGCTGCAGATGGCCGGAAGATTTGAAAACTGCAGGAGCCCCTTCCTTGGATGAGCAGAAGTGCTTTTCTGATCACAGTGCACACTTTTTGGAACCAAACCACATATCTTTGGCTAGTGGCCATAATTAACCTTTCTAGCTGACACATCATACATAAATCTCTTCCTTTTTCTTATCCTGCTGTTGGAAACTTATTGCTCTAGATCACTGTCCATCTTGATAAGACACTTAAGCCTCACCAGTATTTAGCTAATGACAAATATATTAACAGAAAGCAAACATGTGTTTGGCTCCCTGCAGTTCTGTCATTGTGTTTAAGGCTGACACAAGCGCCAAAACAAGTCATCAGTAGAATGTTTCATTCTTCTCTGGACTAAATGAGAGCACAAATGTTGTTCATTTGTTTGCTTCATCTTACTTTAAATAAATCACTACCCCTACTTTGTCTAGACGGCTTGGTATCAAGATTTTAATGTTATAAGTCTTCTCATTCAAAATACTAATATCTCACCCAACTCCCAAATTGAAATCAAGGTGGCTTACATAAAAGCATATCATAGAATAAATAAAAAATACAGTATAAAATTATAAGCAAATCATGCATACTTAAATATAAACATTAAAGTTAAAATGCTTCCAATTTGATATATTAGCTATACATCTTTTAAAGCAACACTAGATGACAAATATTTCAGAACTAAGAGAAAACTCTGCTTTAGAAAGCCTGTGGTCCAATATAAAAGAAAAAGATAAACTAAAAAGAAGTCTGTTAGATGTTTACAAATAGACATGAGGTCATCCTTACATTTTCTAACATATCACAAGACATTCAGTCTGCACATTCTTAGTACAAGCTACAAGCATTACAGCCAGAAACTATGATCTAAACCTCAAAATATGTGAATCATCATTCATGTGCATGGGAAACCTTTCACACAGATAAACTTCTGTGATCTATTTGCCTGCATAATTAAGAAGTCCAGTATTTCACTTGTGAAATATGCATGAAGTACAAAAGCATCTGGTATTAGTGCTTTCCCCTGCCACCTAGTAGTTTCAGTCTTTAAAAACAAAACAAAAACAAGAACTACTCCAACCCACAAATCAGATCAGGTTCTATCCTGTCTTTCTTCTTTCCCCCATTTGCTGGCTTAAATCATTCGGAATTATTTGTACCTCATTGCCTACTGTCCGCTTGTTCTCTTAATTACATGCGTGTTATTATAAAAATATTTTCAGATCCGATGAGTATTTTGGCATGAGATTGTAGGGCAAACACACATCTTGGTTTCCTCAATTAAAAGACAAAAATGAATTCACAATCGTAATCCCCATTATATCTATACAGTATATCTATATATATTTAATTTCTCCATTGCTTTTAGCAACACTCTTCACCTGTCCTGCATTAGCAACCACATAAATATAACCTTTCCTACTTCCTTACACTGAAGTCAATCTTAATCACAGAGCAATTCTGTTCCACAGGTAGATTTCCACATGAGATCTGCAAAAAACTTGCTTGTCAATGTCTCATCCTGGCAAATCAGTAGGTGGCGCTCTTTCCACTGTATCAGTAATTGATCTCCAGAAACCATACTACAACATGATTTGTTGCAAAGTGTCCCTTCTGTCTTAAATTAGCTTAAAACCATTTTTTTAAATGCACAGCACACTCTTGCAGACTATTTTGTCAGTGCAAAGAAGGGTTTCATTTGCTATATTATTAAAAATGTCGTATTTTAATGTTGTATTTTAACATAACCATAAATAACTGGTGTATAATTTCAAATAAGCACCACTTATTATGTTATAACCTAAACTGAGGAATACACCCCGATTACTGTAAGCAAATCCAGCCATGAGATACACAATGATGCCACAAATTCCTTGCCACCATTTGCCACCTCACACAATGGCTGGTGTGAATAAATGGAGAAGGTCCAGCCTTGAATTCTTCCAGTCTTTTTAATTTTTTTTAAAAAATGTTTTTATTAAAGATTTTCTTGCGTTATTCTTCCAGTCTTTATTATTCAGACCACCACCACCCCATCCATTGGTCATTCCAGTCATTGGCACAGGTATGCCACCTTCCAGATACTTCCAGTTCCACTTTGCAGAAAGTTCCCCTTTCTTTTTGTTTCACTCCAGACTATGTTATGAATGGAGTAGATTTCAAAGCAAAATGGAAGTGAGAAGAACATGCATTTTGCAGTAATAACATAACCTTGGATAGCTCAGTTGGTGGAGCGTGGTGCTGATAACGCTAAGGTTGCAGGTTTGATCCCTGTATGGGACAGCTGCATATTCCTGCATTGCAGGGGGTTTGGACTAGATGATCCTCAGGGTCCCTTCCAGCTCTATGATTCTAACCTTTGCCAGAGGCCTATTATCCCTTGCTGCCATGAATTAAGACAGTATCAGTGATGGGCAGTGCTTTTTCTGGGGGCACTCAAGGCTAAAAGTATGGCACTTGTTGTAACAACAATTTCATGGTGAGTACTGGCACCTTTTCTTTCTAGAAGAACAGTACTGGTGATGGGGAGGGTCAGAAACAAAGCCAGGAAAAGGCCTTTCTCATTGGCAGCTCATCTTTCAGAGGCACTTCTTGGTATTGCCAGTACATCTCCTAGCTGTGTATTTGACTATGTGAGTTTAGCTCCCCACCCCACTAATTATTTCTATTTATCCCAAACATATATATGAAAGACACAGTTTCTAGAGTATGAATCAGATCCTTTTAAACAGTTGAAACTGAAGGTTTTTTTTCCCTGAATCATATTCTCTAAACAGTTACAAATCTTGAATTAATATAGTACATATTCCTGAACTGACATGCTCAGATAATATGCTTTGCTTGCTACTGAGTAGGGAACAAACTATTATAAACCCTTTCATTCCAAGGTACATATCCTTCTTTGAAAATGGAAGCTCTTACAGCAGGCTATAAAACTGAAGATAAATGAAATATTATTTTAAAGAGGAAGAGATTGTAAGGTGGATCAAATGCTTTTTATTTTTGCTGTGGTGAGCATTTTCCTAGTAAACGAATGTTCATCATTGCCAACATGATTATTCGACTACCATTTAGGGGGAGAAGTCAGCATTTCCCATCTAGTCCTTGAGCTGATATTTGCATAAGTATTTGTGTACCATATACTGTACAGATACACCCATTGGAAGCAAGTGGTGCTTAGCAAGGATCCTAAAACACATTTAACCACCAACATGCTTTCCGCAAATTTTATTCAAGATGTCATTGACTGTTAAGAATAGGAAAAGAAGAATTCAGGTTTGATAGTTTCCAATTACTTGGTGACTCGCTGGCCTGGTTCACACATAAGCATGATTCAGTGTGCACAAATGGGCACCAAAAGTGAAGATCACACCTGCTGCATTATTTACCCAGTCCTGTTGATGCTGGGCTCAGTACAGTGGTACCTCTAGTTATGGACTCGATCCATTCCAGGGTGCTGTTTGCACCCCAAAAACTCCACAACTAGACTGCCACTTCTGCGCGCGCACACAGCACGATAGAGCGCTTCTGTGCATGCACGCGTGGCGAAACCTGGAAGTATACACTTTCGGGTTTGCCGCACTCGTATCCTGAAAAAACGCAACCGGAGACTGACGTAACAAGAGGTACAGCTGTAATACATCTGAACCTAGGCTGTGGTTTTTCTTGTCCAGACAAATCACAAGCTGTAAGCAATATTTGTTTTCAGCAGCATCAGCAGCAGATGAGGAGCACAGCAGATGCAAACTTCACCTTGGGAACCCACATTTACTCATTTATGCTGTTGCATGTTTGAGCATTGTGCATGAACTGGACCAATGTCTCTTTATTGGCTCCCATGTTTAAAACAAAGTACTGCTAGACTGACAAAAGCTGAGCGGAAACTGTTTGCTTTCCCTATATTTCAGAGGTCTCTACAGCAGCTCTCATAGCACTCCAAGGAACATAACAGCTGCTAACAAAACAATATTTACTGGAATGAAACACAGTGCTTTATCTGTTAAAAAAACCAAACAAAAACAAAATGTTAAGATATTCTGTTTGTGATAGCTTTAAGGTGGGAGAAGGATAAGCTACTTACAAAATGTAGAAACAATATTTCAGTAATCTATGAGAAATAAAAGTAAAGATTTAGTCACAATATTTCAGTGTATTGTGGAAAATATATTGGCCTGGTTCACAAATCTCATTAAATGGCCATTAAAAATAAGCTATGCTTTAATGAGAAGCAGCAGCACATAGTACACCTGGGGCAGGGGGGAAGCTAGAGACCAAGGGCGGCAGCTGCAGTTGCCCAGAGGACTCCTAAGGAGAGGGGAGAAGAGAGGAGGCTGAGGGAATACTTCACAAGGGAGGGTGTTCAAAAAAGGGTGAGAGGCTGCCAGCTCTGCAGGCAAGGGGTGACCTAACTGAGTCCCACAGGGGTGCCACAGAAAGAATGTAGTTGGTCAAGGGAGCCGTGGACCCAAAAAGGTTGAAAACCTCTCAGTCAAAAAATAAATATTAATTTATGCTATAAAAAAACTTAAGGAACTACAGTGGCACCTCGGGTTACAGATGCTTCAGGTTACAGACTCATCTAACCCATAAATAGTACCTCGGGTTAAGAACTTTGCTTCAGGATGAGAACAGAAATTGTGCGGCAGCGGGAGGCCCCATTAGCTAAGGTGGTACCTCAGGTTAAGAACAGTTTCAGGTTAATAACAGACCTCCAGAACGAATTAAATTCTTAACCCGAGGTACCACTGTATACTGGAACTTTCTTATCTGGGCAAAAGACCCCCAGAAGCCACTCCATACACATGCATAAAGCTTGGAAGATACAGACATCAGTTTTCAAAGTGAGAATCTCTTGCAACTCTCAAGGCAAAAATGGATTTGAAAGTGCTACCAAGGCCCAAGTTTGACCTCCCTGCTACCTTGTCAGGCAATCTCTCCCAGTTGCCCATCCCCAACCCTGTCTACAAAAAAAGAAAAAGAAAAAAGCAAGCTCTTACTGAGACTAGGTGTTTTGTTTAATATATAAACAGTCATTTATATACTTGCTGGTTACATAAAATATGTATTTAAATAAAATATGTATTTCCATTTCACAAGTTAGCCACTTATACATCTGGATCAATGTTTATATATCTTCTTTTCCTGTTTATTTGTTTTTCTCCTGTATCAGTCTAAGCTATGTTTTTACCAATATACAAGTAGTTAAAAGGTTGCTATTTGCTATAGATGCTTTTGTGTCAATGAGATAATAAACATACTAGAACCGCAACTTATTATGCAAAGCTTTGGTGTTTGGAAAGGGTTGGGATTAAAAGATCAGTAGCAGGCTTTGATTAGCAAATTATACTGTAATCAGTGTTTGAAACTTCTAGGTGCATTTTGCGAGAGGGAATTTCATTAGTGTGAGCAGTTTCTGAGCTCAGGGTGCAGTACTGCGCCTAAGATTTCAAATTAAAATTGCAGAGTGGAAGGAAATGAGGACCTTTTTCTGCCTCCCCACTTGCAGCTACTCTCTGAAGACTGGAGAAAAGACCGTCTTAAGAGTATTAGGGGGGTGGGCAGGGGAAGGCCTAGAAGTGCGCCTAGACATTCCGTTGTGCCCATAACCTAGGTTTAAGGTGCCATTTAGCTCCTTAGCTTTCATATCTCAATTTGCAACACTGGCTGTGATGTACAAATCTTGTTCCCCCAGCATTTGTTTTAAAAGGTGGAATAAAATGTACTTAAAAAAGCATATTTAGCTCCTGTTTAGAAGAGTATTCTGAATTGAGTGATACTATTAAATAATTTGTTGTGTGAAAAAATCATAACTAGGGACACTGTTGCACACTGGAATGTTAATAATCTCACAATTTGTTCTACTAGGAGGACAACAACAGTGACATTTTGTTCTCTATTCTGAAGACAAGTGAAATTGTTTTTTCCTTGGCAAATTAATCACCCAGCTTTTGTCATATTAAAACTGCAACCTTACATTAAAAACAACAACCTTCCTCTAACAGTGTGAGTAGAAATACAATTTTATTCCTATTCTTTATACCAAGGTTATATCCATTTTTTCCAGCACTGCCTGACAGGTCTCCCCTCTCAGTATGCTACATACTTGAAAACTGCATAGCCACACAATGTAAAATTTATTGGCTAGTTCAAAAAAGATGAAATGTAGCTGGGTGCGTGCTAGGAAATCAGGGCACACCCAACATTGAAACTACTGTAAATTCAGTGCCTTCAAATCAACAGAACTAAGCAGAAGGACCAGTTCTTCATGTTGTTTTTATGGATTCCTACCCTTGGTGAATAACAGTGGGTTCAAAACATGCAGAAATAGCATGTGGGTAGGTTTCCCCCCTAGATTTGTCCTTAGCACGGGGCTGCTGAGGCAATACAACACATCTAGAGAGTTATGCAGTTAATTCAGTTGAATTGTATGGTTTGTTTTGGCATTTTTCTGTTTGCAGTGTGTAAATCCATAGTGAGAAATGTAACATTTGTAAGCTTCTTTACATAATATTTGTGTTTTAGCTCATATTATTTGAACTCCAATTAACATTAAACCATTTATCCGTTAACCAGCTTGATCTTCCCTACAAATATAATCAATGTGATTCATGTAACAGTTTTGCAACAAGAATTGATCTGTTACTTCATGACAACTGTTCTCACTAAAACATGAATCAAAACCAAAATTCCACTTGCAGCAATATACACAATGAGCTAATGTTTCATGGGCAAGTGTCAAACTTACAGTAATTTTGACTGGAAATATGGAAAAAAGGTTTTCTGGCATATGTCCTGTGACCAATGTAACAACAACAATTTTATTATTTATAAGCCACCAATCTGACTGGTTTGCCACAGACACTCTGGGCGGCTTCCAGCAAAATCTAAAAACACAATAAATAACAAGAACAGAACAGCTTATTTGATGAGAAAAATTATTCTCCATTCCTACATGTCTCAAGTGGTCATTTAAAAGAATGTACTTCATCTATTTATGAATCCCTCTTTCCTCTCATTAAAGTAATTCAACTCCCAAGATGTGTAAAACAACTTAAAGCTTCTTTATGTTAAGAACAATGAATGCTTGTAGAAAGTGTTAGTGGTTTTGCTTTATGCTTTTGCATAGGCAGCCTTTAGCCTTCTACCATTTACAGTTATGCTCTGCAGTACTTTCCGTCTGAATGCCAACTTCCTTCACAAGTCTAACTTCAATGCTTAACATAATTGAAATAATGGATTAACTACAGGGATTCTGCTGCACCAACAGTTCACAAATGTTAAGGAGCCCCAAACAGCTAATGGAGCAATTTCCATTTATATTTTGCTTTCCAACCTCCTCCTCCCCGCTCTCAAAGACCAAATGGAAATTTCACAGACCAAAGAGTTGGATGTAGCTCTTTTCAGATAAATTGTTTTGAACAATCCATAAACAGTCCATTTCCATTATAACATGACTTTTTAATAAAATACAAAATCTACAGTGGAAAAGTTACTAGTTTCCAGGGGATTATGCTCAACAGAAAGAACATGTAAGTGTGAATAATGAGCATCTGGACCATATACACGTAATTTAGTGCATGGGTGGGGGAGGGGGTGAATGTAGAAATAAACCAATTCTTTATCAATTTTTGGGATCAAGCTAGATCGTTTTTCTCCCAGCTACACACCAAAAAACTGTGAAAGCAAACCAATGAGTATAAAGTGCCTTAATTCAAGGATTAAATCTATTACTCTCAACCTGAATCTTTATTTTAGCTTCCTCTCATAGGCAAGTTTTCTTTTGAACAAGCACTGACTGTACTAGATGTTGCCCAGAACAAAGAAATGATTACAGTTCCTGTTCAGAGGATTTATAATCAATCAGAAAAAAGAAAAATAAGGTAAGATACTTGGATGTAAGCAAACTATTTAAGATTTGTGAACTTGTCATAATGACTGCAGAGTAATCCATTGATATACTGTAAACCGATTTTTATTTCTTTTTAAAGCGGAAATCCAAGAATTAATTATTTGACAAAACAATTCTGGAACATGTATGAGAAACCAGAATGAGATAAGCTTTCAGGGCTAAATTAGATATATTATTTGTCTGAATGCAATCAGGATGTGTGTTACATAAACAGAAGGCCAAGGGAAGTCTCAGCAGCCCTGAACAGTAGGGTCTATAGAGGGGGGAGTTTAAATATCACTCTGCCAGGTACGGGGGGAAAAACTAACATTTGAAGTTACCATTTTGATTTCAATGAAAGTGTCCAATGGGAGTTTCTCTTAGAAGTCATGTAGGAAGATAAAAGCACAAGTGATCCCTCCTGTATTAGAATAAAGACCCATCCAAGTCCAGCATCAAAATTCCCAACTAGATGTCATTGGGAAGGCCAATAGCAGGACATGAATGCAACAACAATCTACTACCTTTTTTCCCTTTGGAGACTGTTATTCTGAGGAATGTCACCACTAATCCTGGAGGTTGCATATAATTCTCATGATTAGTAGTCATCGATAGCCTTATCTTCCATGAATTCGTCTAATTTTACTTTTAAGCTAAGTTGGTGGCCATCATCCCATCTTGTGGCACTGGCTTCACCAGTGCAACTACATAGAACATGAAGGAGTACCTTTTCCCTCACGTTTGTTGTGAATCTCCCATCTTCACTGGATTACTCTGGGTTCTAGTAACCCTACCCACTCTGTCCACGTTGTGTGTAATTTTATGCATCTCTATCATCTCCCCACTTAAGTGTGTGTGTGTGTGTTTCTAATCTGAAAAACCACAAACATTGTAACCTTTCATTACAGGGAGTTGCTCCTGATCATTTTAAGTTTCCTTTTTCTGTGCCTTTTTCAGCTCCACGGTATCCGTTTTGACAAAAATGACAAAAGCTTTAGACAGCATGCCAAGTGTGGCCAGGTCGTAGGCATTATAATATTAGCAGCTTCATTTCTGATCTCTTCCTGAACAATACCTAACATGGAATTTACCTTCTTCACAGCATCTGCACACATGCTTCTGAGACAACTACCTCAAATTTTAATCTCCTATTTAAACCTTTACTTCAAGAACTGCATGGTTACATTTCCCCCATGTTATTGGTGACGACATGCACAATGGCATAGACTCCTGCTCCCCAGCACTACCAGACATGTTGAGATGGTCAGAGTTGTGTCAGGGAGTGGAAGAGTTACATTTCTCTTCCCCATCCTCCACAGTGGCAAGGCTACTCAGGCTTTCCCTTGGCTTATATTTACAGAACACAAAAGACAAGCACATGTAGTTTGACCCTCAGTAATAAGATATCCCCCCCAAGCACATATCTTCAGATATTTTCTAACTCCTTCCCTACATGCCCTCCCCCAAAAGCGAAAAGATAAATATATCTATAAGTGCCTGCTACTAAAAGAACGGCATCATATTTAGCAGCATGCCCGAGGATGTAGTTTTAATGCTAGCTTTCTAGTTTCTATTCTCTATGCTGAGTTTCTAATTGATGGTAATCAGCGATCTCCTCCCACTCACATAGCTGGTTGGTTTGAAGACTGTAGCTGCTTCCCAGCAAGACTGCAGCATTGACATGAGAGTTCAGATGCATGTAAGCACTCATTCATATCACCCCCGTGATCAGAAATTCACACTGTCCCTTTATTGCACACTCTCACTTTAGAGTACAAACACTTTGTTTGCTAGCTGCCATAACCTTGTTTGCTGTGACATGAATTCCATGCAGATCAAATCACACTATTTCTCCACCCTCAGAATTGCAGGGGGGAGGGCAACATGGTTTGCACCCGGCCAACCATCCAGAGATGACCTTGGAACTAACTGCAAAATGACTGGTTTTGTTTTGATGGGAAGGACTCGGGTTGGGACTGGTTTTATCCAGTGCAGCCTCTGCGGTGGGGTCTTGACCAGTACCCACCCACCTACCCTTGACCCAGTGAGGGATTTTTTCCCCTGGTTTCCAATTTTGGTTGCAGCCACAGAGGAATTTTTCCTCCCCTGGAGTTCCTGATTACTTTTGGATTTTACAGGTCTTCTGCCTAAGTCACACTGGGCTTGGGAAGTTCGGCAATTGTCCAGGCTCCCACCTTTTCCCCATTTTGGCAGATACAGTGCTAGGTTAGATGAATTGGTGTGAAGGGAAAAAATGGTGAACACCTTGAGGCACCTTCTAGGAGATGAAAGTAACACATCTGTTTTGCATGCAGAAGGTCCCAGGTGTGGGAGATTTGCAGTCAAACCTAACAATCCACATTTCCTAGTCGGCTACAGTCGGCTAATTTAGTTCACACTCTCTCCTCTCCTGAAAGGAAGTAAATAAGGCCTGTTTCCTGTCATCCACCCCACTCTTCACACTGCAAATAATGGAGTGCCATCTTGCTGAATTTCAACTAAGATTATTTTTGCCTGCATTATTTTATTGCTGCTGCATAGTGAAAATGCATATCTGAGACCTATAAGCTAAGTAAATCATTTTAAAGCTTGCCCAAAAAACCAAGGATTATGTATTATGATCCTCTGACTTATAGGAGCCCACATCCTCTGACTTATAGGAACCACTTCACACAGCAGCAATACCTATTTGCAGATCCTTCAGAGTTTTTCTAATAAATTTGTTGCCAATTAAAAATCCCAGACCTGAGTTTTCTCTCTCATTTGTAGGGCTATGGGTGCAACTCTCATGCTCTACTTGCATAGAATCGCCAGAATCTCATAGGTGTCCAAGTCTAGAATGGATCTTCCTTGTCTGCAGCATTTCTATAATTTAGTTTCTTTCCATCATTTCTTTTTTTAATCTATGCATTAGCTGGCAACTCATCATACTTCCTTTACTAGAGAGGAATAGTATTCAGGCCATTTTCCTGCACTGCTGATTGTGAGCAGCATTTCCATTTGAATCAGTGGCTTGCTATGAATCAACCCCCAGCCAGTCCAATTATCCCACAATCCAACCCCTCATCTCAAACCTCCTTTATCCTCAATAGATAAAATACACAGAAGTTAAAATCCATTTCCCCCATACATTCTGGGGCAGGGGGAAAGTATGATGTCATTTAACACACACACACACACACACACACACACACACACACACATCTCAGGATTACATTCTTTCATAGTTCCAGAGGCTTCCTAAAGATGTATGTCTCTCACTGCTCCACATCTAATCCAGGGACTGATAACAACACTGTGAGAAAGCCAAGAAATCTTTTGGCAGTTTTACAAGGAAATTGTTGATGGGACAGAAATTCTGCCCACATTAAGTGTTTGTTTCTTAAAAACCTATATTGATTCCTAGTTCAAAGAAAAAAATCAGGGCATCATTTGGCTGGTACCATTGAGTGGCTACCTGTCTAGTCATGGATATTATTCTTAGGGTCCTGAACTAAGAACAGCCTACTGGTGCATTTGACTGTAAACTCTGTTTCAAATTTGAGGAACAGATGGATACACAATTTCTTCTGTCTGAGGACAGCTTAGAAGTAATTGAGTATGATGCCCTAGCATGTCAATCAATGGCTGGTAACACCTTTCAACTTTTCTTTTTCTTTGTTTATTGCACTCTGTCCTAGAACTAATAAGCTTGCACATACTTCTCCAACACCAAATTCAGAGGGTGCCAGGAACAATATGGAATAAACTTTAATACCCATATAAACAGCCTATTAAATTCAGTTTATATTTGTAGAAAAGAATCATTCTACTGATCATCAGAGTGTTACTCAGATAGTCACTTTTATTTTGGCAGTTGCATTACAGCTCTGTACAATATCCAGCTGAGCCTTTTCCTATAATTATCAAGTGCATTAGGCTTCATCTCCTCTAAACATGTAGCCATGAAAAGAAGTGGCAGTCAGTTATTATTTCAGTGGCTTTCAATGAAATGACTGCCTTCAGCTTGCACAATGATTTTGAACAACACTGACTGGGCTGGGATTTGAGCATGCATCTCCCAGGCCAAAAGGAAAATGCTCTTATCTTCCAGACATGAAGACATGAATAAAGCAGGCATTAGTTCGTGGCAACTTCTAATTATTTGTTGATTATGTGGTTTAGGCTCTGGTCCTCAACAAACTCTACTAGAAATAACTACAGTGGTACCTCGCAAGACGAATGCCTCGCAAGACAAAAAACTCGCTAGACGAAAGGGTTTTTTGAGCTGCTTCGCAAGACGATTTTCACTATGGGCTTGCTTCGCAAGACGGAAACGTCTTGCAAGTTTGTTTGCTTTTTCTTAACACCGTTAATACAGTTGCGACTTGACTTCGAGGAGCAACTCATAGAACGCGGTGTGTGGTAGCCTTTTTGAGGTTTTTAAAGACTTTGGTGATTTTTGAAGCTTTTCCAAAACTTTCCCGACACCATGCTTCGCAAGACGAAAAAAATCGCAAGACGACAAAACTCGCGGAACGAATTAATTTCGTCTTGCGAGGCACCACTGTAGTAGGGTTTCATTTCTAAGCAATGAACTTATGACCAGGATGTTAGCAGCTATTATCATGCTTAACCTCACAAATACGTACCAATTATTTGTGGTGAAATTTAACATAAAAGAACTATAGATATTCCTTCCAGTAGTACTCTACTGGTGTCAAGGATTAAAAGAAACAAAGGGCACCAAAGTGAAAAGTATTTCCAATTTTTTAAAAGAAGCCTTAGTTTGAAATTATGATCTCAGCACAGCATGCCTTGTCCTAGACATTATGTAGTGACATTTTGTTTTAGGATTCAAGCTCCTCTACAGCATCAGGATCAATATAATATTGTTAAAGGTAAGAACACATGGGTTTCACAAGGCACTCTTGAAACTGAGAAGACATTTCATAGAGAACACTGAACACAACCCACATACTCTGTTCTGCATGCTATGGCTCTGTTAAAGAAGTGAAAATAATAAACATAAGAACTGGTGTGTCCAAGGGATATGGATTTGTGCCACTTTGAGGCAACGTTGAATCACAAATACATTTTCATCTTCATGGGAAGAAATTAATGGAAGACAGGAAACTAAAACTAGGACTTGAAATAAGAAAAAACCCAAAGCTATGTGCCTAGCATGTGCCACCCAGACCTGTGCTTATTAATTTGCCCATACCTCAGTGGTGTTTGGAACAACCAGGAAGCATATTTGCAGCTTCCAGCTGTGATGAGTCCTGTCGTGCAATATGTTCAGGCCTATCTTTTTGAGTCGCCAGCTTTATTAAGTCAGCAACAGGGATTCAGCCTACATACATTCCACCACAATGGCCACCTGGAGACCCCAGAAACTATCTTAAGCTTCCAGTAAGAGGGTCACATTTTATATGTATTTAAGCTTGATTGCTGACAACTAAACTGACCAAAAAAAATTTCAGATGCTGAAGTACTGCCCAAATAATGTCTCATGGTAGAAGACAGAACTGTGTGAATAACACTATCCACCCTGTGCAGCTGGTCTGCTGCTCTCAGGTCTGGTTTGCCTTTAGTATATGGAATGGGAGAGAGGTGTAATTTTGTCCTTTGCCCCGGCACCAAAATATCTTGGACCCAGCCCTGCACATAAAATAGAATATACTTTCCAACAGCTCTGGCAGACTCCATTGAGAAGATGCTGGGAGGTGGTGGAACAAACCAATTTAATTCCATAATAGGCGTCTCACAAGCAATGCCTTCCCCATCTCTCCACTGCCCATTTCTCAAGATGCACCCCCACTCCCAGCTCTCATTCCTTTCCCCCTTGCATTTCTTCTGGTAGAGAACTGCAGCCCTGAGTGACACAGTTTCCTAATGTTTCTTATTAGCAGCAAAAAGCCATTGCTTAACAATGGCTCTGCTTGCCCAGAATTCCCTCTCATCTTTCTTCACATTCCAGGAAGGAGCATTTTGGAAAGCAGCTGTTGCATAAATGATAAGAGGGAGAAAACATGAAAACATACCCATCCTTTCTTACTCATTCATATGCACTCCCGCCCTCTCACAAGCAGTGTGGAGAGAAGAGAGGAAGAGGGGAGTGCTGGGGGAGGGGGGAGCATCTGCATCAGTTATCTCATTCCCATTCTTAATTACCATTGCCTGAAATGGCAGTTTCAAAGAAGCAAAAAAATAAGAAGAAAAGGGGGAATGTGGTTTGGCAGTCCCTTGAAGGGAGCTAAGCTGGCTCACAAAATGCCACTTACCACCTCTAACTATCAAAAGGGTAGGGAGGTGGAACTGTCAATCATCTGATGTCAGATGACCAACTTTTACCTTTGTGGTAAACACTGTGGGCTCAAACCCCAACAATTGGGCACTGGCAATCAGCTGGTTGTTGGGGCATCAAAGCACTGCACACAAAGCTCACTTGCAAAGAGCAGCACATAGGATTTTGGAGTTGTCAACAATCAGGAGATCAGTGGTGCCTGCAAACCCCTTATTGGTCCAGCCACTAGTTTACTCAACACACGCCTGACATCGCATGTGATACTATGTGATATCAGGTGTATGACAGGTAGGTGTGGCTTGGTCCAAATGGCTTAACAGGCCAAATGAAGAGGCTTGGAAAACCTAATTAGGCCCCCAGTCTGGAGGTTCCTCAGCACTGCACTCCAGAATCTTGTTCCAGTATGCTGGGTATAATAAGCAATAACAGCTCTAAGGCCAGTAGTGAATTTCCCAGTGTGCTGTAATGCTTAGAGTGCTGGACTAGGACTTGGGAGACTGGGGTTCAAAACCCCACTTGGTGATCCAGCACACCTGGTGACCTTGGGTCAGTCACTGCCTCTCAACCTAAACTACCTCACAGGGTTGTTGTGTGGATAAAAGGGGGAGAGGGGGAATTGAGCTCCTTAGAGGAAAGGTGGGATATAAATGTAATACAGTATTAATAAAGTCACATAAGTCACTGATAAGAGAGAATAGCAAATGCTCACGTGTGTTGATGGAAGTTTATCACACCTACCACAGCCGGCAACTGAATAAATAAAGTGCTGTCACAAAAACTAGTACTGTCGTACCTTGGTTTTCAAACAGCTTAGTTCTCGAAGGTTTTGGCTCCTGAACGCCGCAAACCCGAAAGTGACTATTCCAGTATGCGAACTATTTTTGGAAGCCAAAAGTCCGACGGGGCTTCCGCGGCTTCCAATTGGTTGCAGGAACTTCCTGCAGCCAATTGGAAGCTGCACTTTGGTTTCTGAACATTTTGGAAGTCGAACGAACTTCTGGAATGAATTCCGTTCGACTTCCAAGATACAAATGTACAGATATGTACAATAAGGAGCTGTGTCATGGCTACATGCAAAAATTATCCCCAGATGTTTGCTGGAAGACTAAGAACTACTGTTAATTCATCACTGAAACTGCTTTCATTTAACCATTTGCACCCACCCTTACTGTGTGTCTCTGCCACCACCCTATTCTAGGATGTATCAACATTTAAATGCTTTAAAACTTAAGATCTTAAAAGAACCCAGTAAACCAGAGAGATGTCTGCTTCGTGGCTTAAGGAGTTTATATCAATACAGTCTGATCCTCAGCAGCATTAAAATGGGCTTAAAGGCATTTATTTCCATAGACTTAGACTGTGATCCTCTGCATGCTTATCTCGTAGTAAGACCCACTGAGCTCAATAGGACCTGCTTCTTCATAGACATTGTTTAGATTGCACTGTGCATCCCACTTAAATCTGCATATGGCTGGGCTGAGGTAACGCTTAAAGAAAAAGATTATAAATATGATCAGTGTCTTTGGATTTTAAAAAAAAATCTATTTTTTAAATGCTCTATATCATGCATGCTTAATATAGAGAGCTGCTAGTTATACTGTAATAGAAAGCACTCAAGTTGTTTCATCCCAAATAACAGTAGCCAAGACTACTGTATATGCTGTCCACGCTATAGACATGAGAGAATACTTGAATGTTGGAATCTCATTTATTTGACCAATGTTAATAACTCAAAATTAATGAACTACATATCTGCATTATATATTAACTATTTGGGCACAAGAATATCCCTGTTAGCATTAATTCATGAGCCATTTGAATACCCACATTCATGCAGAAAACAAAATTGCTTCTCTCCCTCCTGCTCCATCCAAAATAAAGATGTCTCAGGTTAAGTAAGCCCTACTGAATACAGTGGAACTTACATAGTTTATACTGCCACACTTACATAGTTTATACTGTCACACTATAGCAACCAAAGCTAGGAGCCTTTAATATATTTTGTTAGAGAAAAATCTCATTCTCAAATTTCATGGGTTTTTTTAGGCCTGACTCCTAAATTTGCCTACACTTAGGGCTTGATCCTGCCTCATACTGGCAGGATTCCCTCAGAACAATACAAAACTCCCTTTTTGCCTTGGCTGCACATACATAATATCACACAAGGTAATGACAGAAAACAGGCACACTGCTCTAATGTGCATAGCCTGATGCTACGTGGATGTGAGAATAATTGTATTATGCCCTACGTAGATCCTTACATTTATAGACCCTCCCCACGCCATGTCCTTCCAGTGAGCAACACTAGATTACTTCTCTATTCATTCGAAAGTGCTACTGTCTCAGAAGTACCGGTAATTCTTATATCAGTAGTCAAATACAGGGGTTGGGGGGTGAAATTGCACTAGTTCAGTCCACAGTATTCTACTTACATCACCCATTAACAGCAGATGTAAACTCAACAAAACTGTTTTACAAAACATTTAAAGAACATTCTGAGTTGTTGTTTTTTTTAAGGCTTGTAAATTTGATTTTTTAAAAAATGTGTCCAATGGTAAATGAATTTCCAGATTATTAAACAAGACTCTAGAAAGCATGAGTAATGAAACTGGAATGTTGCATTCCAAACAAACATAGAATAGCCTTGCATGTCCCTGAAACCTGTGTTTTAAGGAAACTGTGGTTTTGAATATTTGCAGCAGTAAGTTATTAAGAAATAAGTTCGACTTCAAGTAATAACTCCCACTGCAATAAGGCCCACTGAATACACGTGCAGGACTTGTGCTTTTATGTACTAGCAACAACTAAGGCGGTTGTTTTTCTTTAAAACTACTGTTTGCCATTAGTAATGCTTTGTTTATAGATAAAATGCTAAGATACAGAAAATAGGTTATTTGTTTATTTTTGGAAGTAGTAGAAAATGACAACAAGGCTAGCTACACCCTTCTACCACAATGGGCCCTCTTTCCATTTGGCCTGTTAGATATTCCAGAAACACCATTGTGTAGATGGCACACATTTTTATTTTTATTTTAAATCAAGAATGGTATTATTTGCTAGAAAGGATAGGAGCAGGTACAGCTTGCCTCTGCAGCAATAGAGTAATAACTACTAGCTATATGAACAGGAGGAACACAAGCAGCCATCAGTGACAGAGGTCACTGCTTCATGGGTACCAATTGATTAGAACGAGGGAAACTCAGCCATGGCATTCAGTGGTGAAGCTGGACCAGTCACATGGTTAGCCTCCCTCCAGATTTTTTTGTGAGGAGAAAAAGACCTTGCACACAACCTTCAGTGACAGGGTTGGAGAAGAGAGCAGAATAAAAAAGTAATAAAACCGATAGTTCATGAACATTAACTTTAAAAGAAATCATATTGTTTCACAATAATAGTTATTTGATTCAGGTTTTGTTGTGAACCTAAGTATGAAACTTGTTGATAATGATCTTCTTTTATTGTTCTTACAACGTTAATATTTTAAAAATACTTGATGAATTACCAGCCTCAGTTTTTAAGCTCGTCAAGTGTCCAAGCATAATTGCCCCCTCTTTGTTTAATTAAAAACCTGAATGCTCTTCTCCCATGTACAAAAATGTACCCACAAAACATATTGCCCAAACCAAGCAATTTCCAATCACTGCATTTAGACAGCTACTCATGTATCTATAAAGGCTCTTAATCATGTCCCTCTTCTAAACTTTCAGAATTAAAGGGGATAGCACAGAAGAAAGAAAACTCTTGATAATTAGCAAAATGCACAATTCTAGACCACCACCACCTCACAGGAGTTTTAACTCTCCTGCTCATGAAGACACAACAATTGTCACATGCATCATGGCACCTAACCTTCAACTTTGTCAAGAAAGTGGGATCACTACAAAGTCAGTCACCATATTAGTGCAGCCAAAATACGGTAATCACATTTTGGATAGGACTCAGAGGCAGCCTTATCATAAGTCAAGCAAGACGAAGCAAGCCGTTCAAGGCAGTCATTTAGAGATGGAAGGTTTTGAGCTTGCTTCAGTTCCACACCAAGAAGCTCCCAATGCAACACCGCACATGGCAACAGCAGCACACAGAGGTAGAGAGATGCAGTACTTCTTTTACGATGGCACTGCATGTTGTGTCACAGACAACAAATGCATTGTTATTATTTATTAATGTATAAATACACAATTCACAAGGATATGGCCCTCAATGAAGATTAGTCAGTATCAGAAGTAGCATGCCTCTGGGATTTACAAGTGGGAGCGTGCTAATCCACTCATGTCCAGCTGCTGGTTGGCCAGTGGCCACTAGAAGAATAGACTGCACTAGATAGGCCTTTGGCTCTTTTTATGTTATGCTATGTCATGACAGTATATTAAGTGTCCAAATGACAGGTGAGTTTTGTGGTTTCCCTCAACTGTGGAGCAAATGCTAGAGTCAAGGACCCAACCAGATCATATTTGTGCTTACTTAGGATTAAGTCCAGGGCTGAACTGGGCTTACAATGTCACCCTTGTAACACTGCTAAAAGAAAACGGGAGTGAGACTTTCCTCCCTGCACCATCCACAGAGAGATAAATGAGCAGAGCAGGGCTTGGATTACAAGCTAGAGAAGAACTATTGGAGGAAAGAATGTGATTTGCCTAGTTTGGGATTTCTGCAACAGCATGGTTATTTCTGAGTGTCCTCCTTTATTCATGCTAGGGAACATCCACTCATTTAATACATTTTTGCGAATTGTGAACTGCGTCATCAGTACCCTATAGTGCCCTTCTTGTACCAAACTGACCCCCTTTCATTTTATTTAATTACCCATGGTCATTTTTACCCATGATAATCATTTCTATGATTTACTCATTTAAAATAATTTTATGAATTAACCACGATAATCATTTTTATATCAAACCACAGATTGAAAACCTTGTCCTAGTCATGGTTGAAAAACTGGATCAGCCATGTCCATGGTTAGCAAAAATGCTAGTGTAGACATAATGTACATAAACATGGTTATGTACAAAAACGAAAGGTGACAAATGCTCTTGCAAGACATGGAGACAGAGAAGCACATGTCAGTGGTGTTCTAAGAAGGATATTGACAAGCTGGAACATGCACAGAGAAGGGTGACCAAGATTACCAGGGGTCTGGAAACCAAGACTTAAGAAGAAAGGTTGAGGGAATTGGGTATGTTTAGCCTGGAAAAGAGGAGACTGAAAGGAGATATGAGCCATCTTCAAATATCTGAAGGGCTGTCATATGGAGGATGAAGCAAAAACTTGGATCTAGCATGAAAATGTGGCAATCAAATTAGAAGAGACATGCATTTTGTTACTATCTATTATTTTACTGTTCATGGGCAGTTCGCACAGGCTTGACTCCCTGCTGCTTCTTATCTGTTTAAAAGGTATAATCATAAACCAGATTATGCAGAGCAGCACACTTCCAGAGTGAATTAAATGTTTTAGATACACTTAGAATAGGAATAGTAAATGCAGCAATGCAAGATTCTTACGGTTTTACATGGCCATCACAATTATTTATAACACTATCAGTCGCAATATAATCACCACTAAATATGTCCAAGAAGGTACCTTACATAAACAACACCAAAATACATGACTGGGCAGTGTGGTAAACAAATTGCATAGTAATTCAGAGAACTAAAATACCTAAAAGCCAAGTTTCTATTTATGCTAAACTGCCCTCAAATTCCGCTTGCAAAAACTGGTGTTACTTTTATAGCAGCCTGCCAGTAACAACTGCATGAAAAGGACTGTATGTTGACAAGTTCAGCTGCTATACTGATTTAGGGCTTTATTGTTCCACATGAGGATTGTGTTTTTCTCTGAATGGATGCAGCTCAGGGATGAGGGAACCTGCCCCCCCCCATGTGTTTCTGGACTCCATCTCCCATCATCTCTGACCATTCATCTTGGTGGCTGAGGCTGAAGGTTGGGACCCAACAACAGCTGAGAGCCAGAGGCTCCCCTTTCCTGATACAGCTGCATGTAAAAATCTGAAGGGTTTGTTTTTTTTGTTTTTTTTAAGAGAATTGAATTCTCCATCTCAGGTACAACAGCCTGAGGCAGGACAAGCCAGTCTGCTCTCTGCCATGGTAAGAGAAGTAGGGTACGTGGCTGAAAATGAAATACCAGCAGTGCATGCAAGAAGAAAGGAGAAATGCAGTTGCCTCTTAAATTATTTGAAAGCCATATATTAAGCAAAGTTGTGATTTTAAGGAAATAATTCGTGAATTTTCACATTAGATCTCAGCAATATACAGTGGTACCTCGGTTTACGGACTTATCCATTCCTGAAGTCTGTTCTTAAACCAAATCCGTTCTTAAACCGAGGTGCACTTTCCCTAATGAGGCCTCCTGCCACTGGTGCCCTTCCACTGTTCGGCTTCCGTTCGTAGATTGAGGTAAAGTTCGCAAAGCGGGACACTACTTCCGGTTTGGCGGAGTTCGTAAACCGAATAGTTCATAAACAGGACTGTTCGTAAACCAAGGTACCACTGTAATGATTTACAGAATGAAATGGTGAAAAATAATTTGGCCTATCAAACATGTTCTGCTAGAATACTGATGCATACAGCATTGATAGTGTTCATTTATAATGAATAAATGACGCTTCAGTTGTATATGCATGCTATTCTGCATAATACGGTTCACATCTTTCAAAACCTCATTTTCCCATTCAGAGATTTTGAAGATGACACATTAATACCTGCAAGTGCTTGGAGTGGGATCTCCTCATTTTCCAAAGGAATATTCAATGCATGAAGTTCAGCAAGCAGGCACAAACACAAACACAATTCAGAAAACTTGTAGGTGGATTTAAACAAGTATTCACACGCATACAACAAGACATGAACCCATCATGTGTAAATCCCATGAAGACGATCACAGTGCCTGGAGATGCAGTCAGGTCATGAAGTAACCAGAGAAGAAGAAGAAGAAGAAGTAGAAGTAGAAGTAGAAGTAACCAGAGGAGGAACGCATAAAGAAGCAACACCATGGTACATCTACATCAGCATAACCAGATGCCTTCATCTGCCCCAACTGCAACCAGACTTGTCTCTCCTATACTGGTCTCTACAGCCACAGGAGTAGTTGCAAGTAACTGTCAACAACATACATTTTGGCGAACTATAAAACATTTGTGGTGTCAAAATTTATAGAATAAAACTCAAACATTACTTTTTAATATCACTTTGCTGTCTTCAAATGCAGACATTTAACTTTGATAGGTAAGTAACAAAATAATTATAAAAATAAAAAAAATATTTTTCTGAGCTTTTTATATGGATTTAATAAGCAACTTGATTTACAAAAGCTAAATATGCTATGGTTTTCAAAGCTGCCTTGTAATCTTATTTACTTTCCTCTCCACCCAAGTTTATCATTGTCATTTTGGCTGATGGCCACTACAGCAATCATACTTTTGAGAATCTTTTCTGGCATTCAGATTACAGACATCTCCAGGAAATGAACAGGAAATGCTACGCACACATATGTATACGCTAATTCCTAAACTGATAAGGGACATTTTAGAGCCCACAGCATTTCTATTTATTTCTTTATAAATTTATTTATGAGCTGCTCTTCTGGCCTCAAAAGGCCCAACAGGTGAACTACATTCTTAAGACAATATCATAGCACCTGCCGGGGTGGTGGTAGTGGGGTATAAAACAACAAGTGCAACTGGATCTGAAAACATCTAGAAGCTATGAAGGGTGGGAAAGAGTTCCACTGAGAGGGTGCCACCACAGAAAAGGTTGCTGCAACTATAATCGTACCACCAAGTGTCAATTCTTGTATGCAAACCAACAACATTAAAAAAATGTTTCTTTGGTAATTATTTTTAATAACAAAGAATACATTTGATTAACCGAAGGCACCTTTAATGAATTGCTTCAGTGTGAATAAGCCCAACTCTGGACATTTTTCTTCCCTTTGTTTATTCATCTGGTCTCGTGTTCACCGCATATCCCACCCTGCTTCCTCATGCCTCTGAATTTTCCCAGCCCTCCAGGGAAATAGTCTTGTTCCTGTCCACAAATGCAGTTGCTGCTACTAAAAATCTATTGGGGTCACATTCTTTTACTTCTTTTATTTATTTAAACCAATATTCACCAATCTGGTGCCCTCCAGTCTGAAATACAATTGCCATCAAATCCAGCCAGTGCACTTGCTGGCTAGGGTTGATGAAAGTTGTGGTCCAAAACATCTGGAGAGCACCAGGTTGGCAAAGGCTGGTTTTGAACACTTCAAGGTGGATTCATTTCCTGCTTTGTTCACTGACTCCAATGTAGAGCATCCAATCATCCACAAGCCCAAGAGTCAGGAATGCACTACTTTGCCTTCGTAATATGTAATTATATAAAGGGACTACTTGACAAGTACAACGTGCCATTTCACCTGCCTTCCTGAAAGCTACAGTACTTCATAGGCTCAAGTTACCAGATCAAGGGAACAGACAAAATTAAGGACATTTTCGTATTTAATGAATAACAGCAGGCTGCAACCCTTCACTGATTCACATCTCAAAATCTGAAAGCCATTTGACTACTCAGGAACAAAGAAAGTTTAGTATGCTACACACCAAGTGTACACTATCTGATTTCCTATTATATACTGCATTCTTAAACATGTAATTTTGACCTGATTACAATAAACATTTGAGTTTTTAAAACTGTTTTTACTGATAATTTTATTGTTTTACTTTTTTTAAAAAAATAAAGAACTGCTTTGAGGGTGGGTGGGTGTGGCTAATACATTCTAATTAATGTAAGCTTAAAGTACAACCCCCCAAGACACACAAATACCAAGAATGTAGACCTTTATTTCTTACATTTTAAGATATGATCAAAACGTACCCCCACCCCAGCATCATTTTTACCCTCAGAGGCAGCAACAGGCCCAGGTAACCCATTCAGCTTCACGGCTGAGCAGGGATTTCAACCTGGGCCTCCTCAATCCTACTCTTGACATTCCATCCATTATACCACATAGGTTCTCATGCATTCTCTTCTCTCAGAACCCTATGTTCTTCGGCATGTGGTTTGATAATTTAAGTAACACTAAAGATGTGCTTATCATGCTCAATTTGTGCAGCGAATACAGAAAAATCCTACACATGTTCAGTCAGATGTAAGTCTCACTGGATTCAACGGATGAAACTCCCAGAAAAGTGTACATAGCACTGTAGCCAAAGAGTAAATGAATTACATTGTTTAACATGCTGCTTCACCCTCCCATTAACCTAATGGCACAGCATTTTCACAATCTGCATTAAATCAAACTTAAAGATAAGCAAGGTGCAGCAATCCATAGTGCGTATTCCCGGATCTTTAGGACTAAAGTTATTAACTCATCCATGTATGCTCCCCAGACACAGCTAGCTACACTTCCTGGAATTAATTATTTTATGGCTTAAGCCTAGACTAACCCATCTGTTCAGATCATTCAGCCATTTCATTTAGAAATTTAATGGTTAGCATGTTAGGAAGAAGCAGCATATTGCTCAATTTTCTGATTTTTCTCTAGTGCAAAAATGTCATATTCGGGTATAGAAAGTCTAAAGATCAGGCAAATAAATAAATAAATGCTGTTGGCATATTTTGCAGGCAGTCAGCCTGCTGCATGGGTGTCACAACTGGAAATTTGTTACAGCAAGCCTTTGTGCCTAGCTACATATTACTATTAAGGTAAAGGTAAAGGACCCCTGGACGGTTAAGTCCAGTCAAAGACAACTATGGGGTGTGGCACTCATCTCACTTCAGGCCGAGGGAGCCGGCATGTGTCCACAGACAGCTTTCCATGTCATGTAGCCAGCATGACTAAACCACTACTGGCGCACGGAGGACTGTGACGAGTGCCAGAGCACACAGAAATGCCGTTTACTTTCCCGCCACAGCAGTACCTATTTATCTACTTGCACTGGTTTGCTTTCAAACTGCTAGGTTGTCAGAAGCTGGGACAGAGCAATGGGAGCGCACCTCGTCCCACGGATTCAAACCGCCAGCCTTCTGATTGGCAAGCCCAAGAGGCTCAGTGGTTTAGACCACAGCACCACCCGCATCCCTCTATATTATTATTAATATGCCCTTAAGTGTCCATGTTACACAAATTGAGAATTCATTTGCTGTACATTTATCAAAACGTTTGGCCACTACTCCTGTACCTGTTTAAAACATCTGATAAATTTCTCAGCAATGCTGGTATAGCACTATAGAAACAATTAACATGGTTTGCATTCACAGGACCATGAAGTTGTTGGAAGATACCAAATGAACATCCAGTCCATTTCTATCATCCCACCCACTGCTCAAGAGAACAGGTGCACAACAGAAACAAACTGTGATGGCAAACAACTTGAGGTGACTAAATGCAAGCAAACCTAGCCGTACGCTGCATGGGAAGGCAAACACATTCCAAACTAAGCAAATGCCTATAGATACTAACCAAGCTTGGGGGGGAAACCCTTTCTAATCCTCAACCCCAAACTACTCAGCATGCTGTTTCTAGCTGTGGGGTAGAGAAAATGGGGTGGAAACCATCAGGACTCCAGTGAAGCACAACTGAGGCAATCGAAATAGCAATCATAATACGCACTTCAAAAATGCAATGAATATTGTTAATACAGATGACAGCCATTGTGTTCCACCCAGGCACCCACTGGTGTAGTAAGTCTAAAGATCAGGCAAACAGACAAATGCTGAATGCTTCTATCAGATAGTGGTGTCATGTGAGGCTGCCTTTCAGTTTTAATATCTGTCAATAACTGTCAGCTGAAGAACACTGTCGCTGTGTTTTCCCTGTCCTGACTCCTGCGTCGCTTCTGCCAAGGTAACCAAATTCCTACAAACGCCAAGCTGCAGAGGCCAGATTTCAGACAGTGCCATTCTGGCACACCAAAAGACAGCAGCTTTTGCAAGTGATTTTGATGAGTTGGGAGTGTCCGTGTGTGCGTTTTTCTAGTTAAACAAAGTTTGTCTTTAAGTTTGTTGGGTTTAAAAAAAAACTCCGCAAAGGTGCTAGAGACCATTCAGAAAAGAAATCTGAGGAGGGGCTGGTAACTTGCACCATACAAGTATATGCGGTGAGCTAGAGAGAAAAGTCCGAGCCCATCAGCCCCACCCCCTCCTCTGACTAAGTCAACCATTCGATTTGCAAGAATTTGGCGGAGCACTTAAAAGAAAACATGGAGGCTCTTAAAACGAGGAAGTCCCGGTGGAGACAAACCTCCGCGGGATGTTAGAACTCAGTCGCCCTGTGTTCTCGCCCCGGTTGTGCAACGCGCCCCCTCCGCCACGGGCAGCACCCGCTCGAGGGCGCGCGCGCCTTGCCCAGTGCCGGGCTGCCCCCGATTGCGAAGCGAGAAGCAGGAAAGAGGGCGAGAGAGAGAGAGAGAGAGAGGGCAACTCCGAGCGCCTGTCGCGAAAGTGTGCCACCCAGCACACCCAGACGAGAGGCAGGCGGGCGCCCAACTCACCCAGCCCAGGCAGCGACTCGAGCGCCGGAGGGTCCCGCTCCTCTGACGAGAAGAAGCGCTCAGCCCATTCGCACAACCCCTCAGCGCCGGAAAGTGGGGTGGGCGAGAGATGAAATCTCTCTCTCACACAAACACACTCGCTCACTTCGAAAAGGGATGGGGAGGCGCTGCCCGCGCCGCTTCCTCATTCACCGAGGAGGCAGGCGGAGCAGGAACTACCTCGCCCTCCTCCTTACTCCCCCCCGCCCCCACCGGCCCCTGCGAAAGCGGCGGCCCCGCTGCAGCAGGTATGAGGCGGCCCGCGCGCGCCAACGAGTCACTCACCCGTTTCGCGCGAAGGACCCTCGCCAGGAAGCACAGGACTTGCTCGGCGCTCCGAGGCCGAGAGCGCTGCCCCGAGAAGAGAAAGGCAGTCAAGCGGCGCTGCCTCCGCCTCGGGACCGCCCTCCCCTCGCTCGCCCCGCCCTCCGCCCCCGCGCGCTCCGCCTCAACTTTTGCCGGACGCGCTCACCTGCTGCTTTTGCTGCCGGGCAGGAGAAGAAAGCGGGGCGGGGGCGCGCGCTGAGGGGCGGGAATCCCCTACTTCGCGCAGGCCACATCGTACGGAACAGGCGCTTGGAGGCTTCAGCGCCTCCTTTCGCTATTCCGTCCTCCTCCTGCTTCTTCTGCCGCTCGCCCGGTCTCTCACGTCGCCGTCGAGGAACTTTCCCGGGACGAATGGAGCTCGTTCGCGGCTTCGGGCCTCTCGCGGTTGACCTGTGCTTGGCCGGCCTTCCTTGCCCGGGGGGGTGTGGCGCTCACGGCTCCGCGCGCCTTTACCTGACCCGGCAGCTCCCTCGACTTCTCGCTTTGTCTTAAAGTCGGCCGGCCTCCACCTTCCCGCTCTCAGCCCCGGGAGGAAGCGGCGTCTCGCCCCGTGGGGCTGTCGCGGCCGGGCGGTTTCCCCGTGGAAACGCTGCGGGCGCGGGCTCTGGAAGCCACGCGGGACAGACCTCGCAGTCGCTCCGGTGCTCAAAGAGCTCATGGCCGAGTGGGGGAAAGTGCCTCGTTTGATTAAAGCTGGGTGGCAGAGGCTGGCCAGGGGAAGGGGGTAGTCCCCGCTTCCTTTACCATACCCTCGGCATCAGTATTTCTCAGGTTTGCTTAAAAATAAAATAAAATTAATTAATAACTTCAGCATGTTTGCGGCTCTGGAGCCGCTGCCTTTGGTGCAACAATGCTGTTTTAATATCGCGTTTCCTGGTTACCTACCGGTATTTTAGACCGTATGGCATTGGAATTGATACTATTTTACGTATGTGTTGTCCTCTCTCGCTCTCTGTGTGTGGGGTGTTAGTTGCTATTTGTGCAATTGTTTGAACTGTTTCTATGCCCATGATTTTTTAAATAAAAAGTATATAAGTATATGCCACCCTTGCGTAAAATTTCCAAGTGGTATTTTGTTGTTGTTTAGTCGTGTCTGACTCTTCGTGACCCCATGGGGCAGAGGACGCCAGGCCCTCCTGTCTTCCACTGCCTCCCGCAGTTTGGTCAGACTCATGTTTGTAGCTTCGAGGACACTGTCCAACCATCTCATCCTCTGTCGTCCCCTTCTCCTTGTGCCCTCCATCTTTCTCAACATCAGGGTCTTTTCCAGGGAGTCTTCTCTTCTCATGAGGTGGCCAAAGTATTGGAGCCTCAGCTTCAGGATCTGTCCTTCCAGTGAGCACTCAGGGCTGATTTCCTTCAGAATGGATAGGTTTGATCTTCTTGCAGTCCATGGGACTCTCAAGAGTCTCCTCCAGCACCATAATTCAAAAGCATCAGTTCTTCAGGGATCAGCCTTCTTTATGGTCCAGCTCTCACTTCCATACATCACTACTGGGAAAACCATAGCTTTAACTATACAGACCTTTGTGTACTATATTGTAAATCGCTTTGATATGCCTTGTGGGAAGTCATTCATAAATATAATTAAACAAAATGTATTTATTGACAATGCAATATTTAGTAAAACTGTTTATTAAATTGTTGCTGTTGTTTTTTATTTATTAATTGTCTCTCTCGCTAAGGGCAGTGGGTTCTAAAAATGTGCACCTCCGGTGTCAAAAGCCAGGGTGAAGAGGTGTGTCTTCAGCATTCACCAAAAGCTGTATAATGGAGGTGCCAGATTCCCCTTGGGGGGGAGGGCGTTCAACAAGGTGGGGGCTGCCACATAGAATCCCCTCTCCTGTGTTGCCACCCCTAACATACTGTATTGTTAATGTTATAGTGTAAGCTAACCTATGTGGTGCATTTGCCCTGGAAAGGTGAGGTGCTTGACTTTCTGTGAGGGGCAGTCAGGGTAGAGCCAACCGTGGATGGAGTCTGCAGCTTTACAGGAATCTCCAGTTGATTGTGAGAGTGTAGAGATGAATTGAAAAGTCTGATAGAAGTCTGCATTTTTACTTTTATTTTTTTTGCTCTGCAACATTTGGCTTGGCTGGCTTGCATGACTCATCTGGTACCTATAAAGGCCTTTCTACACTGCTCTGCAGTTTATCGTTTTCTCTTCTAGTGGAATCTAGGAGGCTGGCCCAAGGCTAACTGCTGCCTGAGGCAAAGGACAAGATGGTGTCTTTCCCGTTCCATGTAGAAAAGCTGAATATTACTTCAACACTAGAGATGGGATAGTGTCCTCTGCTACTCCTGAGGGCCTAAGGCTAGCTTAGTAGGGGAAATGGCACACATAGTTCTGTTTTACATTAACATTGGAGAAATGTATGTTTTCTATTTTTGTATAAAATGCAGAGCAGTCCCACATTAAACTAGTCTCCTTTGAGAGGAAGGGTGGGATATACATTTTTTAAAAAAATAACGATAAATGATAAACTTTCTTCCTTAACAAGTGACACTTCCTGTTGCCTAACTCACTTAGCCCTATTTCAAAATTGATAGTCACATACACTTACAAAATCTTACACAGAAAGCAAAAAAAGAAATGGGGTGGAGGAAGAGGAAGAAGGAAACAAGGAAAGTTAGCTGTGAGTCTATATAAAAACAGACCACAGTTCAAATAATTCCAAGAATGCAAGCCATATGTTGTTGAATTTATTACTGGCATTCCATCTGCTAATTATTGCTTGTTCCTTTACTGCCAGATCTAGCAGAACCCCTGTCCTACTGCCAGTTTTTAAAGGATTCTCTGCTTTTTGGACACTTGTAGCTCTTAGGAAAACACAAATGTTAATTCTTTGTAATATTCCACCTGAATGTTTTATACCCAAGAGTCTTGTTGGAAGCAGCAATGCTTAGGGCTGTCTCGAGGGCAGAACAAACCTATTGTGTGACTTCCAACCAAAATGGCACAATAGCCATACCATGTGAGCTATAGTTCCCTCATGCTCTGTTCATCTCCAGTGGTGGTGTTTGGCTGAATTAGCCCAAACTAACAGAATCTATACAGAACCCAAAATATACAGAAAATATTTTTGTTGAATAAAATATAATTCCATATTGAAAGCAGATGTTTTAAAATCATAATACAGCATAATTATTTAAATCATAATACTACAAAGATTGCAGTTGGATTCCAGTTTCCTTTCTACATTTTAGCAGCATCTGTAACTGGATCCTAGTATATTGGGTGATTCATTTGGAAGAAGGCACTCTTTGAAATATCCTGGACTGAGTCTGCGCTGAGTCAACAAAAATTGGATTGGGCTGCACAGTTTATCTACCAACTAATTTACAGTAGTGAATTCAAATCTCCAGAGCATGATGAGCTGTACCAAAGGGTACTAAAGGAGTTTGAAGATATAATCTCAGAGCCTCTGCCTATAAGCTTTGAGAATTCCTGGGGAATAGGTGAGATCCTTGCAGACTGGAGATGGGTAAATGTTGTCCCCATCTTCAAAAAGCAGGGAAAAGAAGACCATGGTAATTACCAACTGTTCAGCTTGACATCAGTGTGAGGAAAGGTCCTATAACAGATAATTAAACAGTTGGTCTTTGAGCACTTATAAAAGGATGCTGTGATTACTAAAACCCACCATGGGGATCTCAAAAACAAGTCCTGCCAGACAAATCTCATTTCTTTTTTTGATATAGTTACAAGCTTGATGGATCAAGGGAATGCTGTGGACATATTGCATCTTGATTTCAGTAAGGCTTTTGACATAACTCCCCCATGATACTCTTGTGCAGAACCTAGAAAATGTGGGCTGGATGTGGTAACTGTTAGATGGATTTGTAGCAGGTTGACTGACCAAATGCAAACAGTGCTCACTAATGGTTCCTCATCATTCTGGAAAAAAGTGACAAGTGGAGTGCATTGATGCTGTTCAACCAGGAACACAATAAGTGTATTTTGCCTCTGGAACATCCTTGTACTCAGCAGCAAGAGTCAAACATTCAACTGTACAGCTCAAGTAGGTTGCATGCCAGTCCGCCAGCATGTATCAGCCCATGGTTAGACCCACTGAAATAACTGGACTAACTTCAAAGTTAGCATGCATAGGATTCTGCTGTTAGGCCTTAAAATACTGGCAGTTATGTCATTCAAAGTCTCACTTCCTCTTTCCTGACAGAGGGAGGGAGAGAGATGTGGGTGGGTGTCTGGTGGTAGATATTTTCAGAACCGAGTAAGCAACAAAATTGGAGAACATTGTTCTTTTGGCCTAACCTGTCTTTTATATTTCATCCATTTTACATTTCTTAAAAATACTGCAAATTGCAATATTTAGTCTACATTAAGCCCTTTCAAACTATGCAGAACTGGTGTGTCTGTGTCCGTTATCTTTCATTTTTTTCAAAACTGTTTTTTCAATAGTAGTGTTGAGTGAAACAGGAAGTGTGCCTGTTTAATCGTTTCTATAGTAAAAATAACATTGATAATGTGCTTTGTGGAGCCTATTGAAATGTCAAAAGCATGGTGTCCAAGAGCCCTTGCTTCAGAAATCACATTGCGATGTATTCTGCTTATTTTCGCCATTACCCTTTCAAAACAGCAGGTTCAAGCTGATGTTTGAACTTCAAAGAGAGGATTATGTCATAAACCGGAGAGATGGAGTGGTGTAGTGCAGGGGTCGGCAAAGTTTTTGTGGCTTGGGCCGGTTCACAGTCCCATAGTGGATGTTTGCATGTGCAAACGCTATTTCCGGTGCTCCTTCTGACACGGAGGAGGCATGGGCGGCTTCCCATTGGCTGCAGGAGCTTCCTGCAGCCAATGGGAAGCCAGCCAGCAGCACGGAAGGCGGTCCCTGCTCTGCTCCGCACCGGTTTAGGACGGCGCACGGGAGCCAACTAAGTGGGCAGCGGGGGTCCATGGGCCAGTTAAACGACCCCCATGGGCTGCTTGTGGCCCATGGGCCTTAGGTTGCTGACCCCTGGTGTAGTGGTTAATGCTGGATTAGGATGACCCAGGTTCAGATCCCCACTCAGCCATGAAGCTCACTGTGACCTTGGGCCAATCACTATCTCTCAGCTTAACTAGCTCCATGGGGTAGCTTGGAAGATAAAATGTATGCGTATGTGGTGGGGCAGAAAACAATGTATGCCACTCTGAATTTGGAGGGAGGGTGGGTTAAAAATGTAATAAATTATAACTAAACGACCTTATGTTACAAATGATATTGGTGATTCAAACAAAATGATTTAAGTTCACATGGCAGCCTAATGGTTATACTCGTTTTCAAAGGAGAATGAATATACCGTAGATAAATACCTTGAAGACTGAGGTACTGAAATACAAAAACAAGGTTGCACACACATCATATATTTAAAGCACATTTCAAGTACACACCCACCCAAAAATTATCCCTCACAGAGCTGTAGTGCCCAGCACACTTATCAGGCTACAGTTCCTAGGATTCTTCAGAGGGGATGTGCTTTAAATGTATGGTGTGTACACAGCCTAATTTTGTATTACAGGATCTCAGGAACTCTGACAAAATATAAGGTTTATTAAACTGGAAACTATCCATGTGCTCCCCCTTGCCCCTTCCTTTCATCCTGATTTTAGTATGGTTTCTTTTAAACCACAGTTCTCTGTTACATCATATCTTCTTACTTGATTTCTTCACCAAAAATGCCCACTCAGAGCTAGGAAACAGAGAGGGAAGGTGCCCTTTTGCCTAAGTAATGTTTGTGGCAAATAAATAAATAAATTTTTAAAACAGACCTTTTTATTAAAGTGGTGAAATAATATATTGATTTGCCTCTATGCCATCTTCTCCTGAAACATGCAGGCAATTTTTGTAAGAAACCACAGGCATAGCAAAGGGGGCAGAGGGGGCAGCTGCCCCCCCCAATCAAGTAAGTAAATAAAAATAAATAACTGACCAATCACATGGCAGATAGCTCGGTTCTGCCCCCTCCCCCAAACATAAATCCTGACTATGCCTGTGTAAGGAACCTCGAACACTACAAGGCAGCAAAGTATATAATAATATTCTGAATGAGCAAACAAGCATAGTATAGAGGTTAATTGCATCATGGCACCCACAAACCATTTCTTATCCTGATACAATCTATATATTCTTTGTAAAATTTCAGAAGGTGAGATTGTGGTTACAGTATCACTTGTCAGTTCAGATAACTGAAAATCCAGCACCTGGGTAAATAATTAGGAGAATAATTATGTGTTAGTCTTAGGTATATTAATCTATACTGAAGAATTATATTTTTCTTACAGTTAAAAAAAGGTTAAGACTAAGTACTGGCTAATAAATGTGTGTCCACAATATATTACTGAACCTCATTTATTAGCATGGCTATAAATCTCAATTATTTAAGACCATCAGAATCAAAATACCTGTGTCTGGCAACTGAAGTTGTTCTGCGTACATATACAACTGTGAATAGTTATTTATGCAGGAATTTTGTACCTCTACCTCAACCAAGGCCTCAGGTTAGTTGACCAGGAACTTTG